AACTAGGAATACTGACCCCGCCTGCCTCACCACCGCCTGACTCCCCTCTAACCCTGAAACTAGACGCCCTGATAGGCCTAGAACCTAACCCGCCTCCACCTGATACAGAAACAGTAAGAAGTGTACGCTTCGCAGACAAACTACAGCTAGAACTACCAGTCGCTGTGAAGGAAGCATACGAGTCTACCCTATAAAGAGACCAGATATTACAGTCAATCCTAAGTGCCCTGGACGAAAAGAAAACCCAGCACCCAGATATCACGCTCGCGCACTACGTGAGAGATGGGAACAACCTGCTATACCAAGGACGTATTTATGTCCCAGACAACGACGACCTTAAAGCTGAACTAGCCCGACTCTGCTATGACAACCCAGCAACAGGACACCCAGGTCGCACAAAGATGTACGAGCTTATATCTCGCGAGTACTACTGGCCGAACCTCTACCGTTATGTCGAGCAATGGACCAAAAACTGTCATACCTGTCGCAGAATTACCCCGTCCCGAGAAGCCCGTCAAGGAGTCTTACGACCACTCCCGATCCCTGCCCACGCCTAGCTAGATCTGTCAATAGACTTTATCACACACCTGCCCGAGAGCCAAGGATTTGACGCAATCTTGGTAGTAGTCTGCCGCTTGACTAAAATGAAACACTTCCTGGCCTGCCACGGGACCTGTAACGCTGAAGACCTCGCCTGCCTGTTCTTGAAACACGTCTAGAAGCTACATGGACTCCCTCGTACAATTGTATCTGATAGAGGCCCCCAGTTTATAAGCCAGTTCTGGAAACACCTGACGACCCGCCTAAAGACTAAGAGCCTGCTATCCACTGCCTTTCACCCGGAAACAGATGGACAGACCGAGCGAGCCAATGCTATCCTGGAACAGTACCTCCGAGCCTATACAAACTACCTACAGGACGACTAGGCTAACTGGCTTCCGCTAGCCGAATTCGCCTCTAACTCTGTACGAAGCGAGTCGACTGGCGTCACCCCGTTCTTTGCTAATTACGGCCAACACCCAGTCGTTGGATTCGAGCCTGTCCGCCTGAGTAATCACCCCGCCGCCCGCGATACAGAGAGGTTCGCGGCTCATATGGAGGAGATCACGAACTTTGTACGAGCCCAGATCCTGGCCGCCTAAGCTCGCCACGAAGAATTCGCCAACCGTCACCGCCAGCCTGCCCGAACGTTCACTAAAGGACAGAAAGTCTGGTTAGACGCCCGGAACATCAAGACCCGTCGCCCCCAGAAGAAATTAGACTGGAAGAACTTAGGCCCCTTCGAAATCACCGAAGTTCTAAGCCCGTACGCCTGCCGTTTACAGCTTCCCCCTGGAATGATGATCCACCCAGTATTTAACGTCTCCTTATTACGCCCTGCCGACGACAACCCGCTTCCCGCGCAGCAACAAGAACCTGCCCCACCTATCGAAGTCGACGGAATCGACGAGTGGGAGGTAGAGGAGATCCTAGACTCCCGCTGGGAGAAACGTGGTCGCCGGGGAACACCACGTCTAAAATACGTGGTTAAGTGGACCGGTTATGATGACCCAACTGAAGAGCCTGCTGCTCACCTAGAAAATTGTGGACAGTTAGTGAAGAACTTCCACCTCCGCTACCCGTCCAAGCCAGGTCCTGTCTACGCCTCTACGGAGCTCGGCTCTAAGGAGGGGGATACTGTCACGGTGCCAGCTCAGACGACTACTGATTGATTAGATAGTGCGGGCCACGTGACCCGCAACCTCATGTAAACTCAGAACCTTGTCTGAATGTAGCTCTTCAAGCTACGTCTTCGTCTTAGCCTGTCAGTCAATGCAATACTGTCTGTCCAGTTCTAGTATAATTCTATTCACCTGCCCGCCCCGTGACACATTCTCTAGATTGTCCAAATGATCCCAATGGTTGCTCCGTTTAAATATCTTCGAGGTCAAATATGATGCACTGATTTCTTAAATTGACCAGCACCTTGAGACTACTACCTCGACCAACGTACAAAATTAGACAATGATACCTAGCGAATATCATGTATGTCACCTGAGACCATCAATTCATCTGCTGAGAATTGACCATGTCTATATGTATCAGTGATCAACCATGATTACAAGTATAGCGCAGAGAAAATTGGGCTTACATAAGTGGGGTTGTAGAAGACGGTTATAAGGACAAAAAAGGGTGGATTATTTTATATCCAAGACCCTGTGGTGCAGTTGGGAGGATGCTAACAAAACAGGTGGGACTAACCTTTAGCAGATGTCCTGGCGACTGGACATAGCACACAGAGGTCGGTGGTTCGAGTCACAGACGGCGCTCGGGAAAACACAAACTGTCATACAAGTTTTATACCTCCTTCTAGGCTTAGAAGGAGGGAATTTTGCTAAAATTTTCAAATTGCTCTTTTTCTCCTCAGCTTCCAATCATTTTCGATTACATTCGACAACTTCTGGAAAACACGTCATTGCGTCAGTTTTTACGTTCCCTCAATCATCTAACTTTGATGAAGCTATCTGGAAGTAAACAAGGGGAACTCTTTGTAATAACTACCATGTGTCTGTTGTGGTAGCTTTGGGGTTCGGCCCAGATTCCACAAATCGCATTCTCTTGCCTTCATTTTCTAATTATTAAATGTCCATTAAATGAGTCTTGGGAAACATGTCACTCTGTCGTCTTTTTGACTATTTTCATGAAGATATGATATTCAGTAGATAGCACGGATGATCTACCCGTGACATGTCAGCCCCACTTATATACTCCAGTGATATTGCCATTTCACAGATTTGAGCTACTTTTATGGCGAATTTCATGTTGCGGACATTGCAATCCCTACATCGCTGGAGTACGAGTAAAATTCTAGATGCGATTAATTTCCCAAAGCCTTTGAAGCTTTGGAATAATACGTATCACGTGATCAGCCACTTTCCATTAGCACGCATCTTAAAATGACCTCATGCCTTGAACTAAATCCTCATATTAATCTTATCTCGGCACATCTCATGAGATTATTCTCTCCAAATATGGAGAAGTAGATATTGAGAAGTGGATATATTGCCTCGGTAAATGACTTTTTATGTAATGACGCGTAAAACTTCTTGAAGAAATTAATTAGTTCAAGCTTTTCCTCCACGAAGATAGTGAGGTCATTATAAATTAAATTTCATGAACATATATTCGTAGAAAAAGTTGTATGTGTCAATATTGTAATGAAACTTTCCTTGGAAGGTTAACAAGGTTGAAATTGCTGATCTCCACGATGGCGGAAATAGCTACGATATATATCGCCTCAGGTGCTAATCGATTAGCGAAGTTTTCGGAAACCCACCGATGTTTACCCAAATCAAAACTGCACAGGTGCAACTTGAACCTATTACCGATGTCACACGTATTTTTAATGTTTTCACATTCCGAGGTCTATTGGCGTCGATCCATGGACTGGAAATACCCACTATCTAGTCCAATCGGACTTCATGTCAACATCACATCTCAATTCTACATTCCTTAGATCCTGAATTCAACTCTCGCCAATTGCTAAGGCTTGAGATAAAAGACGCGCTACTATACCTATCCATTCAGTTTACCTTCTAAACATCTCCTCGCGGATGAATACTTAGTAAGAACAACACGTCAGTATCCACCAACCTTTACCAAAGTGTGGGTGATCCTGGTCACCTCTCGCTCTTGATGGCTGAGTAAACCCACCCAAATCACAGTGCAGTTCTACGAAATTCATCGCTAAAAGATTGAAGCGAGGCTTCCCGTCTCTATATCTCAGGGGGCTTCAGCGTGTCCGACTCAGACCCTATGTCTATCACACTCTTGTGCTACGATTACAACAGGGTCATGACTGGGCGTACAAAAGGAGAGGCAACATCCAGTCTACATCAAGATTGTGAGCCAGTTCTTGAGACGTTTGCTGCGAGTTTCTCCCATGCAGGTACAGTTGTCTCGGATCTAACAGGAATAGTCTTAGAACACGCTAGCAGTGCAATTTCGACTTCAAAGTCTCACAGGTCCAGGTACACTCCGGGTACATGCATCTAAACTTTAGCTAACCAGATTCTTCTTTCAATCCACAGAATCGGTCTATTCCTTCCTACGAAAGCCTACACGTTATCAATTGGATCACTGGATACTGTCTTTAGTTTCGACCTCCATTTCCCTATCTACTACAGGGTCATATATCAGACATGGAGATAGGTGCAAATTTAATAACAAACATTGTTCAGGGGTTCGGATGGACTGACAGGGTGGTCTCGCATCTGATGCTACGCTGGGAAAGCTTCGGCCGCCACTAGTAACTATTGACAGTCTTCCCCAGATATTACTTCCAAAGCTTGAGCCGGCACTTTTGTGATACATAAATTATGTTCCGGGTACCTTACATGCTTCAATTTCTGTTCAAGAGATTAGATGACGATGTCTACTATAATTTGATATTTACTGATATCATCGTATATTTGCAGCAATTTCCGAGTGAAGGCATTTGCACGTTAACAAAAGCGTTCAAGTACGGGGTTCTTCAAGATTATCAAATTTCATGAGTCTTATTTGATGTCGTACAACTATTTATAGATACTACATGTTTATAGTAAACTATTGGTAGTATCTAATTTCCTAGACCGACATGGCTCAGACTCTATTGTACAAACAGAAATAGCATAATTTGATGTAAAGAATTATTCAATTAAACAAGACAAGACATGTGAGATGGTCACCTGGTAATGAGCTTCAGTAATCAATTGGCAGTCTAGGTTGGGTTGGGGTCTGGTGAGTAAATAACTGCCCCAACACAAGGTGCTAGTGCCTTGCAATCGTTACCTGGTAATGAATTCCATCGGTTTTCACACACGCTTTAGCAGAAAAAGCGGAAATTGCAGTCCCCCGCCCTTTAAAAGCTGAGTCTCACCCCAACTTTTCCTTCTTCCCTCTTCACCTCTCTTCGCTTCCTTTCCCTACCTTACTTTTCTCTACACCACACTCGTTTTTACCCAACCTACTCTACCACGATGTTCACCATTAAGAAGCTCGTTGCCTTCATGGCACTCTTTGTCTTTGCTTCCGCTCAGCTTGAGAAGCTGCCTGCCTGCTCTGTATATATTCTTTGCCCTGATTTTTCTCCCACTTTTTCCTGTCATTTCTTCTTGACTAACATTCTATCAGCTGCAATGCTTTGTTAACGTCCTGAACTTCGATGGCTGCGGCGATATCCTTGACTTCTCTTGCCACTGCTCAAAGGCTGACTTGCCCGGCAAAATTACTCCTTGTGTTGAGAAGGCCTGCCCTCTCAAGGATCAATTTGGTAGATCCATTGATCATGTTCTGGAAGTTTCTTCCTGCTAACCCAGCATTCAGTTGTTGTTGATCAGGTCCAGTCCGTTTGCGTTGGCGCCGGACATCCTATCACGCTGCCCACTCCCGGTGCCACTACTGCCGCTGATGTGACTACCAACGTTGTGAAGCCTACATCGACTGAGTCTGCCACTTCTGTCGTTACTACTAGCACCAGTGTTTTGACTTCTGGTGTTGTGACCAGCTTTTCTGAGTCCAATTCGTTCTCGACCTCGCTGTCCGACGCTGGTGAGACCGTTACTGAGCCTTGCACTACTTCTGGCACTCTGACTGCCGGCACTCCCATCATCGCCACCCCCTCGGGCTCGGCTAATGTGAGCACCCCCCTGGTTATCACTAAGGCTACTCCGACTGTTGTCACTATTACCCAGTGCTACGGAACCGGCACTATCAAGACTTGCCACCCTGTTGAGTCAACTGTTGCTCCTGTCGCTCCCACTGTTGTCACTGAAACTCAGTGCTACGGAACTGGCGCCACCAAGGCTTGCCATGTTTCTACCATTGCTATCACCGGCTCTGTGACTGGCACTATCGGTGTTGTTGGTACCGAACCCGCAGTCACTCATTCGGCTAGTGCCTCGAGTGCCCCAGGTTCTTCTACCATCTCACCCACTTTCAACGGCGCAGGCGTTCTTGTCCAGGGCAACATGGTTGGCATTGTCGCTGTGTTCGCCGCTGCCGCTTACTTCTTGTAAGTGGTGAGCACGTGGGATAGTTCACTCCGATCACACTTTATCAAGTCGTGATTCAGGGGCATTTGTTTAACTTGGGGTAATTCTTTTCGTCCTTGAGGAGTTTCTGGGGATCATTTGTCTGGCATTTGGGAGTTTGTAATTATCCCAATTCGGCTTGGTTTGTTTTTCCTCCATGCCTGCTAGTTTGAATTGAAAAGTTATCCAACTCGTTTTACTCTTGTCTTGTAGCCTGTAGTGTCTAGTCTATATCTTGTGTTGCCTTCCTTGAAGGTGTAGTATTTTCTCGTTTTTTCTTTGAATACGATACGCTTGTCTCTTGTCACTACGTTAGTCTGTGAGTCCACTTCCACAACGCACATAATTGATGATTACTAACAGGGTTAAGTAACTAAGATCAGAATTTATTTATCATTACAAGACAATTATCTTCGCACCCGCAAGCTCATTTACTAAATTCCAACAAACCGCCCCACCTCGTCAATATTATCTTTATTCGACATCCCAAGCCTTGATCAAAGGTCGGTACTTAGCCTCCCACATCTGCGCGCGAATCCACTCCTTAAGCTCCGAATCATCCACAGGAATCCCCTCCTCTTGCGCAAGACCCTCCCGAATCGAACACTTGATGACAGCAGCAGCGATATCCACACTGATTTCCCGCACATCCTCAACGTCCGGAAGAAGTGGTTTAGACGGATCCACAAGCGCAGGGGAACGTGCCTTGAGAGCCTCAACAGCTGACACAAGCATCTTCTTGGACATCAACCGACTTCGCGAGAGAACGGCTCCAAGACCGATACCAGGGAAACAGGTGGAATTATTGCATTCCGCGATATCGTACTTTATACCTTCGTATTCCACAGGAGGGAATGGACTACCTGTTGCGACTAGAGCTCGGCCGTTAGTCCACTCATACAGATCCTTGGGCTGCGCTTCGTGGAGACGGGTCGGGTTACTGAGCGGGAATACAATTGGTCGGTCAACGTGCTTGGCCATTTCGCGGATGATCTCTTCTGTGAAGGCGTTCGGCTTTGTGGACGTGCCGATAAGGACATGCGGTTTCACGCGCTGGATAACCGAAATCAGATCACGGCCGTTGCCTTCAGCCCACTCGCTGTCTTCTCTTGCAAAGTTGGCCTGGGCTGGGGTCAATTGATCACCGAGGGATTTTACAAGGAGACCTGGTTTATCGATACACCTGAATTGGATGCATTAGCTGGTGGACGTGCTGTCATAGTAAGGAGTGCATACCATATCTGCTTCGATGCCTCCTCCTTGGCTTTGTGCGCCTCTGTCGCGATAGTGTCGGCGATCTGGTCTGCAATTCCTGTACCAGCTGTACCAGCGCCAAATATGACCACACGAATGTCGGCAAGCTCCATGTTACTAATTTGCAATGCCGCCATCATGGCAGCCAAGGTAACGCAACCAGTGCCCTGGATATCGTCATTGAAGCATGAGATCTGCGATTGATACTTGTCTAGGATCCGCCGGGCATTGTGCAGCCCGAAGTCCTCACTGCCAGTGTCAGAGAAATATATCTCCTTGAAGCAGGGAACTATCATTCACTCACAAATGGATGTAAGCCTTTGGAAACCGCCGTCGAGCAGTCTGGATAAATTTATCCACGAATTCATCATACTGTTTGCCCTCGATCCGATGCTGGCGGAGTCCCATGTACAGCTCATCATTGAGCAGGTCTTCGTTCTGTTAACCTTCTATTAGCACACTTCCCATATCTTCACACACATGCTTACATTAGTGCCACAGTCCAAAACAACCGGCAGCTGTCTCGCTGGGTGGATCCCAGCGCAGAGAGTGGTGATTACCAGCTTCGCAACGGATATCAAGATAGCACCGATGCCCTGATCACCTATTCCAAGGATCTATTGCAGATACATCTACATAAGCAATGCGTTATTTCGTCACAAAAAGGCATCCTTACCTCTTCGCCATCACTAACAACAATGTAATCCACTTCCTCAACGTTCCCATAGTTGGCAAGACACTCTTCAATAGAATCCTGATCTCGTATATTCAAGAAACAGCCCTCCGGCCTTCTAAACAGGCGTGAATAGTTTTGAATCGCATCTCCTTCAGTAGGCGTATAAATGATACTAAACATCTCTTTGATATGGGTCTGAAGCAGCTACTCAATACTTAGTTCCATTGAACTGTGTATAATTTCGAGAATTCTCTCACCTTGTAGTATAACACTTCATTCTGCACCTTCATGCTCGCCATGAACGTGTTTTTCGCTAAATCATCGTGTCGACTGCTGTATTGTTCGTAAGCACGTTGAACCTGCTCATTGAGAGTCTGGACGTTTGGTGGAAGTAGGCCATTCAGCTTGAAGACTTCTCGTTCGTTGTCAGAGAATGCTGATCCTTTGTTGAATCGGGCATTGTAGAGAAGGGTTTCTCCCTGAATTCTGTCTTAGTATCACTATCCTTCGTATTTTTGGGATGCAAATTACCTTGAATGGACATTTCAAGGGCCCTGAGATCGAGCGGGCAAGATGTTGGAACTTATAAGCGGCTGACATACTGACTCCGCTTGAATGTTGTGATAAGGAATTTGGTGCGGGGGATGGAGTGGCTTGTGAAGGCTTTCCGAGGTTGCGCTGCTAAGGTGAGAAAGATACAGTCAGCTTTAATTAAGTCAGGACTTTTTTTCGTTAGCTCATTCGCAGTGTTTAAGTCTAGTTCAAATATTGGATCCAAGCTGTGATGTCATCTCTTCCAAGATTCCTGATAACTGTACATAAACACGTGTTTTCAACCTCAAGGGTGAACCGTGGTTAGATAATTTCTTGATCTGCGAATACCTTATATTTTATTGAAAGATCATCAAAGTTTATTCGACTACCATAGTCTACGTTTTCTGACCTCTCCACGTTTTATAGAAGCTCTTATCGGCGCTATCTATCTCTTATCAGAATGTGACAAGATAGGCCTCAAATAGCTACTTGGACTTCATAACTTCCAAGCCTGTAGATCAATCTATTGCGAGTTAGTCTATACTTTAAATGTGAATATATGATTTCTAATGCCTTCAATAATTTAGAATATGCATCATATCCCAATAATATACAAAGATTGACTTGTGCTCATCTATGGTAGTTTTTTTTATCTGTGAGGAAGGTGTAAGATATACATGAAGTACAGAGGAGTCCATGGATGTGAAACCTCAGCGAAACCAACCTAGTTTTCCAGTAAAAGTCTTTTATTAAATTATTGAAATACTTGAGAATAATTCAGAAACTATTATAGTCGCTTGTGGTGGTGGTATTTGACCTCGAAGCTGATGCATTTATCATTGCGCCAAATTTTGAGGCTCTACGCATTTAATTCCTGTACTAGTTAGCCATATAGCCTCACATGCTATAGATAAAAGTAAATCTAGTTTTGAATAGTAAGCACCATTTACTTCCAAGGTAAGTTGAAGAAGATTTCCTTATTCCGTGAGTTTTCAGGGAAAAAAAAGTGATGCTATTTTTGATACAATACAATCACGAATAGCTTTATTCTCGAAAGATCAAACGGGAATAGTAGTATTTTTTTCTAAATTGGCAAAAATTCATTCATCCTCGAGGGGCCTAAAGGCGTGCTCTTGGACTGAAGCTATAACTTTGCACCCTCCACACTATAGTTCCAGGTCCTAAGCCTAGCTACTTTCGATCCCCCATATTCGCTTTGTTACTTTCTCCCCGAAATTTCAAAAATGGTGTTAGGGGGCATCGAGCCTGGGAATAGCATGGAACATACGACAATACCCCTTGACCATGTCACCCGTGGTGATAGACAATTCCCGGTTAGGAATTATGTAGGTAGCATATTTTCTCATTCTTATCATTTTGACCCACGAATACACCTTGGTCTCATACTAATCGAATGAATCACGTAAACATTTGGACAGTTATATCGGTCGGTTATATCAATCGAGTTGTGAAGGGTTGACCATTCCCGCTCCCCAGGTCTGGCTGCAGAATATCACGGCTCTTGAAGCCTTGGAAGCGCAGTGAAAATTAAAGAGGATTTAATTCATGTCTTGTGGTAGATATACAAATTCAAACGCTGCAATTGATATTTCCATACCAATGACGCCACTCCTTCTCAAGATCCAAATAACGCCAGTACTTCTTCAAAAAACACCTTAAGAAAGCAGGTACTCCACATGGGACTGCTGCTTCACAAAGCTGCCCTTGAGGAGCACAGTCAGAACCTCAATGGGTGGGTTGAGGTTGAGCGTATTTGCGCGGCGCCACCGCTTCAGTCGGTCAATTCCAATGCAAGGCTGTATAAACGTTAACGTCCGCTTGTTACGACAGACTGTTGAAAAGGCTCGGTCACATACCCCATATTGGCCAGAAATATCAAAGTGTCGTAGGATTTTCTCCTCGAGATCCAGATCTCCTTGGTGAACTGGAGTCAAAAGTCAGTTGAATGAACCTATCTCAAATTTGGCTTAACTGGCCTCGTTTTGTGCCGCGGCTCTGCTCCTCTTTCTTCCAATAACGTTGGAGGTCTTTAACGCCAAGCTTTAGGGCCTGCTTATCTTCTTCAGGCAGTGACTCGGCCGAAACCAGCTCGCTGGATTGAAGCTTGGACGGCTTTGCCAAAGTTTTGTCTTGTCGTGATTTAATTATAGGGATTTGTTGATCAGAATTAGATGGAGCGGACGAGTCAACAAGGTTAGCCTTGTTGTGTACTGGCGGGGTTACCGATGGTTTGGTCACGCGCTGGTTACCAAACGAAAGGGTACGCTGCGCAGCAGCTTGGCGGGTGCGAGGCATGATGTTCAATTTTAAAATAATTAGAGAGGCAGTTGAATTGTTCAAGAAGTGTGGAGTATCTCGGGATCTAGAGTTGAGGTCGGATGTCGTACATGATGTTAAGTGGAGCCAGCGATGTCGTCATTGGATGTTGCCTGGTGCAACCAATTAAAAACACAAAGGAAAAATCGTTGTTACAAGCTCCAATTGTTAAGAAATACCACATAATACAGACAATTTTAGAGTGAACTAGTCATTGTAACTTCTGTACTTCAGCTGCTTAATTCATTTATTTTTTATATATGTATATTTTTTTTATTTTCTTCATTTTTTAAGATAACATATACGCAACTTGACAATCAGGATACCGCTTTTCTACCGTATTCGAATCACAGCAAGGCTATAGTAACCTGAGATAACGTCGTATTTTTGTAGTATTTTTGTAGTATTTATCTAAAGAATACCTAGGTAAGTATCTTAGTCAGTTCACAGGTCAGTTCAGCTCAGTTTTTAGGTCAGTTTGGCTCCCAAGTCCGTTAAGGTCAACAACACTTTTCTATAGAAGTTTCATCTTATTCTATATCATTATCTTAGCAATACTGCTATTTTAATATTGTATTATCGAAGATATCATATCAGCCAAGATTTCATTTGAATTCTCTACATAGGTAGAGTCCATGTCAAAGCCCGATAATTCCATCCATTAATCTATAAATTTACCTAGCTCATGATGTATTTATATCGGAGAAATAATATGTATACAAGGCTGAATAGATAGAGCCAATGGGAGGTTGGGGCGCCTTGCCTCGTCTTCCCACCCCACATATCTTTTGTTCCCTTGGATCCTTGGAAAGCCCGCTCTCCTTTCAATTTTCAATCCTGATTACTTTCTCCCTTTTTTCCCTTTTCTCCATTTTCTGTCTCTGTTTCTGAGCTCGATCTCCCCGATCATACTGCATACCTACCTCTCCCGAGCTCTATGCGATAGGGCCTAGATCTAACTCTCAGGTTCCCCACATCCTCGCACCGTCCCCACCTCGTGCCCATGGTGGTGCGGGAACTGTGATATAGAGATGGCCGCCGCCTTTGTGCGCGTTTCAGGCCCAGCTAATGGAAATTTCTTGATAGGATACCCCGGGATATCTGCGACGATGGTAGGAACCCCATCCCACCTTCCCTGGCCGTTCGCGCGGCTAAGCGATTAGCATTGAGACTGACTAGTGTTTATTGTCTAGCCCAGAGTCGAAGGTAAGGTCGAGATTCGGCCCAGCGTGGGCATTTCCGCGCCAGTCAATATCTCCCTCGTGACCATTTCCCTCATCCGCCGCGAAACTATACACCCGTCAGCCGACTCCGTCACCAAGAAGCGCCTTGCTCCACCTCGCAAGGAGATCACCGATATCGTGGGCAAAGAGATGCTGTTATTTCGCTGCCCAGCTGGCCGGGAATATGAGGAGGTTATTGCGATGGACTTGCCATTTGTTCTCTTCATTCCCTTTGGCCGTGGTGGTCGCGATTCCTCTCGCCGAGTACCGCCAGCGAGCTTACAGCTACCCAGTCGCACCGCCGAAACATATTTCGAAATGGTGGTGACTGTTCAGCAGGGCCACTCGGAGCAGCGAAAGTATACATTTCCCGTGCCCCTTGCGCGTTACGATACGCTGTCCACGTTTGGCATGTATAATCGCCCGGAATCGGCGGAGCGCGTATCCGATCACCTGGTCACACTCGCAATTTCTTTGCCACGCTGGTCTTATGGTCCCCTGGACCCTGTAAGCGTGTATGTCAAACTTTCCCCCAATCAAGATTGGATGAGCAAGGCCCGTAAGGTGTCCATCAGTAAGATTACAATTGGTATCGACGAGGAAATTATCTACAATCACGAGGGCGACGAGCCCCAGCGCAAGGTCAAGACTTTAGCCAGGAAGACTGAAAATGTCGGTGTTAAGCTACCCCAGTCGGGATATCTCACAAACATGGGGTTGGTATTTCCTGCAAAGGACATGCGAGATTCAGAAGGGATTCTACCGCGAAGTCGTGCGGGGTTCCCAATGTACGGTGTTAATGGGTTCACAACAACCGCAAGTCTCTATAAAATTGAGTATTATCTCACGGTCAAGGTAATTTGCACATTTTACTTGGAACAGCTCCGGCCTACGACTAACCACGCACAGGCTCATCTGACATCCGCAAGAGATATTATCATCCGCCAACCGATCGTAGTCTGCCCACTCGACCATGCCGGCTGCAAAGAAGAAATGGAAGCGATTGAACAGGCCGCTCGCGACGCGGCCCATGTGAATCCCGACAACCCGATGTTGCCATTGCCGTCGATTGTACGAGCCAGCGACCCCAATGCCCTCAGCCATATTGGCGTCGCCATGGTCGGCAATCAGAAGAAATTGCTGATTGACTGAACTTTTATCTTTCAGGCAAGAAGTATTTGTTATTGAATCAGGGACGTCGTTCATTATCGAACCGTGCTCTCAATTAATCTCCCGTACCAACACGGAGACTCCTACGCTTATATCGATCATTCCTAACACAGGAACGAGCCATATTTACCTGTGGTGATCCAGCACCATATCATGTCATAACGATTGCATACAGCTTGGAGTTTGTTGCATCGCATTTGCAAAAGTCTGTTCATGAGCGGGAGAAACGGGGTGTTAAGAACCTTGGAATTAGTATCGCTATGAAGCTGAAGCTTTGCGAAATAATATTAGCCTAGTCGGAGAGTAGGCCTAGTCTTGAATTGTCCCATTATTGGCTTCAGGCCTTACGAAGATGGAGTTAGTCCGTTTGAATTTCCTTCGGAGTGATTTTTGGATATGAACGAATAGAATTCTTCAGCATTCAATTAAGAGATCTCCATTATGTCTCTAGATGTCTAGTAGTAGACAATATGTTCATAGGCAGCTTGCAATAAAAAAAAACAATTGGGTATCATTCAGGGGGAAAAAACCACATAGCCCCCCTATCCTGCTATGCTCAAGTGTCCCATAGCCTCACTCAACAGGTCTGAATCAACCCGCTTCTGATCTTGCAGTTTTGTCTTATAAAACTCTGCTATAAATGTTTGAAGAATTTCATAGACGGTTTGCGCCTGGCTCGAGGAGAACCCCCATGTTCCAATCGCATTGTCTAGACTGTTCAATATCTGGGATATTTAGCTCTGCCTGTCCCAGTAATGGATTATTGCCGCGACCTACTCCGCGGAGGGTTTTGTTAGCTTCAGACTCCACTGAGTCTGACATTATGACTGCAGCGAGTGATTTGGTTGGGAGCAGTTTTAATTAGGTCAAGCGATAGTTCAAGTTGGTTGTGATAGCGCACTGTGAAGGCGGTGTAGAGTGACAGAACCGGTTGTTCAAGTAATAAGTGGGCGGCGCATAGATCAAACTGATGACCAAATAGTGGCTAATATTATATCCCAACACACTATTAGAGTAGTAGTTAAAGCAATGTAAGAATGAAGCTATTTATATTTTTTCTCTCTATTTTTTGGGAAACATCACCAGCGCACTCGACAGTTGATATAGTAGCTTATCGATAAGGATACGCCCCACTTTTCTTTTGATTTCTTGCGAACTGCAATCCTCCCCGACCCTATTTCTAGGACCGTAAGAAGAATGGCAGACGCAGAGGAGGATGCCATTCATGGCCCATCAACCGTGGAGGCCACACAGGTTGAGACTGACCTGTCAGACGAGACCCAGGACTTTCGACTGCTAAACCACCTCAATTTGTACGTTCAGTCATAAGCTACGACGGATGCGTTGCATAGTCCCTTGGATGTGAATGCTTAATACTGATTTGTTTCTGTAAAGCCTCACAGACACATCTTCATCTAGTCTTCCCCGCCGCGGCGAGAAAGACTTTGAACCCAACCCAACCGAATTCCAAGCCGATATCCTCTCAGCTTCACGACAGGCCATGCACAATGCGCTCTCACACCCGCGTATCCATAACCCGAAGAATCAGGTTGTGGGAATTTATGCGCCAGATGGATATGTACCACCGCAGCCCAAGTCATCGAATCCGGCGTATGCTAGTAGAGGCCCGTCCATCTCGCCAGATGCCTGCGTTTACGTGCCTACTCCGAAGGGCCAACACTTTAAATCGATTGGACAGGCTGATAAGTTGAATCGCGTCTGGCTGTTACCCGAGGAGGGATTATACTTGCTAGAGCGAGGAAGTCTGGATATTCGGTGGCCAGACTCATTGACTGGATGTGAGGAAAAGAATGATTCAGGTGAAGAGAACAGTGCTTTACCTGCTATTCCGATGAGTCTGCAGGCCGCGTATTCGTGCTTCGTCGGAAGGGGTGGACTGACATTGGAGCGATACTCCGTATACACGGGGTTGAAGCGTCTCGGATATGCGCTTACACGAGCACCTGGCTGGGATGATGCAGGTGTTCCAGAGAACACAAGCGACAATCAGCTCGATGCATACACGAACCCGCAGACACGAGGTGCCGGCCTCAGTGGAATATTCGGCAGCCTGTTTAACTGGATCCACGATCCCCTCTCCACAGCTTCCACAGCGGCTGGCCCGGTCGTGGGATGCGGAATTCATCGTAATTATAGTGAGTTCCACTCTTTATTCCAGTGCATGCACTTTCTCACAGGATCAATAAAGGTGACGTATACCGTAAACTCGCCATAACTCCTTGGTATGACCCAGTCCTCGCTCAACAGAGAGACGCCCTCGATACCGCAGCTCCATTCAGAGTTGTATTCCATGCCTACAAGCCCGCAACACCAATTAAGAAATCCGCCTTCCCACCCCCCGATTTCCGCATAGCAGTCGTCAGCTCCCGCGAGCAGACTACCATCCCGACTCTTTCTCAGCTTGGCGCTTTGCTAGAAAGCACTCCGCTGAATCCTCCACACGGGGAGAAAATGGAGCGAATGCTCTACATGCGTCTACGACATGGCTACCGCAATGTTGTCATGGCTGTCGTTGATCAAGGTGTTGTTAGTTATATACGGATTGCAGATTCTGCTTTTGGGAATGAAAAGTTGTACGATGTGAAGAACGTCCCTCGTCCTAAGCGTCATGGGAATTACAAAGGTTCGAGGAAGCTATGATCCAGTTTGATACCCAATCAATATCAATGAAGTGCCATTTTCGGCGCATAGTTTTTTACCTTCTACCTCGTAGTTGATATAAGTCTTATTGGGTTTAAATCTTTCTCGGCTAAGAGCTGCTAGATATGGTCTCTCAAAGGTTGTACGTCTCAGACCGACTAAGACCCCCATGAAAGACACAAGTGTTATCAAGAGGCACATACTGCCGCGTAATAACCTTCAGTGCCTCCTGTGCAACTAGTCCTCCCAGCAAAGCAGCGATATTATGCAACTCCCCACCCTCAGCCCGACGCAATTCCTGGATACCCTGGTCAATACTGAGAAGTTCAGCCGGTCCTAAAGGCGTAGAGTCATCGCGAGTCAATAGAGCAAGAATGCGATCTTTATGCGCAGCCCAAAGGTCATCGTCATCAATGTCACGATGGCTACCGTGTATCTGATCCTGAACCTCGCCTACGACAGCATCCAGAATCTGACACGCGATAAACACAGATACCAATGATTCTGGAATTTTCAGTTGGCTGCGAATAGTCTTCAAAATTTTCGCGTCGCTGTCGACGCTAAGCTGTGGAATACTTCTTCCGCGTACAAGTTTGATATGTGCTGCGTTCTTGCAAAAAACTTCAATTTCCTGTTGAGAGATGGACGTGGTTCGAGCGAGCTGGGACTCGAGCTTCCGCACTGTTGCCGTAACTTCTTCCTTGTCTTGTCGTGCTTTCGTCTTGTATATGTTCTGCAGCGCAACGTAGTCTGCCGACTGGGATTTCATATCGGGCAATGAGCCGGGTAGCGGCAAGACGTTATGCACATTGTAAAATGTGCTAACAGCTGATGCGATGACCCAGAAATCAGGGGACTGGGCCGTCAGTCGCTGGCAGTGTTCCGTTTCGAAAATCTCACGGGTCGAACTGCGCAGGTTAAAAGGAGATATGGTTTTCAAAACTGCGGCGACAGCCTCGTCGAAGTTCTCTTCGCCACCTTCTGCATTGCTGGTGCGGGCATTTGAGCGGACGAAGTCGCGGAATTCTGTTTTCTCCTTGTAGCTGGACGGGGCAATGCCTGCATGTGCTTGCTTCCACTGCTCGAGGAAGTGAAGCAAAAGGAGGATGTATGGAACATGACCGTGGATGTGATCGTCCATACTGTCTAGATCGAGAGCTGAAGCTGCGGTTACGAGCTCGGGCCACGGATTCAAGAGACGAAGGTCTTGTGTTGACTCTGGATCTGGGTGAGTTTGCACAATGGGAAATTCCGAGGGCAGTTGGAGTGAAAAAGTGGCACAGAACCCGACGGAGTGCAGGTACAAGACTGGGATGCTCAATGCCTTGGCACTCTGGCAGAGCTGTCCCATTGTAGAGCTACTCGTCGGACCAGATATTATCACCAGATGAAACCGAGGAAGAAAATCAGGATCAAAGAGAAGGTCTTCAATGTACTGTTGATGTGGATTAGCACTATTCTCGCTTTGGTGAGAAAGATCCACGCGAACCTTCGTGTAAGAATAACCCTGAACATCAGGGTTGAGTTCCTTCAGCAAGCGACATGTTTCATCAGCGCGTGACTTGCCGAGGGACTCTTCTTCGAGAAAGAAGTTTACTCCCAGATCAGCTTCGGTTACTGTTGCTGGGTCCACAATAGTGAAGCCACCGATGCCTGGCAGAACCAAGTTCTTCAGCGCCTCAACGCCAGCTACGCCTGGGACTCCAGTAAGGTCGTAACCTAGAGGACCATCAGAGTTCACAAGCAGCACTCGAGCATCCTCTAGTGCTTGCTGGCCAGTTGCGGCCCATAGTCGCAATTGGCGATCGTATTTGCGCTCCTTGGAGGTTGGTCCCTTTAGGAGGGGAGAATCCGCCATGGCGAGATCTGCGATGATAGTGCGTGCAAGAATGTAATTCTTTTTTTTTAAGGAAAATTGATGAATATCTAGGGAATCTCAATTGAAAACAGACACCAGCGAGAAGATTAGTTGCTGCCTTACTGCACTGCGTTAGGCTTGCAACAAGGTACTCTTTTGTTCATGTTGTCGTATAATATCAAATATGACTAATCAATATCTGATGCCAGATGTTGAAGGCTCACAAATAAGTTTGAAACACTTGATATATAGTATTACTCACAAAAGAGATCCAGACTTATAGTAAGTAGATTTCTTAGAATCAACGCTATCAGGATGATCTCTATAGTCCTGGATTCTTGATTGAGTTAGTAAGATAATAGATTCAAAGTAAACATCATACTAAAATTTGAAGTTAGGAGTTTATTCAGCGGCATAACTTGAATGCCCTCATTGTTGGAGTGTGGACAGCAATTTACCTAGGTTACCAGTATAGTTGAGGCATAATTGTCAACAATTTTGAAAAATTCACTGAGACTCATAACTAGTGCTATAGTTAGATATCATAGTCTTGGCCCAATTAAAATCTCCCGCGAATGACGCTATTCCACGGACCGCTCAAGCCCGGGAATTGAAAAAGTGGGGTTTAGGAAGTAAAGAGGATTGACTCTTTCAGGATGAGACAGCTTTTGCTTTTTTGCTCTCCCCATTCACTACGTCCACTTCGGCCTTCTGTGTCCCGCGTACATATTTATTCTCAATTACGACTGCTTCGCCAGCTATCACGCTTTCAATCCACCATGTCTGACTCTGACATCGAAGCTTCCAAGCGGGCTGCCGCTAAGACTGCCGTCGCAAACCACTACCCCAAGGATGCCCGCTGGGTTGGAATTGGTAGCGGTACGACAATTGTCTACGTTGTCGAGGCTATCATCGCCCTCGGTGTCGATACTACTCACACCCGCTACGTGCCGACTGGCTACCAGTCCCGCCAGCTGATCCTCAACGCCGGATTGACGGCTGTCGAGTTCGATGGTGTCCCCTTTGGCACAGTGCTGGATGTGGCCTTTGACGGTGCTGACGAAGTCGACGACGATTTGAACTGCATCAAGGGAGGTGGCGCATGCTTGTTCCAAGAAAAGCTAGTTGCGATGCAGGCAAAGGAGTTCATTTGCGTTGCTGGTAAGACTCGAACTGTTGAACGTCACCGGGGTTTTATAAATTATATACTTACCTTTCCTTTCTCTTGCAGACTCGCGCAAGTTACAGTCCCGCCTCCTCACAAGCTGGAAATACATCCCCATTGAAGTCGCTCCCATCGCTGCCTTCCGTGTTCTGAACAAGCTCAAGGAACTTGGTAGCATTGACCCCGTCATCCGCACCAATACCGATGAGAAGGAGGGCCCTCGCAAGACTGACCAGTCTTTCTTCCTTATTGACGCTCCGTTCAAGCAGCTACTGAACAAGACCGATATCGAGGCTGGTAAGGATGGTTCTGGCAAGGATGGTGTGTGGGAGGTGAACCTTCTTGCGCAGAAGATTAAGGAGATTGTTGGTGTGCTGGATGTAGGTATCTTCTCTGGCATGACTGGACCCCAGGCTACTGCTGCTGGTGGGGCTGGTGGGCAGCGGCCAGTAGCGGCGTACTTCGGTATGCCAGATGGGTCAGTGTCGATGCGAAAGGCTGAGTAGGTCTGTTGATTTTGGACTAGATTTGAGAACTATATAGAGTTCTGTCTATGATGATGTATATATTTCCTAGATGATACCAAGATTTGATTGCTTGCTGAGGTTCTAAGGTCCACTTCTTACTGTCATGTTTGATTATTGGGTTCATTAATTCATGGGTTGTATCATAAAATATGGGTTTAATCGCGATACATGAGCCCAGTCACCATCAGAGGTTAAGAAAGGACCATGATAAACAGAGAAGACATGGACTACTTGGCGCTTTTTCCCTTTGCCTCCGTCTCAGCCAATTCGCGCACAAAGATCCGCACCAGTCCGTCTGCAAGATCGTCATTACCATCCTCAAATCCAGGGCTCACGGCAATTGCCAAGTGCTTGCCATCACCGCTGAAATCAAGGGCAGCGACACTCGACTGGTACTTCTGGTACTGGCGGATACGTCGCTTGGAGATTCCATCCCAGAGCGCAACCACACCGTCACCACCACCGGATGCGAAAGACCCATGAACAGGGTGGAAGGAAAGCGCATTAACCGGGTAAACGACATCCACATCATCGTCAACCTGACGATGACACTTGAAGGCGTACTTTCGGGCCTGAGACTCAGCGGATGGATCGAACCATTCCACTGCCACGCGGCCCTCAATGCTCGAAGAGGCATACCCCGCATCATCCGGCATGCAAGCCACACACCGGGTCATAAACTTTAGGCTACTCTCGCGTCGTTGCCAAGGTTCGACATTCACTACTTTATTGTCGTCAGACGGCGTAGTCAACAGGGCCAGTGTCTCAAGTTCGTAGATGTGGAGAGCGCGCGACGCCATAGCGACGACGAGCTTGGTGGATGAAACAGACAGCGAGTAGGGTTTCGAAGGGAGTGGGATGACAACATGAATCTGGTCCGGTCGGTGAATATGAAGCGTAGAGTCCCAGGAGCCGGAGATTAAGATGTTATAGTCGCGGCTGTAGACGACGTTGCGCACGCCAGCTTCATGAGTGCTCAGCACAGTCTGTGTTGATGTGTTGACGTCAATTCTACTCAAGTCAGCTTCCGAGTTCATTTTCAGTGAACAAATCAGTCATTTAAAGCGTGGGCACAGGAACCTACTTTCGAACATCCCAGTCGAGTCCGGCGACAAAGATTTCATCTTCATTTGCGCCAAAGCAGACATCGAGTACGGGCGCGCGGAATTCTAGCTTTTGCAATAGTTTTCCCTCTCCTACAACCCCATTCTCATCACGCAGTTCGTACAGGTAAACATTCTTATCCCATGAAGACACAACAATACGCTTTGAGCTGGGATCCGGGGAGAACTTCACAGCGGAGATAGCATCGGTGGGAGGCGATGCCACAGCAAATTGGTCTAATGATAGTCAGAAATGAATGGGGTAGAATCAAATTGCGACTGGGAGGAACTTACGCGACATCTCGGAAGATTGTTGGAGATGGAAGAATGGTGGTGTCGTAGAGCTCCCTTTAGGTCTTTTTTTGCCTAAATTCACCGCATTCCTACACCAATCAAATGCCATTTTCCCCTCTCAAGTCTCCACTCATCTCTGTCATCATTTCTGATAAGAAAAAAAGAAGATTGAGACTACACAGCACACCACAATACCCATAATGCCCTTTGCACAGCTAGTCATAGGCCCTCCTGGCGCAGGTAAATCTACCTATTGCAATGGCATGCACCAGTTTCTTGGTGCAATTGGCAGAAAGTGCTCGATCGTGAATCTTGACCCCGCCAATGACAAGACCTCATACCCATGCGCGGTGGATGTGCGCAATCTAGTGACTTTGGAGGAGGTTATGGATGAGGAAAAGCTAGGTCCTAATGGAGCTACTCTATATGCACTTGAAGAGCTCGAGGAGAATTATGAGTGGTTAGAGGATGAGTTGAAAGGGCTTGGTGGTATGTTTGGCCTATTTTAACCAACCTTGCCTGAACTTGCTGACTTTCTTGATGTATGAAGAAGATTATGTCCTTTTTGACTGTCCTGGTCAAGTCGAGCTATTCACAAATCACGACTCATTGCGAAATATCTTTTTCAAGATCCAAAAGCTGGGCTATCGGGTGAGATTACCAATCTAGACATCTGGACCTTTTTCTGCAACTTGATTGATTAACGTCTACTTTACCTATCACAGCTGATAGTTGTTAACCTTGTCGACTCTTACGCACTCACTCTCCCCTCAATGTACATATCCGCCCTCCTCCTCTCCCTTCGCGCCATGCTCCAACTAGATCTCCCGCACCTGAACGTTCTCACCAAAATCGACAATCTCTCCAACTATAATGATCTCCCCTTCAACCTTGACTACTACACGGAAGTCCAAGACCTCTCCTACCTCCTGCCACATCTCGAAGCCGAGTCATCACGCCTGGCAAACGGCAAATTTACCGCTCTAAACAGTGCCATCGTGGACTTGGTCGAGGAGTTTGGGCTCGTCGCATTCGAGACATTGGCCGTTGAGGATAAGCGAAGCATGATGACTCTTCTACAGTCTATTGACCGAGCCTCGGGCTATGCATTTGGCTCGGCTGAGGGCGCCAACGATACCATCTGGCAGGTTGCTGTGCGAGAAGGAATGAGTGGGATGGATATCAAAGACGTGCAGGAACGTTGGTTGGATTCAAAAGAAGAATACGACAAATTGGAACACGAGCAGCTGGTCGCCGAAGCAAATATGCGTGATGAGGCAAACGAAGCTGCGAGTGCTGCAGAGGCCACCATATATGGCGACGAAATGGATGATCTTGAGGATGACGAAGAGCTGGCACGGTGGAAGGGTGCACAGCCAGATAGCGGCGTTAAAGTGCGACGAAAAGGACAGGCATAATTCTTAAGCCTGTTCCAGAATAATCTAGACTCAGATCACGAAATGTATGAATGATATCGCATCTTAATGAATGTGAATGCAACTATAGGGTATCTTAATTGTACAAGTATAACACCAGAAGCCAACAGCGGCCAAGTAAATGCTTCAGTAATCTTCATCATCAATCAACATTCCCTCGTCCTCACTTTCATCCATGATGTTGTGCATCACTGGTATATTCATGGCCTTGGTCTTGTCACTGCTCTCAGCACCTCCGATCAGATCCCCCAAAACACTGCTCTCTTGTACTCCTCTGACTCGTACAATCTCTTGTCTTGCGCGTCGAATAGCCTCTTCTTCGGCCTTGCGCATTGTTCCTGATACCCGTAACACGCGGAATACGCATGCTCGTTCTCGACCTCCATTCGGTCGTTTCTGGCCAGATGTTGCGCCGCCAGTTTCTGGTACGGCGGACATATATGTGAGCGCAGACCAGACGATGCGGAAGGAAGCACGAGGGCAGCGGATGATAGCCGTTGAGGTTGCCGGAGAGAGATATTTTACTGGAAAATAGTTAGAGCCACGAGCTTGAATATAATCGTTCAGCATAATTCCATGGATCGAGAACAGTAGAATAGGAAATATCATAGGCTCAGTGGAAACCATGGAAAGGCTTACGGCTAGAAAAAAGTCTTACCATTGACTCCTCCAGCTGATGCACCTCCTAGTTTGCCAATTCCCCAGTCACCATATAGCTCTTCCACCTCTTCACGCACCATCTTAACCAACAGTCCAGGTGTTAGCGCATCAGAGGTCGGAGCATGGATGGCTAATTGCGCTGAGGTTTCAGTGGTAGGTTTTGAGGGCCAGGTTAACGGATCTGGATAGAGAATGTCTAACAGAAGATATCGATTTTTAAGGCGGACCATTCTGAATGTGAACCTAGTAAGATGGCTGGAGGGAGTTGTAGATGTCGTGAGATTTGAGTTGGCGAGAAAAATGTATGAAGACCTCGGGAGATCCCGAGGTCCTTATCGCTTATCGCGAACCCCACATGATGGAAGGAAGGGTTATAGATAGCCGGATGTGTCTTCCAGAACTCAGAAAGATATAAATCTACCTAGGTAAATGAAGAAATCTACCTTAGCTCATTAGGTACGGCCTCGAAAGGCACCGGGGGCGGGCATCAATTCAAATCATGTCGTGATCGTGATCGTCAAAATATGACAACCAGATCCTCTGCTATTTCCCTAACACTGGGAATGTTGAAGAGTTTGAAACTATCAGCAAACCTGTCCAAGTGTAGATCAAGCCTGCTATACACTTGGGCAGTTCGGGGGCTTGAACATCACTTCAATTGCTCTAGGGTGATATTAGTATTCTGTCTAGCGAGAGCAGTTCCAAGGCGTGAGATGAAATATATACGAAGGAATACTTGTATGAATTGAGCCTCAAAGCTCATGGAGTTAAAATTTATATTAAACGCTGCAGAATGTATGCCCAGATGATACCCTATAGATTGAAAATAAAACGAAGGGGGTGAGTAAAGTCAATTCTTACCCGACAACAGATGGTTGTATTGGCAATTTAAAAGTGAGATGAAAGTGACCAAGTCACTTATGGAACCCATAGACGCATGAAGCCACCGACCTCTTGGCGACAAGTCACGCAGCTGCCGTAGTTGTTCATGGCTAGGCTAACGCGACACTCCTCGCAAATACACAGGCATCGACAAGGCCAGGTGATGATTGACCGAGGGCTGGTTTGACAGACGACGCAGGGTGGTCCATTTGGCCCCAGGCCTGTTGCGCCAGATTCCCAAGTGCTGGAATCAGAATCAGGCGAGGGCACAGCACGGCGAGAGAGAATTAGATGTTCTAGTACCTCGGCTTCTTCTTCTGGAGAAAGTTTACGCTTGTCGGGATCAGATCGGGTTACAGCATGGCGGTGCAGCCGAGATGACAGAAGAACACGGGATCTCTCCCTTTCAACTTGTTGTTTGTATCGGCTACGAGTCATGATGCGATCAGAACTTTGTCTGGAATTGAGACCGGAGTTGAGATGTGCGGCAAGAATGCGTGCTTCTTCGCGAGTTTCTCGATCGCGAGGATCAAGCAGGCGGGCAAGGGTACTGATATCCATGAAATTGTCGTGCATGGGCGAACTGTCTTTTTCGAAGCTGGGAAAGGGGTTTATTTGAGTGGGCGTGCGACGACCATCTGATATATAGTCTTCCCAGTCGGACTGGGAGGCATTGGTGGACATCGATATCACACTTGTCACATCATCGTCTTCCACAGACGGTATATAATCAGGAGTGTGATCTTGATTGCCCCAAGAACCACCAACCTTCCACCAACCATATAGCCTCTCGTCAAATCGACGTTGTTCATCCGGTCCCTCCGATCCTTGCCTAGCATAACTCTCTCGCTTTCTCATTTCCACCTCAAGATCAAAATCGTGGTTTTCGGGCAGTTCAAGTTCACCTTCATCGGTCAAAATCCAAAAGTCCAAGCTTCCTGGTGAGGATGGGTTTCCAGATGGCCGAGCTTCGCGAGATCCAGATAGCCGTTTCAGCCATTGTGGCCGAGCTTTGATTCCTACACGGTCAAGGACTAGACTAAATCCGCACGCAAGCCATCGTACAATAAGCGAAAAGATGGATCGGAAATAAGTCAATCCATGCCACATTCTGATCGATGCTCGTGCTGCGCCAACACCTCCTTGAGGTCGCATCGATCTTGCTCCATTTTTAGACTTTTCAATCTTCTTTTCCTTGTTGTATCCACTTTCCCATTCCCCAGGCCGGTCTGGTATATCAAAGCCGGAAATTCCCGCAGTCGCAAAAGAAGAGCTATCAGCCAGATGTGTCCAGTTTTCATATGGCGAGTTTCTCTTTCTGGAGGCCTCGATCTCGGCAATGCGGTCTTGCTCCAACCAAGTCATTTGTCTTGCAATCACTGCTTTGCCTTCGTTCAAGAATACCGCTTCACTAGCAGCCGTCAATGCAACATAGCCAATACGCAGCAAGGTCGTGTAGAAATCTTCATGTCTATTTATGCGAATGCCGCGGATCTGGTTAGATCCTTGCATATTTTCGTGGGCCATCACGAATCGTTCCCGGAGGGAGATTGGTGAACCGTCCTCGGAAGATAGTGAAAAGGCAGTGATTGTTACAGCCAATCCATAGATCGCAAGGCATATGAGTATACCGAGAAATACCAGGAGATGAGGAATAAAGCCAACAATGCAGACAGTCGGGAATTTGAGAACGCCTGTCTCAAGACTGACGGGTGGACCACTCTCCAGACCCCAAGACATGGCTGCCATGAAGCAGGTACCCCATAGCGCAGTGTTGAAAAGACGATATCGACTCTGTTTTCCAAATACATCAAGAAGATGCGAGGTCAGGTTGTTGCAACATGAGATAAGCACGATAAGCAAGAGCTCTGGGGTGACATTCATGCGTTCCAAGACTTGTGCCCTCGTCAAAAGATGGAGAGGTGAATTATCACCAGAGTTGGCATCATCCAATGGACTTTTCTTCGGAAGACCAAATAATCCCAACCCGATCGATCTTCCTATCATGTTTTCAGCCTCGGAAAAAGCGAGGGAAAGTTCGAAGATAGACATGCCCGTCTCTGTCATGACAGGTCTGCCCTGTAACGCGCAGGAAAGAGTTTCAACAAAGTGTCCCACGCAGAATATCACAAATATGGGCCATAGGAGAGAGAAAGAACCGTAAGGGATACTGGTGCTACCTCCTATCAGTCCCATCTTCACGGTACTGCAGGCCTGCAGATCAGATTCCCAGGGCAAAAGAGTTGAGACCAAAGAGTGGAGGGAGCCTCCGCTACTAGCGTAATCGAATATCATTGGCTTTCCTGGCTTTCCATATCGCATTGAAGAGTAGTCTGGGGATGTTTGACACTTGATCGCGCGTAAGAGGGATAGTATTTGATAACCGAACAGCATTATTGGGATGATGCGTAGTGCCAATCGCCTCTCCCAGCCTAGTCGCAGATGTCGCCTTGTGGATGCGTAGATAGTGATGCGATTCAAAATCAAAGCCTAAACATGATCAACAAAGGTCTCATGCGGACACTCGTGATGTACTCACCTCCACCAGGCAAGCAAACGACCAGACGCTTGTCAAATATCCGAAGAAACCACCGACTTTGCGCATCGTATGCATAAGTTCAGTCAAATACCAGCTGTCCCCCTGTGCCACAGCCTGGGCAGCACCCTCGCCCGCCATATCCGCAGCGGCCTGTGCTACTGCCACCGCATCGCTTGCCAAAGCGGCTTCTGCACTAGTTGTGACAGGCCAGAGATTAAGACTCATATCTTCGATGCCAGCTAATCGTCCGATGTGTCGAGGAACCGTGCTAAATGCAAAAGTTTCAGCGTGGTGTAGTGCGCGAAGGGGAAATGAGAGTATGTCGCGCGGCGACGTTGGGAGGTAGGTGTTCCGGGTTGTCGCGGCGGAGACTGTCGCACTAATGTTTTCCAACAGAGATGCCGTGGATGTGCTCGGCGCCGCTGATGGGCCAAAGGTACCAGACATGATATGCGGTTGTCAAATAGTCTGTTGGTCGCCACTATCGATGATCCGGGGAAGGTGCCAAACTATGGAAAGCCCCAACGTCCCTCTCGCGTGGTAGTGGCAAGAACGAGCGATGTCAGCGATCGTCACGTTTTGATGAACTGATCTCAATCTTAAGATCACATAGGGAGATTGCAGTGAGCATCGCTCATAAGGCTCCTTATTATCTGGAGGGGGAAGTGTTGATAGCGCCAGAAGGTCCCTCTGGATGACTCAGCACGTTGCCTCTTTACGAATGTACTTCCAAGTGAATTTTAAAATCAGTTTTCTACCATTTTACATGATTTAACATGTTGTGAAACTCTAGTATATGAATCATATATAGTAGATGATTTAAAACATTGATGTCTCAACACTAGCTATAAAATTTTTTGTAGCCAGGGTGAAATGTTGTAATTAAGTAATACCTATTTACAACATCAATCCTATAACCATGGCCCATAATGGAATAGTTATGGAGCTAGTTATGGAGTGTTGAGTTAAATGATTGATCTACCATCCATTTTAGACATTTCGCCTTTGGAGATATGAAAGGCGAATGTTTTGATGCTTGGATGGGGTATGCTTGATCGTGTAATCAAACACACAATGAGCGGAAGGGGACCTGGGTACGGTGCTCAGGTGAATAAATCATACTAGTTCTTATTAATTCAAGGTCATATTGATATCGCCTTTCATGCCCGGTGAATCCACAGATCCTTTGTCATCGTCATTCCTCCGTAAATAGGTCGTAGCTCATAAATATATATGGTAGAAAGAAAGCCATATTCAACTGCTTTTTTTTAGTCAAAATGGGTTAATGTGAAGGTAAAGGTACGGTAACGCACACTACAAGAGATGCTTAACACTCCAAGTAGTCGGCCGCCATCAAAAGCTCCAGGCAGAGTTCAACGGGGATAGGCATATCAGACACCGAAGTCTGGTCCCGCATTCGGTAATTGTAATGGAGATACTCGCAAACTTTCTCAAGGATGATAGAACTAAAAGAAATGGTTGATGCTGGTTCAAATAAGACCCGATGCAAGGGGAGATACGCACTCAATATTCTCCAGCTGACAACGGCCAGATAGCGCCTCGCGAAACTGGTCTATTAGATAGGCTATGGTTAAATCTGTGAAATCAAAGCTGATCCCTCAATAAAGGCTTACGTTGGGTGTTCAACATGCGTCGAATGGTGCCTGAGATGCAAGCGACTTGGCGTGGAATAATGAATTCAAATGCATCACTCGAAACCAAAGTCACAAATGAAGAAGAGTCATTTTTAATTGCACTGGTATTGTTAATTTCAGCCATGGTGATCAGAGGTCGTCGAGTCGCGTAGATCGAAAGAGGTGTGTAGATGGAAGTAGAATGAAGCGATTGGAGAATTGGTTTGGCCGAGCTAACGATAAGATAAGATAACATAACATTGGAGTGATAACAACCTTCAAACATTGCTGAATATCTTCAACGCGCTTCAGCTCCTCTATATCAATTAAATGGACTAAATTGATATCCGTCCTGAAAATGAGCTGTGCTCACACACGTAAATACCTAAGGGTCTCCAGATATTTCTCCCATACGGTCTCAACTCTCACCAACAGAATGAGATCTCTACCAGGACACCAATACTCATCTTTGGCTCCTTCAAAGACCAACCTGTACTCTCCTGTCTTTAAATCTTCGAACAGGCTCTTTGGTCGGAAATGCATGATCACTGGGGGTACATCAGGGATTGGCTTTGCTATTGCACAGCGATTCTTAAAAGAAGGTGCTTCCTCGATCATCCTTGTCGGCAGATCAATAGACCGTCTTGAAGCAGCTGCATCCCAACTTCGATCTTCGGTTAAGAGCATCTCAAATAATGATACAGAAAGCGACAACTCAGACACTGACTCTAGCGATGCTCACGCCTCTGAAAAGATCCGCCTGCTTGTGGGAGACGTATCAGATGTAGGACCATTGATGCGCGAGCTTGAAAAAGAGTTGGTTAGTTATCTTACGCTGCTCAGGACCACACCACTTTCGTGTTGAATCTTGAAAGCTTTTATATTAGTATATTCTAACCTAAATACAGGCAAGCGTAGACATACTCGTCAACGCAGCAGGCATATCCCACAACAACATCCTCGCCAAATCTGATGTTTCTGACATCTCGAAAATACTACGCACAAATTTGGAAGGTGCTATACTCACCTCGCGTGCATTTATGCGTGCCATCATCCGAATTCGAGTGCGTCATCGCGGCGAGGCAGCGAGACATAATCCCTCCAAGTGCATCATCAATGTGTCCTCACTGCTTGCCCTCAAAGCAGGGACTGGCGCAGTACCATATGCTGCGTCCAAAGCTGGGCTCTTGGGATTGACACGGTCACTGACCGTTGAGGCATCAGCATCTCTGCGCAATGTGGCAATTCGGTCAAATGCAATTGTGCCGGGGTATATTGAGACCCCTATGATTTCGAGTAAGTTGGAAACAGCTCACTATTATGATGATTAAGCCGATTGACTTTTGGCTCAGATTTCTCGGATGGGGAAAAGGAGAGATTGAAGGAATTGATCCCGCTTCATAGACTCGGTGATCCACAGGAAGTGGCCGACGCAGCTGTTTTTCTTGCGCAGAATGAATACGCAAATAACTGCGTTCTCAACCTTGATGGAGGATTGAGTGCGGTCTAGAGTGTTCGTTACTGCGCAGATAGATGCCATATGGTCGGTTCCATCCTTAACATTAGCTATCTACATAGTATCTACGAAAATCTTATTATTGAGATTACAACGGGCAACAATCTTGGAAGAACACATGGGCAATTTTTAATGCCTTCAAAGGTTCTGTTGAATTACTCCACCATCCCAAGGACAAAATCCACAGGAAGATTGGAAAAGTCTGTTAGTTTGAAGTTAGTTGAGAGCAAGGATGATGCCCAGAGGCAGTAGTTCGAGAAGTGATATCAAGAAAATTATTTTGGTTTTCACAGCCCAAGGATATTGATGAACTCAAGTGTTTTTGTAGATGGACCTACTACATGACTATTCACCAATACGGACGAGCGGACGTTACAACGCGACCTATAAAATGATGCACTTTTTTCTTTATTAAACATCCATATTCTTGGGCTGGACATATACCAGGGAGGGATATTCTGAGGTCATGTATTGCTGATTCAAAACTATCAATCTCGGTTACTCCTGGCTGCCTTCGCAGCCAGGCACCTTTATACCCAAAAGATTAATCTTTTTTCATTTCTTAACAGTCGGTTGTGGTTCAGAGGCTACAGATCTGAGGCTTTTGAATTTACACGACCAGCACACTATGTGTATCTTTCCAACCTTGCAAGGTTATACAAGGTTTGTTGTTGACCAGTCAAGGTATTTCTCACTACATTGACTACCCTTAAGAAAGTGAATTGACGCTGTAGGACTACTAGAAGTACCATGAAGGTTGTATCTTTTTGTATTGTGCAGCAGGGGTTTTGATACCACAATTTCGATCTATTTTCACTACTATTTACGATCATTGTTTTTCAGGCACTCGTTCTCTGCTGATTAGAGAAGTATTCAGCTTCATAATAGTTCTTATCTGGAAAGTATCCAGCAAGAGTAGCAGTCGATCCTAGATCTCACTCTTTGCTTAAAATGTTGGTACAGTCCAAGTCACAAAACGCAGACTCTTCCATTAGCTGCTTCATTGTTAATTCAGCAATGTTGAGCTTGCATGCATGCAGCGTCCAGGTCCTCTCATTCAGTCGTTACGATAAAAAAGTTTAATCAAATTTAGCCATGAATATGTCGCAGTGCGGACATTTGATTTGATAGGCTATGAAATCTAGAAGCTTAAAGGTATCTGATAAAATGCATAGTTGTTCACCCAGTGCTTGTGCGCCATACTAGTCGATGATCAAAACACCATCATCATCATCGTCATCCAAGACAATAGGTTCATTGCTCTGGCCATCAGACACAGCTGCACCTGCAACCTTCTTGGCAGCAGGAACACCCACACTCTCATCTTCATTCTCACGCTTTCGTTTTCCTATGGCAGTTGAGCCGCTAGTCAGATGTATCTCATCAGATGTGGGCTTAGGAATCTGTTTGGGTTTGCGAGGAATCTCGAGAGATCGAGTAAGAGCAACTGGTTTAGATTCATTGATGGTTTCAGTCCTAGAAGATAGTTAATCACCAGGAAATCAAGTGTTGTAGATGGATAATTGTCTACCGGGTAACGATGCGGAGCTGCAGATCCACACGGGGGGATCTTTCTTGGTCATCTTCGTCCTTAATAGTGATAGAACTGTCATTATCGAGTCCCAGCTCAGAGAGCTTCATGACTAGGTTTTCCTCCAAATCAGGGTCGTAGATGATCTCAGAGCCCTTGTTAATGGCAATCTCTTCGCCGTAGCCTAGCTCCGCTCGGAGGATGTCCTCTACGATATCACCGAGGGTTGCGTTCGTTGCGTCGATGTTAACCTCTCCATGTACGACTGAGCACACTGGGCAGTCTGGTCTGGGAGGGTTCAAAGAATCGGAGTTCAACGCACGGGCTCCAGATCTCTCAAGGAAAACCTTTGACCACCACTATTAGCGATGTGCACTGTATACAAGGGTACTAAGAATAACTTACCATTTTAGCGTTTGCTAAGTCATCTTGGAGGACCTTGAATGCCTGCAGGACACAGAGACCTGCCGTCATGGCATTTGTAGTGGCAATTGCGGGAATGATGTTGCCAGCCATTTCTGTGAGTTGTTAATGCTGTGCATCTGATAATGCTTGAACAAGACGTACGTTTAATATCGAACTTTGAAGACGGCTCGATGCCAAAAATAGCACCACGCAAAATTGCTGTGGCAGCAACGAAATCTAAAGTATCAACGTCATCTTTATCAAATGTTAAAATCGGAGCGGGCCCATCGGGTGAGGATATTTCCTGAAGCTTCTTGAAGCGTTTGCTAAGACGATACAAGCTACGTGGGGTTAGTTTCGTTAGATGATACATAATTCATTGGTGAACTGACCTTTCCTTGAATACGACAAAGGCTTCCGGTGGCGTCCATTCTCGCTGGTCAATTGCAGAGATTGTCGGTTCAATAGAGCTGGACTCTTTTTGGAGCTTGTCATAGTCAAGAGACTCTGGGGGACTGCGCTCTTTCCACATGTCCACGCTGCGCAAGCGCTCAATGTCGTCCTTGAAGACCTTCTCAAAAATCTTTCTCGGGAACTCATCTGAGCCCATGGATTGTCGAATGTCTTTAAGCGCCCGTGCCTCCTTCTGCAATTGCTCGAGTTCTCCCGCTGCTCATCAATTAGCCTCGTATGCCTTATTTAATCCATAACCAAGGACTTCACGAACCATTGTCAGCTGTTTCCACAGTATCAAGTTCATCTGGGCTGTCCTCGCTGGTCCCAAACAACTCCGGGAGAAGGTAGCTCTTGCCCCATACAATACAGTGGATTGGTTGGGAGGGTGTGGTCCGGATCGTACATATGGGAAACGACTTCGGTGTTTCTTTTGGGTTGCAGTCATAACATTCGGTTTCTCCCTATTTGAATCAACAATTCATTCCATATTGCCTCGATTACAACGATATTGCGTACCTTCACAATGACTTGTACCTGGCCGTTGAAGCCCGTGGTGCCGCTTTCAATCAAAGGCACAGCGGCAGAAAGACACATAAAATTCACATGACGGCGCGCAGCAAGATTATCAAGCGCATTGAAGACAAGATCGAATGATTTAAACCATTCAACGTTGAAGCGCTTTTCCGTAATGTTCGCATGATATGCCTCAAGCTTTGCGCTAGGCCGGAACTTTTGCGCAGCTTCTTTCGCAACCTGGGATTGAGAATATATTATGAGCTACTTGTTCAAATGCGAAAGCGATGCGTGCGATTGTGGTTTGGAGGAGGGCTAGGAGGACTGCATCATAGAGGACCGGGAGGACGAACCAGAGCCTTGGACTGCTTGATGTGTTCATGACGGAATAGGAATTGCCGATTCAGGTTGCTCAGATCAATCGTATCCAGATCGACGATGTGGACCTCGCCAAAGCCAGTCATAACGAGGTTTTTTAAAAGTTCACAGCCGATGCCACCAGCACCGACCAGTAGCACACGCGACTAGTTCAGGGAAGGAGACGTTAGCTTTTAATTATAGAGATAGAGCAGAGCTAGAGCTTCAAGGTCCTCTATAACTGGTATAAGTACCTTCTTGATGGTGTCGGTAAGCTCAGCTCCGAGCGAGCGCTTAACCGAGCTTGCCATCGCGAATGCGCGTGGACGTAATTCAAGAGATCTGGGAGTCTTGGGATGTTGGTATTAAGAGAATTAAGAAACACCTCCGAGCAATAAAGTAAGGAAGCTAGAGAAGTTAAGAAGTCGGATGTGAGGTGGAAGAGAGAAGCGCGTCCGGAAGAAGAGACCGAGATTAGGTTCGCTTCAATGACGGAGTTAACGAATCACCTCAGGGCTTCTACCTAATATTCTCTATTTTTATTTAATTTTTTTTTCTTTCTTACTGACCTTTGCTGACCTTCTTCTATACTTGAGATGTGAAATCAAAGAATCCAAATTTAATTACTGATTTCTATAGACTTATTTTGTAATTGCTTGCCCATGTGGAGATTAGGTATGTATCCTCCTGGCTATTTGCGGCTATGTACAGTAAGAGCATACCCATACACTCCTAAATGTGGTATTATTTGTATAAACATTTCATATACAAACCATCTGGACAATTGGATTTTCCAGGCTTTTCTCCTGGACTTCTTAAATATTTCTAGACCCCGGAGAAAAATAGACTAATCTCCAAGGTCATCACCCCGCTAGAGCGGGACTTTTGCACTCAACTACTCCGTACATCTATTCCTGTCACTTCTATACTCAACAACTCGGAGGATGTAAAAACAACTCAAGGGCCAGGTATCTGGGTAGTTCTACGAATATTGAAAACCCTCTCAAACGAGCTACCTTTTCATCATAATCAGGCATTCGCCACGTATTGATTGATTGGAATTCCTAAGGTACATACTCCGCAATCCATTCCAACCTGCATAACTAGTGCAACTCCTTGGAGTATAAACTCAGCAAGCAATAGTAGTTTGCAGTCTTGAATACCATGTATATTTCATTCAATCCATGTCCATGGATTTTCTGGTTCCCCCTGATTACATAAGGCGTTTGATATAAAAAATAAGAATGGTGGCGAGCCTGAAGAAAACCGCTTTTACATACATTCATTCAATTCCAGGCCCAGAATATTCCAGAACAAGAGTTCAGGAAATCAGAAACATCATTGCAATACTCAGTTGCGAGTTTGCATCATCAAGTTGGCAGATCCTTTCTTGTGACACATCTTAGTCCCTATTTTTACATCGTCGGACCCACCGACTAAACAAAAGGGATAAGATCAGAGCAACAGGAGTGCGGCTTGAACTTATTTTTCGATCTGAACTTCATTTGAATAATACATTCTTTGATCATGCCCTCCCTGGAACCAATTCCCACAGGAAAAGATGCTGCCGTTGACTCAGGGTCTGACAACGAAGCGGACCCAGAGCTGGTTGAGCTCCTTCGTCAGCACTTGGGACTGAGTGGAAACGTCAATAAAGATCTTCCACCCGAGACTAAAGTGCTTGAGAACGCGCAATATGTTTTTGATAATGCCATTGATGTGGCCATCACCCTTGCACAGACAAAGGAAGCCGCCGAAACTATATGGCGTTTAATGCAGAAGAAGGCCTATTCGACTCAGACATGGTCAGATCATGACCTACACCCTCAGTCAAAGGATGAAAGTACAGTTGATTTCATCTTCACTATGGACTTATTGAACTTCAGCTTCTGGTCTGAGGAGAAGGATGAGTCAAAGCGGTTTTGTATTGAATATCGTGGAAAAAAGTGGACAGGCTACTTGAGTTTGGTTGCTGCACTGCAAAGAGCTCTTGATGAAGGTACATATGTACTCTTAGATGACTCTGCTTCAGATGCTATTCTAAAGTTTGATGAAACTGACTATGTGGGCCACAGATATCCCTATAACTACCCCTGACTTTTGGGTAGACGAGGACAAGTGTACTGATGAGGTTCTGAGACACGTTTTCCGCTCTGCAACCGATGAGGAGATGCCTCTATTCAGTGAAAGAGTGGAATGCTTGCGTGAGGCTGGCGAGGTCCTTTGCGATGTAGGCATATAAATCCTAATCACTTACCATTCGATAGCTAACCAGAGTATGTCTACAGGAATTCGGAGGTAGCTTTGCAAATATGATCGAAAGCGCCAACTTCTCAGCTGCAGGCCTTGTCAATCTACTTACCGAGTGTTTCAAGTGTTTCCGCGACGAGAATGTGTTCCATGGCCGGAAAGTACGCTTGTATAAGAGAGCACAGATTCTCGTTGCAGACCTGTGGGCTTGTTTTAACGGCGAAGACTTTGGCGAATTCCACGACATCGATAAAATCACCATGTTTGCAGGTATGACTGTTTCTACCTCGGTGTTTATCCATTCTCCTAATGCAATACAGACTATCGCATCCCGCAGATGCTGCACCAACTTGGGTGTCTCCGCTACTCACCACCACTGGAAAGCCATATTCGCAGGCTACAGCCCATCACACCAGGCTCAAACTGGGAGATTGAACTCCGAGGCACAAGCATTTGGTGCGTGGAGCTAATCAAGCGTGAGATCGAGAAACGACACCCTGAAGTGAAGATAGCTGGGAAGATAGGCTTGTCAGAGTCTGAAGATGATTCTCAGTCGGACCAGACTGCTGAAACTGACCCAAAACCTCCCAGAACATATGGGATCAATGCGATCCTGATAGACTTCTTCTTGTATGACACGATGAAGAATCTGGAGGCGGAGCACAACGAGGGTATTCCTCATCATCGAACCAGAAGCATTTGGTATTGAGGCGCAATTTGGCATATGGTGTGGAGGCGTTTTCTTGGAGCTATGGGCTGTCATTTCATTTACGGTAATCAAGAATACAAACATACAACTGATAGATACGATTTTGTCAATAGAATCAAAAACATATTGGGATAGATTAAATGTAGTCTTATTCATTAGGGTATCAATACTATCTGTAATGCCTTTTCATAGATCTTTGATTCACTCAAATATAGTTGGTCATCGTGCAGCAACTCGGGCTGTCTTGCTTTGCGTACCCCCAATTCGGGCCATGATGTCTAATTTCCACTCAGCAAAATCCTCGCGGTAATCATCACTTAGCCAGTCAACTCGGTCTTGCATCATAGTCCCTAAGCCTGGCAGAAGACAATCACGAGGAGCGCGTTTATTTCGTGAAGAATACGACTCTCTGGAAGTATCTTGCCTCTTGGGCAATTGAACGCCTCTAAACGAGGCATCTTCTTCATCGAGATTTCGGTACGAGCTTCCCTCGTCATCTTCACCATCCAAGTCTCCAGCGAGCGGGATGTTCTCGAACCATTCTTGCCCACCTGCCCAACCTTGTTCCATGACCAAGGAAATCCATTGATCAACGTCGTCGCGATGTCTTTTCTCGGTTGCAGGGAGACCAAGACAAGTCAGAGCTGTCTGTCGCATTTCGGTGAATGTCTTCTTATCCAGCTTCTGTGCGCCTTCCGCCTGCTCGCCATCCGATGAAGGGGCTGGGTTTCGTCGGCGGGCTAGCACTAGGAAGTAAACGGCAACGACCATGGCAAATACCAACTCCTTGAAATCTTCGTCCTTTTCTGTGTTGGAGTTTGATAAAATGGGTTCTAAAAAGTCCATCGTCTCTTCATCGTAGTTGTCCTCATCTTCATCATTGGACATGCGAGATGAGAGATAAAGAATAGAAGATACACCGGAAAATATATGAGGTGGCAGAGTCCTTGATATGGGAGGCCGAGACCAGGTATTTGTTCGGGGAGCGGGAGTGGAAAGCATTTTGCAGACTGTCCGGATGGCTGTCATTACCCACGCCGGGGCATCTGCAATGACTGTCGAGGAAGAGGTGTCATTGAGTCGAGATGTTTTGGCTTTGCGGACAGACTTAGATGGTGATCCTAGATTGTTGGCGACACTGACGCTTCTCTTCAGCGGTGTAGTTTTAGAAGGGGTGTTCTGGAGACCTCGGGGCGTAGGGGCGACTTTCGAAGGGCTACGTCCAACATCTAATCTCTTCGTTGGTGTAGTCTGTGGGGAGCCAGAAACGCTAGCTGATCGCTTCATCCCAGCTGAGCTGGCGGAAAGAGACCGGTCCAAGAATGCGTAGAGCTTCTTGTATACGCGGGGAGGACATGGCGGGCGGCCGAGTGGTGGCGGAAGTTTGAGAGCTCGACTTAGTCTGGTAATTGGGAGGTAAAAGGTTAGCCCCGATGTACATCCTAGCCACTAATTGGGTTGACAACATACCTTCTGCAAGCAATCTCCGCGCAGGCATAAAGCCGGGCGATTTCCTCTTCTGGCTTTAGACTGCTGGTGAAGCTTCGGGATTGAGCAACGAGGTTTGTAGCCAGACTAACAAGTTCTTCTGGTAAATCATTGGCATGAGTTGGAATCAAAGTATTCAAAGCTTGCTCGACCGGTCTGCTATTCATGGTGATATACTTGCTTTAGACAAAGGCGGCCGAATTGAGATGGAAGGAGCTTGCTTTATTGACTAGAAAGTGAGCTGAATTCTTCGAGGGTGGTGTCGCAATGAAAAAAGAGTTAAACTCTTTGATTATTTCAAATTTGAAGGCGACAAAATAGTTATTCATAGATTGGGGTCATTAAAGAGCTGTAAACAATTCTGTCGAGACCGCAAGCTCCATGACTAAGCTTATATCTAGCCCTGGATTAGACCGCCCGCAACACCTTCAATTTCCCCAATTGTCATTGCACCTCAGTTCAATATATTTCTTCGCCAAAATGTCTGTCACGGTAAGTAAAACACTATTAGATATTTGACCAAATGCGGTAATCTGAACAATACTAATTCTCACACTTCTAGCTCCATACGAGTCAAGGCGATCTGAAAGTTGAGCTGTTCTGTGAAGCAGTCCCCAAGACCGCCCAAAACTTCCTTGCCCTATGCGCGTGCGGCGCATATAATGATACACCATTTCACCGATTAATCCCAGGATTCATGATCCAAGGTGGCGACATCTCCTTAGGACCAGCTGCAAAACCTTCAAGCTCTACAAAACCAATACTCCCATTTGACATCCCGAAAGGCGGCACATCCATATACCACCCCTCAGCAATGAACCAAGAGATTAACTTACCGGCTCTACGACACAATGCGCGCGGCATTCTTTCCATGGCTTCTCGCCCAGTCAAAGATAAAACAGTACCCGGCTCACAGAATGCGACTGGCACGACCGCAAATGGCAGTCAGTTTTTTATTGCCTTTGCGCCAGCACCGCATCTTGATGGAGCTAGCACTGTCTTTGGAAAAGTCTTGAATCTGAGTGCACAGGATGAGGGCGGTGATGTGCTCTCGAAGCTCGAAAAGGCTAACGCCAAGATCGATAAAAAAGGAAAGGTTTCACAGCCCAAGGAGGGTGACGAGTTTGAGGCTCTTCGAATTAATAAAGTTACGATCCATGCGAATCCATTTGCGAAGTGAACTGTCTACTTTACCCTTCTTAACATGGGACCGATTCAACAAATCGATCTAGTTCCAAGACAGCCATGCCGAACGGAATCAACTCCATATTTGGAAAACTTGGGAGCCCTGGCTTTATAGTTTCAGCCTTTTTCCAAGGATTATCATGTCTATGAATATGGCTATCAATGAGAGAACGAGAAGGAAAATGACTTTTTAATAGACCCGTCTCAAAACCCCCATCATCACTGGATATCTATGAGAAAGGTTGTACATACATACCGCGAAGACGCCGTTATGCAACAAGAAATAAAAGTGTAAAAGAGTCTCATGCATCATGAAAATAAAACATATCAAATCGTGGCCGGGTAACGTTAAAGGGTATTGTCTATTCCTTCCGCTCCTCCTCCTCCTCATTGGCAGCCTTTCTCTCGGCGGCCTCAATTGCGGCGTCCTCCTCGTATCCCTCAGTCTTCATGTCAGTCAGACCAAGATCGTCCTCCTCCTCCTTGGTGCGAGTGTATTCCTCAATGTGCAGCTGTGGGTCAGCCGCAGGTGCGCAAAGATCCTGGACATAACTGTTGCCCATTGGGTCCTCCAGGGTAATGGTGAACTTCAAATCTCCGGCAATGGCAGCATCCAGTTTATCGAAGAAGCGAGTCCATTTATCCTTTTCTGAGGTTTGCAAACTATCACCACTGTCGGCACCTGCAATATCGAAGATTTGACCATGGAGCTGTTCCTTAATCTCTGACAACAAACCCTCAACAGTAGAGAACTTGCCTCCCAGGGTACCGGGCATGACAGAGAGTTCGAGCTCGTCACTCTGCACAGCGCAGGTATCGGACTTCAAGATATCGCGAGAAAGGTCGACGACCTCCTTGACCTCAAGAGTAATCCGCTTGCCCTTCTCTGGGACTTCACCACCAGTGCGTACATCGCTGCTCTTGAGACCACAGTGCTCACAGACGTTGGACCAAAGGTAAACTTCCTTGAAGTAAGGAATATCCACTCGCTGCACATGGACTGTGCATGGCTTGGTGCACCCAGGGCACTCTGCAGGAAGGGCGTAGACCTTGCCGTTAACAATATCCAAGTCCTCGGGGTTTCCAGACTCGGCCTGAGCCACACTCTCAAGCTGGGCAGCCTCGGGATCACCGGTAATACCCAGTTCCTCGTTCTGCTCGTGAGTGCGATAATAGTGTGCACGGCGGTATTTCTTTCCATCATGGAGGATCGGGGCAATGTAGGAGTTTCCAGTGGGATCTTCGAGTGATATGGTGAATGGGAAACCCTTACGATCCATAATTTCCTGGAGTTTGACAATGAGGGGCTCGAGGGCTTCGTAAAGCTCGGGGGCTTGAGTCTTGCGAAGGGGCTGTTCGCTCGACAGGTTCTCGTGAATGCGTTGAATCACACCCTCAATATTGGTGAGCTGGCTCTCACCCTTGGGCATCTCGATACCCAAAGATTCAACCTTAAAGATGGAAATATCGCTGCGAATGACCTGACGTTGAAGATCCTCCTCGTTCTCGACTTCCAAAGTGTATTTGCATCCTTGCTCCTGAATCTCACCAGCTGTCTTGACACCGTTGTTGCTAAAGTTGCAGTGCTCGCAATAGAAGCTCTCAACGATGATGTCTCGGAAGAAGGGAACTCGCAAGAGCAAGAGTCGTGTAACTCCCTATATCGGTTTAAAACATTAGTATAAGGCTAATTAGAATAGTTTTAGAAAAACTCACATTCTCATGGCAGTTCATGCACAAGGATTCCACCTCCATAACGCCGGTTTCGTCGTTTTGAACGATATCTCCAATATTCTGGAATTGCGACTCAGGCGCAGTGGTCTCGGCGTCGGTAGACATTCTGCAGCAGTAAACCGGACTTTCGGTTAAACTTGAGGGAAATAATGTGAAAATTTTTGTGTAATAAGAAGGTAAAGCTTTCCTTCAAAATACTTGCTACAAGACAAGAAGTGAAGAAATTGAGACCTACGAGTCACAATCAAGCCCAAAAAAAAAACAACCTTCTCACCGCCCGCCGAACATTCCAGAGGGGCTTATGCATGAGGGGTACATAATGCAGCTGACTAATGGAGGGGTCAGTTATGCACACGCTTATCTAACATCAATTTTTTCATTGCAGTGTTCCTGATCTCATAATTCTCCATTACAGATCTGAATGAACTTTCAGCCAGCATAAACTAGATTATAAGTTAGAGAAGATACTCCTTCTCAATTTGACAAATAATCTAAGGTGGTATGAAGCCCAGATCTATCATACTTCATAGATCCCGATAACTAAATAGGGCCTCACTAGATAAGATCAGGTGACACCCAAATATGATTACGTGATGCTCCTCGACAAGACAAGATCCTCTTTGCTTGCAGGAGACCAAAGCTTTTATATTCTTTAAGCTTGAAGTTTTCTCATATAACTTACTTCGTAATGTCAAACCATACCGTCGAGTCATAATGGTAGAACCCAAAGCTGTCCAGGCTGCGTTCGCAGCCGCCAATCACTTTTTGAACCCAGTCATTAATCGAGGTATGCCATATCTAAACTGCTTATATGATCTGCCTGACAAAGTGAAGATGAAATTCAAAAGTCTCAGGGAAAACAGATACTAGAGATATTGAGTCAGAGTTTGGAAATTTTAACAGAGAACGAAGGCCCTGTGAGAACAGCAGTCATCTGCAAAGCGCTTGATCTTCTGAGTCATATTCACACGGCATTTGTCGCCCCGGTAGTGAGCCTAGAGGATTTGCAACAACCTGAAGTCAACCAAGATCCTTCTCTTGAAGATGCAAGACGGCGTCGCACTCTTCATGCGTTGCTGGATCTCATATCACTTGAAGGAATCTACCCGTCGCTCTCTTCTGGCGTCGGCATTCCTTTGCAGCAAAGAGTGATATCTGTACTACCTGCTGGAGTAATAGCAAAGCAAGACCAGATGATTTCCAGTACCTCACCCCATAATCAGGACCTCTTGCATCTGGTCATGGAGGCTTTGCTCAAAATACTTGAAGACGAGACACCAAGCATACAGCCCGTGATCCGAGGACGTATTCTGAGCGACATTATTAGCGGCATAGCTGATCTGGCATTCAATCCAAATGTTGGTACTTGCGACGATCGAGCAAAACTTGAAAAATCATTTTCTAAAATCATCGATGAGTATGTTTTATCAAATGCCTACCAAACAATACTTTTTTTCAAGGTGCTGATAAAGGTTTAGGACAGCGAGTGCAGTGCTTTTGCCCACACTTTCAAGCTTTCTTCAGTCAGAGACTGTGGCATGGTTCAAATCAACGATATCGAGTCAAATCTCCCAAGTTCCACTACGCTCTGGTGGAGTCTTGCAAACGATCATGTTTATTGTTTCACAATTCACCCCATCTCTTGGACAAGAAGCACAAAGCGAACCATCAAATGGGCCTCATTTCACAGTCCAAGCTATTATGCAAATCTCAAAACTCCTATCTTCAGTTCCACAGGGTATAGAGCCGGCACTCTACTTTACAACTATTGCTCCTCAATTACTAGAACTCATGGATGGTGATGATCTCGACCTCAGAAAAACTGCTTCTTATGCCATTGGCAATGGTATACTAGGGAAACGCTCTTATGGTGCTCCAGGCACAATAGGACACTCGATTTTCATTGACCCTGTCTTCGGTGCACTTACGGCGAAACTCAATGATGCCTCAAGACAATGGATAACTCCCACCTCTGAAAGTCATGAGTCCAAATCAGGTAGATCAGAAAAATTGAACGCTGTTCTTGTGGATGGGGCTGTGGTTGACTTGGCAATGAACAGGCTAATAAGTCTGTCACTGCAACATCCAAATCCAGGTCTGGTAAAGAGAATTGTGTACCCGATTCTCATTCCTCTCTGGGGTTTGGCTTGCTATTCGCAAGAGCAGCAACTTAATAGCCTTCATAATAAAGTCATGGAGTTGCTGAAAACCTACTTTAGCATTTCTGCTGGTGTCCAACCCTTCAAAAAGATCATTGGTAATCTTCTTTGGGATGGTGGATTAGATTGGACATATACCATCGATTCAAAAAGAAGAATTTCATTGATTGCACGCCGTGAGCAAGGAGACCACTCAAATCTCATTCGACTGATTGATTCCCTTGATCGGCGCTCAGATATCTTTGTCCAATTGCTGGGTTCCGATCCCAGCATTGAGGAACACACTAGTGACATGTTCCTCTACGTGAGCCAGATATGGCTTGTGAAACCCCACAGCTCTGATGAGAAAATCAAAATACTCGGCGAGCAAGAAAACATCATCCAAAAGTTGGTATGCGCCAAAGTTGCTGAGAAGTTACTCAATAACTTCAAGGACACATTATCTCGTCGTCCACTTCGTGTTCTCGAGCTCATCAAGCAAGTAATTGATGGAGAGTTGCATGAATTCACTGCCCGGCTCTCAAAAACACAAGCAGGGAGATCCAACAGGCCATCATTATCATCGCTGTCAAACATTGTGTCAGAAGAAAGTGGCAATAACGAGGGTATATCCGAAAAGGACGCATCCGAGTCGCTATCGACCGCGTTCAGTTTACTATCGACTGTTCTTGCATCTCCAGAGTTCTCAATTTCACAGGAAACCCAAAAGCTATTGGAGTCAATTAAAAACCACTTGGATCAACTCATACCGATGCTTCCACCATTACTCTCAAAGCCAGCAACGACCTCGTCTATGCTACTAGAAATCCAGCTTATGTCTTCTGGGCATGATGAGACCAAGCCACCACCTCCACATATCTCTGATCTTGAAACTCATCGTCAAGCGTTGACAAACCTCAACTCTGACCTGCCACCCGTCCAGGCAGAAGGCTTCTCACTCTTATCTAAGCTTATCAAAAATTCATCACCCGTCCTTGACATTCCCTCGACGCTGACGTTGCTTCTGTCTATCATCAATGATATGTCGGGATCAAGTTCAAACGATGAGTTCATTTATCTCAATGCGATCAAACTCATCGGCACATTGGCTTCGCGCCACCCTCGCACCGTGATAAAAACACTGGTAGAAAGCTACACTGACAAATCTGAACAAAGATCCTTGGATCAGCGACTCAAAATTGGCGAATCATTGTTACGAACGGTGCAAGATCTTGGTCAAGGACTAAATGGTGAGACAGCTCGAATCCTTGGTGAGGGTATGATCACAGTTGCAGGACGACGTGGTTACAAGCCACAGGCCCAAACAGATCGCAAAAAGCAAGCAGAAAAAGAGAGGATGCAACATGAACGAGAGGAACGCGAGAATAGGGGACCGACTTTGCCAGCCGGATGGTCAATCCCATCAGAACCAAGCTCTTCAAAGCGCAAGCTCACCCTCGATGACGATTCTGATACCGAATCACCAGAGAAAACATCACATGCTGCTAACATTGTGGCTGCTTGGGCAGCTGGTGCTTCTTCAGACGAAGAACCAGATGATCTGCGCGTGCGAGCATCGGCACTATCGATTCTTGCATCAGCTGTTCAAAGCAATATCATTGGCCTAGGCTCTGCCATCATTTCCTCGGCCGTGGACCTCGCACTGGCTACACTTACCCTAGAATCGGCTCCTGAAAGCGCCATCTTGCGCCGTGCGAGTACTATACTTCTACTAGATATCCTCAAGGCACTAGATACAGCGCGTGAAAATCGCCATGGGAAGGATATTGGATTTGGCTTCACTCTGGCCGATGATTCGTTTCAAGCTTCGTCCAATCGGCAAAACCCGTCTTCCATCGGCAGTATCCCCTCAATTTTGCGCAAGCTCGGTTTCGTTGAGAGCATTGAGCTCGATGATATCGTTCGCGGAAATCTACGTTCATTGATTGAAAGTCTAGAGGTTTGGTTAGAAAAGTCCATCATGTGGGGAATCGGTCAGGGTAACGAGGCAGGGGAACCAAGAATGGAATTGGGAGATAGAATCGCTGGTCTTAGTGTTGATCCTTTGGCTGGAAGAGGTTCCACTAGACCACGCATCGAGGAGATAGAGTAACTTTATGTTGCAGAATTCCCGTAGCTCCCAGATTTAAATTCAGGTATAAATTACTAGAACTGGTGGGAATGCCCATCGCTACTTCAAACATCCAAGCTATATATTGAATTGCATCAAGTAACCCCAGCGCCCACTCAAGATATTAAGGCAACGATACTAGTAATGAAGGATTCGTACCCGGTTTATTAACAATCTTTTTCCCATTCCAATTCCTCTTCTTCCTTCCTTCTAAGGTTAGCTCTCTTTGCCAGTTGGCTTAGATCAAGTGTAGTATCTATTCTTTTCAGTTTAATCTCTGAAAGCATTCCATTGTATGACACATTGATTATCATAATTTTTGATAACAGCGCCCAGCCTCTGTGCTTGCGCATACTGGACGCACTGTGTTACTGGGCTTACACTACCCCCGGTTGATGCGGACCTTCTTTCATCAACTGCTTCGGATTGTATGATCGCTTGAAGAAGACTTCCATGTCTTAAATGCAAAGACAGTAGTGACGTGTTGGATGAACCTATCGTGCAGATCACAACATTTATCGAAATCTTCAAATTGTTCAATAAGAGGAAGGCTCCGCAGTCACTAGGATTCTACTTCAAGAAAATAACTAGTGAAAGATATCAAGAACCAAACGTCGTAGAATGATGAAGTAACATAGCTAAATTTCAATCATAAGATACTAACGCTTCAAAATTGGAGGCTAAGAGCTATAATCAGCCTATAAACATCATCAAATGTGGAATAATTAACCGACAATGAACCTTCACTACAAGCAATAGCGTAGACATCAGGTCGGTGCCGAGTTGTAAGAAAAAAAATACAGAGCTATTAATGTGCATCCGATGAAATCTCTCCACCAGTCTGACTTGGACGTCCAGTCTCTTTGAATATATCGAAACTTTGCTGCAACCAACTGCCAGCATCGGCAATCGCCTGACTGAGATGGAAGCTATCCGCCCCCTGGCCATCATGTACTATGGGTGGTATGGATCCACTCAAAGATTGTAGGGCAGTGAACTGGGTAGTCGATTGGTTCAACTGTGTCTGGTCTGACTGCAGGCCACTTTCATGTTTTTTCGAATCTTCCATATTTGATTGAAAGGTGTCGTGGTCCTCATTCTCTGGGTTTGTGGGTGACTCCCGAGAAGGTGGCCGGGCCTTTGCAGTCTCGCTCTTATTCGTCCTCGACTTTAGGGGACTAGTTTTCTTGGGAGAAATCAACCGCGCTGCATTTGGTTTCTTTTCTGTACTGAAAGTGAAAGGTGTGGCTGCATCAATCATGCACTGCGTGCTCATAGCTTGCACTCTATCACCTTCAAGAATTTTGAAGCTTCGAGGAAGAGCTCGCTCTGAGGTATCGGGGCGGAAAAGAGGAGTTTCATGGGCAAGTAATGAATCGTTTCCAACGTGCGCCATTGCAAGCTGCGAGGGTGGACTCTCATATTGCTGTCCGGGGCTTTCTAAGTCGTTTTGAAAGGATTTTTGGGCGTACATCAAGGCAGCCTGTGTTGAAGGTTGCGTATCATGGCTAGTATCTGAGCTCTGTTGAGAAGCTATGTTTGGCACAGCCGTGGAGTGTAAGGATTGGATGCGGTCGGAGGCCCCTGGTAGAGCCGGAATTTGTTGGGCAGATGGCAGCTCTTCGTATGTATTTGGCTCTGTTAGGGTTTGTAGGTATGTGCTGGAACCGGCATAATCTGTATCGTCGGCAAATCTCAAACTCTTCGAAAGCTGAATGGGCCGTTCTTCTTCCCTCAGAACACGTTCCGTATTTTCCGGTCCAAAGTCAGTTGAGCCATGATCGATCGGTTCATCTAAATCATCGGCTCCTCGATTTGTTATATTTTCTTCAGACGGCGGAGGTATGGCACTATTTTTCACAGGGGAATACTGTTCAACCTGGGGGTTTGAAGTGTCGTTGTATCGCTGTCGGTACTCAAAACGCGGCAACTGTGACGTCGAAGCGATAAGCCTGAACGAAGACGTTGCTTGATTCAACATAGGGGGCATCTCCGGCTTAAGTGGTGATACTTTAGATCTCTTTTCGGTATTCAGGTGAAATGATCGAGTCTGTTGCGTTGGACCATTCACCGCTGAATTGACAGGCTGCTCTTCAATAGTTGTATTTTTGGGAGATCGAACCTGCGAAGGAGAGGTGGGAGACCTAGGCACATCAGAATGCAATTTAGTCCGTCGTGCTTTGATGTCTATTGATCCATGTCCGGCCTTGGGCGTTGGAGAGCTAGGAGGGTCAAATCTTGTGAAGCTCATATGTTTCTTATCCTTCCTCAGCCAGTCCACAGACTTATGCTCAGCAAAGCTTTGTTCATCCACAACCCGCGGAGAAGATCGCTTGGATTTCTTCAACTCACGCGGCGATTCATTTGTCTCAGTTTCTTGTTTGAGCAGCCTCTTCTGTGTTGATTTAGAAGCCAAAATGAAGCTTGTACCCTTATTCGACCGAGCTTGGAGCTGAGGATCAGCAGCTAGATCTTCCCGATACTTCGACTGTCGCAAGTCCGTTTCTTGCACCACATAGCCAGCCCCATTTTTGCTCAGCCTTATATTCGGCGGAGACGTCCTAGTTTCAGCCCGTGTCTTTCTCGTTTTTTGCCACGGATTCTTCCAGCCTCTATCAAACGGCCCTCGCAGCGACGCTGACAGCATAAAGAGTTGGCTTCCTTGTAGATACGTTTCAGCGATTTTCTCGATTCTTTGGCGCTTTGCAGCGCGTTCAAACTCATCTAGCTCATCATCAGAGCCGAGGAGGTCATCTGACTCTATGTCAGAGACCGGAAGCGAACACGATTCGAGCGAGATTGGAGAGACGGGCCGCGGGTATGGTGGCATCGAGATCGATATGCAAGTTGTTCAGATCTGCAGGCAGTTATGTACTGCAAGGAAGCAGCCAGACAAAATTCCTGATGGGTAAATTGCAGCATTTCTGGTGGAGTCAAAGATTAGGCGCCCAAAGACAACACTTAACGCGTGATAACCCCAGCAACGTACGTACTGCGGAGATATTATGTAATCCATTTCCAAACCAGCGTAGTAACTAATATTGACAGCATATTCAAGGCTTTCTAACGGCATTTTGGTTAGGAAATTACCAATAAAGCTACTGGGGTTACAGCAAGAATGTCCACTGTTCTCTAATATATAATATTATCATTTCATAAAACCTTGGGAAGGGCGCTCTATAATCCCAAATTGCTTTGAACTATGCTACTAAAATAAGACTCGGGTTATCATCGGGGACAGGCGTTGAAATAGCAGGCTGCACAGTGAAATGGCCCATATCAAATAGGGCTTGCTGCCACTCTGGCATTCCAGTACCCAGGACGAGGAAGTAATTGGTACCATCGGGAAACCATCTTTCCCGACGCGTGAAAGCTTTGTCACTCCCTTCAAGAGCAGCCCTACTGGCGCGTGTAGTTCTTGCACGCTTATCTTTATGACCAGTGCCCTGCTCTTGTGACCATGCTGCATGCAAGTTGTCTCGATATACCTTTAGACGACCGTCAAATACCATTATGCCACGGATATAAGGTGCAAGATCTTCAGTGATTGGGCCAAATCCGTTCTCGAATGAGGTTTGTAGTGGCATGATGTAGTGCGCTCGCATTATTGGTTCAAACACCTTTTGGAACTGAGCTTTGTTGGACGGGTAGATAGAGCGACGAGCAGAGTCTTTGGTCCAGCCATTGAAGATTCGCGTCACAAAACTTGATTCGAGGTCTTCGGTTTTTGCACGGAAGGTTTGAGAGAGCAAGGCGTCAAATGCGATGCTGATGTCCTCACTCAATGATGAATACTCTGGTAGCAGATCAGCTTGAAGGAGGGGATGAGCCTCAATATAATTAGATCGATGTGATTCTAGCATTGGTGGGAGACTAGTGTCAAATATATCCTGCGATAAGGTTAGGTCGAGGTCTAGTCGGTCAATCGGGTATATTCTCACCTCCGCCGTGTCGAGAGAGCACCCAGAGGAAAGGATGTCGAGTGCGCTCCTCATATCCAAGTAATCTTCTTCACGTTCTAGCATGTTAAATTGCTCCTGCTTTGAACTCGACTGAAATTCCTCCGAAGATAATCTCTCCACATCGCAACCACCAGCGACATCATCGAAATCTTGAATCTTGAGTCTCCACCAATGAAACCCATTTCGGAGAGCTTCAATCTCTTTTTGCAGTGCATTTTCGCCCATGAATAGATCGCGATTGAACCAACCCATATGCTCATCGTATGTGTTGAGACTGAGAACTCTCACCCGATCTCCATTCTGATCGACGGTTGATCCTGGAGGCCATTGCGGCAGTATCCAATCAAGGCCTGATTTCTCACTACCAACACCTATCTGGCACCAAAAGTTAAGGTCCATCAACGACCGTCGTATGTTCATACCAGAACTGATATAAAGATGACTGACAGCCTTACGCTTTAGAACGTGTCCTTCATGGGCGGCAATGAGTAAGAGATAGTCGACAACAAGGTCAAGGGGCGGAGGCTTATATCGTAAAATAGCGTGTACGGACATGTCGGGAAGAAGACTCTCGTCGTTGCAGGTAATGACGATGGGCCGGCGCGACTGGCTGATGAGTGCCAATACTCCAGTCCAAAACTGCTTGTCTTCATCGAATAAAATATCGGCTTCCTCAATGAGAATCAATGATTGCTTTTGTTCTCGAGGTTTCTTGGTAGTGATTTCTGGAGGCTCGCTCGGTTTTTTTGGCTCCTCTGGGGTCTTCGTGATCTTGGATGGCTGGCCTTTGAAGAAATTCATCAAGGGATTGGACTTAGATTCCCGAGGCTTGGGTAAAGGCTCATCAGGCTCATTGAGAAGATGAACAAGGTGGTTCTGTGTCATGTCACCGACTCTCTCCAGCATATCTCTGGCACTGCGACGACTACCAGCATTAATTTCGAAAACTTCATAGTCAAGCTCCTTAGCAACAGCATACACTGATGCAGTTTTGCCACAACCTGGTGAGCCAGTAATAATTATTGCATTGGCAAGGCTCTTCTCAATTCCATGTTGCATGCATAACCCCATGTCTCCAGATCGTATAACAGTCTTTTGTGAAGATACAGTGACATCGCCTGCTAGCTCATCATCTGAGCCCGGAAAATTATCCATTTCGGAGGCCTCCTCACCACTTGAAACAATGAAATCGTCAAATTCATCGGTTTTCTTCGCAATCTTACGCTTCCTGCCGCGTTTTGGTTTTGGGTTTACATCTTCCTTAGATGACTTGCCCGTGTCGACGGCCGTAACTTTGAGCTGGCATAGCCAGTCACGCAGCAATTGAAGTTCGCATCCCACTTGTAGAACATCTTCAGCCGTTTGAGGCGCATATTTCTGAGTCCAAAGTTGCGATTCGTATTTTCCACAGTCAAAGGCAGAGACAGATGAGAGTAGAGATGAACGAAACTTTTTGATTAAAGGCGACGAATAGCTAGCTGAGGGGCGATTTGGTATAGACCAGGACATTTGACTGTCGATCGCTCTTCCCAAAACCCCTCCACTCGCAATATGTTTTCCGGGAATACGAAGCTCGGGTTTGGGGTTGCCGGTCAAATTCAAGTCCAATTGCGCAGCCTTGATTGCCGACGCAGTGCTAGTGAGGAATGCGCTCTCGTCATCTCGCACATCAACGGCGCGTAGTTTGGCTTTCTTGTGGTCTCGGTCGACTGGCAGCTGCTGGCCTCTGGGTATGTTCGAGTCATCAGGTGTTACATGAATAAAGCCTCGCGGGGGCCAGATGGGATGAAAGAGTTCAGTGAATTTTTTCTTAGGTCGACTAAACGAAGAAAACGGTGCAGGTGTCCCAGGTACACGCTTGCGCTCTGGAGCAGATATTGTGGGGTTTTTAGATGCTGTCGAGTCTTTGTCTTGGTTTTGTGATAGTAGCTCAACTGAATCGTTGAGTGAAGGCTTGTTCAATGATTTCTTCGCAAAAAAAGGATGGGTCGGCTTTGATTGCTGTTTCACGATATTCGGCGGCGGTATGACAGGGAGTGAAGGAGGGAGTTGTGTCCGATCACCGCAAAGTATATTATTGATTAATTGGCCTATATTCCTTCCAGGATCAAGGCTATATTTGATGACCACCAACTTGCTATCCACTTTCTTAAGTCTCCCCTGTTTGCCAGGTTTTCGTTTCTCGAGATGAGATACAGGTGTTGCGTCGAGGGGAGGGGAGCTGAGAAGTCTCCCATTGAGATTCAATTTGAGAATTTTCTGAGGCTTTTCAGAGACATTCACTGGGGCATTGCTCTCCTTCGACTCCGATTTCTGGTCAAGGATTCGGTTGCTGCTATTTTTTGCTGCTATCCCAAACCCTGAACAAATCATCAGTTTCCTGCATTGTAGATTTAGAATTTAGGGCCTTACCTGGTTGGAAGAAGGGGTGAACTGTCTGTCGCTCGCCCTGAGCCATAGCTAGCGGTGGATTGGACACGGCTGTATCCATGTGATTGGTGTTTACGTTTGAAAGTTCATTGAAGGAGTAGGATAGAGTGGTTTAAAGTCATTGAAGACCAGGATCAGCGAACACCCAGGCCAGCTGCTCCAGAAGTGAAGATTGCAGGCCTGAATGATAACTAAAACGGTTATCGAGACGCTCGACGCGTCGCGCGGAGTGTAATCGCGGATTATGTCAGCGTAACTAATTAGAGGATCCGCCTGAGTGGGTCGGCGTCGGCGAAATTATTCTGCCGAAAATTTTTAGATTTCCCCGTTGCAGCTTTGATAGACTGTCAAGCGAGAGGAAATTAAGACGCTGTCGAAGTTTCAACTTGTCTATCATGGATCTTCAATCTCCATCGGTCCTGGCACAATTGCCTCACCCTCTACATGCCTCTACCGGAAAGACGCGCATTGGCGATGTCTACAGCCTCGCTGATGCGAAAAAGCGCAAACGTTATGAAGTCGCCGTGGCTGTTGACGGTGAAGCAGTCAACATCTATAATGTGCGAAAATCAATCATTCTGGTCTAATAATCTGTACGAATCTGACTTTTTTATTTTCTCTATATAGGTGCAAACGCCCAAGCTTGTGACCTCATACGCTGTTCCACCTCAGTCTACTTTTTCTTGTCGGCCTTGTTCCGTGCGCCGCAAGCTCTCGAAGAATTCAATAGTGAAGAGACAGACATATGCTGCAGTGACAAAGCCAGAGCATCAGATTAAATGCTTTGTGGAGGAGATTGGTAATGGCACAAGCTCGGCATCGATTTCTTCTTCTGCCGCCACCATCACAGACTCGCGCAGCCCTACTATATTTGTCGGAATTGTCCCCTTTGGTGCGGACAATGATATTGAAGCCGATCTGTTCGACATCCTTTCTGTTCACGAAGATGGTCGCGTCCGCAGATTTTCGTCTGACTTGAAGACCCAGCGATGGAGTATTCAGCACAGTGAAATTTCCAAAGTCTCTTCCACTCACGAAGTCAACTCTTGTTTCTTGATCGACCTCGACGATGCGAAAAAGGCCCTGTTCAAACGACGACAGGACTTGGCAGCACTTGCTCTCGGCGATCGGATGGGATCCGAACTGAACGAACCATCTATCTTAATAGTTGTGTCACACCCCAAGGCTGCTGATGCATTTGCATTGAATGATGTGATTGTTCAGATCTTCTCGGTTCCTGCGAGCCCACAGTCTCGATCCAACGAAGAAAGCCAACGTCTCCGGCATCTTCAGACAATTAATGTCCCTGCCCCTAGTGGACTTGACCGGGTCAATAGCGATGGCCTTCAGTGGAGTTTCCATTCGGGCTCGGCAGGCCTGCAGCTTTCCTTTGAGAAGGGATTTGTGAGCGTCGATATCTCACAATACTCCCCGAGCGTGACCTCGCAATTCATTCTCGATGATCATTTCTCTTCTGTCATGCGTATTTCGCCACAATGCGTTATTGGAGCAAGTGACTCTTTAGTTGCAGTATATGATACGCAGTACCAATCTGCCCAGCGCAGTATCCCCGCCAAAGATGTCCTCTCTGGGTCTGCATCGACCTCAGATGGTCCCACAATCTTCATCAGCTATTTCGCGAAGCTTGGAATCGCGGTGGCCACCAAGAAGAATACTCTGATTGCTTTCGATCTGACCTCTCTCAATATTAATACCAGTTCAAGTCTCAAGAGGTCACGGGATGGTCTTCTTATTGATGCTATTGGTCGAGGTATTGGCTCATCTGCTGCGCAGTGGGATATGGCTTCCAAGAAGCACCGCTCTAAGAACATGACTTCTCTGCACCTTACTTCACCTGATCAGATAGAGAAGTGGAACCAGTTGACCAAGGCCGTGGACGAAGCGACCAAGGCTCAGGATTCCGATAAATTTGACCAGGCGGTGCTCAATTACTTCTCTTCACCACTACCCAAGAAAGGCACCTATATCAATCCAGAATCTACTCTTTTCCTGCTCTCGAAGATTTTTGCAGTCAAGGAATCGGCTGTCAATGATGATGTTTTGTCGCCTTCATCGTCTCAGTTGCGTGTTGCTATATGGCCTCAGGCCACTTGCCACTGGCTAATTTTACTTGGCCACATGTCCGTCGACAATGTTGAAATTGCTTTACGACGATCCTACAAACCCCGTATTCTCCCGTCGCTACCCACAGGATCTTTTGTGCAGGCTGTCATTGAATTTGATTCAACCTTGAAACACATCAACGCAGTCCTTTCGGGTCCGTCTGTCTTCACCTCCGATGAGCTGGCCTATGGCCTGAAGTATTTCCTGAATCTGGCCCGCATGCATTCCGGTCCTTTGGAAGAAGCCGCTCGAGCTCTCACCAATGGCGATGTGGACACTCCCACTCAGGCATTAATCCAGCCGAACGGGGATATGGCTAGTGTTAAACAAACTTTCCGAGGCTTGAACATCTCTCTACAGAAGATTCACTCGCAGTCCCTCCCCTCTATCGTGCAATCTCTCCGCTCGAATCTGTCACGGGTGGATCTTATTTCCATGATTCACCATCTTCGTCTTTCTCTTGCCACCGGTGGCTATACCTCCCGTTTCACTGAAAACCCACCTACACCCATCACCCGCGACCAGATCACCCCTACGCTGTCACTTAAAACTATCATTGATCTCATTACTGCTTCAGTCGATGCTGTCGGCCCGTCTGGATGGATCTCCGCTCTTCCCACTATCAACGATATCGATGATGATTCAGCCTCTGCTATTGCCGCAGCCAGCCGTGAAATGGAACTCATCTCTGACATGAGATCCGAGATCTCAGCTGCCCTTGCGGGTGTGGAGGAAGCCACTTATCTGTCCGGTATCCTCCGCGAGTATCTCTGCTTCGCCGAAAAGGTCACAGCTCCACGCAATCTCAAGCACGTTGAGAAGGCTACATCATCACTTATTCGTCACGAAAGGCTCAATGGCGCCACTCTCATGGTCTATTCTACCCCTGAGGCAGGAGAGGATGGCTTCGAAGGCGAGACTGGTGGTAAGATGCTGCCACTCTCGATGAAGCCTCCCTCCAAGAAAGTCTCGCGCACCAAAGTCAAGAAATCGACTGGTGAGAAGAAAGATCGCAGCGGTCGTGAGATTGGACTTCTGCGTCGTAAGGCCGTTGGCAAGTACTCATTTGAGCGGCTGGTGCTTTAATGAAGCGGTTCTGCTCATGCATTGGTGGGATTAATTTTTTTGTGTTATATTATAAAAGCCATTTCCGGATCAAGTACAAAAAAGGAGTTTAGACGAGGTCAATCCATTCATTGAGTTTCTTCGCTATTTAAGAATTCATTTTAGTATATAGTCCTTAATGCCGACCTCATAATCTTCCAATAAATGTTTAGACACTCTTGTTGTTGATCTTGAGGAGCTCGACCTCACTGCAAAACGATTAGTCTCTATTAAGGTCAGATGGTTTCTCAAGCAAGAACTTACAAGATGAGAGTAGAGTTGGCAGGGATTTTGCCATTGGCCCTGTGAAGAGAAATGATGTTAGAATATTTTCAATCGACATAAAAGTGTCATCGACCATCCATATGAATGATCGCCTGCGTAGTTATATAATCACGTACTTGTCACCGTAAGCGTGATCGCTAGGTGAAAAAGATCAGCAAAGCACTTTACATATCTGTGAAAGATTACTCACGGAGAAATAGTCAAGATGGACTTCTCGCCCAGGCTCATCTGCTGAACACCCTCATCCCAACCTAGTGAAGAACATGAGCAGTCCGATCAATTATCGAATAAATCAAGTAACAAATAAGCTTACCCTTGATGACCTGTCCAATGCCAATCTGAACATTCAAAGGGCCACGTCCAGGGGTTCTAGAGCTGTCGAATCTATCATTTGACAAAGGTTAGCATGTTGAATACGAATATTGGTATATGACTACGTACTGCTTGCCCTGAAAGCCCTTGTTGGCCTTCTTAGCATCGTAGAGCCAACCCGTGTAGTGGATAGAGACCTTATCACCTGAGGCAGGGGTGTCAGTACCGTTGCCACGAGTGATAATCTTTCTTTCGACACCCATGATGAATTATGGTTTTGGAAAGAGGAACTATGAAGTATTGGGAGGTGAGGGAGGGAGGTTCAAGTGAGTTGATGCTGATTCGTAAATTTTCTCGAAGTGGGGAACGGCTGACATCAACAGAGCAACTATTAACTACACACTAAATACAGTCCAACCAGACATGCATTCGAGATTTATAAACGCCTTTCTCTTACTACACCCATCATTACTGCCATTTACTGGGCTAAGTAATAAGTAGTACTAGGCATCTACTTGACTCCAAGAATCCAAGGACCCAATGTTTGGGTTTCTCCAAAACATAAATCTGGATCACTCCTGGGTCCAATAATTCAGATTCTTTTATCACAGAACTTGGCAGCCTTTTAACATACAATGCTCAGATACATTGAATACAAAATATTGAATCTTGGAAAGCGATACAAAGCTCATTTCCAAGATCTTCCAAGGTTGACTTGCTCACAATTATACCAAGCCCTCGTCTAGTAGCTTCCAAGTCTCTCTATATCCAAATAGCTGAATCCACTAGCAAACATCCACAAGTATCATCTATGTATTTCCATAAGCATAAGACCACTTGGGCAAGGAAAGTGAGGGCGTACCTACCTACCTATACCAGAGCTTAGCCTACGTAACTACACGCCAGAAGCTATCCAAGGCTTGAGATCTTTCGAAGGGTGAAATCCTAGAAATGCATACATAAGTACGTCCACGGCTACATAGGTAGCTTTACGTACCGTTTTTCTATGCATGAGTGGGGCTTTCCTATTTCAGGTGCCGCCGCTTTTATGGGGGCGCTCAGGGTCAGGCTCACTGAGTAGATTTCAGTTTAGGCTCACATTCACGGAGCTGCTCCTGTCGACTTTACGTGGAGTAGTTGACTGATAAGGATTGAGTAGGTTGATTGATTGAGATTACTAGAAATTTACTGTGTTAACTAACATGTTCTACAAGCAAACAATACACACAACGCTCTGCTTCACAAAAATGAAGAAAATCTATTTCGAGTTCGAGTACTCAAGGATGAACTCGAAAACTTGAAAAACTGATAGGAAATGGACATGAGAAAATTTATTCAGGTTCAGAAACGCTAAACTTCGATCCTTAGTTTGATATTTCGGAAGAATGTTCCTGAGGTCGTACAAATATTAGACATTTGATGCCTCTACTCAACAGCTACATATTAGGACTGCGGAAGGGCACTACTACTGCCGCGTAATAAACAATGCACTTCGCTGGATATTTTGTTGCCTTGAAATGAATGCACGATTATATGCCCTTGGACAATACAAACCAAAGCCAAGGATGGTAGTATGTTTCATCATCCACTGGATCTAGGATCGTTGGCACATACTTTGTGGACCACTCCTCTTGAACATTGTCATCGAAATAATTATGATCAACCCTTAATCGTCGTAACTTGCAACATTCCCAGTACGCAGGATACCACCAACCTCGATAATAGTAGTATCGGCTCCGTACTTAACCACCAAACCTAGGGATATTATTATGACAGGGGGCGGACGATTGAAATATATGGCGCGTATATTGCTTGATGCCCCGTTGATAGCCCTGACTTCTGCTGGTGCAGGGAGAGCAGAGACTCTGTTCTCCCTAATGAAGCTGGACTCTGGAAAGATCTGCATCTGCTTAGAGATGGTGCCTAGATTGAAGTATCCGTTATCGACCTAGAATGCGAGCGCAGCAAATTAAGAAACTTGAGTTTATGTTTTGGAATTTTGGGTTGAATAACTAGCGGAAGAATCTATCGCGTGTATTCACGTATGATAAATTCAGCTGCTTCGCCAAGCTATAAACCATCGGATAGTGTTCACATATCACTTATCATATTTTTCTTTTGGCTATCAATTTTTGAAAAAGCCGCCTAGTCATTCCTCTTACTCTCAAGACGCAATAGGTACCTTTCAAGTCGATTTGATGATATACAAGGGTGCTCCATTTAATGATCACTGATTGAGCAAATGCATAAGCCTAATAAAAAGACTTAAATTGGAAATACACAAGGACAGACAGCTCAACCACAAAAAAGGAAATTAATCTAAAGGTCCAAGGGTGTAATTCATAATATCTGATCTGGAATAACATCATCAAAGGAACAACATGAATTAGTCAACATCCATCTAACCATACCTAGGTAATTGCCAGGCCTAAAATTAGCCGCTACTTTACTTTTTTGTGATCATGGAACTAACTTGGAAAGAGCATACATACTCCCTGTCTGATACTCAGTGAGCAAAAGTAGCGAGGGGTGCTGACTAATACGGAAGGGGCCAAAAACCGGCATAGGAAATGCGGCAGCGGCACTTTCATCTTTTAACATCTCCATGGATAGCTGAGCACAGCATGCAATAATTATGAGACCGGATAGGGTCACGACTCACGGGCAGTTACCAATGATCCATGCTCATCTATATTCAGATCATTCAAAAGTACACAAATTGCTACCTACCTTACGCTATCTAGAGTAAACAGCGCTTGGAGTGAGGGTAATCAGTAAGGGCCAGATATTACTATATTAAGAGCGGTATGATCATTGAGAAAACAAACTCGCGCAGAAAGAAGGAGAGGATAGAAAGGGTGCTTATAATTCAAAGTATAAAGCCAATAGCTTGCAATAAGGGGTAGCAATATTTGAAAGGACTTGATACATCAACATTCGAAGTATGGCGATGTTATCGAAAGGGCGGTGAGATAGAAATTATAGCTGAGACCAATTGAGTCCAAGCGTACTGATTTGAGATGGCATATGAACTTTCCTTTAGAATCAAGGTATGCTAGCCAATCAACAAACTTGAATCAGGCAAGATATTGTGATTCTCCATAAATCCAAATTTTGGGGCAACTTAGGAGTGGGACCTGGACAACGAGGCATTAGGCCTGAAGATGAAATTCAGCCAATCAGATCGAAGAGAGACGGGTCGTACTGAACAGTCTGGGACGATTAGTTACTAGCGGGAAGTTTGATTGGAAAAGCATTGATTTCTGTTGAAAGTGATGAAAGTGATGAGTACTATAAGCTCGATAAAAACGTGAAGTGTAGGCAGTAAGCAAGTGCTCAGTGGAGTAGACGGCCCGACACCGCCATCTCCGCACTTTCATCTATCCACATCTTTCACAGGCATCTGTGTTACCTGCAGGGCTGATGTTGTCATGTTGGACTGATCTTTCTTTGTTTTTTCTGCTTCCCATATTATTGGCGCGCGAACCGGTATCCGAGACGCGCGCAATCATAACAAACATCTCCAGAAAATGAGCACTCCATGGCTGGACAGCCTTTCCGACGACTGGTCTGTCTCTGAGACTCATACAACCCCAGTATCGAAGGCACTAGTGCCACAATCTTCGCCTGCTGTCCAGAATTCCCCTAGTCGCATTCCTGTGCCTGCCCGCCGATCCGTGCAAAACCATTCACATTCGCCAATCGACAAAAAGGTTACCCGACCATGCCATTTTTATCATCGAGAACCACCAACTCCAAAGCGCCGGACTCCCATTACCCCCAAAAAGTTACGATCACCACTCCCCGGAGAAATTAAAGCCTTCAGCCCCAAGCCCAGCAGCCGTAGATCCAGTATGAGGGTGAGTTCGAGGCTCACCCCCGTTGCGGCTGAGAAGAAACCGAAGCCGCCAACCATGGACACACACTCCCCTCTACGATCGGTGTCCAACGTTTCCAACAAGTCGGAGTATGATACCACAAGCACTGTCCAGATAAAACCGAAAAAGGGTCGAGATGAGAGAGGGTCGACACCCGAATGGCGAAAACGATTGGTGCGCGGAGAGTTTGGGGCGGGAGAACAACGCGATCTCTTTGCGCCGATCGGTCTGGAAAGCGTGTTCAAACCTCCCACGCCGGGATCAAGTGCTCAGAAAGACTTGAATCCATTCACTAAACAAGAGGACCATCTTTGGGATTTCACAGACACGACTTCAAGACGGAGTAGTACTGTGGATGATGATGATGTTGACGCGGATGAAGAACGCGTCAATGATGAAAACTATACTGAAATGGAGTCGCCATTCGGGACGGTCAACGTGCGCAGTAAACCCAAAGAGCTCAACAACGATGAGAATTCGGCTGTCGACCAGGAAGGGTCATCGCAAGCAGAAAATACGTCAATGCGAACCGCCAGCAGGTTGGAAGATCTTCGCAACGAGGGCATTACACCAATCACCTTTACCCAGCCCAATACACTCGAAGGAAACGCCCCGTCTGAGTTGGTCAAGTCGGCATTGAAACAAGTCACAAACAAGCTGGCAAGCTTGTCAATAGATAATGGCAGCCGACCAGGTTCATCAGCAAGCGACAGCTTCCTCTTCAACAACAACAACAACAATAACAACAAAGACACCGAGAATGGAATTGATGGATCATCACAAGAAGATAGTTTGTTAGACTTGACGAGCCAGTCCTTACCGCAGGATCTGTCAATGGGCACCGTGGATTTCTCTAGTCGACGCCCAAGTAGCCGCCCTCTCCCCGGCAAATTCTCCCCTTCGCCCTTTCCTTCCCAGAGCAAGTCTTCCGCAACCCTTGCCAACACAAAAATACGAAGTTCCCCACTATTCAACCCCTCGCATGGGCACGGATCACCTGTTCTTCCTCTACCCTCTTCCTCTCACGTTCGCCCATCGACATCGGGAGCAGCAGATGCGCCAACGAAAGACATCGCCATGCCATCATCTGGTAGTCCTCTCAAACTTTTCGGTGAGCATGACACCTTCACAAACAACAGACTCTTGCGGCGGATGAGTCAATTTGAGGAAACATTCCACGATGGGTCAGATGGTGAGGATCCACCATCACCTTCCGAAGAAGCGCGACGGAAGGGTGAGAACCGCAGCTTTTTGAACATGAGAAATGAGCCACTGAGAGAGATCTCATCAATATACAATGAGCGCCTCGCATCTCGCAACAGCGGCCGCCCTCAATTGAACCGATTTGGTGACGGGGAGCTAGACCAATTCGACTTTTCCGACACGAGTCCTTATGGGAATAAACTAGTTTATGAATCGAAAGACATTGAAAACCGCCCAGCTTTTCGGAAGAAGTCATCGGGTCGACAGCAGTATCTTCATCGTGGCTCGCAGCAAGAATCAGCATACGGCTACAGATCAAGCAGCTCTGGTTTCACTCGAAAGCCATCTAACTGGTCCCGCAATAGCTACAATACGCAAGATGCCACTCGGTCCTCTCGGGTCAACAGAAAGGAGAATGCTGCCCCCGAGGCTAAACGAGTCCCCAAAGCAGCATCAGACCCGAAACCGAAGCGCCGCCGAACAATTATGCAGGACGTCAGTGCTGAGTCTCATGAGAATGGAGACCAAGCTTCGAAATCAGCCAATGGGATGTCATTACTTCAAAGAAGCCTAATTAAACAAGGTATCCAGCTTGAGAACAGTGACTTCCTTGCTCCCCCCGGTGCCTCTCTGTCTATTCAGAGGCCTCGAACCCCCACTCCCAGCCAAATAAAGCTGGCAAATGAAGCAGCGCTAGCGGCTAGCAGGAATTACTCGGAATCAAACTACGATAACATTGACTACTCGGACTCATTTACCATGGACGGGGACATTCCATTCGTGAAAATCACCGGTACCAGTGATACTTCGCGGAAAGGATCCATTACAACCCAGGATTACTTGAATGAAGCCACGAAGATCATGGATTTAATTCGATCCAAGGGTCGGCGGGCCGCCGGGATGACCAGTCTACAGGAGCGTGAAGGAGACAGCGAAGATGAAGAAGATGCTAGCTTTGAGGATGAATCTACTCAAGAAGCATTTTCCCGTCCCCCCAGTCGGGATGGGATAGATCTTCGCAAGATACGGGAACAAAAGGAACTCAACCCGCAAATACTCAGTTATCTAAAAATGTATCAAGAAAAGGATGTTGAGGGGAAAGTTCTTGGAGAAGGGGAACTTCATGAGCCAAGACAACCCTCTATCTCAGGTCCGAGAAAGCGAAAACCTAGCCCAACGGACGACGTTGCGGAGAAGATTGCCTACGACCTGATGACAATCAATACTCAAATATCCGGTTTCAGTGTCCGTTCCTTTCCGACCGGCTCTTCCCAAAACTCCCAGGCCAAAGGCGTGTTGACATCTGACGTTCTCTCACATTTGATCCCTGCGCAAGTGAATGGGTTTACATATGACCGCACGAAAAATCAATGGGTCAAGGAAGATTCTGAACATCCAACATCGCCATCTGCAGAAAGCGACGAGCATGATCCCTTCCAGGACATCCCAGATTTGAGTGTGGATGAGCTCCAGGAAATGCTGCGTGTCCACGGCCTTGACTCTTCTACGAAGAGTTTGCCTGACCAAAGCCACGACCTGGACGTACCTAAGCTCCGCACTGAGAAAGCTCATGAATTAAATGTGCCTCATCAGCCAGCTGCAAATTCTTCACCGAAGAAGGCCGATGCTCGTCCTCCCATTGGTCGTGAAACCTCGGTGGGAGGTGAGATATTCATTCCACGCCCTATCTCCCGCATTGAAGAGCAGAGTGAAGAAGCATCAGAAAATCTTAGTGTTATCCACAGAAAAGATTTACTCGATGTCCAACGAACCCCTACTCAACATTTCGAGAATTCGCTGGTCCCCATTGGAACCTTGGGCCATGATAACAGCTACAGTTTCCATCTTAGCCCACTGGCAGACTTCTCAGTCAACCAATCAGACCATCATATGAATCTCGAATTGAGTTACGTGGCTCAGCGTACGAATCCCCAATCTTTAAGACAGGTGCATGGTACTTTTGCCCTGGCCATTGAAGAGCTGGTCAAGCATATCACTGCTGCTGCGCCAAACGTGACATTCTGGGACGATCTTCGTCGATTGGTTCTTCGTCAGAAAGGCCTAATCACATTACACAAGTTGAATGATTTCTGTCCCCGTCTCGAGGAGCTGGATGTTTCTGACAACGAGATTGGCCAGTTGAGTGGAATTCCCCCCCCCTGCGAACGTTGAAGATCCCGAGGAATTCTCTCTCCGAGCTCACTGCTTGGGGTCACTTGGTCAACCTACAATATTTGGATGTTTCAGGAAATGAAATAGAGACTCTTGATGGGTTTTCAAGCTTGATTCATCTCCGAGAATTGAAAGCAAACAACAACAACATCCGCAGCATTAATGGGATTCGTCAATTGAACGGATTGCTGACCTTAAAGCTGAGTAACAACTCGATTTCGACAGTTGATTTTGAAGGAGCTGAGCTGTAAGTTCTATCAATTGTATTTTCACAAGTAGATGCTAACTTTGGTTTCTTTTCAGAAATCGGCTTCGTGATCTTGACCTGAGCCATAACTGTCTTACATCCGTTCGAAATGCTGAATGGCTTCCATCTCTTATGACCCTTGACCTCAGTGCAAACAGCATCGAACGATTTGAAGTTTCAGCATCGCTAATCAGTTTAAGGACATTGAAACTGTCTGAAAACTGCCTCGGTTCATTTGATCTGAAGGACTTTTCTTCTGTGAACCTCTTGTACCTTGACCAGAATTGCTTGTCGAATATCATAGGGCTGGAGCACTGTCAAAACCTCGACGTACTCTCTTTGCGAGAACAGACTCAATCATCAGGGGTCGCATCAGAACTGACCTTGGACATTGACCTTGGCCTTGTGAAAGACGTACGCAAAGTATTCCTTTCGTCTAATCGGCTTTCACCTCGATGTCTCTCTCCGTCGTTGCCCTTGCTACGACTCCAGCTTCTCGACATCGCGTCATGTACATTGTCAAGTCTTCCAAGCGATTTCTCAACAAATTTTGCGAATGTCAAGGTGCTGAATATGAACTTCAACTCCCTTACGGATCTGGAGGCTTTGGTCGGCATGAACTGCCTCTCTAGGCTCATGATGGCTGGCAACCGACTCGCAAGAATGAGGCGGGTTTGCCAGATTCTCAGCCGATTAGGAAGAACGAGTCAGGTCAAGCAATGTTCCCTTCGAAAGCTCGATATAAGAGGAAACCCTCTCACAGTGGGCTTCTATCCTCCGGCTCTGACTGGAAACGGAGCCAAGACCGCCCGGAAAGAGACCAAAGAAGACAAGGCTATTTCACAAGACGGCCGTCAGGATCTTTCCGAGGCTTTGGCCAATCTTGATCAGAACGATCATACACAACCGGTCATTTGGGACAATGGTGCAAATACCATAGATCTCGATATCAACGATCCATCAACTCTTGCTCCCGCAGACCCACAGGCAGATCAGAAATACCTCATCCATTTGGATCGGACCACACGACTACGGCGCCGAGTATTAGAGCTACTCCTCTACGCTGGTACCGGTGGTTCACTGCAAGTTCTAGATGGATTGGACCTTCGTCCGTCTCTAGGCGAGGAATGCCTAGACATGGCATCGGCATGGAACCGACTTGAAAAGATTGGTGTTCTCCGCAGGAAAGCAATCAAAGACAAGTGAAACCAGGGATGCTGGGATTAATGGATGAATTTAAGCATTGTGCAGCGTTGAATGGAGTTTTCATTTTTTGGTTGTGAAAATAAGGTTTCGTAGTTTAGCGTTGAGTTGCACATGCATGGTATCGGAGTTATTTCATTACTCTATGCCTTAACTAGTTGAATTACCTGGAGCCAGAGCGTTATCATTCAAATGGAGTATATGGGACTGAGTTCTATTGTTTTTGCAGCCGGCTTCTCATATGCCAATACTGGAGTCGAAACTTGAGTGGTTTTCAATGGTGGAAATTCAATTTAAAACTATAGATGAGGAAGCTTCGACTCAACAACATAAATAGGGGAAATGGAGGGGTAATGAACCCATGCAGCCCGTTGACCGCGGTGATCTAGCAGAACAAGTTAGTCATTGACGAAACAGGGTGCAAGATTCCCAGATACAACGTACGAATGCAACAGGCCTAGCCCGACAACTAGTCCATCTGTATCTGACTTTCCGATCAAAGGTCCCAACAGTGCCTCCGATTAGGTTTAAAAGTCTGAGCTTTGAAAGACACTACTGTATGAGGTCCAATGTCCATTCGAATCGGCAGGATGGGGATGGCGTGCCAGGTGCCTGAGCGTATACTGCACACTCACCAAACAGCCTCAAAGGACTATCCAATGTGAGCATTAAGGGTTGCAACACATGAGGGGTTCAGGACTTTCCACTTCATCAGGAAAGTCAGAGTATAATGAGACTGAGTGAACGTGCGTCAACGGACTTCACTTCTCGACAATCTTTGAGACTTCTCCTATAGGATAAGGCGAATAGAGAGGATGCTAAGGTGGTTTGCTTCCTGGGCTTGCCACCCTATCACCAAGAGCATACTGTCATTCACCATCATATCTTCTGAGCTGACCAGTGAAGATAAATTGGGATTAAACGCCCTTTCGTGCTGCAAGGTGACTTGTCCTAGTAAAGCCATTACCCGCAAATGTAGACCAAAGGCGACTATAGAGCAGATGATTGAAGGTGGAGAACGCAGGCAGATAGATTTAGATATGGTGGAAGGTAAGGTAGCAGATTTAGAGTGAAAAATTAATCAGCCTGGCACAATTGGAGTATTATAAGGCTATGGAGATCTGACAACAATACATCAAATGAAGAACTTCCCGCCCGAGCCCGAAAATGAGACTGAAGTGAGCGTGCATCACTTCGCTTTCAAATCTGAAAGAAGGGACTTTAGGAATAATATATAGCGATGCTATAACCAAGATGGCGGTTGAGAGAGCGAGAGATATGTGCATGATCTGTTTCCCACTCGGAGGTATATTTCCCAAAGAAAACAGTTTATCACTATCCAATCCACTTATCAATTTATAAGTTTTTTTCGTATAAGCTGGTGACGGATAAGAGGTCCAGCGTTCGACCATAGTTGTGTTTTGGTTGTAGTTTTGTGAGAATAGGTACTTAGGTAGAGGATGATCGTGCATAGAGAGAGGGAGAGATGCACCTACGTAAGAGTACCTAGGTAGAGGAAGGGTGAGGGAGAAAGAGGCTAGCCTTTGATAAAACTGGAATTACATCAAATAGCACTGCTTTATATTACCAGCTTACTATGTTAAACTTCATCTAATATCGGATCCAGTGCCTTTTTGTGATCGGTACTCGATCTTTGGCCTCCATTCGAAGGACCTGGACTACTATCGTCCTTTGCACCCACTTCTTGGCCTTCCAGAACAGTCTGGAAGGCCGCACGCCTCGGTAAAAGATAACGTACATCTATAAATCGCAAAACACAGGTCATAATAATAACGAGGACTAGCAGTGCCAGAGCAGATTGCCAGCCATACTTATAGTATGGAGCCTGAGAAGCAGGCCAGACCAAGACCTGCGACCAAGCAGAGATAGCATAGTAACTTGCGACAGAAATGCCCACAATGAGAGTACGAACCTCTGGATCCTGGGGAATGATATCGGCGAGCCAAGCGAAGATAAGCGGCGCGGTACCAAGGCATATATAAGAGATGAAGTAGGACGCATATGCGCTAGACAGAGGAACCGATGTCGGGTGAGAAGTCCAGATGCTCATGATAATACAGGGTATGATGCCGATGACGCCCTGTGCAACAATGAGAGTCCAGCGCGTTCCCAAATAATCAGATAATAGGGCCCAGATCCACACGAAGACCACGTTGATAGCCGATCCTGCAATTGGGATCGTATTGATCTCGGTCACTTTCCATCTTGCAGTACCGTCTGGGTTCTTGAGGGACTTCAGGAATAGAGAAAAGTAGACATAGCCGTAGGTGCCAAGCACCGTGGCAACGTAGAGGATCGTGATGAAATAAACCACCCAGCCGGAGAAGGTGCGTTTGACACCAGCCCAGGACATTTTCTTCGGTTCAGCACGGCCATGTCGAGCAAGTCGATCCATGGACAACTCGGCATGAACCTTCTTAAACCAGAATGCACGCGGGTTCGGCTTGTTTGGAAGATCAGGGATCATGAAGAAGCCCGCGAATCCCCATACAACCGTGATGATGCCATTGATTACAAAAAGCCATCGCCACCCAGCCAGGCCACCGCGTCCACCTAGCGTGTCAGAGATTGCGGCCTGCAAAGCGCCCGACATCATCTGACCTACAGCTTGACAGGAGTGATAAAAACCCATACGCTTGGCTAGCTCGGTAGGAGTATACCAGTACACTAATCTCAATATTAGTGCTATGCACGGAGTTTTTGATGGATCAAAGATGTGACCATTGTCTACTTACTTAATAAAGTCATCATTCCAGGCCACGCACTGCTTTCGCACAGGCCGAGAAATACTCGTAAGACATATATCTGTTTCGCACTTGTAGTCATGGCAACTAGTCCGGTGAGCAGACCCCATATTAGCTCCAACCCAGGTAGCCAGAAACTGGGCCGGACATAAGTCAAGATGACTTGCGAAGGGATGAGCATAACGCAGTAGGCGGCATTGAAATATGTTGTGAATCTGATTGATTAGCCTGGATCGGTGGATGTTCCATATTGATATTTGGATAATCATACAGATTCAGCTCATTATTGTGAAGGTTGAGATCTTCCTTCATACCCGAAACGTAGGCATTGTTGATATTCTGCTGATCAAGATATTTGATCACTGTATATAAGAGTCAGCACTCAAGCCAAAGAAATTCACCACTCTTTTTCAAATCGAATCATATGTGGAGCTAAGTACCTTGAGACAGACAGCCGAAAGTCAAGAGAAATGTATCCAGGCGTCGAACAAGAGCTCTTTCATCGGGTGTCCTGTCAGGGGATTCCATGTCACTAGCTGGTACAGCCATATAGCCAGATCGCCAATATACCCAAGGTCTCATTTTGAAAAAGGGGGACTAAGGTCCTCTTGTACATATGTAGATCACCGCAGGTATGTACTAGGTGAAGGTGAGGAGTGAGGAGAGATAATTCCGATAAGCCCTTTCCTATATCAGACTGATAAGAGCATATCTGAGCTTGCAAGGTGATAAGAGGTGAATAACCCAATAAAATTCTATTTTGAGGCTGTATTGAGGTTAGATCAAAGCTCAACGCCAACCCCTCATTAGATTGACACTCAGGAAGGTTGATACGAGGTTTTCTTGACGATAATGGAGCGTCAAAGGTACTTTTGGCGAAGCTGTACTTATCTTCTACGATAAACATCTCTCTTCCCCGCACGGCTTTCTTCCCGATTATCTCCAGACTTCAACCTCCGACTATATAAGTATGAGCGTAAGAACTGATAGCTTACCCGTCTTATCACACCTAGGCAGCATTGAATGTGATTCGTCATGGAAGAATCTAGCCAAAGTCTCCCTCGATCAAGGTCCTGTTTAAGTTATTGGCAGCGGACAACTCGTGCATTTCCTTATTTGTTCTCAAATCAGTCAACAGCACCCCCATCAGCCTGTAAATATGTTATTATTGGATCCGGGATATGTGGAGGGCTCACTGCTTTTGAGCTACTAGAGGCTGGTGTCAAGGGTGAGGATGTGGTGATCCTAGAGGCGCGCGAAGCAGCCAGTGGAGCAAGTTCACGGAATGCGGGCCATGTCCGACCCGGTATGTTCTATTTACAGCCGAATAAGGATTAAACCTGACAATTTTCCGATTATCAGACGCATTCAGGGGCTTCAGTGCTTATTCCAAAGTGCACGGCGTAGATCAAGCCCTGAAAGTCATTGCTAATGAGAGACTGGTACTGGAGAAAGTGAATGAATTTGTGAAGCGGCATAAAGTGCCCTGCGATTTCAATTTAACGGAGACATTTGATGTCTGTATGACTCCGGAATTTGCTGCATATGAGGCTGAAAGTCTAGAAGCATACAAGCAGGCAGGAGGTGATACCTCGCATATCAAGTTCTATGACGGGAAAGAAGCCCAAGAAAAGACAAGGATCCCAGGAGCTGCTGCTGCATATGAATGGCCAGCAGGATCAAGCCATCCGGCAAAGCTTGCACAGTTTCTCCTCCAGTCTGTTATTGAAAGAGGTGGATCATTATATACCTGTTGTCCAGCGACAGACGTGAAACAGAACGAGTCCAAGCAAGAGTTATGGGATGTACATACACCCCGCGGCGTCTTGACGGCTGAAAAGATATTCCACTGCACTAATGCGCATGCAGCCCTGCTGCTTCCACATCTGAAGTCCTATATCTTTCCAAATCGCGCACAGGCTCACTCTTTAATACCGACGCCGGCCTTCGCAGCGGAGAAAACGTTACAAAGTACCTTCTCCCTTCGCTATAGCCTTCTTCACTTTTATTCTCTGATACAGCGCAAGGGTGACGGTACACTAGTGCTGGGTGTCTCGCGATCAAACCCAACCCTGAGTCCAGAGACATTGGCTAGCCGCTTCAGCACTGACGACAGCAAATTCAATGAGGAAATTGCACAGGATGCTTTGGATAGCTTTGGCAAAATCTTTCCTAGCTATGGCAATGCTGTGCATGGTGAGGGCCTGGATCATGCTTGGACTGGAATTATCGCCATGACAACTGACTCTGTTCCCTTTGTTGGGCCAATCGACTCGCTTCCTGGACAGTACATATGTGCTGGATTCAACGGACACGGTATGTACAGACCCCTTCCCAATTCCCATTCCCACAGTTCTTTGGAGTTAACAATTGACTTTACCAGGTATGGCACGCATATTCACATGTGCCCCAGGCGTAGTGAAGCTTGCCCTTGGGAAGCTATGGGATGATACAGGTTTGCCAGAATGCTTCCGATTCAGTCAGGAAAGACTTGAGCGGCTTTCTAGTGGGAATTTGCCATCTGTTTGGTAGTTAGCTTGTTTTCACGGAGATGTTCACACATTGAACATGTAACTAACTTGGGCCTTGGGTATCAGTGGATTGAATTGCTGTAACGAAGGGCAGATACAGAGGACTATCCTCGACTCCGACATTCTGCTGAGGCATAACAGCAAGGAACGGTCCCAATCTACCTTGACTATACCAATCACCTCACTATCACGCCAACTAATAGTACCGTCGATTTCACGGCAACGGAGCTGGCTCACCACTACAGATGTGGCCTCCTCATAGCTTTGAACTCTTCGATACTTTTTTTCTAGGCAAATTTGTCGGAAATAAAAAGACACCTAGAACTTGAACTTTCTACTTTTCCATTTTCTTCTTTCTCTCTTTCACTTCAATCTGTATTCGCTATTTATTAACTATGAATATCGAGCCCGAACTGACCATTCAGCAGCTACAGACAGTTGCTGAAGCAAGCCCCCTTCTGATAATTCGCTAGTGTTTCGTTGATGCAGAGCCTGTTGCAGGATGTTGGAATGACTGGTAACTCCGTCTTTATGAATAGAGCAAATTCTGTCTTCTCACTTTGTACAAGTAGCCGGTTGAAGTATGTGAGGTAAATTTAATTGAACATAGTATATAGTAACTAGTGTTTACATCAATCAAATCCCATAGGAGTCAACGAATGAAATGCGTGTGACAACGATTCCAAAGTAAATACGGGAATATTGACTAACTATACCGAACCAGATATTTAAATATAGAACGAAATTCAACGGATTACCAATTACCGTCTATTCTCTAATAATGCATGTTGAACTTTTGGATAAGGTAATCGACGAAATAGAAGATTGATTGATTGAAGTATTGACCTCGAGGATATAACAAATGCAAACCAAACAAACATAATGACTAATGAAGCATTCGGACAATATAATCTAGTCATGTGATATCTAGCACGTGACTACAGAGCAAACATTTATTCTATGTCCACTAGCTTGTAGAAAGGTTCACATCTTTTACCACAGCTTATGTCTAGTTTAGTAGTTCAAGTGAACTATGGCTCCAATTGACACTCCTCAATTTAGATTTCTAAATGAAGCTGCTGGATGGTTAAAGTCTCGCAGTCCATCAACATCAGCTCATTTGCTAGATGTACATACTCGGATGCTTTTGGAGGACTCGAAAGCACTCAACGTACGACAGAAAAAACACCACTGTGGAGGATGCGGTAGCATTAGACAAGCAAAAAGCAAAATAATTGTCCGTCCCAAAGGCAAGCAGTCAAGTGGAATAATCTACAAATGTCCGCGCTGCAGTCAAAGAACAGTTTTTTCAAATAACCGAAAACCTCGAGCTTCATCACGTGTTCAAACAAGTCAAACATCTACACCTAAGCCTGAGTTTCATTCTGCGACTGCTTCTGTTTCTGCCACTACCACCAATACCTCGATTTCAGAATTGAATGTTACGCAACCAGATACCCAACCAACCACCAACGCCAGCAGCAAGAAACGAGCGAAAACACGAAAAAACGTTGGCTTGCAAGCTCTACTGGCCTCGAAAAAACAAAGCCAGACTTCTCTTAATCTTCTTGATTTTCTTCAATAGCTTCAATCTCCATATCATCGGGTCGGCAAATCTTTGTTCCGGGTGGGCTAAGATATCGCGGGGCACCTGGACAAGCTCCAACCAGCTTCAAGCTTCCTAGTTTCGCTGTGCGTCGGCACCGAACTTTCTTCATCCACATCATCATGTCGGACTACTCAAACGATGATGACCATGACCCTCGGATTGATGCGCTCCACGAAACTGCTTTGGTCACTCTCGATACCTTGGTTAGCTCCTGCAGCCAGCAGATGGAACCGTACCTGGCCAACACCATCCAGTCTGCTCTTCGATTCCTGAAATATGACCCCAATCTGGCCGAAATGGACGAGGAAATGGGGGGTACGCAGGATGTGGACAGTGATGACAGTGGATCGGACGATGATGACTTTGATGAAGAGGATGGCTATAGTGATGTCGATGATATGAGCTGGAAGGTCCGACGATGCGCAGTCAAGCTGCTCCATACCGTGGTCTCCAATCACGGTAGCAGCCGTGCTTTCGAAGAATCTACTCTATACTCTCAAGTCGTGTCGTCTTTGATCTCCCGCATCACCAAGGAGACGGATGAAGGCGTCAAGTTGGAGGTGGTTTCTACCCTCACTTCACTAGTTCAGAAGACCAGTGAAGGCTCCGTGATCATCACATCTGGTAGTCCTCTAGAAAGTGTTGGCGGCTCCCGGAACTCGCGCAAGAGGAGACGACAGGATAGCGATGCCAATATGATGGACTTTGAGCCCGGTGCTGGAGCATCGTCTGCCATTGACTCTCCTGTCATTCCTTGCTCCCCCAAATCCGGGTCGCAGTCTGACTTAATCAGTGCTGTTCCCCTGATTATCCAGAGTCTCACCAAGGCCTGGAAGAAGGCCTCAATCACTCTGCGACAGGCGATAATTGTTCTATTAAAAAGCCTGTCATCGACCCGCTATGGCGGCCTGACAGACCACCTGCCACAGATCGAACTTCTCATTGCGGATGTTCTCAAGAACTCCTCCGCCGCTATTACAACTTCCCATGTCGGTGCTTTTGCTAGCACTGGCAGCCTACATATTGAAACGTTGGGACTTATTTCTACCATTGCGGAAACTCACTTTACCGAGGCTCTGCTTCCATTCCTTCTCACCCTCGTTCCCGGCGTTCTTGAATCTGTCACATGGCTGAACTACAAGGTCAGCAGCGCGGCACTAGGCGCCGTGGAGCAATTCATTAAAACATTTACACCTCCTCGGGTGTTGGCCAACTCTGCTGATATCTCGTCACAACTAGCAAGCCTTTATGATGTCGTTTTTGCCCGAATCACTGATACAAGCGCGGATCTGGAAGTACGCCAACGGGCCATTCATGCTTTGGGTGTTTTGTTGGCACGTACTTCAGGAGATCGGGGCGCTGAGTATCTCTCGGCGGATCGTAGATCGAAGGGCCTTGTCATTTTGGTGGATCGGGCCAAGAATGAGACCACTCGTGTTGCCGCTATCAGCGCTATCGACGATGTCGCTGTTCTGGCCACCCGCAAAGAAGATATCAGCAGTGAGCTGATCAACATGATGACCCTAGAATTAAGTTCCAATGTACGGAAATCGGATCGCGCCCTGCGGAGCTCATGCCTAGAGGCTCTGCGTAGTATTGCCATGAATACCATCACTAGATCTCAACTCACCATCGATACCATCACCTCGCTGGAGAATGACCTCCTACCTCTCCTCGCGGCCCCATCCCCAGACTTCCACATTATTACGCCGGCGCTGATCATCGTTGCTCAACTTGTTCCAATCAATTCGAAGACCATTGTCAACGAAGCTCTGATTTCATCAGTATGCTCTATTGTAAAACAGCCGCTCACTGGTACTGTATTGAAGGCCCTGCTTCTTCTAGTCAAGGTTGTCGGTGATGAGGGCGCCGGTGCTTCGCTGATGCAGAGCCTGCTGCAGAATGTGGGAATCACCGGAGATTTTGTCGTTGTGGGCAGAGCCATTGGTACTCTCCTGGTCCACGGTGGCCCCAGTCTGGGAGTCAAAATGGATGACTTCTCCACAGAGCTTAGAACAACCAAGGATGAAAACCGCAAGTGCCTTGCCCTTGTCATTCTGGGCGAGATCGGATTGCGGATGGGCGCTGAGTGCTCCCTGGCACCCAATATCTTCACCGATCATTTCACTTCGGAATCTGCTCATGTTCGGTTGGCTGCTGCTACCTCACTTGGAAATGCCGCCGCTGGCAATGTCGAACCCTACCTAGACATCATTCTTACCGGTCTGGTCAAGTCCAATGAACAATGCTACCTCCTTCTTAACTCTGTGCGGGAGATGCTACGTCACGTTGAAGTTATTCGTCCTGATCTTGCTTCCTCCGCTCTTAAACTCTGGCAGGCACTTCTCGTTGTATCTGGAGAGGAGGAAAACCGCGCCGCGGGTTCAGAGTGCCTTGGCCGACTTGCCCTAATTGACCCACCCACCTACCTTCCTCATATTCAGGTCAGTCTAGCCCCATATATCTGAGGATATCTCCAATACTAATGCTATTACAGGAGTGTCTTTCCACTTCTGACACCGCCGTGCGTGGGGTATTGATTTCGGCTTTCCGCTACACGTTGGCTGATTCGAGTGAGAATTACAAGGATTTACTGGGACCACTGATCGTGCCTATTTTGAGCAAGATGCTTAGTGATAGTGACCTGGGCAATCATCGCCTGGCTTTGACCGCTCTAAACTCTGCTATTGTCAAAAAGATGGATTTGCTTCGTTCCAGTCTCAACGAACTACTGCCAATTGTATTTGGAGATACCCATATCAAGCCCGAGCTGATTCGCGAGGTACCGATGGGTCCGTTCAAACACAAGGTAGACGATGGGCTGGAACTGCGCAAGGTAAGTGTTCAAATTTCATACTTCGTTGATATTGTCTAATCCATTCCTAGACTGCCTACGAAGTTCTTCACGCATCTTTGGACACACCATTCACAATATCTCATTTCTCTCAGTTTTTCAACCGCACTGTCAATCGCATTCTCGCCGGTATTGAAGACGAGCAAGATATTCGAACCATCAGCAACTTGATGACCGCCAGACTGATCTCTATTGCTCCCAAGGAAATCGAGAGTCGCTTGGATGCCTTCTCGGACGGCTACCGCAGCGTGCTGTCTGTCCGGCTCAAGGAAAACTCCGTGAGACACGAGGTGGCACAGGCTCATGAGGCATCGTTGGGTGTTCTCAAGATCACCAAGCAACTCAGCAAGGCACTCCCAGGTGCAGAGGAATCTCCTGATCTGCCGAAATGGAAGGAGTATATGCGCTGGGTCCGGAACAGCTTTGAGACCGCTTTCAACAACTTGGATTAAATCGATTGATCCTATCGGATACGCATTGTAGCCAGTTTACAACACTATCTTGCTTCTAGGAATGTAGTAGTAAACAAAGTTAAGACTAGCCTAGGTTTGTTTCAATTACATAACCAAGTGCAACTTACTTCCTCGTATAGCAGAATCAGCCTAATAACCAAATATTTGACAGGTATAGACTTCCAAGAATTGCTTGAAACACGTAATGCAATAAGAGTGGATGGTAAGAGTGGAGTATTAGGGGTCTGACTTCCCCCTTAGGATAGATTACTCCAGTCAGGCTAGTTATGCCCAAGGATTCAGAATGTGAGAAACATGTGGAGAATGCAACTATGAGTAGTACATAGTACACAGCCTCTACTACTATTGAATATTCCAAAATTCTCCGATTTGTATTTAGATATGGCTGTGTCGCGTGATCGATGTTCTTATACTCAAACCAGATTATGGGACTTGGAATCCACTCACATCAGTGAACCGATTAAATGCATAACCAGTGATATTAATGTGGGGATTATCTTAATGTAGGGTCCAAATCGTCACATCCACAGCCACTATACAGCTGGCTGTATAACCACACGGCTCTAGCTCCTCCATCTTACTTTGACTGGCTGCCGAAGAAAGAAGTGCCTGGGTTCACTGGTATCGAAAGAATTCAACCAAGCCGCTGCATTATGACCCAACGAAGGACCCGCACCATCTCTCTAATCTCGACCGTGATATCATTGAGCCGTTGCGTGAGACCTTGAAGGATGGCAAGGTGTCTATTAAGCATGTTTTTCTGCTCAAGTTAGAAAGCTTTAGATACGACATATTCCCACTGCGCAAAGAATCTCAACTCGGTGACGTGATCAGAGAATCTTATTCAAACAATAAAATTCCAGATGATGTTGAAAGAAGACTGGCTGGTCTCACCTGTAACGCAGACAGACTGTCGGGCACCCCATGCGGCTTTGATACTTATGCGAATAACTTCACAGCTCGCGGCGGGCTTGATATTAGAAACGTATACACGGGTGATACATTTACTTTGAAGAGTATTCTGGCCAGTGCCTGCGGCGTTGCACCCTTGGTTGTTGATTTCAACCGATAGTGGCTGCACCATATCTACGAGCCATGTATGCCCCAGGTTTTTAATGTGCTGAGCAAGATGCCCAGTGCGCCAGAGAAGGATGCCAACGACTACACCACCTAGCCGTGGTTCTCAACCTTCATGCAAAGCATCACGGACAACTACGACAACCAGGATTGTCTGCTACCTGCGTTGGACTTCGATGACAAGGTGACTGACGACAACATCACAAAAGCCTGGCAGAAGAGGTCTGGCAAGGGTCCCAAGAAGTACAACTTCTAGGGATACCCCGAAGTCGAGCTCCGTGATTACTTCCTCAAGGCTTTGCAAAACGCAGAGGAGAAGCAAGAGCGCATGTTCCTGATGCACCTCACGGGCCAGAGTCACCATCCTTTGGATATGCCACCAGACGAAAAATACGAGGAACTGATGCACTCGAGCGTGTTCAACCACAAGGTGAATCGGTACCTCAACACTGTTGGCGTCACAGACCGATGGCTTGGTGAGGTTATGGACGTTCTTGAAGAAGCTGGGATTGCCAATGAAACATTGGTCGTCTTAGTCGGGGACCACAGCATATCTCACGTCGAAGACGCCGCCGTCACCCCCTACGACAACCCCCCATGTAGCAAACTTCCACGTTCCACTAGTATTCTCGCACCCCCAGCTGCCACCTATCAAAGTCGACAGCCGCGTAACATCAATGCAAATCGTCCCAACAATCCTTGATTTGCTAGTTGAGTCCGGCTCTTTAAGCCAAGAAGAAAAACACGCAATCCAGGATATCCTCCCCCTCTACGAAGACCAATCTATGATCAGAGATCTATTCCCCGAAAAAGACGGCAAGTTGGACTGGTAGTTCATAGTCATAAACACAGGCGGTACCTGGCTCGCAATGAGATCAGCACCAAATCCATACAGACTGATCGTTCCTCTAGTACCAGACGTGCCATGGCGATTCTCAGATGTAGATCTGGACCCCAACGAGACACATACCCTCCAATCATTTGCTCTGCTCCCTCTTCTGTCACAGGTGGAAAGTTCACATGGGGAAGAGGCAGCTCAGTGGATCAGGGATGCTGCTCATGTTGCGCAGTGGTGGTTGACTGAGAACCGGGCTCGCTATGAGTATACTCCTGAGTCTTGAAACAAAATTTCTAGTATTGCATATCGTTCCTGTTCTAGGGAACTTGGCGTTAAGGGATTCTAGCTATCTATATATCAAAATACCTGATTAACCTAAGAGCGATGAAAATCTTAGTATCGATAGGGTTTAATATGAATGAGTTGCTGCTGTATTTTTTTTGGAAGTGATTGGTTAGACAAAGTGAGGCAGGCTTAATTTGAATGCAACCTCTGGGGCTGATGCGAGAACTTTCCCACGTTCTGACCCTTCCAAGGTTAATTCGGTCCTTCGAAGTAGAGACAGAGGAACATTTACCATCCTTCATAGCTTTTATAGCTAATTTCCCAGCATCCATGGGAGCATCGACCGAAATAGAAGTAGTACCTAACATCGTATCTACTGCATATACTATACCGCACCGTCTATGGTAAACCAAACAATGTAATTCTCGGGTTGCCCTCATCCAGCGATATCACCGAGGACATGCTGATTCAGTTACCGCATGGCCATCCTACTAATTAAGTATGTGTTCACAGCTGAGAGGGGAGCTGAAATTTTGGCCGAGCACGTCGAAGCGAAGGTCTACACGCTGGCATATTAAGAGACATTTCGTAGATTCTATCTTTCATATATGATGGCTCCTCTGTAATAGTATGTTTTCTGTCTGCATCTTTTGTAAGCTCCAGTAGCTTTAAACTCTTATTGTCTCGATGGGATCAAAAGAGCGAGCAAGCATACTTTTGTGCTCTGTAATGAGCTTTATACGCAAATTTTATCGTAAACGAAGAAATAAATCAAGACAGGAAGCACTGATCAGCCACGTCTCTTATATTACTAGAATTCCCTATAATTATTTGGCATACTTATAACTCAACTGATTCTAGATTGATTACATCACTTGATATAGTTAAAGTTAGCCAGAGTAAGAGAAAATGTGATGAATCTAGATTACATTGCATCGCGTGGCTTTACGCTTAAGTACCCAAGATACACGAGAATAAGATGATAAAATTACATATGCTATAAGGTTCTCTGACATTGTTGTAGAGCAATTTTCAAACCATTTAATGATATCAGTGTGAGCTTCTACGTACATTGGCTGCAGATCTGGATTGAGAAAATGCTTCAGTCCCACTTTCCCAACTCTCAGCTCGTGACCCATGTTATACGAACTCGAGTCCATATCCTAAGGATCTCTTAGGTGACGGAGCCTCGTTAATTTCTCGAGAAGCAGCTTTTTGCCTTCAGCTAAGCACTCTAAATGACTGATTCAAATTGCACTCCTTCTGGTTGGTTGTTTTTGGATACCGTTACCTGGTGTTCTGGTGTAAAGTTATCCTGAATTAAACCTTGAAAAGTACCTACCTGAACTAAGAATTGGAAAAGTGAAATAATACTACATGAGAGGAATCCAGTAAAGACCTCAAGACGTCCTCCTATCCTCGTAAAACAATTCAGATAAACAGTGGAAACAAAAGGTATCTACAAATAAAGTGAAAAAGCTACGAAGCATAAATCATCCATCAATCGTTGGACTCTGAGTTTGAGACCCCATGACACCTCGCCCAAAGAAGTCACTTACAACACCAAAGCGATCCCGAGAGCGTTCCAACTCAGACTTGAACAGATCATGCTGATCAGCCGAATCAACTTGACGTTGACGGATAGCACGGAGGGTAGCATTAGTTGGGGCGCAGACGGGGCATTGGGCATCATCGTCGACTCGGTTGAGGCAGCGTTCGTGGAAGGAGTGGCGACATAGGAAGTGGACTGTAGGTAGATCCAGGGTTCCGCCGCATGATTGACAGCGGCGGGATTGGAAAGCGATAGGTTGGGTGGCTAGGTTCTGGAGTTCTTGTTGCTTGGTGGCTGTTTCAGATTTGTAGCTTGCAATGAGACGGCGGTTCTAGCAACAGTTTTAGTATTAGAGGCGTGAGGGGGTGGGGGCGGAATTGAACGTACGGTTGATATCTCTTTGCGCTCACGCTCGATGTTGTCGCTGAGGTACTTCTTTACGCGGCCCATTGTTGCGACGGCATTGTTGCTGAGAGCCTGGATTACTTGTAGTGGAGAGAGAAGACCTTCCTCGTCAATGCGATGCAGAACCACATCCAGCTCGTCACCTGCTTCATCTAGGACCTGCGGGCTAGATGCAAAATATGTCAAGGCGTCGATGTATAGCTGAGGCTCATCGGGGCCGTAACGTCTCAAGGCTGTGATGGCCCCTTGGGTATCCTTTGCCGAAGTAAAGGATCGAAATATATCCAATCGCAGTCCCTCTTGCTCACGCACCAGCGTTGATCCTTCGCGGAAATCAGACAGATCAGAGATAAGTAGGACGTTGGAGGTAGAAATGGGAATCTGGAACAGAGTTAGTTAGTCCAATTCAGTAAATATTGCGTGGATTCAACTTACGTCTTTGCCTTCGATTAACTTCTTTGCCTTGTCCTCCCAATTTTGCTTTTCAGTCACATCTTTCTTGCCCTTGGCGGTGTCGAGATACATCTCAAACAGGGTGGTAAAGAGGTCAATCTTGGCCTCCTTTTTCAGTTCCTTCTGCTGGACAAGCGTTTCTAAGAAGTTGATGAATTCCTTCGGGTGGTCTACAAACGCAGAAAAAGCAGTACGGGGCTTCGGGACATGATATGATGGCGGCTCAATAATGGGCGTTTCCTCGGGGGCAACGACAGTCTCTGGGGCAGACTCCTGATGAGGAAGACTAGGAAGATATCGCAGCGGAAGAATTCCTGTCAAGCTCTGCATCGCGCTAGTAGGTTCCAAAGGTTGTGCTAGCTCTGGTTGAGGTGTGATAGGAGTTTCGATTACAGTTTCGACTGCAGTCCGTGGCTGGTACTTCCCCGTGTAATAGATTTTGAAGAGCTCGGTTGTTTGTTCAGGACAATGTGCCAGCAAAACCCGCGCATATTTCATTAGGTTGTGATAAGCCTGAGAATTTCAAAATTAGCATCGCATTCCCATGGCAATAACAGTTTCACCCACCACTTTGGGTTCCAGTCGCCAGATGTAGTTCACTGCTTCATCGTAGTTCTTTGAGTCCTCAATCAGGATGTCAACAACCATGTCGTTCTCCCCGTGCTTCGTCGCCAGGTATGCTGCTTGCTCATAGTATCCACCCTGACGACACATGGCAATCGCGGTCTCCAGATCAAACTTCAGTTCGCCAGGAGCTTTGATAAATGAGTCTAACTTTGTCGTGTCTTTTAATTTCGCGTAGCAGTTAAGAAGAAGGGTTGTATGATCGACTGTTGCGCGGCCGTGATCGTGGAGCTCTTCAAGATACTCAATCAAGTTGTGAATCCGTTGTGTGTCCAAGTACTACGTTCCTAATCAGCATCCTTACGTCTAGAAACGCTGCAGAACTAACCTTGCGAATGACTTGAGAAGGCTCAGTATTGTCAATGGCGCGAAGATACTGCTGCATAGCAGTATCATAGTCACCACGCTGGTACAGGAAATCACCATACTTGCGATAGATAGCATTCTGCTGCAAATAATCGATCCCGATCTTCTGGGCAAGATTAATGGCGAGGATATAGAGGTTGCGATCGTACAGGATCTCAAGTCTTTGCTGCAAGCTTTTCTCTCGATAACGGAATACCTAGCTAACGTTAGAGCCACGAAGACGACGATGGGGAATAAAATGGAAAGTACCTTTCCATCTGTAGTGAGAAGGAACAAATCCCCCCATTCCATGAAAATCTGCTTCATCGGAGAAACAAGAGTCTCACTATGGGCAATGAATTTCAGATCGGTGTCCAGTAATGTGAAGGTCGTAGTGCCAAAGAGACTGTCTGCAGGATTGACGTACTTCCGCAAGGAATCGGTCTTTGCAGCACCAGCTTTCGGCGGACAAACCAAGGCCACATAATCTCGGAAAGAATTGATAGAAGTTTTGGGACCTTCAAATGCATAGCTCGGGCCACGACCACGAGGGCCGTATGTATAGACTGAATCTTCTCTGGCTATGAGAATATCACCAGAATCACTATCGAGCGTCATACACCCCAGGCCACATCCTGTATCCTCTAAGATACGAGCAGGCTGGCCCTGGCCCCTTCCAGCGATGACCTGAGTTAAAATTCTACTTGTGGTTGCGATATACAACACAGTAACTGGCCCATACTGTGTTTCAAGACCAGTGATCGGCTCCTCAGACTCGAAAACTATGCGCTGGCGCGCGCCACGATCGTGAATTAAGTCACCGCGAATAATAGTCACAGACCCATTCGCAAATCCAACAGCCACCTGTGAGAGGTCGTCGAGTGCCGTAAATGCAGATATCTAGACCTCCGTTAGCTGACTAGAACTTGGTCGCAGGAGGAGGGATTCTTGCGCACCGGAAACTGGCGCCGGGCGTTCTGCACCGACACCGTTGATAAACACCGCGGGTTGCCGCCTTTTGTCTCTGTATCCAAGCCCCAAACTTTCAGAACAGGCTCATTAGACAAATCCTCTGCCACAGTAACAAGAAGCGCAGTCCCATCGATCTGTTTCATATGCGTGATCGAGCCAGTATCGTGGGCCTTGAACGAGCGTACGACTCGGAAGGTCGAGGAGACAACGTGTACAAAACCATCTGTGGTACCGAGGAAGAGATTTGCTGATCCAGTACAGAGGCTAGAAAGATCGCTCTAATTGTGGAAGGGTCAGATAAGGCAAGAACGATAGGTTGGGGTATGGTATGGCCTTACACCGAAGAGCGCGGCACTCTCCTCTGGTAGCTTTACCGGAGAGACGTCGATGAAGTTGAACGCTTTCCACTGCGTTACAAGTCAGTATAAGTTCCATAATTTACGCGAAACGGCATCCGTACTGATGTCAATGCCATTTTGGCTGCTGGCCATGAGCGATGGTGACGAAGTTGGAGATGCAGGAGCTCCCCGCGGCGCTCGGGCCACCTGACATATACAAACCCTTCAAAAAGAGAGAACACTCATAGGCATTGTAGCATTCGACCAAATTGATTGTTCACTGCCCTAGTGCCATTTTTGCCAACCTGCTTCTGAAAATTTTCATCTGGCGGGATTTTCAGTCCACTTGAAAGGACAGTAATGATATCAATTTCAACTTATTTATGATTATCATATACATCGGTACTTCCAACATCTGCCTCAGATCTAATGTCGACACCACTGCTGACAGAGCCCCCTTTCCACCTCCAGAATCGGACTCGTGGGTTGAATTTGAGAAGCTCTTCTGCGGTAAACTCCGAGATCATTCTAATGGTATCGTCGGGTGCTATCCCCATGTAGTTTCCGGACTAGAGCTGCTAGGCTTCCCAGATTCAGTCTTCCGATATTTCGTGGACCGGGCCCATCGAGGTTCCAGCTTCTTGCCGAAGCTCTTCGCCTACAAATCTCTTACCAACGCTAACTGCCCTGACTCGAACTTAGCGCGATGACCCACCAACTTCTGGACTTCTCATTCCTCAGCGAGTTCATTTGTCAAGGAATACGCCGTTGTCGACTTTGAGTGAGCCCCTTGGGCTTTCAGATGATGTAGCAGTGCTAAAGGCTCAGCTATACCATATCTGGTGTTGGTGTGGTGGCAGATTCTGGTGTAGATGACTGCAGGGATTTTTCCTACATAAAACGCGTCATGTTGGGTCACTAGATTGGACCCTAGTATCAGTTCTCTAGGAGCGTACCATGAATTTTTCATCATTTGTCCGTTGATAGCTGGCATCCGCAACTGGGGAGTTTTTTTCCATTTCGTGGTCGTGCTGATCGCCTCTAAGTAGACTTCCTCAAGATCGAAATGACGGTTTGTTTACACTGCTCTTTCTACAATGCCCACGGATCTTGCGTGTGTCACTGGAGCGAAGCAATGGTATGTTCCCACGGACTGGAGCGTGCTTTGAGGCTCTTCTCAGTGAGGTGAGATCCGTTGTCATTGTAAACATTTGCAGGCCAGCCATACCTCCCCTCTACAGTGTCCAAGCGCTGACGCATTGAGCCGCCAGGCGTTGATTGTACCTGGGAGAGATAATAATCTGAAAGTGGGTAAATCTTGGAAATTATATTGATAAAATCAATCAGAATCGAGTGATATAAGCCTGGAATGCATGACCCCGCGGGTATGTTTGAATGAGATTAGGGTAAAAACCAGTGGGTATGACAGATATAACAGTTCAAGCGAAGTATGAATTAAACCACTAAACTCAGCTACAGAAAATCACAACAAGAAAAGAAACGATCCGAAAATCATTAGGTCATATCCATGTAATCCAAGAGCAACAAATTTTATGCACAGGGAAAGATAAGAAGAAAGTACATGAATAGAACATGATTTGAGCAACGCATGACCAATATAAGAACCAATGTACTAGGTTAAATAATATAAACCCGCGGGTAATGCAATATGAACGGGATGGAAAGAGCAACAGAAAAAAGATAGGGCTGTGGTGAATGGGGAAAAAGGCATGGGTGTTTAAGGGTCTCGACCCTTTTCACCTCCCCATGAAACGCGGGGACGGTGACGGGAGAAGGCTGAGGTGGAGCCAGATGAGGAAGACTGTTCGCCGCTTTGTGGGGAAGATTGTTCGGATGGTCTGACTGCATCTGCGAATTGGACGCGGCTTGACATTTGGCTGGGTTCTTCGTCGTCTTCGCTGTCGGTCTCTTCGGCCATGGCTTCCTCTGAATCTGAGTTTTGTCCGAGAGCTGCGAGACGACGACGTCGCTCGGCTGGTGTTTCGCCGGTGTCATCTTCGGCCTGGCGTGGCGGGGCTGTGATGCCGGCGGCCTGGCGGAGACGAGAGGGGGAATTCGCATGGTGCCGTCGTCGTCGGAGTCACGACGGGAACGCATGCGGGCTTGAGGAGCTGGGCTCAGGTGATTGCGGCGGTCTTGAGCGGATGTACCACGTCTGTACCTGGCAAAGTGGTCTGCCACATTGGGTGTGGGGCCTTGGCCGTCGTCCGTATCAGACTCGTCTTCGCTGAGCAGACTTTCCGTTAAAGAATCGACATCATTGCCATGCTCCTCTGGGATAACACCCGTTGAAGGAGTTACGGCCGTAGCGGCCGCGGCAGATAGACGGCGTTCTTGCCTATCTTCTTGCTTGACTTCCTCTTGGGCTGCTTTCTGCACGGATGGGGGAGCATCCGATGCCTGTACAGCCTCGCGACGACCCTTGGCGTCCATACCTTTGATTCGCTGGAAGAATTCGTGCTTGTTCATGCGCTGGCCCTTGTGGGTAATACCTTGGTTGTCTACCTCCCGACTCTGGGCCAGAGTAAACCGCAGGCCATCGTCGGTAGCCCAGTCGTCTGTTTCGGTTCGCGGTGGAGGTTTATTCTTCTTCTGTGCACCCTGAGATGACTCTCCTTCCTCTTCAATACCCAGCCAAGTACCCATGCGAGTGAGACCACGTCGAATAGGATCCTGAGAAGCTGGCCCAGCCTCTTCTTGCGGCTTGGGCTTGGGCGCCTTTGGTGGCTTGTCACCATCTGGGATGGTGTACTTCTTGATGACTTCACCGTCCTCGTCCTCAACGATGATAGTGTTGCCGAACTGATAGGCATGTGCAGAGCGATGTTTAGCAGGCTTTTCAGCAGGCTCAAGCTTTGGCTCCTCTTGTTGCTCTTTGCCAAAGCCTTTCCAGTTTACCCACCGTTTGCGAGTCTTTTCGTAGGGGTGTCCAGCCTTTTCATCCACAGCCTGTTTGACCTCTTCACCTTCGTCCTTTTCATGGGGACGGTTGGGAGATGGTGCAAGCTTGCCTGTCCGGTCCTCCTTCAGTCGTTTTCGCTGCGTAGATACGTGATGTGCCATCTCTTCCGGGCTCATGTTGCTGGTATCTGCGGCTTGGAGTACATTGCCTTCTTGATCCTCTATGATCAGGTGGTGTCCTTCTTGGAAAACTTCCACATCTGGCTCTTCTTCGATCGCATCTTCATCCTTATCTTCTTCTTCATTTTCAACTCGTCTCTGAGGCATGATGGCCGACTGGCTGATTGGTCCGCCAGCGCTGTCGCGCTGACGGCGTCTTCTTCGCTTCACAGGGGCGCGATTGGATGATTGAGTACTTTGTGCCTCGCTTTCATCGTCTTCGCGCACACGACGGAGGAAGTTACCTGGCAATCCAATCGGTGGAAGGGTACCGGGAGGGTATTCAGGCAGTTGCTCACTGGAAGAACCCTCCAATTCGTCAGCTTTCCGGAAAGACATGGAGCCCTTGGCTAGTGATTGAACACGCGGCAAGCGGTTCATCCATGAAGGGCCGTCCTCGTTGGCAGTAGTGTAAGAAAGTGTGATTGTCATAGTATTGATGCGCTTTCCAAGTGTAAAAACGGCAATGGATGATCCGTGGACCAAGATGGATGATATGACCATGAAACTTGTGATAGGCCAGATAAGGTGGATGAGATAGTAATTCGGGTCCCCTTCAACAGGCAGATCGGATTGAGATGACGGCTGCGTGTTGCCATTTTCCAATTCAGCGCGGGCAAGAATTGCAGCGAAGATAGCACCGACACCAATTGGACCGAAATGGCCGGCAAAAAGGGCTTCTCGCCACGTTTTGACATCTGGAATGATCGGTTTCAATATGAGCATGATGGGAATGCGACGGAAAAAGATCACCAGTAAGGCAATCACCACCAACCTCCACGGAACAAGTCCCAGTTCGGGGGCGTTGTAGTCCTGCCACGGAATGATAGCGCCAAAGTAGACAAAGTATGCCAGATTGAGCAACAAATCGATAACGTTGGACACGTGTGACTCCTCAGTTTTCTCCGTAAACCAGCCATCGTTACTGAACCCGACACCGCACGAGAAGCCAATCAACAGATCGTCCATTCCCAAGAGACTTCCAGATCCAGCGCAGAAGACTGCCAACACAAAGTAGAATACGAGGAAACTCTCTCGGTCAATCAGTCCCTTACGCTCCGCCAGTCTGATCGCATGTCGCGCCAAGTAGCCAATGATGAAGCCGAATATGGCACCAAAGATACACTCGTACAGAATAGTAACACAGAACCAGTTCAACGACACTTCGCCTGCATTAGGTCGGTAGTGCAAGATGTAGTAAGAGAGGTAGATAAATGGAAAGGCCATTCCGTCGTTACACCCGGACTCAGCGGACAAGAGATCACGCAAATGCTTAGGAACCCGCTTGGCGAACTTACCCTTACCTACGACAGAAGAAGCCAGGACAGGATCAGTAGCAGTGACGCAGGCAGCGCAGACCAGACTATCCAGCCAAGTAAGTGGTGGAATCATCCACCACACGAAGAGGCTGGTGATAAGCCAGCCCCAGGTCATGACAGGGAGTAGCAGCAAGACGACAGACTTCCAATGACGCTCCATGTAAGCCTTGGGCAACTCGACACCGACGGCAAAACATTGCACTACCAAAACAATGCGCGAACACTCAAGCGTAATTTTGTCAACATTGCCCCACTCGCTGGGATTAAACAAATTGGCAGCATGCGGACCGAAGATGATACCGCAAAGCGTAGCGACGGTAGCTTCACCAATGTACAGCTTTTCCTTCACGAAGAGCGAACACAACATGAAAAGGCCGGTAAATCCACCTAGGATAATGTACGCCACATGGGGCTTGTCGATGTCCAGGTGCTCCCACGCCATGACGAAAGGTCGGATTTAACCCCAGATTTCAATCACGCCCAGCTTGCTTCTTCAATGGAGTTTCTCGTATGAAATTCTTCCTCCAGGTATGCTTATCCTGGCCACGGATGGCAGTAATTCAATGACCGGATTTGATATCCTCCTCAACCGCTGATGGTCTCTTTGTGACTCTGCTTTCATTGGGGTAGGTGGGAGTGGATCAAGAGACAACTCGTCGTGCCCTGTAGGGCTGAATGTAAGGGTACTAGCACACTAGAGTGGGAAACTCCGATTCGTTTAACGGTGAACGCCGGGGCTGGATTGTCCGAGTGGGGGCTAATAGGAGGGAGTGCTGAGAAGGAGAAGGCAGCAGTATTATTGGGAGGAACAAGCAGCCTTATAACCTTGGAAGCCTTGTCGGTTTGAAACAACGCTCAGAAGATAAAGAGAAGAACAGAAAAATCTTGGAACCTCTTGGCCGGAGCAGAGAGCCAAATACGGTGCATCCAGGGAAATTAGGGAAATTGAACAGTATTCTTGGAACGGGCGGGATTCGTCAGCCCAGACTTGCGCCCCACGTTGAAGCGGAATTTGTCTTGGCTTGGAGCGGAGAAACCAGGAACAAATGAGTTGAGAGGAGTCACAAAGTGCGGAGAGAACCGTTTCAGGTTGTTAATTTGAAGAGGAAGAGGAGATACGAACAACCGAAAGATTAACATAAAAATGTACGGAATAGGAATGACGGATATTCCCATTTTCTTTTCTATTTGCGGCCAAGATCCGCGCTTTTTTTTGGAGCAAAATATGCCAAGCCACTATAGGTCAATGCTATGTCTGTGATTAGTCTGTTAAGATATCTCCATCTTATCCACTCTTTAATTACGTCATTGTATATATTCTATGTTACAACTATGTATACACAAGTACAAGTACGGAGTACTACTTGATGATATGGTAAACCGAAATAATATAGCAATTATATAGGTAGTTATAGTTCCCAAAGATTGCCAATTACATGGAAAGGTAAATTGGAATGTGTACAACAATCCAATCAGCTGGATTGCAAACCGGAACATCAACATCAAAATGGAACATGAGGGCCAAGAGGCAAAGACTGGAGAAATGCGGGGGAGCAGGGAATATAAAACAAGAACAAGCAAACAGGAACGATCTGACCATTATTGGCTCCAACGCATCCCGCGCGTAACTCGGAAGTAAATTTACTCGCCTGTCGGCATACTTTCCACTTCATCACTCAACTGTCGCCAGTTATCAGCCTGCAATTCGGAATACTTAACTCGCTCCTGGCTCCAATCCTGATGCAGCCGACTGATATGGTATTGACTCTGTTGGAAGTGGAAGAGTTCATCTCGGATACACTCCTTGATGAATACCCCCCGCGCATGCTGTTCCACAATAGATTCCTTGTCCTGCACGAAGACCCGGGGTCAGTCAGATGAAAAAAAAGTTTAGTATACGGACAGCCATACTTTGAAAATAGAATCCTCCACTTTCTCAATCTCTCCGGGTTTTGCTGTCCCTGCCGGACGCGCCCGCAATTCCTGAAGTTTGATCTTATTGGTCTCAATACGTCGCTCCAGCTGGGGAATGTTGTTGCGGGCGTATCGGTCTCGTCTGTCAAACATCTCGCGCACACTGACCAATCCGTCACGCTGACGCTTAAGATCCTCGAGGACACCTTCACTCCAGGCCCGCGCTTCATCCTCCAACAGGCTCTGGCTGGCAGAAAGATGTCGAGCAGTGGCTGTGATACCCACATTCAAGGAGGGGACATCATTGGAATCAACGAAGTAGGTGTCCTTGGTCACTTCAGTCAGTGACTGCAAAGCCAATGAGAATCGCAGGTTGTCGGCGGCCAGGCCATCATTGCGCTTGGCCAGTCGCTCAAGCAGCGTGCAAAGGTTAATATAGATCTCAGCAGACCGCTTGACACCACTACGGACGGTGTCAAAGGTTTCAATGAGGGTTGGGGGTAGGGAGTCTTCAAGATCAGGTGGTAGTTCCCGACCAATGAATTCGTCTTGAACGGAAATGGTGGCCTGTTTACGCCAAACGGATAGTTCCTGACTGCATGTAAGAATGCGCATTCCATACGAGGCTGACTTGACTTACGGTAGGGACGGTCAAAAACATAACAACCAATTGCTCCTGGCCAAGAATAGGATGGCGAACGAGGGAGTTGGTAAATCTAACCAGTCCACGACGGCGCTTCTCGAGGAAAGAATTGGAATCCGCTGTAAGGTGAGTACCATTCACTTCAAAAAGAGGTGAGCAATCATTTTGGACCGCTTCAAACCAGTGGACATACCTGAAACCCGCTTAGGCGGAAGAAGAGGCAATTGCCTGAAAAGAAACCGCTTGTGAAGACAGTCCAAAAGCCAGACAAAGTCACTGTACCGACGAACCACAGTGCTACCCCGGCGGGCTGACTTGATTTCATAATTGCGATGCTGGAACATGAACAGTCCCTCTTTCTCGGGAAGAAGATTGATCGTGACAGACTCCTCCACTTGCGGATTTGTAGCCCGAGTAATACCGGCTGGTCGCCGCCGCGGTTCGCTAGGATCTTCCACAGGCGGACCGAACGAATCTAGGGTCGGCCGCGGTGCAGCAGTATACACAGGCTCTTCCCCAGATGCTCCGCCGAAGTTCCCACCCCAGCCGGATCCAACACTACTAGGTAGCACAGCCTCGTTTCGGCCATTCGCGCGCTCTGGCTGAGCAGCCACTATAGTAGGAATTGGTTCAACAGGTTTGTCTGACCATGCATTTATCGTAGAACGCACGCTGCCATATCCATTCAACGCACGCTGGTCAGCGGGAGCGGCCAAGTGGCTATGGTTCCGGTGCATTTCCGGGGTTCCCCATGGATCCGACTCCAAGCCATTCAGCGACTCCCGTCTTGAGCGCCGGGATCGGGCTGAATTGGGCTCCTGTAAAGGAAATGGTTGTAGCTGTGTAGGGGGAGTACTCGGACGTTCCTCCTCAGGCTGCTCAAGAGTTGACTCAAGAGTTGATGACGACTGGGAGATCCTTTGTAGTCTGTCGAGAAAACCACTGTTAGGAAAAGGAAGCTCTGGGAGCGAGGCGCGTCAGCTGGTGGACAGAAGATAGTCGCGACGAATCGATAGGTTTATTAGGGCTAGAATTCACTCACTCTTTCGGCGATCATCGACTGCGTCAAACGATAGGTCCTCGCCTTCCTGCGCCAAACCAACTAGCGCCAGCAACACATTGAACTCAGCGCGACCCAGACCGCCAGAGCTCTCCTGATCGGCGGAGACAACTAAATTAAGAATTTTGGCTTGTTCCGATGCGCTCAATTCACTGCTAGACAGGATTTCACGCACAGAGGTCAATCCGACACCAGAGCCGACCGTATCCCCACTGTTCAGTATCAGATCGTAGGAATCAATATAGCTATCAGGGACATCGGTGGCGGGGAGTAGGGTCCGGACTAAATTCTTGCGAGCGTTCCTCTTCGCGGTGTTGTTTTGAGGGTTCCAGGGTGAAGAGGAGCTATCGTCGCCATCGTCATCGGCAAAAAGAGACGAGCCACCAGCTGTATCGTCTGCGAAGAGGGAAGACTTTGACCTCTGGGTGGAATTCACCGCAGAGGTATCATCGGGCGATGTTCCAAATAGGGACATCGTTTGTAAGATGATCGCGCGGGTTGGGTGAGTTCAGGTGGAGGTGGTGACAATGACGAAAGCCCTCGACGATCGGTGGTCGGTACAAACGCAGTAAAAGTCCGAGCTTCAGATCACCACATCAATCGCGTACCAAATAGCAGAAGAGAGATCAATCTTTCCAAACGATAGAAGAATATGAATTGGTAGGGGTGAAGTGGTAGTGAGCGAGATAACTATTGATGGGTCCAAACCTCATGACTCCACCCACAAACAAACCATGCCTATTCGACTCTCTTGCTTGTACTCCGTATTCCGTGTACAGTTATCTTTAGCCCCATTTGGATTCACATAATTGATTGAAGACTGTCGATCTGACATTCTACTCTGACTTCTTCAAAAGGGCTTCAAGAGCTCCCAAAAAAGCGCCTTCCAAAGTTCTTCGTTCAGAACATACCTTCCGACATCCCCTCGTATCAGCACATTCCCGACTCTTGACGTCCACTTGAGAACCCCTCCTAACAATTGCACATATGAGTCGTGAAAGACACATGAAGCCTAGTGTATGTCGCTTAAGACTAGCTAGTCTATTTGTCGAGCCAAGCGAACTGAGGCTATGCTATAAAGGGAATCTATGAGCTGGCAGTCCACGAAACAAATGTCATCATTCCTACCAGATCTTGATCAATCTGAGAGAAGAGAGAAAATAAGAGAAAGGAGAAGACAGAAGATATTATAAAAGAGATGATAGAAGAGAAGAAGAGGTCTTATGCTTCTTAGAAATGAGAACAAAGAATTCAATAAGGTGCAAATGTTCTATCAATAACAAACTACACACATACCCTTGGCAGTCACATATCAAGCGCTTGAACGCTAACCAGATATAATATATAGAGTATCTAGTAGCATTTTGTATACTTACTCACCTTTCTTTCTTTATCGATTCATGTTTATAGCGACTCGAGATTTTAAAATGCTCTAGTATCGGAACATAGATATTATAACCCTATAATACCATTACCCAGAATAGAATAAGTAGACCCGTAAGTCACAGGATATCAGTACCTCGATGTCATGGCGTTCCAACGTGCGAGAATTACATAACCATCCCACAACCACTGAAAACCCGCATCTCCTTCAGATCTACTTCTGATTCCTTAAGAATTAGTCTTGAATGCATTATACCTTCTTGGCTCCGTCTTATCTATCTCAGAAATGCTCTGTCATCGATTGTCTTCCGTCAAACATTCACCCTGTGTAAAACCAGAAGACCGTCCCCGGAAAATATGATGCAGTAAAGTTACGGCTCGATACTATCAAGGCATACAGTAGTAGATCTATCGAAGTTTGCAAGAAATGGAAATTCTTACCAAAATAGGACTAGTGCTAAGTTCCCTTAGTCAGCCGAAGACATAGTGGGGCTTCTCTCTCTTGTCTCTTCATCCTCATTGGCTTCGTCCAATCTTCTAATATGGACTCGGTTGTATTCGAGAAATTTGAAGGCACCGAAATTAGCGACGAGATCATCAAAGATGCCGCCAAGTTGTTCAGTTCAAGCTATGGCGTATGGGGCCTGTTGGCTGCGACCAAAATGGGAGTCTTCGCTAAGCCAGGTAGGTTACTCCCTGTACATGACTTATATAGTAGATAGTATATATGTATACATCTATATATATTAATACAATGTTAGGTCAACGTGTCCGTATGAGCCTGAAAATCCTCAAAGAGCAGTGTCTACCTACATCAAATGCATGTAACACCTATGTCCGTGTTAAAGTATTCGACAAGCTTGCCGGCAATGTTTTCGCGACGCGCTGGGTCTATGAAGGCCGCAACATGTGTTGGATTACGCAGCTTTGCGTTGATCCTCAATTCCGTGGCCAAGGTCTTGCCACGAAGGTACGAGGATTTCTACTAAATGCCGAGTAGCTATTTGCTTATTTGTTTCCTCAAGCTTCTTACCAATCTACGTGAAGGAGAGCAAGATAGAGGCTTCGGACTACTCAGTTCCCATCCCGCCGCCATTCTTGCCGCCCTTCGGGCATTTGGGCGCGGCCCAGAAGAAGTTGACCTTACCATGACTCAAGAGCATGCCGCATCCATCATGGCTTCTTCACCTATCAAATATGTCCGTACGGCTCGTTTACATGGTTCGATTTTCGATGACAACACACACGACGGAACTGTATCGTGTGCCGACACCCAATTTTGGGTAGATCATGAAGAGCCTCTGGAGACTTTGGCAAGTGTTCGTGCCAATGGTATTGTGTGGCCATTTGGAGAGCTCCTCGAGGGCCATGAGTTCCTGATAATGGTCAAGGCTAAAGTGAATATGAATCGTCGGACAGCCATGATCTCTTCTGAGTTCTAGAAAATTTTCGGCTCAGTTGGCTGTTAGACTCTATTTCCGCCGGTGGTACCGTTTTGCTCTTTATATCCTTTCAACTTACGTGTTGCTTTGTGGCTCCTTTTATGGAGCGCTCTCCTTAAGAGCTGGCCTCTATAAAATCTTCAATACATGCAGCTATTATTCCAAAGAAGTCTGATTTTGAAGATCTTTAGAGACTTGCCGTCCAAAGCGTGTAATTCACGAAACAATAGCATGGTGGGGCCCGAGTACTCCTTTAGGTATCTTTAGGTATAGACTGAGCATAGACTGAGTGCTTAGTATATACCTCTGATCAGTCTCTGATTAATCCCTAAGCAATCAGTGAGCAGCTAATCACAATGCCCACCAATGCGGCAATTGACTCAATGAACTTGTCGACGACATCATGTGAGCGACATCTTACTTTGATGTTCCGACGTCCAAAATCGATGGCCTACTTTGCCTAGGTGTGGAAGGGCATATGACTTTGGAATCTAGGAGTTGGACTGAATGTTTCAGTATGCCGTCAATGAGAGATATAGATTAAAATATAGATTCAAAGATAATCAGCTGGAAGGCATTTCATATTGCTCTAGGCTGGACTATTCCTCCGGTACTTGCTTTTACAGCTCAACTGTTTGGGTTTCGATGTACATATAAGTAATTCAATCATATTAGCCTCTTGCAATCTTCAGTAAACTGTCGAGTATGTCTTTCTAGAGCAGCAGTAGAGAAAGACAGATCTCTGTGTATAAATCATCACAAGGCCTGCAGACCTGAACTCGACTTCGCGACTTTGGTTTATAGCAGATGTCGATATTAACCCTGAGTCAACTCTATGTATGAGGCCCGATGCTGGAAGCCTCTCGTAGGAGATACCATTAAAGATTATGTCCAATCTTCTCAAAATCAAGTTGGCCAGTAAGCTGACTGCTGCTGCATCCATAGACTTGAAAAATGGCGTTGTTGTGATCAGAAGGCCGGACATTAGGAAGTTGAGGAACTCAAATCCATCCACTAGATTCAAACCACACAAGGATTGCACCACACTGAGTGAACAGCCACACTGTTGTATATTGAAAACGTTGGAAGGTTTTGCTCTTCTTAAATCTCCCGATATCTCATCAGACCTAGGTAGTCGAAACATCAAAATCTGTGATGTTGCCTGGCATCATAGGAAGACCGTACACTCCTCCATGAAATTCTTATTTTCAGAACCTTCCTCTGTTCCCTTGACCAAGCTGTAGGAGTGTGTATCTTGAAATCATTCCAAACATTGTATGTATGCTATCAAAGCGACGCATATCCACTTCTCTCTCGCCTTGTCGAAGCAGCATGAGCACGCACACGTCGAGACCTTCTTTACTCAGTTTGATCCCAGTTCTTGATCGAATAGCTTCGTAGCCTAGAGATAGAATTCAACACGCTCAGCATCTTCCTCGGTCGTTTGTGCTGCATCGACATAGGAGCCGGATCGTTCATTTCTCGTCAACACCTAAAAAGTCAGCAGATGAGGCATTACATATATTATAACTTCAGAAGAGATAGAACAGGCCTCAGAAAGTGGCTTGACTCAACTTCAGAGTATGGAGATCGTTGGTGTTTTGCCACGATCATTTGGGCTCTAAGATTGGATGAGAGGCATTTACGTCTTTCCTGGCTATACATAGTAAGGCACGTAAGAGGACGAGAGATATTCAACATGCATAACCTTGAAAGCTGATTGGATCTACAGACAGAGTGCTTGGAGATGCAGGAGGGAAGGGGAATCTTTCATAGGTGTGAGAAACCGACCTCCGAATAGACTAGATAGATTGATGTAGACGAGGATCCTAGAACAATAAGCAGAAGGTGGATTGAGAAGTAAAATAGACAAGGATATCGCACAGTAGCATCAAGGCTACTGCTCGCACATCAAACAAATCAAATAATGAATCACACAGACCTCGGGAACATAGGTGCCCAGCTCTACTAAGTAAACATTCGCGGCATCAAGCATAGGATTTAAGCAGGAAATACGAGAAAGCAAAACAAAAAGAGCTAAGGCAATAGTAATACAATACTTAAGAGTCAAGACAGATACAAGTATCCCATGTTGTGGTCGGCATCGTGTCTACACTCTCATCCAAACAACCTTAACAATGACGTAAAAATCTATGCGATATGATTTCCAAAAGCCTCATCTATTTTCTTCTCTACTCGCAGCCACAAGGGCTGTAGAGCAATGAAAAATGAATGAGTACTAAGGAAGTAAACTTTGGAGCAAAAAATCCCCTGCCCACCCGCGAGGGCAGCCAGGAGTAACTGATGATCGATAGTTTTCAATCAGCATTACATAACCTCGGAATTTTCCTCACTGGTATACGTAAAGCCCATGCATATGGATGCTTAAGAAAGAAAGAAAGAGGAAAGAGGAAGGTGGGACCTGGAGATGTAGGTGAAGTTCGCGCTAGTCTGTGTTGGGTGAATAGTCATCATGTCACGGGATGTAGCTGCGGGCAGAATAGACTTGGGCAGCGAGGCGGTGTACCTAGTTCACCTTGATACAGACGAGCTAGGGAGGGAGAGGTCTACCACCTGGGCAGAGGCATGTATGAGTTACCTGGCTGCGCATAAGAGTTGAGAAGATAGTATATGGCATATGGGTTGAGGAAAATGTGTAGATAGTAGATCATCTCTAAAACCTCACATTGAGGTCATAGATCTAGAGACAAGAGGAGGGCATGGAGTTGCTTGCAACCTTCAAATGTTAGAAGCTTATTAAATTGACAGTATTGAAGCCCTGGAGTAGTTAGGGCATACATGTAAAAAGCAAGAGAACTGATTCCCAGTTATGCAGCAGTCCTGGAGTTGGCTTTCGTAGAGGTGAGATAGATTGAGCCTGGGCTGGAGTGTTGCACATGTAGTAGTTAGGTAGCTAGGTAGCATTTAACCAAACAAACCCAAGCTACAGATCGTTCCAAATTCAGAAGTGTCGCCAGGGCATGAACCTGAAGTCAATGTAATTCAATATTGAAGTGATATTCATCTCCGCAACCAAAAGCCAAATAATGAAACAAGATCACAACCCAGCAGCCACACACCACACCATAAGCAAAAAGGTAAATCCTAGATCAGAAATTCAGAGTTCAAAAGCAGTCGCATAAAGATGACAGCCCATAAGATTGAAATTGAAACCAGCTCGGTATCAATATCATGATGATGATCGCTGCTAACGAAGTGCATATAATAGTCCAAAAAGAACGATAATAAGAAAAAGAACAAGGACAAGAACAAAAAAAAACATTGGAATAAAATGATGACATGGCATTCGCGTGTCTATGACAAACTTCAATTGGATCGGGGTATCGAAGCAGTTACCACCAAGGTAGGCCGAGGTAGATGGGGGATAGATAGATAGACAGTGAAGTGGGAGATGGAGATCGGATGGTGATCACCTCGGCCTAGGTCTTGGTCTTTCATAACATATAGAAACATAGCCGCATACAGTGAGCAGACAATGGAAGTGAGATAAAAGAAAAGGAAAGAAAAGAAAAAGAAAGAAAAAAAAAAACACTAAGATAAAAAAATAGAATATCAAGAAATGAAATATAGTCGTTAAGTGGTCATCATCACGGAATGTTCAGCCCGCTCCTTCATTCGAATCGCTTGTGCCTCAAGGGAGCGCGCCATCAGTTTTGTCACTAGAGTAATGTTAGAGTAGTAGAAGGCTTGGTGGAAGAAGATGTCATACCTGGCCATACAGCTGCCTGATCCAAAAGGCTTGCTGTAGCAATCAATATTTTACACCCGTATCCTCCTTCCACCGCACTAGGCAGTCGTTGCATCGTACTAAGAGCCGACATCGAGTTGTTCTTTTGCATCCTATGCTGCATCTTTGTTTCAATATTTTGTAGGATATCCTTAATCTTCTCCACGAGCTTGCATTCCTCTTCTTCGAGCAGCATTACTCCCGGCACCTGGGTCAGATCGGTATAGTCACGACCCAAGATGCCGAGATATGGCCCAACTCGTTCCTGAACAATTGTGATCCACTCTGCCAACACTTGGGCACAGTCAAAAGTACACAGGGCACACTGAATGGGAAGTTCCCGCGAGGAAAACTCGGCATAAGTGTTGCCCAGACGATCGGACATGGAAATAGAATCAGCAGCGTAGAATGCTGCTTTGCGCAGATGCTTCTCTCGCTTAGATTGGCCAGCTTTGTACGTGCCGGACAGTTTTTGCATCGGCTCCTCTTGCGTCGGAGTCTTTGAGATGGCAAGGTCACCAACACCGAGGTCGTTGATCGATTCTCGGCGGTTGTTCAGTGCACCGGTCAGAGTGGGGTCAACCAAGTCGTTCATCATTGCTGTATCAGCAGCATGTTGAAAGACCTCCATACCCCGCGCGAGCTCGTCAGCCATTCCGTTCCAATCGCGCTGCCAAAAGGCTTCCTTACATCGACCGAGATTGACGAATAATCGAACGTAAGCCAGATCCAGCAACGGAATGCTGTCGGCAGACAGTGGCCCAGCGCCAAATGGATTCGGTCGCTCGAGACTGTGGACTGGGTTGCTAGCCCACGCAGTTTGCCAGGCTCTCAATGCCGGTTCGATGTGTGATTGCATGGCTTCGGTTTCTTGAGTAGTCCACTGTCGCCCCATGTGCCTTTGTCGGGTTTCCCAAATGTAATTGTGCAGCGAGTAGATCAGAACAAGACAACCAAAAGTACTTGGCTGGCTCGCATTGGATGGCTCATCTTTATTGCCATTGTAGAATAAGTTCGAAGATTGATTCTGCTCTCGCTGGCTTGCCGTCAAAAGAGAAGTCAAGGCAGACGAGAATGAGACGCTCTTTTTCGAGGCCGTCAATCCCCCTATCTGCTTCCATACATGAGGGGAATCAGCCGCCCACAAATTCTCTTCACAAGGCAAGTCAAGCCGAATCTCAGAGTTTGTCAGAGCTGGCGCATGGTTATAGGCCGACACAATGAAACTAGAAAGCGCAAAGATGGCAAAGAGTGTACGTTTCCGTTCTTCCACGATCTTCCAATTGAGCCATTCACGTCGGTCTTGGGGCTGACTATATGACGACGACATCCAATTATCGGAATCATTCAAGCCATTAATTCCGGGGGTAAGATGATCTTGGGGCAAGCTTTTGGGGTCCAAGTGGTGGGTTAGTTCAGCTGCACGTGCGAGGCTCACCAAAGCGGCACAGTGGGTACTGGCGATATCTGCAGATGTTTTATCGGCACAGGCATGGCCATATATCACATTCAGCAACATCGCCTGTACCAACCAGAGTGGAGTATTTTGAACAGAATTGTCGTGGGAGTTATTGGAACGCTTTAGAGCTGCAGACATGTCGGCCTTTCGACGCTCTTCAAGATAGAGTTGAATCATCTTCTTGGCTGCTTCGAACAAATCCTTGGACGCGGCAACCTCGTGTTCATAGAGAGCACCGATTGCAGCAATAGATAGAATCAGACAGCCTCCTCCTCCGGAAACGCCGGTAGAGCTGAGGTTGAGATGCCCGCTGGGCATGCGCAGATTATTCGTATACTCGGGGGCCTGAAAATTGAGAGTCGGGACGTGGAGAAACGGCATGTGCGGATGAAAGTAGGAAAGGTAGGCGGAGATGTAACGTTGGATGTCGGGAGTACTAGGTAATGAACCAAAATTTTTGAAGCCAGTGGAGCGGGCGAACAGCTCACGACTGCTTAGGAGGCCACTTGCGGGTTGAGAATATTTGCGGTGATTGAAGCCAGTGGGTTGCGACATGCTCGTTAATAGAGCCTGTCGTGTGGAGTCTGTAAATGAATCCGTTGAGATTGAGGAATGTTGATTTCGTAGGGCACTATTCGGGAAAGGAACGTTGAGAAGATTAGGAGATTCTCCGCTGGTTGCCATAGAGGATGAAAACATACTCTGCGAATGACCCAAGATGGGTTGGCCCACCGAGGTCATGGATGGGGGTGTGGCGTAAGTCTCCACGAATGGGTTCTGATTCATCAGTGATTTGGGCGATACAGTTTCCGGCGGAATACCAAATTCATTGAGTGTCGTCGGGGAGAAGTCGATGGCGAACTGATTAGCTGAAGCCGAAGTATGAACGGGAAATGGGTTGTGCCAGCCATTGGAAATGGGGATACGGTTGGGACCATCTATCATGGCCTCGCTGATACCACTCTGGCTACCCGTGCTCATCGCCGAGGGCGACGACTCGTCCACAACTGAGTCATTGCCGTTGCCCAAAGCCACCGCTGTGTCAAATCCGTTCATCCAGTCAAAGTTCATCTCGTCATCCATCATAGGGTCGTTCGAAGGGGGCAAACCATGATGGTGGTGGCCAAAGGGGGAGGAGGGGGAGTCACCAAAACCTTGGGGGGAACCTGCAAAGTGTAACTGCGCGGGGTTGATTGTGCTTCCATGTCCCATGAGCATACCATCGATACCCATGTCAAAACTACCGTAGACGGGAGCCGTTCGCAGTCCACCAGACATGTTCATGGGGAGTCCAGAAGTCTCAATCTTAGACAAGCCATTCACTGCCTGGTGACCCGAGCCGAACCGATAATCCATAGACGAACCGACCGATGAGCTCAGGCTCGGGTGATGGTAGGGATGCTGTTGTTGTTGTTGTTGTTGTTGTTGTTGGTGTTGGTGTTGGTGTTGTTTGGGTGTCGAGGAGGCAATGCCCGTATTAGCAATGCCCGCACTAGCGATACCCAGGGCGTTACCATCGACGTGACTAATGGTATTAGCTCGAGGGCGGACCGATGAGTTGTTGGCGATGGAGTTTTTGCGAACCCGATTGGCCGCAGCACTCGTGGCTGTACCAGTGCTTTCCCGACGAGCATTTCTCGGGCGAGAGGATGGAGTGGTTGTCATATGCAACTTCTGCTGATGTCGCAGCAACAAGTCGCGGCGAGCAAAGCATCGAGAACAGTCGGGACACTCGAATGGCTTTTCCTTGGTATGCGAACGCTCATGGCGCTTCAAGTGTTCCAGTCGTGCGAAGGAGCGACCGCAAGTGGTACAGCCATGCGGCCGAGGCTTGTCTGTCTTCGGAGGAGGGTGATTTCCATGGGCTTGGACAACGGTTTCACTCTGCTTCTTGTTCTCCTTGGCTGGAGCTAACGATATTTGTTCAGAAAAGAGAACTCTAGGGGACTATCGTTCGATTGACATCGTGTGATTTGTGGGACTTACCGGGCATATTGGGAATTTCGTTGATACTGGCTAGGTCCAACACTTTGGGGCTATGTTTTTGACTCTGACCGACCATAGCATCCAAAGGCATAAAGAATTGAAATGAATATGGATACGGACACCTCACAGACCTAAAAGTAGGAGCTCTAACGGTCCCTGACGATGGAGTATGGAAGAAGGTGGTTTTCGACGATTGCGGGGGAAATGAAGGGTCTCTTTATCGTCACAGATGACGATCAACGAAGCTGTTCTGTGAACGATGAAATAAACCAATGTCGCATCAATGACTATACCCATCAGATGAAATCAGGTTAGCACTTTTCGCTTTGAACAATTACGTCGCGCCAACCTCGGCTCAATGAACCCAAGGTAATGAACGAGGGCATTTCTGGACGAGGCTGGAGTGGACGAAACCCACCAAGACTAGAATAGAAGTTGTCGAGGGCTTGTTTCTTTTGGAGATAGCTTTTTGAAGAAAAAGCTACTTGAAAAGGGACGAAGCTGGAGGGTGAAGTTGGAATTAGCAAGGCAACCAAAGCATGTTCCACCGAGCGGCCGAGGTAGCCTTAACGGTCGCAACAGGTCAAAAGTCGCAACATACCAAAAGGTACTTGAAAAAGTGAAATTAGAATGAATCTCAAGCTCCTCGAGTATCCATTGAACGAGGGAGGAGGAGGGGGGGGGGGGAAATAGTCAGCCTTCTTCTCTTTTCTATCGGAGCATGCAAGTGGATCCGGAGATAACCGAGATAGCGGACAATTGCAGATAGGCGCAGAAGAAGTAGGGGGAAACAGGCCTGGAGAAGTAAAGATGTAGAAGGGGAAGGAGGGTAGAGGATAGAGGTTGGAGGTTGGAGACTAGATAGAGATGGAGATGAAGAGAGAGATGTTGCATATCTAACATAAGTTCGTGGCAGTAGCAGGTGTATGGCGATACGGGGGTTGCTCTTAGTGGGCGCAGGTACATGGTACAGACCCGCAACGACCACGATGACAGGTCCAGACCTCTGTATGAGCCAATAATATACAACCGTAGACTCCACTTTGAAATATTACCGTCTTTACATACAACCAATGATCTCAATACGATTACCCTGTACCGAATGCGGTGTGGTCTGAATCTTGGGCACACGCACTGACCCGGTGTAGTAGTTGCCACTGATTTATTACCACCTAGTGTACTAATAATGCTAGATTCTTATATGTTATATGCTATATTTTATACTATACTTTCTCTCTTACTACATATTGGATAATCTAGATGAGATAATAAATTAAAGCAAATATAAATATCATACAGCCGAGGCAAGTATACAGAATGTGCAGTTCCACATTCTACACCTCGGAAAAGGACCTAAGAACATCAGTGGATCCAAGTATCGTGGAACAAATCAAAATGAAACGCTCTGTTTAGGCAAAATACACAATACCGTATTTAAGCATCTCGTGATAGGGGATTTGATCGGCAGTACGGAATACGGAGTGCCTGTAAAGAAGGCAGTGGATATTGGACGGAAGGATCCGCCAGTGGATATTCAGCTCGTGTGGGGGGTTGCAAGAAGAGATGAAATTTAAGAGTCTTGATTCTATGGATACCTCAGGTACTACTAGATCCATTATATGGAAGTTGAAACGGAAAAAAAGCCGCCCAGCGGAATGCGGGGGATTCCATGCGGCTGTCTTTGTTCGGGTACACGCGGTGTTATTCTATTCCCTTACTACCACTGCAGACAACTACGTACATTAATATATTAATAAATCAATACACTAATACATTGATACATTAATACACTAATGTGGGATGATCAATGATAACCTCTTTTGTTTCGTTCGGCTCAGCCTCGGTCTTCGAACTTTGAACTTTGCTATTTTCGATGTAATTTACTTTTTATTCTTACTTCTTACTTCATCCAGGATACTCCGTAAAGAGCCCCTAGATATTGAAATCAGTCCAAGCCATTACTTACTGGCCCTAGCCAAGCTTCTTAGGCGTAAGCTCGGAAACACTAGCCGTCATGTCCCATTCCTTTAATGTTTGAGTGCTCTGCCTGCCAAGGTTCCTGATTAGTCAATTCCTGCGACATCGGTGTCTTCTACCAATCTAGTCCTCAATTCATCTATTGCATGACTATTCAGTACCTAGGTATGTATCAAGTACAAATTATTCTGTATAGGCGTTACAAGTTACTTCACTATTGATCGAGAAGTACGTAGGTATGATGGTTCAAATCAAAATCAAAATCAAAATCAATAAAGCCACCACAATTCTCCGATTCTCGATACTACTAAGTAGATAGCACTATCCTACATATGGATCACCAAGTGGCCTGTGCATGATGCATGGATAACGCCCTCAGGGCTAGTTCAGTCGTTTCTCCTCTTTCCCTCCCCTTTTTACTCCTGTCCCTTTCTGGGCAATCTATACTAGATTTGATGATTGCGCCAAAATCCATCTGGGCCCATGAAGAAACCCGGGTGCCGGACACTAACGACTAGCTCAGCTTAGTATTGGATAGATGTGTCGATCTTAAATATTGACAGGTCTACTACTAACTCCCTTCAGCGCGATAGTCCGTGCCGAGAGCCCGTCTATGGCGTAGTACGGAGTAACTCCGATTATTTCCGTTTCTCTCATTCGGTTGCAAGGTTGTTCGGGAGCTTTAAGGTCCGAGACATGCGATTTCTAATACTGTCCATGATTGTCTGAGGCTCGTGGTTACGTAGTGGTCCACGGTATCCCATAAACGCTCCGTTAATTGCGGCAGAAGAGGTTTCCGGATTCTGCTCAGAATGGGACATGCAGGATGTGGGTCGATCATATATGCGGATACGTAGTTGGAGGTTGGGAACAGTTAGTCCAATCCAGGATGAAACATAAACGGCAAGCTATACTCTGTAAGTATTAGAAGTGGATCATTGACCAGTAAAGGTGGAATGAATTGAGCTCAGATCCTCTGCTTACAAATATTGTAGCCTCAGTAAGTAGTAACGAACAACAATTTACCTATTGAAGTAAGCGCTTAAGCTCGGCAGCTTACTGGTGAGGAGGGGCCCAAGAGCCATGTTCAGGCCGTCTGTGGCCATCGTGAGATAGCGGATATGTGGAGCAAGAATAGGATTAATAATGAAAGGAACTGTGGTTGATCTTACCTGTTTAGGAGAACTCTTATTTCCGGTGTGATAAAACGGTGAGAAAATGGGAATTAAGAATGAGGTCCACCTTCATTTCCCAGCCTTCGCTCATTTTGCGTACTGAGAGGAAGACTGTATTAGAGCAATCGCCGGAGAAAAGCCGGTACATAAATTCAACTCATTGGCCAGTCTTTCTGCAAGACCTGTACTCGGCCGTACACTATCATACCTATTTAGTAAGTACTAAGTAGTATGATCATGGAACGTGCGGATGGCGAGAGCGGCTACTAGATCTGATGTGATTGACTGGTTTCTTTGTCATACATTAGCGGTATTTGAGTATTTGGGTATTTATGTATCTATGTATCTACGTATCTATGTATTTACCAATGGCAATCATATCTTCCACACCCTTACTACATCAGATCTTGAGGGAAATTATCTTCATAGTTTATTCTTAGTATGTTATGTACATAACACCCCTCTAGCTCTCATAATCATCTGAAATAGGCTTCTCACAGATGAAACACTAGACAAGCTGGCCTAGAATCCCTGCATGTCATAGCTCTTTCTATGAGGTACTAATTTCGATGTCGCATCGATTATTAGCTTAGTTTAGCCATAGATAAATAGTAATTCAAAATTTCTACTATAGCACCTAGGTACTACATACTTCCATAGACTCCAAACTTTCAAAGGTTCTATCTACATAGGTACAGGCGCATACCTAAACACACCATACCGTATCGCCACGCCTTCACTGACAACGATCGTGTCCTCGATCGCCTATGTCCACAGCAATATGCAAGTTATAAGCAAATGTGCACGGTGACAGGCCCACTCTCATCACTGGCCACTAGACTTCTTCCACCGTGCAGGATCATAGAACCGACTGGCTCAGCTTGCATCAGCACCCGAGTCAGAAGTGAGAATAGCACGGACTTTTCTCCGTACATGTTCACTGCGCCTACATACCAATGATATCATAGAGATTCAAAATACCTAAACGGACTACTTATGAGGTGAACATAGTATTTGTATTCTACATCCATATTTCGCAGATAATGGAAAACGAACTCAGATGTGGAAGGAGTACAAGTCTAGGTCATCGGGTACTTGTCCGGAGTACTTATTGCCGGACTTGAGCTTACTGTAAACAAGGATGTTCTGCATTAGAGCTGTCGGCCGCTCCGCCTCCATTGCCTTAGCCTCGTTTTGTCCTGGCCTTGGCAGCTTTGTCCTGTCAGGCGACGGGGAATATCGAGAATTTGAGGAGCTGTTCGTTAATCGGCTAATTTTTCGGTTATCAATGTGAAGAAGAAAAACATTGAAATTGATATCGATATTGACATTGCCTTTATCTACTGAGCGCCAGGAAATGTAAAAGGAAATGTATAAGAAAATATACGGAATAATAGCAACGGCTTTTGCTCATTTTCCTCGGTATAAATGAGCAAGACTCCACTGTACTCGAATGGTATATGAGTAGGACATCACACATAACTTTTGGGGTTTCTTTATTTGATGGGTTTTGATCTGCTCCTAGACACTGATGGTCTTGAAAACACTGTAGAGATATTCCAGTTAGCAATGAGCAAAGTTAAAAAATAATACACGGCTTCACGTACCTAAATCCAGCTCCTCCAGTTGCCATTAGCGTACCCGGCATCTGGGCCTGCCAGTGCACTTCTTTGACAGACTCCATATAATGCACGAACAACAGCTGGGGCGGAATATCCGCGATACCGGCCTGGCGACTCTCCTCGTCGTCCAGTTCAACCGCGAGATCCCAGAGCGTGACCGTGTTGTCGGCCGAGCCAACCGCGACAACACTGTCATCCGACGGGTGCCACTCAATGCTAGTAACAGGCTCCTTGTGGAAGTCAAACGACGCGACAGGGGTGGCACTGATCTGGGACGCGGGAGCGGCGGGATTGGGCTTCCAGTGCCGCAGGTCCCACACAGCCCATTGGCCATCGTCCGAACCAGTGGCGAGCAGGTGGAAAGTCTGGTTGGCCCAGCTCATTACATTGACGTCTGTTTTGGAGATCTGCACGTCCACGGCGGGCTTGCGCGACTTGGATCGCACATCCCAAACCTTCACGCTGCCGTCACTGCTGGCGGAGGCGAATACGTTTCGCTCGTTGGGAGACCATTGTAGCTCCTCGACGGAGGAGGTGTGGGCGGAGAAGGGTCGATTATCGGTGACCCAGCCACCACCCTCGGTACGAGAGGTCACGTAGATCAGACCGTCGTTGTCACCAGTCAGAAGCTTGCCAAGAGGCTGGAGTGGAGACCAGTCTAGAGCATAGCCCTCGGATTTGTGCATGCGAAGAGTGGAAATGGGCTTGTTCGCTGAAGGAGTGATAACAGTACCCGGCACATCGAAGCTGGAAAGGTGGCTGGTAACGTCGTGGATGAGGATTTGCGAGTTCTCAAGCATGGTGGCCGTTAGAGTCTGTGGTGGCTTGGAGTAATCTGCTGACTGGGAAGGAGTTTGGTGGCAGCGAATACGGTTGGTCGTAGAGCCCAATGGGATAGACTTGTGTTCGAGAATGGGTTCGCCCATGTCGTCGTCGGAGTCTGATTCATCGTCTGATCCTGCGTTCTCACGTTCCATTCTACTCAGACCACTCATCTTGAGAACCATAAGCTCGTTGTCCTTTGTGCGGCCACCGTCTGCCTGAGTACCGGCGACAGCATAGACCGTCGCAGGAAATGTCTTGCGATTGTCGCCAAGGTTGTCGGGGACAATATCGAACGACAGACATGGCCAAGGTGTGCTAAGAGTGTGGAGCATATCGTATGTAGAGGGATCTGGTGACAGAGTCTCTCCAGGTGCCAGTTTTGTCCGTCCAGGAATAAAGGTTTGCTTGTCTACCTCCATAGCGGCCTCTGTTCTATGATTAATTGGCTACGCCATTGATGAGATTATAGAGATGCATACCTCGCTCCTCTTCCTCGCGCTCGGCATCTGGACGACCGTCAACCCCAGCCTCGAGGATCTCGTCCTCACTCTCAAATTCATCCTCGAACTCATCCTCGAACTCCCCCACTTCATCTGGGGTTGCGTCGACCATTGGGCGGTCGCCAGCCTTAAGGGCGGCCGCCTGATCGTCAAAAGCCTCAGCAGCTCTCTTCGACATTGTAAGGTATAAAGAGCTCCCGACACAAAAGTGTGGACGTAGTTATGAGGGGCAGTAGTTATAGCGATAAGAAGTTTTTCATAATTTTTGGGCGGAACTTGCACTAAACCTATCGGGGACTAGCGTAGATCCCAGTGTGTACCGCGTCGTGAGCTGAATCCCAGTCCAGTTGCGTTTGGTTGACTGACCTTTCAATCTTTCCTGTTCCTGCTTGTGTCAGCTTTCGTCTGTCTCACCTTTTCTCTTCACCTTTGACCACTCCCCTTTTCCCTTGAAGGTCTTCCGCCGCTTCACCGCTACCGGTTGTTTACGTTTCCCGTCCCTTTTATAGGTTCCACGATCTCCCCCTCAGAGTCGCAGATCTTCGACCCTCGTCGAATCTCCAGACTTCCAGATTTCCAGATTTTATTGATTTGAATATTCTAAATCAAGTGTTCGGGATTCGAACGTGGCATATCACATCTGACAAGAAGCGAGAATTCGCAAGGATTCCATAAGGTGGTGGGTGACCTATCACAGATCTCCTTTCCCCGCAGGGTTCTAATGAATGTCTTGAACAGGTCGCACCCACAATATCAATTTCTCCCTGACACAAACCCCGTTCATCATGCTGGATCCGCTGCAGCAACCTAATCTTGAGGTTTCTGCTGCTGCGGAGCCGCAGGAGGTCGATGTCGCATCCCAGTCAGAGATGTCACACCCTACAGAACAGCCATTGGAGCCAATCGAACAGCCTGTTCCCGCCAGCGCTGAGGTCGAAGAAACACCATCTGCATACCAAGGGACTATGGACCCACCCCTCCGTCCTGTAGGCTTGGACCATGGCTACAACAGCGACTCCAAGGCTCACTACCACTCTCGATCCACCGACCTCCATCACTCCGCAACCGAATACAACCCCCAAGATGTCGATCACGCGTCCCGTCTAAATTACTCCCCTTCTTTGAACCCACAGCCTCAGCTACACGCGTCTCGACCGAGCTCTAGTCGTTCCAGTGGTCCAGAACGACTCGGCCTGTCGCAACAGCCTGAAGTCGCCCAACGCCAGGCAGGTCAGTCCCAGTCTGCGAAGAACAGCGTCGTTATCAAAGTCGGCATGGTTGGTGATGCTCAGATTGGTAAGACAAGTCTGATGGTCAAGTACGTGGAGGGCAGCTGGGATGAAGATTATATCCAGACTTTGGGTACGTGAAAATACCCCTACTTGAAAATGATTGAAATACTGACAGTCGACTCTGGTGCGCAGGTGTGAACTTTATGGAAAAGACTATCTCAATTCGCAATACCGAGATTACTTTCTCAATCTGGGATCTTGGGGGTCAGCGCGAGTTCGTCAACATGCTGCCGCTTGTGTGCAACGATGCCGTGGCCATACTGTTCATGTTTGACCTGACCCGCAAGAGCACTCTGAATTCCATCAAAGAATGGTATCGCCAGGGCCGGGGCTTCAACAAAACCGCTATTCCGTTCCTGGTTGGAACCAAATATGACCACTTTGTCAACTTTCCTCGTGAAGACCAGGAAGAAATCTCTCTCCAGGTATGATATGCTCAGCATGTAACCTGCGTGCGCAACTGACATTTTTCCAGGCCAAACGATTTGCCAAGGCTATGAAGGCTAGTTTGATCTTCAGCAGTACCAGTCACAGCATCAATGTACAGAAGGTTGGTTAACTGAAATTCCCCTGTATAGTGCTCAAGAACTCACTAACTCCCTATACAGATTTTTAAAATTGTCCTCGCAAAGGCATTCGATCTTAAATGCACAATTCCCGAGATCGAGAATGTCGGCGAGCCTCTGCTTCTGTACAAGTCAGTCTAGGTATCGAAAGCGTTTCTCTAGGCTTGTGACGACTATGTACAATGGGACGAAGTGATGCTCTTGACGATCGATCCTGACTCCTGACCCCCTGAGGTCAACCTTCCATTCTTTGAATCTTTATTTGGCCCTTATGATGTATTCAATTTTATTATGTCCAACCTGGGCAGTCGTCTCTGGCTTTCCTGGATGAATTGAGACTAAGCTGGCGGTAGTTCTCATTACTCTGAGGATTTAGTATGACGATGGTCTCCTTTCCATTTCTTCTGTCTTTATTTCTTTAGCTATCTTATGTTCCATTGTCTGGACGTACTTAGGTCTTTTCGTGTCAATTTCCTAAATGGGCCTCTGCCTTGAGGTGTTTTGGTGTCCAATGGTGACATGGTGAAAATACAATTCCGTTTCTATTCCATCAATTCCTGTATTCATCTCTTATATGTCAACCGTTATCAAATGATATAAGATGCCGAGCCATGGTCCACTTGAGGCGCAATAAGGGTCCAAGAACCGCCTCTGTCCCCGACGCCCCACTAGACAACTCTGCCCCCATTGGTGATCGTCGCGATTTGTCTTTGATACTCTCTTTTCTTCTTACTCTGTAAAGCTATTCAGCAATATGACGGAGGAACCACAACTAGGCTCCATCCAGGAGCGGATTGCGGCCTTGAAACTGTCCCAAACTGCCAACTCGTCAGGCCCTGAACCACCTCTTATCCGCCCCGCCGCACCACGAAGCAAATCAGCCAACAACCCACCGTCTTATAATGTTACTGGCTCTGTACTGGATGCAGCTGTGAGCGGAAATGAGCCTGCTCCGCGGCTGCAAAAACAAAAACCACCTCCAGTACCAACCTCGAAGCCAGAGCTGAAACCCAAACCCAAAGTCCCTCCCCCTTTGCCGACACGGAGATCGGAACGCTCACAGCCTCCTCCTCCTCCATCGCGCTCTGCTGCGCTTGAAGCTCTTGAAGCTCCTGAAGTTCGACCGACACTACCACCACGTAGACCTACGGATCCACCGCGAAGACCGTCCGTCGAATCAGTCACATCCAATCTATCACATTCGACGATCGCCACAACAGCCACCCGAGGAGCATCAACAACTTCTGTTAACTCACATGGTAGCAATCGTATAAAGGCCCCTGCCTGGGGCGAGACAGACTTGCCTGTGCTCCCACCGAAACGTATTAGAGAGGAGCTGCCAGAGGAGATACCACCACCGCTCCCCGAGTCTAAATCATCAACGTTTGGCGGGCTGAGTGCGAAGATATCGGGATTGCGGGGTAGAGGGACTTCGCCCGCGCCTTCATCCTCATCATCACGCTCTGGTCTGAGCCTAACCAACTTTTCTTCGAGACCTGATACGTCTTCATCTCCTGTACCACCCCGGTTGCCCTCACGCCGGCCTTCTGGGGTAGAAGCGGTGGAAGAAGAAGAAGAAGAAGCCCCTCCTCCTCTGCCCACCCGACCCTCCAGGCAAGAGACACCGTCTTATGAAGTAGAAAAAATACCACCAAGTCTGCCATCCCGGCGACTACCCCCACTTGTGAATGCTACCGATATTAATAATTTACGTCAGTCTGGGTTTGGTGGGCTGAATGCGAACCCTAGTCTACCTGTTAGGCCGAGAAGCACACCAAATGGAGGTCCGCCACCAATTCCACATGGATCCCGTCCAGACCTGTCAAAATTGCAATCAACTAAGCCCAGATTTAATCCGCCAGCCACAGCCACTACCGAATGTATGGTTTGTAGGGACTTCAGCGGCCCAGACAACCATGCAGCGCAATATCCACGCGAAACACTACCAACTCAAGACTTGCGATGGCTAGCCAACGAGCTTACCGCTCCATTCTCATCAATGACAGATAAAGCACGAGCGATATTCACTTGGCTTCATCATAATATTGCCTACGACGCATATGCCTTCTTCAACAATTGCGTTAAAGGATCCACGCCAGCAAGTACTCTCTCCACCGGCTTAGCAGTATGCGAAGGATACGCCGCGCTATTCACTACGCTAGCCACCCACGCCGGACTGGAAGCAGTCCTAGTAAGCGGCCATGGCAAAGGATACGGTTACACACCTCTAGCACCAGGTGAATCCCCACCACCATTCAGCACCGGACACGCCTGGAACGCAGTTCGCATCGACGGCGGGAAATGGAAGCTGATCGACACCTGCTGGGGCGCGGGATCTGTCGACGGGGCGTCGTATAAAAAGGATTCAACCCAAGCATGTTCACAATGTCGAACGAGGAATTCGGGCTAAAACATTTCCCCTCCAACCGAGATTATTTCTTCCTTGAAGACCTCTCACCCCCATCGTGGGAAGAATACATCACTACAAACCCGGACATGCCAACCGGTCTACACCCAATCAAAGGGTTCAGTGACCTTGACAAACACGACATAGGTCGCCGCACCATGCAACCAGCCAATGGTCACCTCTCTATAAGCAGCACGCCGAGCCCGGTGCGCTTCCAGTTCGGACTGAAATGCGAGCACTGGACTCTTGCCCGACACAGTCGCCAGAAGCCAGGTCTATTCCTACTGATGATAAAGGGTGTCGATGGACGAAAGGACGAACGCCTTCCTTTCAGACATGTACCCGGCTCTGGTCCCGGAGGCGGCGGCGAGATATGGTATGTTGACGTGCCTGATGCGCGTATGCTCGGTGCACCAGGCCAGAAGCTACTAATTGCCGTATTATCTACGTTTGGCGATCGACATGACTGCCGTGGCCTTACTATCGAGGAGTACGAGGCTCAAGTTGGTAGAGTCGGTATGTCATATGCATATGTCGCCGAGTGGGAGTTGGTTAGGTAGATGAATACTTTCCCGTAGCCACCACTGCGCTTGTGTATATATTTAAATACCTTGAATAAATGGTATTCTAGCAATTGATATCTTGAGCTTAGCCAGATAGACGAGCTAAAGCCCTATTCTAGTTGGGCTTGAATTACTCATCAATACTAACACACAACATACAAAGTAAAGGTAAAAGTGAAATATGAAATTGAGAGTAAAAGTAAAGATACTACCTAGGCAGATGGATACCTTCTTTGATTTTGAAGCGGGTTTGCGCATGAGTTCTTCTTCCTAGAGCTAGAGGATGATAGATTACTCGAAGATTACTCGAAGAGCGTACCGGGAAACGATCATGGAGCGTGTGATAGCGGCGTCTGCAAGGCCAACCATCCTTAAATTCGTCTAGAAAAAGTTCAGGGCAGCAGTCAGCAAGTACTATGGCTTGACTGATCTGACCGTTTGTCCCGATGATACATCGTATTGTCTTGTTCTCAGGGTCTTTTCTAAGCTGTCAGAGGGAAAGCTGTCCACATTGTGCCAAATAGCTTGGACTCCTATGAGGTAGATCACCTCTCTGAAGGTGAATTCGAAGTTTGCCATAATGAGAGAAATGACTAGTAGCCAGAAGAATACCTTGACTGATAAAAGCAAAGCAAGGGAAATGGAAAAAGACCACTTAAGGGACCATTCCAAGAGTCGGAATCACTAGAGCCAATACCAAAGCAACTACCGACCTGAATATTGCCAATAGCCAAGCAGATATGGCAGATCGATATAATCAGAGAAAAAAAGACTGTCAAGACCCTGGCTGGAATCCACCTGCAAGGGATCAAAACTCAAGGTATAGCGGCGATAAAGCCAAAAAAAGCCATAAAGAGTGCCTGTGACATAGGAATCTTTTGAGATTCCGTATCTCAACATCAACTCTTTGAAAATTCAAGATCAGAAACCAAAGGATCAAAAAGAGAGCTGCACTAAATCGACCAAATTGTGGATTTGTAGCTGGTTGAGCACCTAAATAACATGATCGGATGCGCTGGGGCCAAGTTGGCCCAGAGCTCGAGCACCACTAGAAACCTCTAGGCTATGTCTCCAATGTTAGTTTGATATTCAAGATACTACCTAATTGGCTGAAGATATTAAACTATTAATTACTACCTAAGTACTTGACAAGACCTTTTGAATTTCTCCAATAAAATGATTCTATATTCAAATAATTAATTTGAAGTCTAGTCCAGAGGCTTTTTTACCTTCATCTCGGGGGTCCAAAAATACGCTTTAACCATGTAGACTTCTGTTAAAGGTGCATTAGATGAAACGGATTATCTAACTAGGTACCTAGGGGTGCAGGGATGGTCGACATACCGACATATGATCTTGTATATATAAATATAACTATCTATTCAAAATTGCTACTATATTCTGAGCGTCTATAATTTTGGTGACTTCGTAAAATACCACTTCTTTGAGAGAAAAAATTTAGCAGAAAGCAGCCAGCTCTTTACTAGATTACAAATTCAGCTTATTTCCATGAAATTTCCTTTATTTGAGTTGGGATCAACATTTCATGTATCGAAATCAGATGATCATAAAAGTTAGGTTTAGTGTAAGGCATCAAGGCTGAAGGCTGGGTAAATGGGTAAATGGTTAAAACCAAACCAATGTTTTCTGGTTTCTGGCTTGGTTTCGGAATCTTGACCCAAGCAAAACCATTGCTCATATCTGGTTACTCCTATCCTCGTGCTTGTACCTTCATAGATGTGAAAAGTCCAGCTCTTTCCGAGGTTGGAAGTCTGAGACACTGAAACCCCTGGACAGAATAGCAAGTATCGTATCTTGGTTCAGACGTAACTGTCCAAATGTACAATTAGCGCGCCAGGAGCTAAGTTTGCAGACAACCCATGGCACTGGAGATGGTGAACGCAGGGTAAATGATCTACAATGAAATATCACAAGAGGCAGGTGCTCATAGAATACCGTAACATTTGAATATGCTAAGGTTTGAGGCGGACGCCCAAACCGCATACAATGCTTATCTCAATATATATACTCGATGAAAATTACATCATTGAAAACTTCAATGTGTGACCCCATTTCTCCAGGTTACACGAGCCGTTTGAATTGGACTTGCCCAATCTGGAATATGGCTCCGTCCACAATACCATTTCAACGGGGAGGACGGAACATCCCGACTCACGTGGAGAAGTAATTAGCCGAGCCCCTGTCATACTATTCAGGTTTGTTTTGGGTAAAAATCCCGCATTTTGTTCAGCTGGGGCCCCGGATCCAACGATCGTCTTAGATAGGCCAATCATATCAGTCAAAGTGGAGCATCTCGTCCAATCAATAACTGCAAACGGCGAACGGAACTGAGAACGTTGCATTTCATTCAGTTCAATTTCAATATTATTATTCTTTTATATTATTCTGATTTGGATTTGTTATGGTTTCGGCCCCAATTTGTTCGTTTCCCCCACACGGAGTTCCCCGTACCCCAGGACCCAGATAAAGAGAAATAGATACATTTAAGAAGCTACACTTCCGGCCATTCTACTGGCCTTGCTTGTCTTCATTTTCCCTTTCACTTTCACTTTCTACCTGAATATTCATCACCCATCATGAAGGGGTACCATATAGGGAATATTTACTTCATTGCAGCCATCTCCGTCATTGGAGGTGGCCTATTTGGTTTTGATATCAGTTCTATGTCCGCCATTCTTGGTACGACTGCCTACAAGTGCTACTTCAATAATGGCCCCGAGGGTCCACCCTTCAATGATAACGAGAAGTGTAGTGGCTTGAGTTCACTGACCCAGGGTGGCGTTACTGCTGCCATGCCTGCTGGTTCGTGGCTTGGTGCCCTTGCTTCTGGTTACATCTCAGACCGCCTGGGCCGTAAGTACGCCATCATGTTTGGATGTATTTTCTGGTACGTATGCAGGGGAAGCTGGATAAATATCGTTCTTACTGATCTTGCTTAGGATCATCGGTTCCGTTATTAGCTGCGCCTCTCAAAATATCGGTATGCTCGCAGCTGGCCGTGTTATCAACGGTCTCTCAGTCGGCATTGAATCTGCCCAGGTTCCCGTCTATATCTCAGAGATCTCTCCTCCCTCTAAGCGTGGTCGTCTCGTCGGCTCCCAGCAGTGGGCGATCACATGGGGTATCCTGATCATGTACTAGTACGTGGCTGACTCATCCATCATAACCCTAACTCAAGCTGATGATCTTTCAGTATCTCATTTGGATGCTCCTACATCGGCGGCAATACTGCCACAACTTATAGCACTGCTGTCTTCCGTATTCCCTGGGGTATCCAAATGGTCCCAGCAGTCCTCCTCTTTTTCGGCATGATCTTCCTCCCGGAATCTCCTCGCTGGCTGGCCCGCAACGACCGCTGGGAGGAGTGCCAGGAAGTTCTAGCCCTGGTCCACGGTAAAGGAGATCCTTCAAGTCCCTTTGTCTTGGTCGAGATGCAAGAGATCAGAGACATGTGCGAGTTTGAGCGCCAAAATGCCGATGTCACCTACTTGGAGCTCTTCAAGCCGAAGATGATTCACCGGACCTTGACAGGTATCTTCACTCAGATCTGGTCTCAACTCACCGGTATGAATGTGATGATGTATTATATTACCTACGTCTTCTCGTACGTCATTCCTGATCAAAAATATGCGATATATTCCATATATTGACTGTTCTTTTTTTTTTTATAGTATGGCAGGTTATACCGGCAATTCCACCCTCTTGGCTTCTTCCATTCAATACATCATCAATGTCATTATGACATTTCCAGCTTTGATCTGGGTTGATCGTTGGGGTCGTCGCCCAACTCTCCTCATTGGAGCTACCCTGATGATGATCTGGATGTTCGCCAACGGTGGCATCATGGCCCGGTACGGCGTGGTTGTGCCGGGCGGTATTGACGGCGTAGTCGAAGAATCCATGCGTCTCTCCGGGGCGCCGGCTAAGGGATTAATCGCCTGCACTTATCTTTTCGTGGCATCCTATGCGCCTACCTGGGGTCCTGTATCCTGGGTTTACCCTCCCGAGTTATACCCACTGCGAGTGCGCGGCAAGGCCGTGGCCCTGGCGACCTCAGCAAACTGGGCATTCAACACAGCACTAGGACTTTTCGTACCATCAGCGTTCGCAAATATCCGCTGGGAGACATACATCATCTTCGGGGTATTCCTGGCTGCCATGTGGCTCCACGTGTTCTTCCTCTTCCCAGAGACGGCAGGCTGTTCTCTTGAGCAAGTGGAGTCCATCTTTGAGGATCCCAATGGCATCCCCTATATCGGTACCCCTGCCTGGAAGACTCACACTGATACTAAGCGCACTGTCGCAGCTGAGTCAGGTGATGTTGAGGTTCTGGGTGAGAAGCTGGGTCACAAGTCTCTCGGCACGACTACGACTACCAGCCACGCAGAAGAAGCTTAATTTCTTTGAACCTAAAAAGGTTATTCCAATGTTGCTTCTTATTAGAACTTCGCTATGATGAGTTATGTAAAAAATACTACTGCCCAGTATACCCTGATTATCTGTGGGTCCACCATTTTTGGGCATCATTCGTTGATGTGGAGACTTGGGCATAAGTTATGCAATTTATATGGAGTGCGGATTGCTCCTTCTTTCTCTACTCTACTTTTAATGAAAATGAATATGAATATGACGAGACTGAATTGAAATGGAAAGCTCCATACTTGATTAAAACGTTAATTTCAATTGATACCCTAGCTAGTCCGATTCTATGCGAGTGTAACTATACACTCCCGACAATTCTCAGGCCAATTGAATCATATGAGTTACCTACTTCTGTACCTTGTCAAGTGATGAAGGTTCTCCGGACCTAGATAGCTAAGCTATATGGATCCATGGATGATGGACTTTGGTATAGTGGCACCCTATGATGCAATGTTCAAGTTCTTGACTGAGCATTCTCGGCTTAATGGTATGTTACACGAAAGTAAAGTATACAAGCTTCTTAAGAAGAGTTAACATTAGGCATAGCCTTCAGCAATACTGCCATATTCTCAATTTATACACAGTTATCGTCATAAGACTTAATGGTGGTGGATATGACAAAAGTGGAGTCTCAAGGGGTGAGCACTACGTAACGACAAATAGGGGGACAGGAAGACAGACTCGGAAAGAAAAAAAAGTTCAATGTTGGGATTGAGCCAAGAAAGAGAGACCATCCACTTCTGTCAATACTTCCTTTTCTCTTTTTCAATCTTTCCTTCCTTTTCCTGTTCCTTCCCGAACGCACGTGAGTGGAACACGTCCACACATCAATTCCTCGAGATAATTCATCTCTTCTCTGCCCATCATGGTTCGCCCTCGTGGTGGATCGACACTCGGCGTCGACATTCGTGGTGATACTAGCGCCCCCGCGATGTCCACCATGAACGATGTGAGCCCGATCGAGCCAACATTCAAGGTATGTAGTCCCAGCAGACCCAGAAGGAGGCTCCGCAGCTGTCTGTACTCACGCCGCACCTCGTCGCATCAGCATTTCGATACTCAATTACCCGCAAAGACACAAACTAAGCGTCATCATCGTCGTCGCTCACTCCTCCATCGTTTTGCAGACCTTTGCCTGAAATACACATGGCTTCTTCCGCTGCTCGTCCTGCTCTTCCTGCTAGCTCTCTATGCCATCAACCCGACACCGTCGAACCCGATGCATAGCGCCATCTTCCTGTCGTATCCCCAGGCGCCCAAAACCCCCGGTGGACCTATCATGTACGGCAAGGGTAAAAAGGACATCGCCTTTGTGGCCTTCTATACTGTCGTTCTATCCTTCACCCGCGAGTTCATGATGCAGCAGGTCATCCGTCCATTGGCCGTACGCGCAGGTATCCGCGGCCGCGGCAAGACCGCTCGATTCATGGAACAGGTATACACCGCGATCTACTTTGGTATCTTTGGACCCTTCGGATTGTACGTCATGAAGCGATCGGACATCTGGTACTTTAACACCACCGCGATGTTTGAGGGATTCCCACACCGCGAGCACGAGCCCTTCTTCAAGGCTTACTACCTTCTAGAGGCGAGCTACTGGGCCCAGCAGGCCATTGTGCTCATGCTGCAGCTTGAGAAGCCCCGCAAAGATTTTAAGGAGTTGGTGGGACACCATATCATCACTCTGGCATTGATTGCGCTGAGCTACCGCTTCCACTTCACTTACATGGGTATTGCCGTGTATATTACTCACGACATCTCGGACTTTTTCCTCGCGACTTCCAAGACCCTCAACTACCTAGATTCGTACATCACCATCCCGTACTTCGCTACCTTCGTGGGCATGTGGATCTACCTCCGTCATTTCCTCAACCTCAAGATTCTCTGGGCCGTACTGACCGAGTTCCGTACTGTCGGACCCTTCGAGTTGAACTGGGAGACGCAGCAGTACAAGTGCTGGATCAGTCAGTACATCACATTTGGTCTGTTGGCCAGTCTGCAGGCTGTCAACCTCTTCTGGCTCTTCCTGATCCTGCGCATTCTGGCCAACTACGTCTTCAACAACATCACCAAGGACGAACGCAGTGATGACGAAGAGGAGATCGAAGAAGAAGCCGAGGCCAAGACCGACGTAGCTGTGGCCACTGGCATAGAAAACAAGGCTCCCCAGGTCCTCATCAACGGTGAGCCTGAACCTGAACCTGTTCTTGAGCAGCGCGGTCCCCGGACACGTAGCCGTAAGGCTTAAATTTCCCCCATTCAATGAAACATCAACTTTAGGTTGGTCACAGTGACGGGTCCTTTCTTGTCTCTACTTTTATCGATTTGTTATTGTCACTGATCGATCTCATATACGGCGGGATGAGAAAACTCCCCCGCTTATTTAATATCTACACATATGGAGGGATTGAGTGGGTTGAGATGTTTTGGTTTAAATTGTGAAAGCGTTGATATACACTGAAACTATGCAACGACGAACCTCAACATGCATTCATGTTGTACGAGTATGGATACGAGCATGATTGTGACAACGACGATCATGAGGTTTGGGTATTTGGCGACTGGTTAAGCTTGATACGGTTTGATATTGACAATGTGGCACCGCCCGACTCCTACACAGTCTACTTCTTCTGTGTTTATTCATACTTTTCGGCTCTTCTGCTCAATTTCTACTGACCTCCTTGCCGCTTATCCTTTTAGCCTGTTTTGACTGATGCTCTGAAACGAATATATCAATGATTTACATGCTATGCTAGGGGCTTTGCAATAGTAGAGAAGATGAAAATGTATAGATTTTGTTTCCGATTTTGTATAGAGGTTTGAACATCATTTCAAATGTGGCAGGAGACATTCGTGGAGGGCAAATAAGCCGGTGCTCGCGACCTCTTCTTGATACGTTGCCTGTCTGTCCCTTAGGACTTCTTAGCTGGCTTCCCCTCTCCACGTTATCGAAGCATTCCGCGTGCGAAAGCAATTTGAGAACCACACTGTCAACGAGAAAAACAAGCATTTGTTTCCCTGCTTAGAACACGTAATGGTCTTTGCAGGATTGCTTCCATCAAATCGTCTGCCATATTGTCTATGCAGTCATTGACTCTGAAAGCTGTGCGGTGGATGTCTCAAGACAGACAGGTGAGATAAGGAATCAACGACTGAGCATAAGAGGTTGATGGCCCATGAGGAAGCGAAGTCATCGACAAAGCTGGTTTGTGCTGTTCTGGGGCAGAGTGTTGCAAATGCTGCGATAAAGCCTTGATGCGTGTGCGCTTCCAGTGAATGAAATGTGCCCAGAAGCAGTGATGTCAGCAGATGGTTGAATCGCTACTATTGCTTAGACAGGGATCCTCCATAGCTGCTGCCAACATGCGCAGGTATCGTCCACCTCAAATATGTTGAAGGTATGGCGCTCACTCGGGACAGAACGGCCTATTAGTTCAAGACTTTGGTCAGTTCAAAAGGAAATATGAGTACCCCATCGAACTCGATATTGTTTGGGGTATCTTTCTCTCCAATAAATGTTCTGAATGCTTGCTCAGACCAGAATCCCTTAGGATAGGGAGGATTTTGTGTGCTATTTGCAACGGCAGCACCTTGCTCGGGATTTGGCCCATGTACTCAATCTGAGAGCCAACTGGGCGTAATTTAAGTGAAAGAGCGTTGCAGATCAATTCCCGTTCTGCGTGCGCTCGCGGGGTGGCATGGAGCAGGCATTAACAACACTCAATTCTGGACAGGCAGGCAGATGAATGTAGTGTGAGAAGTTCAACATCCAATCATGAGTAGGCTGAAAGCAGCTGAGTGAGTAACATCAACTTGAACTTCTCGCCCAAAGTTATGGAGACGGAAGGTCATCTTGGCTTATCTGTGAGAGGTTTGAGGTTAGTAAAAGCTCGGTTAAAGATGATATATACTAAAAAGGGGCTGTGCTTTCTATACCCCAGTCATAATCGAGAGAAATGTTGTCCATTAGCTAATGCTATTGATCCGATAAACAAGTTCTTGATATTTAGGAAAAATTGAAGTTGATTAAGAGTGCGGATTTTATATCTCGTACTTTATACATATGACATCATTGGAGACTGCAATGAGGAGATATTCATCAGGATCCATTGATATTGAGAAAAGTACGCACTTATATACAGGAGATACTTCATACTTGAGAGATCGGTCACACTTGATAGCCATGATATCTGCTGAAACTGTTGAAAATTGCGATGCGCACAATTTCAGTCAGGATTCAGTTAAAATGAAAAAGCATACACTTTATATCCTGGACATGAGTTAAAATTGAGAAAGTGGAAAGCATCGTAACGCGCAACGCACACGTTCCTCAGTCTGTACCGAAATTGACGCAAATTGGTGACTTGTGTTTAGTGAATCGACAGGTTGCAGATAGCCAGTTCGTAGGTCATAGTTTATAGTCATACGGTGAACAGATGATATCAGTTGCCCGTGTGGTGTAGGTGGCCTACATTGGTCATTCTTGTCCTGATCTGAGTAACTTGCTAGGCCGATCTCAGATTCTCGTCTACCGGATGCGAAGAACACAATATACCGATTTCGGATTTTGGGTGCTCACCATTGCACAAGGTGATGATTAAACTTGAGTGAAAGTAAGGTGAGAGTAAGGTGGAAGCAGTTCAGGATGTCGCTATATAATCTAAAGTCTAGATGTCACACTTGTAGGTCCTGCCTAGGTAGGCCAGTATCATGAGGTCATTAGTTTGACCAGAATATCTGCTAAATCATTACCCAAAGCAAGCTGGGAATAGATGCTTCAAATCTTTCTCTAATATCTTTTAACTGAAAATTAAACGATGGGACCTGGGCAGCTCCTACGTTGCAGTATCTGTTGGTTCACATACCGATAATTGCTCCCGAATATCATAAACCAAGAGAAATCACATAGAATATACCTAGGTAGTTGCTATTTACGGCCTGCGCATTATTATAAGTTCAACGCGATGTGCATACTACCGCGGATATTCGATTGGCGGTGATATAAGGCGGTGGGTTAATACCGGCAGAATACTGATCAAACACCGTCATGTTCGTTTTTCCCTCCTTGTCCATCCTTCTTCCCAGTTTTCTAATAAATTTTCCAATTGCAATCATGTCGATGGCAGAACAAAACTCTATCAAGGAGCTTATCAATAAGCATGTGTACCAGTTGGGAGATCCCGATGCTGATCTTCGATACATGGCCTTGAACGACCTGTCCACCCTTATGCGAAGTCCCACGTCGAACTTTCTCACAACAGACCGTGATACATCAACTATCCTCTATCACGGAATTATCAAAGCTTTAGAAGACCAGAATGGTGATGTACAAAACCAAGCACTGGAATGGTAAGCACCTTAATTTTCCTACTTTAACTAATATGACACTAATCATTGATACGACGGGTACAGTCTCGCTCCATTGGCTCCCAGAATGACTATCACCACTATATTCCCTCTTATTCAACGATTGGCCGATCTGACAACATCCTCCTCCGTCGATAGCCTCTACAGCACTGCCTTACGCACCGTTATCGAGAGTCTCCCCCGTCCTCAAATCGGTCAGCCTGCGCCAGATGCCACCCTCCAAGCATATAAAGTAGTCTGCGAAGCTCTCCTGCCAAAGCTGACTGGCTCAGGTGAACACGGCATGCTGGTTAAGGATCCCTCAAAGGGATTCCGTAGCGACGCTCTCGAGGTGCTTATTGCAACCATCGCCTGCTTTGGACCACTCCTCAAGAAAGAAGAGCTGGACTCCCTGACAACACCTGTCGTTGAGATTATCAATAACGAAACATCAGGGACTGTGGTCACCAAACGAGCGCTCACAGCTTTGTCGGCTTTGGTACAGTTCTTTTCTGACAAGCAACTTGCCGACTTTCTGGCCCATCTATCAAAGTCCTTGTCATCACCTGCTATCTCCACTGTACAGCGCAGCCAGTTGATCGCAACTGTTGGAGCTATTGCCAAGAATAACTCGGCGAAAATCGGTCCACATCTCACTACCCTGGTACCTTTCGTCTTTGCCGCAGTCGACGAGCAAATTGTGGCTTAATAAGTCAATATTCGTTAACTCTGGTCGCGTCCTGATACCCAAATAGAATGAATCATGACAGTTGAATCCAAACCCGTAGCTCTCTTCTGAGCCTGTTGCTATGAATGATGAATATTCAAAATTGAAGATTTTTGAATCTTGAATTAGAGAACGTAGTCTCCGGGATTGGAATCACCACTGCTAGACTTACCCAGTCTGGAAATAAATTCAAAGTCCGAATGTTCACTTCAATTAATTCATACTTGGCTCTTATCATCACGTGGGCCCGCGACTGTGTTCTAAGAAACGCGTCGATAAGCTCGTCTTTTTCTCTCTGAGCATCGCGATATCAGTAAGAATGAGCTGGGACCGCATCATTCAGGACTCCGATGACGAGGAGATCCTCATTGAAGATGACTTTCCAACATCAACCGATCCACTACAGGGCCACAACTACTCTCCAACGCAAGAAAATCAACCCGTAGAGTATCAAACAGATTACCCAATCGAGCCTTCCCACAATGCCAGCCAACAGCTGAGCGTCAACTTCGATCAATTCCTGCAGTCACAAGAAGGGTTTGAACCAATTACTGCTTCCCAGCAACGCTTGGAGGCAAGATGGATTCCCTCGGTCAATGAAGGTGGGGCCGAATCAATTGGTGCGTTCCAGACCAATGCACTGCACTATCAGATGCCCGGTCATTCTCCAATGTCAATCTACTGACATTAGTGAAGGTCCCATGATGAGGGAAATTGGAATGGCTCAACAGAAACTTTTCGACGATGTCGGCTCCAGTGCAGGCCATCTCCCTTCAACAACGCCATATCCTAGCGAGATCTCCCAGCCAGGATCATTCCCCACGACGCAAAACTATCAGATCCAGCCAACGATTCAAATGGCTAGCAGTTTCAATGTGATTTTGAACCATGCCATCGATCCATTTAGGGAAGGTGGAGACACACAGCTTATTGAATCAGTTCATGCCCACCAAGCCTACGACTATAGCATACCCGCTACATCGAACAGCATCGCCTCACCCTTAGGCGCAACATCCGAGAAAATGACAACAACGTATACTCATGTCAACTTGAATTCAGGTACCAACTACTTGCAAAAGCCATTAGAGCAGTCAAAGACGTTCAATCCAACAATGAATTCTCCACATGATACAGAGCCGTCATCTTCTGTCGCGTCGCCGTTGAAACGATCGAAGAGCCATAATGGTAGCCCAGGCACGATCTGTCCGCATTCACCAGGTGGACTCCACGATGAGCTTTCGATGCCTGTCGTGGTTGTGGAGGTATCTAGCGTAAAGAAGGGCCGCGGGCGTCCAAGGAAACAAGCCATTCCGCAAGATGACGATGATGACGAGCTTGCTATGACTGTATCTCCTGAGGTTCCTGCCAATGGCGCTGCTGAGCCCGCAGTCGTGGTTCCTCCCAGCCGGAAAAATAATGCATTAGAGCTCCCCCAGGAGCCTGATAAAGAGCATGAGAAGGCTCCAAAGGCTCCAAGGAAGAAAGGGGTCAAAAGGAGCAAGACTGCTTCTGCTGTGCTCGAGAAATCACGGAAAGAGGTTATAGATGACGATGTCATCTGGGTAGAGTCCAGACCACTGGAAGAAATTACGAATAATACAGAGGCTGCTGAGTCCGAGAATCCAACCCCGAGTATTCCTGCCACGATCTCTTCAGTTCCAGCTACCATTGAAGCAAAGCCCCCGCCCAAAAAACGAGGACGTAAACGCAAGACAGCCGATGTAACCGAACCTGAGCCTGCCCAAGCACCGGAAGAGCAGACAACAGCACCGGCCGCTATTCAAGCTTCCATATTAATCGAAAATACAGAATCAAAGCAAGAAACAAAATCTACCAGCAATTATCAAACTTCACAGCCAGAATTAACTGCTCTTACAAAATCATCCGAGCTCCCTCCACAGACGCCCTTGGAACAATCTACCAATGAGTCGGGAACTGGTACCACACGTAAAGTACCGTCCAAGTACAGTCCCATCATGTCGACTAGCAAAGTGCCATATCGGGTTGGTTTGAGTCGGAATGCGCGGATTGCACCGTTGCTTAAGATGGTACGAAAGTGATTTTGGGAATCGGATGAGCTCTTCACCTTTTGCCTCTCTTTCCATTTGATTTATGATTCCTTCTTATGACTCGTCTTCTTGGAGTTTATTACTGTGCTATTATTATACCCATTTCTGCATTCTTTTTAGGAAGATTATCTTCTGTTCACCTACCAATTCAACCCAAAGGCACTGGCGATTGACCTCGTGATATTTTTGTATATCCCTCAAACTACAGACGTTCTAGTCCAGCTACAGACCAGGCATCAAGCCTTTGAGCTAACTAACCTATATACTTACTACCCACATCAAGATGTTCTTACTCCTAGCTCTGGAAGTAAGGTATAGCTTACAAAGTAAAGAACATGATTTGACCATCACATCTGCACCATCTAACACTTCAGCATAAACCAAATTCTGAGTTGTTATATGTATGAAGTTTTTGAGATTAGACTTCTCAAGGATTCTTGTTATACGATGGTAACTAACAAACTTGAAGGGAATGACTGCTACTAGTAGTTAGCATGTATTTGAACATTGGACGAAAGTTAAGTAAAGATGTGGAATGTAATAGAGGACAAAAAGCAAAGGAAGAAAACATGCGCCGCCATGCAAGAGTCGTTATTTAGGACTTCTCCTCGTCCTCAAGGTCAACCATTTCACGGAGGATGTCCTTCAATCCACGGACACCCTCGTCGACCACGGCCTCAGGTATCCGTACATCAACATCTTCAATGTATTTGGCAGGGTCGTAAGGGCCGTCTGGATTGTTGGCCCCGGTTGATTTGCCTTTCTTGGTACCATTGCTTTTGTCTTTGGTACCGTTCGCCGAGACACCATTCTGTTCAGCAGAGTGTTTAGAACCAAGTGCGGGATGTGATCTCCCCTCAGCAGAGGCAATGACGGCGTCCATCACATCGTCAAAGGTCTCACAGCGGCCGGCGCGGAGGAGTTCGGTGGCGAGGCCGGTGATCCGCTCAGTCCAACCACAGCGGTTTAATGAGCCAAGTAATGACTCTTGCAAATCTTCAAGCGAACTTGTAGCGGAGAGTTTCGTCAGGAGATCGGATTCAAGAGCATCAGGAGTGGCTCCACCAGTGGGGGTGGAAGATGGCATGTCCGATATTAAATGCGCCGGGAGTCTGATCATGCATTTTTCAGTTAGCGCTGCAAGTTTAAAAAGGCCAATGCAATATTAAGGCATGACAACAAGTGTGATCTGGTTCAAGCCAGGGCAAGCAAGATGTACCTTTTGAAGGGATCCGTGAGATGTTCGAAGCTATGATCAGCCAAATCCGTATTGCGGAGACGGAGTCGGAGGTAGTTTGAGAGTTGGGAGAGAGGAGAGGAGGACGGAACGAGGCCAGGGAAGGAGACACTGGGCTATTTGAATTTACCCATTGGTGACACTAGGACTAATTAGCATCCACTCAAAGTGGAAGTTGAAGTATATGAATGTCAATGGGTAAATTGGAGAATCGATTTATCCTCATTGGGACGCACAGGCCAATCGGCGTGGAGTGTAGGCGATGGGGCGGTGAGTACGAGTACGAGTAGATATGAGATTGATATTGCCTAGGTAACCTATTCAATAAATCGATATTTCTTAATTCCAAACGACTATTAAATTTGATTTTTGAAACTTCAGAAGAACAGGTGAGGCTCTCGACTGAGCATCGACGTCAGACCGAGACGGTTTTACTGTTTATCCTTGTACTTATAGATCCAAACATAGGGCTATCCGTATGCATGCCCGGGTATGGCCTCCAGGGTTGTCTTCCAGATTTCAGTGACGGTTATGATACTAAGTGAAAGCTTTGGTCGGGCATTAGCTTCGTCATTTTGATCTTTTAGATGTCAAAATCTTCCAAGGAATGGCTCCCAAGATTGTTACATCTTTTCTGCCTCCCGAAGTCCAAGGAAACCATCCCTATTGACTTCATCTGGACTCCAAGTTTATTTGGCAAGAAAATATGAATTTAGTAAATAACCGTACTTGGGATCCAGTCACCTCAAACAGATTACGGAAAAAGGTGGGGATGTGGTCCGGCACGTTCCTATACTTTATTTTTTGTTAAATCTGATAGAACAGAATGGAGATACATTTCATCCAAAGACATATACTGGCACATATCTCGGTTCATAAGTAAGCATAATTTACAAAGATGAACCAATGAAATTAAAAAACAGCCCGATATCAGGAGTTGTAAAAAGAAAGACCAAATTGGCCTAAGCGTCTTTGAGTCCAGGCCCAGTCACGTGCACACTATCGAATCTCTCCCATTTGCGACGCTCATCCACTTGCAAGTTCCCCAGACTCGATCTGTCAATTCTCTTTTTCGCCAGCCCTCGCTTGAATTCTGCTGAATGCTGAATTCCACGTTTTTCTCAGCCCTAACGTAAACCCCCCACACAAATAGACTGGGACTTCTTGCGCCAGTGGTTCCCCCGCTTTGGCTCCCGCGCCTACCTTTGGTTCATCCTCCGGCGCTTCGCGTCTCCACGGATCAGCTGCAGGACACACTACTAGTAACGACGCTTTTCATCCTCCGCATGTCTATCTGACTCGCTCAGGTTTGCCCTTTCATCCTCCGCCCTTACCATCTCTTAAGGATCTCTCATCCGCATACCTTTACGATCTTTGATTGTCAACTCTCAAAATCATAACGACCTTCCTTCCACTTTGTGGCTTGTGAACGGGAGCTCCCTCTGTTCTTTCACCAACTATTCACTGACACTCTCTCAAAATGTCACTCCACACCAATTTCCACGATATCGATTCTGATGATGCGGATGACGAGTATGAGCGCAGCGTGATTGTCTCCCCACATCTGCAAACAGATTCTGAAATATCTCCTATTGACTCCGATATTGCTTCCTCCGAACATACGCCAACCAAATTTGGCTATCCTAGTGATGGTCCCCGAACTCCACGAGCACTCATAACTGAATGGACGGTGGACGACTGTGTAGACTTTTTGACGTCACTTGGTCTGCTTCAGTACTGTGGATCGTTTCGAGGTGAGCCAACTCCCTGTTGCCCTATGGGGTTTCACTGGTTACATCGTTAACAATCGGCTTTGCACAGAGAATGTAATTGCGGGTGATGTGCTCATTGCGTTAAAACACGATGACCTAAAGGAAATGGGGATCAATAGTGTGGGACATCGACTGACAATCTTGAAAAATGTCTATGAAATCAAAGTCAAGCACGATATTCCCCTTGACGTCGACCACTATATTCCACTTTGTATGATCTCCTGTCCTCATGAATAAGCCCTCTTTTTCTAACACTCATCGATAGCGGCCGATCAGAGCATGAATGAGAACGCCACTCAAGACGATATTGCTAGGTTGATTCAGTCAATCCAAATTAGAGACCAAAGGATTTTTGTGGTTGAGACAGAGATGCGTCGCCTTTCAGAGGACTATCGGCGGCTAAGAGAAGAGATACTTCCTGCTATCAGAATCGCCAAGGACCGATCTCACCCACTGCCTTCCCATTCTTCGGGACAGGACGGCCATCGTGATAGTGTCACCCTCACCTCACCTTCCCAGCTCACTCTCGTGGACCATCCTTCATCTTCGTCAACCTCAAAACTGGCCAGGGCCTTCTCGAAACGCACCTATACAGGTGGAGCCACGCCCAAGAATAACAACTCACCAACCCATATTCCCCCCTCTATCTATGAAGGCAGGAGTCACCATGACGGAGCATCTTTGGATCCATCAACCGCCGCTTCTTCTCATTTGACAGTCATGAATGGAGGTTTACAGCATTCTTCAGGAGTTCCGTCACCAACTTCCCCAAATACCATATCAGCGCATCATCAGACTCTCAATCCTCGATCATATTCCCAACCTGGTTCAGCCAGTCGTTTGGCACACGAACATTCTGATGAATTATCAAGAGCGCCATCCCGAGGGGATCGCTCGACTTCAAGTCAACCACCTTCTGCGCGCACTGAAACCCCGTCTTCAGCACATCGAGTTGAGTCTCGAGGTGCTGGGCCATCCAGTGTGGAAATCTTCAAGTCATTCCGAGTATCTTGGGAAGATCCTTGCTACAAGGTTCTTCCCGCCGCTCTCAGGAAATACAATATTCACAATGATCCGAAAGATTATGCACTATACATTGTCTATGGGGATCAAGAACGATGCCTAGGGCTAGATGAAAAGCCATTGCTTCTCTTCAAGCAACTAGAGAGAGAAGGACGAAAACCAATGTTCATGTTGCGGAAGATTCATCCAGACAATATTTACCCGAGTGCAGCTAGCACAGCTCCGAACAGCGCTGGCTTCGATGGTGGTCGACAGGCGCAAATTAATTTACCCGGTGGTGTTTTGTGATTCGATTCCTCTTCACGATGATGCATTTGTGTCTGCCGCTTGAGATACCCGGTGCCTTATTTTTCTTCCTTGTATCTTATACTCGTTTGCATCTGATTCCATGTTGGCAGTAAGGATTTTGATTGACTCTCGTCTTGTAATAATCCTTTGAATGAGCCTGATTCATCATCTGCAATACATGGAATCACTCTTTCATTTCCCTTCTCAAGCACAGCGGACGTTAAGATTAAACGAATTTAATACCCAATTTAACGCTATATACAACGGCATTATTCTCAGTTTTATAGAGGTTTGAAATGCTGGAATACTCAGTTTCTGCTCAGCCCTAAATCAGCCGGGGCCATACTTAGCTTCCGCCAATGCAATTTTGCTTCAAAAAATGAGCTTGCTGTTTCCTACTCTCGCTCCTTCCATATCTGGACATCATGCTCTCCAAGCTTTTGCTTTCATGCCCTCCCATAGCTCAATCTTCTTCCTCCACCCTTCTTGTTTCGTTGCATTGCAGACTTACCACACATTTTTATCATTTCATTTGCCAAGCTTTCCAGATGCGTTTGTATTCAATTTTGCGCTTTATTGCACTCTTTGCACTGCTTTGCATCGTGAACCTATCTGCTGCCAGCCCGCTAGTTTCAGGCAGTCTACCACCAGAGAAACAGCATGAACCTACTCCTGATGCCGACCAGATTCAGCTCGCAAATCACAGTACTTCAGGTATGACCAGTCAAGTCTTTGACTACCGATGCGGTCCTCCTCACCTGATGTTGTGTCCCCCCAATGCTTGCTGCTCTGGTGCTGGTAGGTCATATTCACATGTGCTTAAATGAGATGATCAGTGACATTTTTCGAATGCAAGGCTTCTGCGGAACGACTAGGGCACACTGTCGCTCCCCCGATTGCCAGATCAACTTTGGGCACTGTGACGCTCACAAGACCCCCAAAGGTACCCCCACGAAGGATATTCCTCGGCCTCACGTCGGCCAAGTTCCGTATGGCCCCGTGGAGATTCGTTCATGCATGATGCCTGGCACAGTTGCCTTGACATTTGACGATGGTCCCTCGAGATACACCGGCGATCTCCTTGATCTTCTCGATCGTTACCACGCCCCCGCGACATTCTTTGTCACCGGTATCAACAACGGTAAAGGCCCGATTGATGACACCGACCTGCCCTGGGCTCGCATGATCGAGCGTATGGTGCGCAGCGGTCATCAAGTTGCCAGTCACACTTGGTCCCACCAAGATTTGAGCAAGATTACCCAGGATCAGCGCCGTGAGCAAATGGAGAAAAATGAAGGTGCTGTGCGGAATATATTAGGATATTTCCCAACATACATGCGTCCGCCTTACTCAAGTTGTGTCAATGGTTGCCTGGAGGATTTGGGCGATTGGGGATATCACATCACTCTGTATGATATCGATACCGACGATTACAAGAATGACGACCCGGCTTTGATCCAGCGATCCAAGGACATATTTGACAAATCTTTGCATTCGGCTAACCCTCTGACGCGATCCTGGTTGGTCATCGCGCATGATGCTCACGAACAAACTGTGTATAATCTCACAGAACACATGCTAAAGACGATCTTCCGTCTCGGATTCCGCCCAGTGACCGTTGGCGACTGTTTGCAGGACCCACGTGATAATTGGTATCGTAATGATACAAGCTGGTATGGACGTGATAAGGGGGGTCCCAAGAAGAAAGGCCCCGGAAAGCCCCTCACGCAGACAAACTCGAAAGACGGCACTTGTGGGAAGAACTTCACCTGTTGGGGATCAAAATTTGGCCTTTGTTGCGGTAATAAGGCTAAGTGCGGGAACACAACCACCCACTGTGGTTATGGATGCAACAGCAATGCAGGATACTGTACAGTTGATGTTCCCCCCAGTGGCGATGCCTGGGACCCCCGTGTCCCCAAGTTCCCAAAAGGTGGCAGCAAGACCAGTTCTGAGGCAGACTCTGAATTCCGAACTGTCGGGGCTGCAGCTTTGACCTCTTTGCTTCTGGCTCTCGTGGTTGCGATGTGGATGTGATGAGTTGGCGCATTTTTTTCGGGTTTCATTGGAAACTAGGTATACGTTAGTTATGTTCATAAGCATGATCGTTCTGAGCTTATCGTGTCATTCGTTATAGCCTTCTGATAATGAAAACCCGTTCAAAGGTTACTGACAGCCATGAGTTGATCCAGAAAATAGACTGTACATGTCAAATTGTCTACAGATTTTCAGTGATAGCTAGGTAATTTTAGAAAATGAAAGTTTCTGGATATAGTATAGTAACTTCCAAATTTTCTGATTAGATCTTTGGAAATGAGAAGAACTTATATCTGAATGGCAAGCAAGTTCCTTCTGATTTGAAAAGTGTCAGTAGTAGACTGTATATCCAACTCCAGCCCTGGGAGATTGGATATAATCCAGCAATCAAGTGGCAAGTTGTCTGGCCCAACATATCTGTTCTGTGAAATTTTCTAATTAGGGTGATGGCGATGACAGCACAAGTGAACCTAGGTACTAAAAGTAATCTGCTAGATGATCTATTTGTAGCTACGTCTATTAAGAGTAGATGTGTATCGTGAGCTGAAGATAGATTCTACCTACCCGGTCATATAGCAGACTCCGTCTCAACTGAGCTTTACAGTCAGTTTACCTAGGTAGTGTCAATTTACTGGGGTAATAATCCATTCTAGCCCCTTTTCATAATCGTGTCTCGAAATCCTCGGTCTGGTGTACCTGCAATCTCGAAAAAATGAATAGCCTGACAGCCAATTCAATCAAACGTGGAAGAAGCGAACCTCAAAAGTTCAGACCTCGAAAGATTTGGTCTTTACATCCAGGGCTAGGTATTTAGCATTCATAACAAAAGGCATAGCCAGTTTCAAATCTTAAAGTTGATCTGTCCTCAGAGCTCAGATCAGTGTTAACACATCAGGATTCAAATACCTGAGCCAAAATATCTTGTTTCTAGAAGCATGGAATAGGTTCCTGATATCTTGTGGCTTTCGGTTGATTGATGAACTGGACAAATGGGGTATCGAACTGGGGGTCAGATGGCAAGTCTTGCAAATGCCACAGGCTCATTTCAACCTGTATCAAGTTAATCAGGAAGCTCAGATACAGATCCACGCAAAGGGCGGAAAGTTTGAGGATTGAAATGCTTCTTTGAGTCACCATCGTCAAGATGAGTGCTCGTAAAAGTAAAATGGCATTGAAAAGGTCCCAAGAAGGCAAGGGAAAAGAAAACAAATGATACATCCAGCAAAAAGGCAACGTGATAGGAGGGTATGAGAAGAAAAAAGAGAAAAAATCCAATACACATATCGCTCAAGCCAAAATAAAATGATCCTCCAGGGAAGTAAACGCCAACGAATATTGATAAATAGAATAACCAAAATATTCAATATTCTGATGAGAATGGTGAAAACGCCATGGAAATGCCGGGGTCGTGTCATTAAGCAGTCATCGTATTTCACCATCGGAATCAGATGTAACAGGCTGTTTGCCTTTACTCTCCTTTGACAGTGCGGTGATAGTCCTCTGAACTTCACGCTTTGCAGCCTGTTCTAAATCGTCGATCGACTCGGCACTGAGAGCTTCTCTGGAGTCAACACGCGCGTAAAGTTTTCGTGATATGGAGCGGTTGATCTCTGTGTAGTCATTCTTAGACACTGTATTCTCCCGATAGTGGGGTTTCAACGCTGCGCTGACCATCTTCTGAATAGCAGACTTCACAGCTGAAGAGGGTCCTCGACTTGGTGACTTCTCGGAGGATCGAGAATTAGCCATTTCACCAGCTAGACGAGGAAGGCGGGAACGTGGCCGAACGGTATCATGCGACCCGGGCGAGTTATTTTTCATGGACGGGGAAGGGGTCCCGGAGTACGACAGCTCGGGAGAAAGGGGGAGGTGAAGAGGGTTCAGCGGGGGAGGAGAGTTGCAGGGGAGACATTGGTCGGCTGCGGGAAAGAGGAGGAGGGGTGGTGGATGTTAGGAGGGGGAGGATCGATTGGAGGAAAAAGGTGAGATAGACGGCGAGGAAGGTCCAGGGGATGCCTGGTCAGTAGGAGCAGCAGATGCAGGCGCCGATGGTCCAAGAGAGGTCATACGGCTCGGAGCCTCATCCACCTCTTTCAAAAGAGAGGATAAGAAGCTCGGCTCACCTGCAGTTTGTCCGTTGAGCCGTGAACTTGAACCAGCAGCTCTGGAGGATTCACCATTCTGTTGAGCCATGGCGGCGAGTTCTCGGGGCCGCCTCGTACGCGGGCGTTTGAGTTTCCGCTCGGGTTCAGTGGGTTCAGGGGAGGGTGACGCTGTAGGTTCCTTGCGTTTGCGAGCGGCATTTGGATTGTTTTCAATCTCTCGCGCTCTTTCAAAGGCGTTCCATGCTCGCATTTCCTCCAAAGACTCCGGCTCTGGCGTAGGTTCTCGAGGTACTCGGGGGCGCGAGGGTCTAGACGTGTCGATATCGAAGAGAGATGCGCGGGCAGTCTCACGGAATCGATTATTGGCCCCCTGACGTTCGGCGACTTCAAAGCGACGCTGCCAGGATCGAAATTCACGCTGGTTGGCCTCATCCCGGCGACGCTGTTGCGAGGTTCGTACGTCATCATCAAAGGGAAAATCTAAATCCAGATGCAAGTTGTCCCTGATAGACTGCCAGACTCGAGCCCAGTGCAGTGAGTTGATTTGGTTGAGACTCTGCGCTTGGCGTTGCTGAGCCCGGGTTCGGCGAGTACGTCGGTCAGTAGTGCGAGCAGGCCGAGGAGGAGTAGCCCCTGGGGCCGGAGCAAGTGCCTGTTGAGATTCGCACTGTGCACAGAACCATGAGCCATGGGGAACTTCCTCCAACCCGATACAGAATGTATGCGAAGGGGCATCACATCCATCACAGAGAAGGAGTACTTCTTCGTTATCACGTCCTCCACAAATAGTACATGGCTGCCAGTCGATGAGATCCTCCAACTCGAAATCAGTGACCATCGTAGGGTCGATCTCAGCGACTTGCACCCGATCTTGGACAGCATAGGAAGAAGTAACAGGACCTATATATATCACGAGTGGAAAAATTAGTAAACTCTTTGACAGGGTGAGAATATCCAAGTAGAAACTTTGGAACACTATATGTATATATATATATATATAGTAGACGATAGTAGACCTACCACCAGGCAGGTCGCTCAACTCGACCATGTTAAAACTACGACGACATATCGGACAGCTGTTAGCTCGCTCCACCCAAGGCTTCAAGCAATTATTATGCAAGATATGACCACAAGGGAGCAACTGGGCAATTTGACTAGGGTCCTCCTCATCCCCCTCGACTGTTGTCACAGCGTTATCAGGTATAGGATCACTGGCGCTTTCGCCCAGGTCTCCTAGACAGACTATGCAAGTGTCGGACATGGGCAGGAATAAAGCCAAGTGATTGAAGAATAACTGGCGGCATGAAGAGCGGTATAAAGGGAAAGGATGTGGGGAGGTGAAGAGAGCCGGGCCTTATGAAGGTGGGCCGGGATTTCCAGTCTAACGCAAAACAGAATGGCAACGTGACAGGGCGAATCACCTGCGTTGATTAATTAACTCATTACTCATTACCAAATGCACAGCATAAGATCCCTGTTTGTGAAGTACATATTACTGTGATGAAAAAGTCATGCCTGCGCCCTTACTGTGCCTAGCGTAGACTGCGTAGCACTGTAATGCCGAAAGTACAGAAGTACGGGTACCCTATCCAACTGGACCCTGGAAAGGTACGGAGTACATGGCAAATGCTACAATATCTCGTGTCATCATATTTACAAGATGTTAGGATAATAGGATGCTGTGATACTGGGATGCTGTGATACTAGGATACTGGGATGCTGGGATTTTAGGATGTGAGGTCGGGTAGCTGAACGGGGGCCAGTTTCAGTGAGATTCCACCAAGTCCTGTACATAAGTGGGCCTAATCAGGAACCTATGAAGGTTGAGTGGCTCCACGAATCCATGCACCGAAAGTAAGGAAGCCTGGAATGCACATAAAGAAAAATGCGAAAATCGGAGCTGAGGGGAGGGCCGAAGAGCAAGCCAGGTATCTACAATTACTACCCTGGGACTGATGTGAAGCGGTGAACCAGATCTGTCAACCTCAAAAAGACATCAAATTGCGCATCATCTGTATGATGTTTTCGAGCTGAGCAATTGAAACTTCTGGTGACAGACAGATGCCTATGTCGGTAGAAGTCATATCAAGATCATATGGACATATCGAATTACGCAAGTGGTGCAAGATAAGAGTTTGTAGTCATAAATCCTCGGATTCTGAAGTTTTCATTTTTTGGTATTTCAGACGTAACCGTAGAATAGAAAAGAAACCATCATTCAAGATTTTTAAACCTCAGCGATCTCACGGAGACGACGGATGGTCGAGCGGGTAGCGGCAGCGGCGGGGGTGCTAAATGATAGCAGTCGGTTAGTATGTGGGTGAGAACAGAGAGTATCGACCAATTTCTCCCAGATATTATCATTCTTGTGCGCAAGATTTCACGTGGGTTGGGTCAAGAGTTGTTGAAGCAACTTACGAAACGGTGTAAGCACCACCAGCGACGGTCTTGTTGCAGCCCTTGCACTCCCAGATACCGACAGCCTTGCGCTTAACGGTGTTCTTTCCGCAGAAGGTGCAGACGTAACGGGCGTGCTGGGTGATTTCCATCTTCTTCACCTGCTTACGCAGGGAGGCACCGTATCTGTTGGAGGAAATCTGGTCAATATCCGTTGTTTATATGAAGGCGTTTGTTGTTGCTTGGCTGATTTTCGAAAAATCACAGTCGTTCGAGATCGTGGGCGAGGGCGATGGGAATTGAATGTTGAGCATACCTGACACCATATTTACCGGTGACACCGACCTCTAAAGAAAACGTCAGTAATCGGAAATCAATGAAAAATCGATCATGAAAAGGGAGGTTAAGCATACTCTTAGTGCGCTTGGTCATCTTGTCTGCTGTGCGGCTTGATGATGTTGAAGATGAGTATCGAGCGGACCGAAGAAAGCCTTGAAGATTGGTTGTGGGTGGGCTCGCTTAGGGCTCACTCTTGGCGGTGTGTGGTCACGTGATATTACTTCACATGTTTCCTATCACGTGATGGTTAGTGTAGATCCAAAATAATATTGTGTTGAATATCCAAGCCAGTATATGATAAATTCAGAAAGAAAAGAAATATGTTTGGATTTTCAATAAATCTTGCATGGTTAATACCCATTTAATGATGTTACTCTACCTTTTCTGGGGAGTTCTCCGCTTAGCTCGATCCGCCAGAGTACGTACCTAGGTATGTCCTTCTTGGCATTTAATCATCCATGTCATCCATTGATGTCATGTTTCATATGAGCCGATGGAAAGCTGGTAAGTGGCCAAGTCTTAAAATGTGTAGTTATCGCTCTTTTTTGATGCCGAAGTTCTTTCAAACCTCAACTCTTTCTCAAGACCCCTAACTGGCGGATATCTAGTATGCTTAAACTTTGGAATTCGCTATGCACGAATACCTAAGTATACGATTCAGAGTTGCTCTAGAAACTTTTGATATGGAGTCATAGTCCAAGTAGCTACGGGTACCTTCATCCATATCTAATTACTGTCCTTAGAACTGATCAATAAATAGAGCTAAGGAAGAACTACCTCATAAGTTCATTAGTTCTGACTAGTATATTGTAAGAACTATTCACTTCCTGAAATTTCTTGTTTCATAATCTTATCTTATTTCCAATCTCCATATTTTGAAATAATGATTTGAAATCTGCATTTTTGATTTAATTTTCTGCATCTCGGTTTACTCCTCAGTCACGTGTGTTAACATGGCAACATGCTTGTCGGCCAGATCATCTTTCCCCCATTGTGCAACCTGGGATCTCTCGGAATCTCCATAGATTCGTCATTTTATTTCAATTCCCCTACATCCCATTCACCTCTGCAACAGCTATCACCCTTTTCTCAACTTCGGGTTCGTGAATATTCAGAACAGTCGTTACGTGAATATACATCTGCAGAGCATTCATAATTCCAAAATGGCTTTTGAACGCGAATTTGACCTGATTTTGCTGGGTCCTACCGGCTACACTGGTAACTTCACTTCTGAGCATATCGTAAAGAACCATCCTACCAACCTTAAATGGGCCATCGCCGGCAGATCGGCTCGGAAGATGGAGTCCATCGCCCAGGAGCTGAAGGCCATCAATGGGGATCGTGTCCAGCCAGGTATATATCCTTAACAATTGTTTCTCTCCAATGGATAATTACTAATCTGGACTAAAGCTGTCTTGGTGGTTCAGATGAACGACACCGAATTGAACGAGCTAGCCCAGAAGACCAGACTCATCATCAACTGTGTCGGACCTTACCACTTGTACTCTACACCTGTTGTCGAAGCCTGTGCTAATAATGGAACTCATTACCTTGACGTGTAAGTTTGATTGCTTTATTTTAATGACCTTTTACTGACTTTGGCCGTGACAGTACTGGAGAGTCTCCCTGGGTCAAGATGATGATTGAACAGTACCACGAAACTGCCAAGTCCAGCGGTGCAATTGTAAGTTGTATACTCAATTCTTCATATTCTCCTGGCACTAACAATGACATAGATTATCCATTCGACTGGAATTGAGAGTGCCCCGGCTGATATGCTGGCATGGGCCCTCGTCAAGCGAATCCGGGAGGAATTCTCGACTCCCACTCGTCTCATCGAAAGCTGCACCAAAGAGATAAAGTATGACCCCTTCATACACAGATTTTTCTTCAACATTCTAACTTCTTGTCGCAGGACTTCAGGAGCAAGTGGTGGCACCCTCGCCACAGTCCTGGGCATCTTTGACTGGCTTCCGATCTCTGAACTGCTCAAGTCTAATAGTCCTTTTGTTCTGGCTGCATCAGCCCCACCCAAGGACATTCCCAAGACTACTATAGCTCAGAAACTCCTAGGTGTGCGCTCCGTCCGCGACCTGGGCACGCTAACCACCTCGCCGAACGGCATGGTCGACATGTCCATCGTGCACCGCAGCAGCACTCTAATGCCAGAGCTTTATGGACGACGCTTCTACTTTAGCCAGATGATGTACGTTCGTAATGCTCTCATGGGATTCTTCGTCCACGCCGCCATCTCCATTGGCTTGTTGCTGCTGATGCTCCCACCTGTTCGCGCCGTGGTGCGTAAGTTTATATACGCCCCTGGATCCGGCCCGCGTCTGGAAGACTCCAAGAATGACCGTATCGAGTACCATGCCGTGGCAACCGCCGACCAGGATGTTCCATCTCCAAAGCGAGTCTTCGGAAAGCTGACTTACCACGGCTCCTTGTACGTGCTCACTGGTGTTCTCATCGCAGAGGCTGCCATGGTCATTCTTACGGAAGAGGAGAAGGTCAAGAAGGTCTCTCGCTGTGGTATTGTGACTACGGCTACCCTGGGCCAGGAGTATATTGACCGGTTGGACAAGGCCGGTGTTAGCATTGAAACCAAGGTCTTTGAGAACTAAAGGTCTCAGCTCTCAGCCGATATCAACCAACCCCGCTAGCTTTTTTTTCCCCTCTTTATTTCGTCATTCCCGACTTTATGCTTGCTTCAACTGCTTGCAGGATGATACTGCAAACATTCAATTTGACTCATAGCTATGACTAGCTCACGAAATAATGAACAATTCTGATGTTTTAGAGTTTCTCCGATCTCCCACTAATTACTACATCATTCAGCCATCCAGCAATAATTTGATTCACCTCCGCTGGTTTCTCCCATAAGGCCCAATGAGTAGTATCAACACGCTTTATCGTCAAATCAGGGACATTCTTCGTCATTGACTTTCCCAGTTCTATCGGAAGGGCACTATCCCTCTGTGCCTGGATGAACAGCACAGGGATCGTAATCCGCCGGCCTAAAATGGCTTTTTCGTCTTCGTGGTTGATTTCACGAGTACGGTACCAGTTCACTATGATATTGATCAGCACATAAAAACAGAAAGTTGGTTGAGAGACGAGACATACGCGGACCATGGACCCCATTCCTCATAAACTCATCCGCGTAATACTCAAGTTCCTAATAATAATAAAATATCAATATCAATCACTTCACTCACAAAGCTCCAATACTCACTTCCACGCTCAGTAGTCTTGATGGCATCAGCTTCCCCACCTTGTCAAACAAAACGCCCTTCTTAACATCAAACCCAAACTCCTTATCCGCCGTTCGACCGCCATATAGCGCACTCAGAAACTGTTTGATTTCCTCCCGAGTACGAATCACCTTTTCTACATCCCCACTCGCGAACTGCAGCTGATAGCCAAAGTGCGGCGCCGCAGTTTGCACAAGGTCTTCTAGGGATAGATAGCGTGCTTGGGGCCGCGCATACGGTACGCAGACTGCAAAGAGGTGGCTGACTAGATCGGGATGCCAGAGGGCTATGCGATAGGCGAGGGAAGCACCCCTTCCACGAAATGAAACAGATCAGACATTTGTCTGGACTGAGTTTATGATATGGGTTCTTACCAATCATGCGCGCCTAGGAGTATCTTTGATTCCCCCAGCTGTGTGGCTAGCACTTTCAAATCATCCGCGCAGCTCTTGTGTGAGTAAAGCTTTAAATCACCCGGGGCTTCCTGTTCCCACTGTGAGATCTCATATTTAGATCTATGACGAGACTCAAACACTCACTGTACGGCCATAACCTAGGCAGTCTGGTGCAATGACTCTCAGCCCCATGTTCACCAGCATAGGGATTTGATACCGCCATCCCATGGAGATGTCCGGAAAACCGTGGATCTGATAATTGGAATCTGGATTAGCTTGGGCTCTATCATACTTCTAAAGTAATGGATTTGAGCGGTCGCTAACCAGGAATATCGTCGCTCTGTATTCTCGTGGCTGACTGAGGAGATAGCTGTAAGTGCGGCCGTTGACTTTTGCGGATCTATACTCGATGCGATTGTCGCCTGTTACAAGAATCTTATCGGTTGACATGGTTATGAGTCTCTCAGCTTATATCATCCACGAATGTATGAATATCATATTAGACCAAGGTTGTGGTTGAAGCAGGGCACCCAATTTATTTATTCTTAACCCCGCGAATTAGATGTCACGTGAAATAAACTACAGTATAAAATCAGACCAGAAGTGAGATGTGAAATTGAGAATAAAAAGGTGGTTTGATTTGATGGAACAGGGTTATCGATACCGGCGAGGTCTACTTCCAATTAAAATAATACGAGGCTCAGCTGATACCGGATTGAACCTCGGTTGAGGCTTCCCGCATTTCCCCAGATCCACAGCATTAAAAAACAAAAAAAAAACAAATCAGCCATGACCGTTGGACCTACTGACCTTGGGAAAGATATAATGCTCTTAATATATCACAGTATCCTCGTTGTCCTCCACGACCTCGCTTCCGTCATCGTCGCGTTCAGCCTGTTCATCAGTAGGTCGATTCGCGTCGTTGATGGCCTGCACATTAGAAGGCTTCGTAGTATCCATAGTCTCCATATTCTCACGATCATTTTTTGACTTGGTCTTGGGCGAAGACGAAGACGTCAAGGCTGACACCGAGGGGAGAGTTTGGGGAAGGAAAGATTCAGGCGGGTATCGAGAATCGAATTCAGCAACTTCACGAGCAATAGTATCCTCAGCATCCTTAACTTGTTCCTGAATGAGGTGTCTATCGGCGGGTTGTAGCTGATACGGTTTGTACAACTGAGTAAAAAGATCATGTTAGCTGTTATACGCGAGAACGGAACGGCAGGGGGAGGTCAGATGAGCCATACCAAGGAAGGTAGTGTATAAGTCTTGATGAAACGTGCCGAAGTAATCAGCTGGGCATGGCGTGTGCGCATCTGTTATACCATTAGCAAAGTTTCATCCCATAGTAAATAGATCCAGATTCAGCCAGATGAACTTACTGCTTCGCGCGCATAAAACGGAGACTCAGCTCTGCGGATCAGATTGCGACGCTCTTTGCGCTGTTTATCAAATTCGTCAACCTGGGACTTCAGTTTCTCTTGCTGTCTTTTCTGGATATCTGCTCGTCGCTTCTGCGATGCCGACGTTGAGGTTCCAGAGAGTGTGCCTAGTAAGCCGCCGAACAGTCTTCGACTGCGGTCGCGGTCATCACTAGGACCAACTTTGCGGACTGGCCTTTTTTCCATGTTCTGCGGGGCAGATAAAGAGACGCGTAGATCGGGGTGGGAAGCCTGGTCGCTTTGGCTGCTGTGTCGACGGCGCTTGGATTCGTGGTCTGTGATCGAGGGGTTTCGGCGTTTAGAAGGAACTTCGGTAGATTGACGTATGCTGGATGGGTCAGGAATAGCGACTGCCGAAGCAAGAGTCCTGAGGTAATTGTCAGCAGAGCTCATTAATAGATCAGCGCATCACAACTGGTTGATTTACCCTTCAGACATGGTTGATTATTGTATGTGCCAATCGGTTTGGTGTGAGTGAATATCTGATAGGAACAAAAAGGACTGCGAAGAATAAGTCTGAATCAAAAAAGTCGAATACATCAAGGTTGGACCAAAGGTCAGCTCAACTGTCGGAGCTGGAACAGTGTTACAGCGGGCACGTGCACGGACCCGAGTTTCTTCCAGCTTCTTCGCTTTCTAAGCTCCTCCTCCTTCTTCCCAGACACACCATTTTTGCAATTCCTCCACAGCAAACCTCTGCTCTCCTACCATTTCCCTCATTGCTCGAAATATCATCACATCATGTCTCGCCATCACCCTGATCTGGTCATGTGCCGCAAACAATCTGGCATCTCCATCGGCCGACTTTGCGATAAGTGCGACGGCAAATGTCCTGTGTGCGACTCCTACGTGCGCCCAACCACCCTTGTTCGTATCTGTGACGAGTGCGCCTTCGGAAACTACCAGAACAAGTGTGTCGTCTGTGGTGGTGAAGGAATCAGTGACGCTTTCTACTGCTTCGAGTGCACTCGTTTGGAGAAAGACCGAGATGGGTGCCCCAAGATTATAAATTTGGGAAGTTCGAGGACAGATTTATTCTATCAAAAGAAAAGTTTTCGGAATCAATGATCGTGACTTTCTATCACTCCTTGGCCAATCTGTTGGCTTCTTTTTCTATTTTTTTTCTTTCTTTTTTCTGTTTTGAATGTTGAGTGTTCTTCGCAGTTTCTGAGCATTATATGTCCAACAAGGCCAGAAACAGGGAGCTGCTCAATTAATGACGGTTGATCGACTATCTATTCTTGATAATAACTATGTGTACTCGAACTCTACACGAGATTGTGATTTACCGACCGGGGCGTCTTGGGCGGGCGAAACCACGCCCTGCACCCTGGTTCTGTGGCGGCTCAACTTCCTCCTGCAACCTTTCTCCAGTGATCTCATCTGGGGACGAAGCTTCGATCTGTCATTCCGCATATATCAGCACAATTCCACAACTCATTCCGACCCGAACATACCTTTTTCAAGTTCTGGAGGCCTTCCTGCTCAGCGATCGCGATAGCATTCCTCCGCGAGCTGGCGTGCAGCATGCGCTCCTTGATAGATGAGCCGGTGGGACAAGTGTACACGAATACCACGGCATCCGAGCCCGGATAGTGGTAGAAGGAGTACCGGGGCGAAGTTGAAGAAATGTGCGAGGCTACGTCGCCCGCATCAACACCAGACTTGGAATCAGCAAGCGTGATAGTCTCCGTGGGGATATCGACAGTCTGTATCGAGAATCAGATATTAGCACCAAAATCAAGATATCAAGCACAGAGACGCTCTCTCGCGTAAGTGTAAACATACCAGCTGAACCAGTCCTCCCTCCTGTAGCTCTTTCAGCGCAGTCTTAGCCGCCTCATCAACCGGCATGGATATCTTCATGCCAGACCCAGAGCCTGGTCCATATGTTCCACCGATTCCGATATCTCTCTGCGACGGGCCGCTCCGAGCCTCAGCCTCAGCCATGCGAACCTTCTCAAGCTCGCGCTCCTTCTCACCCATCAAGTCTTCTCTCCGGATCTGGTTAATCTCCCCATCGCGCTCCCGCCACGCATCACGTTCCAGGATCCCCGCCTCTTCGGTGGCAAACACAGTCGAGGCGAACTTCTCAGCACCAAGCTCACGAAACAGCGTGGAGCGGGTTGAAGCGAACAACATCTTAGGCCGAACAGGCGCATCAGATGGGATGTAAGTCAGAGCGATGAGCGAAAAGGATGCATTGGTAGGACGGCGCAACAAGAGGAAGATCGGTGTCTTGGGTTGTAGGACGGAAGAGAGCTGGGGCAACGAGGAGAAGAAGGATTCAGGCGAAGAATTGGATTCGGTGAATAACAACGGGGTCAATGGTGTCAGACTCTCGGAGGTAATGGTGATGGGTAGACAGAAGCTTGAGCTGTCGTTGCTGAAGTGGCTGAAGGCATTTTGAAGCTCCGCGGAGACTGGGGCGTTGTAAGCGTTGAACGGGCCAATGGATTGATGTAATTTGATGATATATTGTCATTTCATCCGACGTACCTGTGATTCCTGACTGCATGATGCCGAGCTATTTGACCTCTGGAGTTGAGGTGTGTTGTTGTCTACTCCGTACTCCGTACAGGGGGGGGGAGGGGAAGCGGTGAATGAGGGGCTACTCCTTATTTTCCGAATGGCATTCGCTCTCATTAAGTCATTCATCATTTATTGTGAATTACTTACATCTTTTATTTACATCGGTTCTTTTTTTTTTTTTTTGGATTCTAGGTGTAATCACAAAATTCAACTTTTTGAAAAACTTGGATTACTCTGAACAGACCGGGGTCCAAGTCCAACATTATGGTATACAGAACCGGAAAGAAAAGGAGGCCGATTGAATATTTACAAAAACCGTTCGGAGTGGCTCACCTCGAAACGATCAAAGGGTCATTTGCGAGCCTTCGAGAGAAATGGAAACGCAACACCCATGCTCAGTATAATATCACATATGTCAACAGGAAATTACTCATCGAATGAGCCACCCACAAAGGCCCAGTTGGAACTTTCCAACTTACCCCTGAGGAACTCATATACAGTGAAAGTCACAGCCTGACCCGGAGCAACACGCATTACACGAGGGGTGATGCCCTTGTAAAATGCTTGAGCACCCTCCTGCTTGAACATGTCCTTGGCAATAACCATAATACGAGAGATAGCAGACTGACCCGGCTCAGCTCGGCTCTTCTGGAGACGAGTCTTGATGGTGTCGATGGGGGCGTTTGAGAAGGGACCCATCGCACCAGAAATGAGACCGATGAAGGTGGTCTGGTACGCGGGAAGCTGAGAATCACTGTACTGGGGTTGCCAGCGCTGGAGAGCGGACTTTAGCTCGCTGTATGCAGTGAAGTTGGCGGCTTGATTGGTTCCCTGGCGCAGGGCTGTGAGAGAAACACCGCGATATAAGGTGCTGAAACCTTCTTCCCGGATAACGGTAAACAAGGCGTGAGGGGCGCTACGATATTTGGGGGTATCGAGGGGATCGGCCAGACTGTGATGTTGCGCCTGCAAGCGAATCTTGATGACTTCCATTGGGTTTACGACGGCCACGGCCTCAGTCACACCAGCCGCGAGACCAGCTGATTAGAACAGGATATTGTTAGTGGAACAGAACGTGAAGCTGACAATAGGGTTGCGCTTACCGAGGAAAGTGGCTTTGCTGGTGACATTGCCGGTTTCTTTATCGGCCAACATGCCCTTGTACGACTCAAACGAGGTAAATCGAATGGCCATTTTGGGAATGATACCTCCCAGCACAGCACCCAAACCCTTGTATAAACCCATTGCGGTCTCTTTGCGCACAATCTCAGTACCAGTGGCAATGAAACCACGGGGTTTAGTCTATTAATCCAACATTTTAGCAATTGGAGTGAAGAGATGAGCCATATTGACTTACACCAGGCGCACGAGCTCTCCGTGATAACTGCATGCGAACCTTGACGGTATCTATGGTATTGTCAGCATTCTATCACCAAATATTACCACGAGAACATCATATCACATACCTAAAGGGTGGCAAATAAGGGCTTCCATCATACCAGCACCACCACCAGCTAGTTTACAGTTTAGCATGCAGCCGCATTATTTGAGAATATCAGATCTCACCAATCAGATTGACAGCCGGAGAGGCCTTCTTCCTCCCATTTCCTTTTTGCGCCGACATATCAACAGAATATAATGAAGAGAAAGAAGAACCGCTTTCTCTTTTTTGTCCTCTCGAGAATTAAAACACCAGATAATCGTTTAAGCCCAAGAAATAGAAGAAAATGGCTTGCTCCGAAAGTCGGGGGGAGGCGAAATGCGGAGGGAGTCGGAAGTATACAATCCCGGGGTAGAAGCCGAGGAGTGGACCAAGTAGAGAGATTGAGGATTATCCTCTAGATTGAAGACGGAGGATCTTATGTAAACTCCAGATACAATTTTCTCGGATAAAGGGGTCGGATGAGTGACGTTTACTAAATTGTGGGGAAATGTAGCTTTATGACGGGGAAGCGGAGGATGGACGAGCGGATGTTATGATCTAGATAGTTTGATGGCTGGCAGCGGCCATCTGGAAATTTGAGTATGATTTGAAAGGGGAAACAGGTAGAAATATATGTAAGATGTTTTAACATTCTAGAGAAGACAAGAGCTATTAAAGGATTGAAATATGAAAGAAGGTGTTGTCCCGAGGCCTTCGGGAGTTGGAACGTGGGCGGATGATTTGCTCGCCACGACCAGATATTGGATTACCTATGAACCTATGAACCTAGGTAGGTAAGGAATGATCTTTCATCTGACAGTGCTGAAGAATCAAGATTCTATTCTAATTGGTAGTTGAAATATGTTATTCACATGAAATACCAATATCACTTTATCATATGTGATTACTTATGCCTAGTAGATTATGCGGAGAAGCTTACTTATCGGGAGCTGATTTATTCCGGGTTTCTTTTACTCTCTTCACGGGAACTTTCGGGCCAAACAAAATCACTATTCTAGCCAGACTTTAGCCGAGGCTCTAGGTATCTAGTCCATGTCTAATAAGCTGTAAACTGTGGAATGCTTTATCTACCCAAACCTAGGTGCCGGGTTTCCTATGCTAGCTCTTGGCGCTCCCCGAATGAAATATGACAATTTGAAAGTTAAAGAAACAGTGAAGATAAATGAGTAACCGAATAGAATAGAAAAAGAATGGTTTTGTGAAGAGGAAAGAGCAACCGCCAATTTGAATCAGATCGCCACTGGTAAACAAAGCGTGATGCTCCAAGCAAGCTAGTATTGATGTATCGGCAGCATTTCAATCAATATTTCATAGGTCATAGGTCATATCCCAGATCTATTCATTATCTTCATCCTGAGCTTCGGGGCAAATAACATCTCGTCAATAATTTGTTGAGCCCGTGCGGAAGAACAAGGCTCAACTTATTCGGGAATAGCCGTATAAGGAGAAAGTGCCAGTCAAACTTCGTTCTGAAATAAACATACTTGGATTCCCACGAGGAGTTCTTATCATGACGTCGGACCTTGCGCTCAGTGGTGACCTTAGACTATCCTTAGACTATCCTTAGACTTGGTGGTAGACATCTTCGTAAATGTGAGAGAGTATTTTTTTTGAATAGTTGGAGTAAAGCTGGATAGACTGGTGGGGCTAAGAGTGGTGGAGCAGAAAGCTAACTGGGCGCATCACCGTTATACGCATAAGTTCAAAATCGAACAGATGTGGAAAGCTTGGCCTGCATAGTCGAGATGCCAGGTTATGAACTAACCCTTACATCGTACATATATTGCATAAAATTACACTTCCAAGATTCGCTACCCTGACTACACGGCATTCAAATAGATTAATTTTCTAGATTCTCTAGATTCTTACTCTATTACAGTAGTTTTTGAAATCAGTTATAGAGCGGTGAATTATAATGGACTTATTTGCCGGGAATGCTGGTATAACTGTATAACCACCAACAATCTTATCCAAGGAAAGTATAGACCAAAGCACAAAAATCAATTCACATCTTTCGGATCTTCCATACTTCCTGATCTCGACATATACCTTCTTCCACTTCTGCTGCATCTTCTCTTGATCAGCTTTCTCACTAGGATCATACCATTTTAGCTTCATTCTTTGAATTTGTCGGAAGTGATGATGCCTATGATTTGTTTGCATCGACGAGAAGTATTATATAGGGCGTTATGTGCTGTCCGAATAGCTTATGTTTATCAAATTCTCGCTATGATTCTCCACTTAGGTGATAGATTTACGATTTACGATAGAACCATTGAACAGTTTCTTCTTTGGCTCCTTATAATGACCCATTGATCTCGACACCAATATAAAAGCCAGTTTCGTCGAAACTATAGATATCTTTAGGACAAATCCTATATTCTGTTGTAATGTGTTTATAGTCCTGAAACCCACTACCTCCAAAGCCACAGCTTTATCAAGAGCCAGACTTTGTTCGGCACCAATCGCTCGTCGGCGTTGACGGTAGTATTTGGGATGATGTTCAAGAAAACGCTTAACTAGTGTTCTCCGATTAATGGTTATTTTGTTATTAGGTCTAAATAGGCCTTTTCAAGAACTGGATTAGCTGTAACTTCATCTCGTCCTTGATTAACTGATACTTTTGCCTTATCAAAATAGTTGGTTTGTTCACAAAGAGCTGTTTCCTATGCAGAACTAAGCTTACAACCGGTATATTGTCGTTTAAATAGTAATCTTCTACCGGGCCCGCTTGTAGCGAGGGACTGTAGTGAAGGGTAATTTATGTAATGTATAAAAGGCCTAATGTACTATGTAAGGGCTTATATTGCGGTGTGCTATGTAAGGATTCGCCATTTCTACCAGTATCTCCGTGCGATCGGACCCCACCAAAAATTTACTTAGAACAACTCCTGAATCGACGAGAAGATCCAAGAAGATCCAGTGTCCATGGAACTATCCAGTATGCTAAATACACGCTAGTTGGATTTTGAATTCTAGATCTGATTCCAAGTCAGATCCAGAGTCAACACAATCATGGTAACACCGTCTGTACACTCAGACGCTGAGCAACATAATAATACCCCGCCCCGATGGAAAACCATCCCACTCTGCATACTGAAAGTGATTCTACACCAATGGCTTCTAATAGGATACGGCGTCGTCTGCGTCCTAGCCTACTACTTTCCCCAAGTAGCGAAACATGGCGGGATAATCCGCGCCGAATACAGTATCATGTACGGGGTAATCGCGCTTATTTTCCTAATTTCAGGCCTGAACATCTCGCGCCAGAAACTGCTGTTACAGCTCATGAACTGGCGCCTGCATCTCATAGTCCAAGTGATTAATTTCCTCTTCGTCCCAGCTTTGGTCCTGGCTGTCGTTTATGCCATCTTGGCTGGTGATCCGGCCGGTCGTATCGACCGTGCTGTGTTGGCCGGGTACATTTTCACCGCTTGCATTCCCACCACTATCGCGTCTAATGTTGTCATGACGAGGTCTGCTGGTGGTGATGACGCTGCAGCGCTGGTGGAGGTATTGATCGCTAACATCCTTGCGCCGTTTATTACGGCTGCTTGGGCTGTTACTCTCATTCCGGAGAGGGACGAGTTTGAATCTTGGAAATCGGGCTCGTCGGATTTGAGAAGCATGTATAGGAATGTGTTCCAGCAGATTGGATATGCTGTCTTGCTGCCTCTTTTCGTTGGGCAGTTGATTCGATGGACTTTTCCAGAGCGTACAGCTTGGGTTCTGCAGAAGACTCGCTTGCCGAAATTGGCCAGTGTATGCATGTTGTTGCTAGTTTGGTACGTGCAATCCGTTCAACGACCACACATCCATCTCTTAACCAGCTCTCTAGGTCCACTTTCTCTTCCTGTTTCGCTACAGGCGCAATACAAACGCTCTCAGTTCAGAGCATTATCTTTGTCGTACTATTTAATATAGCACTCTACATCTTCCTCACGGGCGTTTGTTTCGTCACATCCCGCCCGCCACAGGCTTTCTCTTCTCACCGCTGGTCGAAGCCCGTTTTCAAACCATTGTCTCCAGAAGAGACTATCGCTGCATGTTTCTGCGGTCCGGCAAAGAGCACTGCCCTCGGTATTCCGCTTCTATATGCTATGTGGGCACCGCTTGACCTCTATCTCAAGGCCAAAACGTCTGTCCCTGTGCTACTATACACGACTGAACAGATCTGTGTGGCCCATTTTTTTGTCATGGTTTTTAAAAAATGGCATGCTTGGACGGCTAAGGATGCTGTGCCCGATTCTGACGGGGTTGATATGGCCGAGACTCCTGTACAGGGTAGTTCTATCCATGGCCGCGGAAGTAAGGATGAAGCATCCTAGATTTACTCAGCCCTTGAGGCTTATATGGTCTAGTGCCTACCTAGATAATGATACCCTTGAATTCTCAATATTCTCTAATGTAAGATCACAAGTAGAATACCTGGGTAAACTAGTTAGAAGCGTTTGGTTAGTTCCAAAGTTCAATGCTGATTTGCGTATACATTTGCTATACCCGACGTACTCGGCACTGTTTTTAATTGCGGAGTACCAGGTGGATCCAATTCAGGATGTGGATCCCAAAAATAGCCTGATGCTATTCGTTAAGTACGTAATGAGTAGATGAAAGTGTGTTTTGAAAGCAATATAGTCATGAATTGCAGTCCCAATCCGATATGTATTCTATAGGGTACATAGAAAAAAAATAACCAATGACAGAATAAAATGTATGTGAGGAATCGGTAAGATCCAATAGCCAAGGACGAAGATATCCATAACAGGAACTAGGCAAGAAGGAAAGCTCTTCATATATAGCTTACTTTCACTCCCATCCCCACGGTGTCTTTCATTTTTTGCCAAGCAGTACCCGTAATCCTGCGGACTCGTTCACGTACATTCTGTCGGCTCACGGCCATGAGAATGCCAATCACAAAAAGTAAGGCGCGTAATAAAGAAATTGGGTTCGCGGAGATGCTTTGGATTATATTCTTGATTAGATTCCGTAGGGAGGCAATAGCTCGGGGTTGATCGGCCCGAAGCTCAGCTTTGACTTGCTTCTTGGAGGACTTTGGTGAAACTGCTGCTCGTGCTGTAGGTTTGCCACTGAGTGACTTATCCGGTACTTTAGATCCCTTGGCCTTGGATGTGCTGCGTGGGCTACCCTTCTCGATCCCGAAGTCTACCTCGGGAGTATTGTGCTTGTGATTGTTGGATTGTTGAGCTGCAGCTTTAGCAGCCTCTTCTTCAGCTCTTCGACGTTCCTCATCCTGTTGCCGCTCGAATTCTGCATCTTTGTTGCGTTGTAACTCTGCAGCGCGCAGCTCCCCTCTTTCCTTCTCTTCCTTTAGTTGCTCCAGTGTTTGGATGAACAGTTCTTTGCGCTCCTCGTCTAGCACCTCGCTGAGATTGATGAACTCCTGGGCATATTCCCATTCTCCATTTGAAGGTAGCACATGGAGAGTAAATAGCTCGATGATTCGTACTCTGGCAGTTAAATCTTTCGGGGTATCAGCTCCATTAGTTGCAGATATCCGTTTTTGTGGGAAGTCATTGGTAGAATCTTCTAGTCGGCCTACTAGATCTAGATGCGGTTGCCCGTAGGATGACAGGTAGGTCTCGAGTCGTTGCTGATTAAGTGCTTGGGAGCTTGCATGAGTAAGAAGTAGTGTAGCTCTGGCGTTATGTTAGTCGCAATTGGTATTGACCAAGGGAGTAGAAGTGCCTGACAGGTTGAAAACCACCTCCGCATCGACGGAGCCTTCTCGACCTCGGTAGCCAATTTGCACCACCTCCTCCCAGACTGCGCCTTCTCGCACGCGCGTGGCGATCGATTTCCATTCCTTTTGCCCAAATTGAGCTGCACCTTCCTCGACACCAAGCTGTACTATTGCGCTGAGGAGCGTGCCGTAGAGATTCCACAACTTAATTCGCCATGTGCTGGGAGCCGTAGCGATCGGCGCTAAGGCCGAGGTTTGATCGCCATTAGATTCTTGGTCATCTGAGGATTTGGAAATTGATATAAATGGTTGAACTGCTGCAAGCGATTCTGGGAGACGCCGTGTGAGATACAGCTGGGAAGCTTTCTTGTATGTCTTGGAACAGAGCTTTGCGTGGGAGGTGGAGGAAGACGAAAGCTGGGTATGAGATAACATGCTGTCGGCCACCAAAGAAGTATTATGAAGCTGGGTATAAACAATTCAATTCAATGCGATTTAATTTCGAGAAGACAATTAGACGAGATGTGAATTGCAGTTGGAAGAACGTTGTTTCGCGCTAGGTCGTTTTCCCTCGGCTCGTCCAAGTCCGGGGAAGTCATGTGATCTCTATTTACATAGATCTACAACGTTCGACGTTCAACATCTGAAGATTTACAACAATAGTGAAGACTGTGATAGGTTGTAAGCTTTTACTGTTTTGCATAACCAAGGCAGACTCTATACAGGGTACACATTTTATGGAAATACATATTCAGTGACAATAAGCCGATGACACTGAAAGTTATACTACTCTGTAGGGCAGTAATAGCTCAGGGCTGGCCAGCCCAGGGCTTAGCCTGAAGGACTTTATTATACTCTTCCATCTCCTATCCTCCTTATGCTTCCGTCTTTAATCCCCTTCCTTTCTTCCATCATTTCTCATCCTCATCCCTTTAAATCCTTTTCAAAGTCTCCTTCACATTCCCTTTATTTAACTCTTATCTATCATCGACAAGATGGAGATCGATGATGGAAACTTTGGGTTCCAACTCCCCTGGGTTCTTTATGAGATTTCGTGCAGTATCTTTGTGGCAATCGACCTTGAGTTGTCAGGAATTCCCCTCAAGATGAGAGGCAACCTGCGCGTCGGTCACGACGCTCAAACCAATGAGGAGCGATATGCCGAGGTCAAGGATGCCGCGAAGAGATACCAAATTCTTCAGATCGGGCTGACAACTTGCCGCGAAGACAAGACTAATGGTTTTTCAAACTTGCATTCTTTTCGCTGGGATTGACAATAGAACTGACCGTGGACAGGCACATACGTCGTCAAGCCTTACAACTTGAACCTCAGTCCCATTATGGACCGGGGACTCAACCGCGAGTGTAACTTCAACGGATGGAGTATGTCATATCCTCTGGAACACACAAACTTCTTCCAGAGACTTGCTATTCTTTCAGAGACTTGCTATTCTTTCAGAGACTTGCTATTCTTTCAGAGCCTTGCTAATCGATTACAGCCACCACCTTTCTTATGAACAACAATTTCGACTTCAATAAGATGTTCAAAAGTGGCGTTCGCTACTTTTCCCGTGAGGAAGAGCAGATGGCCAACGCAGCTAGTGAAAAAAGTTCTTCCCCATGGCTGGTGATACCTATTTGTGGGACGATTGTGAAAAAAAATCTTCTCCCTTTGTTCAACAGACCCGAAAGATCCTTTACAGATGGTTGGAGCAGGGAAATGGGATGGTAGTAACTCTTACCACATATATGCAACGTTGAGCCCTACTAATTTCGGTTAAAGCCCAGCAACTCCCTCAAAATCCCTCACCCTTCTCAGAATCAGGACCTGACCAAGGAGCAGAAATGGCTTGTGCACTCGCTCGTCGAATACGAGTTTCCTCTACTTATGTCGCGCACCCGGTTTTCGTGTGTGGAAGTCCTGGCAAAGGTCACTGATGGTGTTGACCAGTACCTGGAGGATCAAACTAAAAAGCTCAACTCGGATCTCAGTGGCATCCGCAAGTCAATTGGAGCTCGCTGGTTGTTTGAGGCTCTAGCTGGCGGAGACATGTCGTCAATCCCAACCCATGTCTTTAGCTCGCTCAACGTGACCAAGGTTGACGGCGAAAACATGCCGGCGTCGAAGGTTGAATCGATTATCAAGGAGCGACTCCGCACTCCTCCCATTCTGGTGGGTCACAACTGCTTCCTAGACCTGGTCTACTTGTACCAGTGCTTTGTAGGCGAGCTGCCTGACACACTTCCGGAGTTCCAGGCGAGAATCCACCATCTTTTCCCGATGGTTGTCGACACTAAATACCTGGCAACACAAGAGACTGGCGAACGAGCAGGGTCGTCTCTGGAGGATGTCACCCGCGCTTTGGCCGAAGTCAAATTCCCTCAGATCGGTAATTTCCACTCTCCTCTCATTGTTCTCAGAGACATGCAACTGACCTGATCTTTATTAGACATTCACAGCCTGCACTGCAAGTACTTGTTTGGTAACAGAGCAGCCACGAGGCAGGATATGATAGCCTTCTCACTGCCGTTGCACTCCTCCGAATGTCTCCTTTCTTGCAGAAATTGGAGTCTATACCTCCAGGAGAGCACGGAGTGAAGAAGAAGGACCAGTGCTCTTCCCTTCAAGGTCTACAGTTGATCTCTGCTGAGATTCCTGATATTGAGCGCCTTACGGATGATCTCAAGGAATACTCGAATAAAGTCAGGCTTCACGAGAAGCTCAAGGTGGAGGCAATAGTTTCTGACGAGGATTCAGTGGAGTTTGTAGAGACCTGGGCTCACGAGGGCGCCTATGTTTTCAAGGATTCAGACCGCTGCGCAGTCCCTTACAAGGAATGTAGCTTTTGGGGCGTCTATGGAAACCGCTTGTGTACTTTCGGAACCGTTGAGAAGATCATCGAGCTGTAGGCGACGGATACAGGAGGCTCACGGGGGGGGGGGGGGGGGGAAGGTGGGTGATGGTAATTAGAGTAGGCCCAGGAGGTCGGTTGGACGAGGATATCACCGTTAGGGCAGCCTCCTACTCTTATTTGAAATTAGCGCTTTAAATTGTTTGCCTAGAACACACGTTTGCCTTCTATCTGACCAGCCTACGCCTTCGATCAGATCATTGCAGTACACATCTTAGATTCCCGTCACCTCTATAAGGAGCTGGCTCTAAGGAGAGGGACTTCTGCACTCAACATTACCGTCTCCTGTAGCTGTCACTTATAGGTAACAGGTTGGTAATCTCCTCAAGAGCTCTAAGTGTGTGGATGATTACCATAGATTCCCAGAAACTACATTACTGAGAATAATGAGAGAGTGGGAACTTATCGATCTGGGAGTTTGGCCACAGCGCAGGCGACCTTCACGTTAAATGGTTAAAATGAAGTCAATTGACTCTTGTTTCAGTTACTGTTGTCAGTATAATTTCTTTGTTATATGGGTTTACTAATCAATGATGGACATTGTTTGAGTCTATTCAATGAACAATACAAACTGACATTTCTATGGCTACCTACATTCAAGGTGAGATCCATAACAAGCATTTACTTCCGATGTTCAATTACTCGATTTTCAATAGTCCAGTGATGACTAGCTAACGAACTTTCTCGATCTTTCTCAAATACCACTGACTTTAGTTATTCAAGGAAATATCGAGGCTATACACACCCACATTCCTATTTGAAGGGCTTAAGAAGCTTATTCAATGCAAGAGGCCAAAAAATACCCAGAAGAGGTAAGCTGCTCTTGTGGGCGATTCACAGCTGAAAGACTCAACAAGACAGGCTAACAGTTATATCGATTCCAGAGATTAGGATTGCAAAGCCGAGTCTATGTTTCCATGGTTCTTCTTACAAGTCCCAATAAGTGGCAATGAGCACCAATTGAGATATTGTAATGTTACGATGAGCTCTGGAGGCATCATGGCTCTCGGAAGCCCTAAATCACCTCGCTTGACGAAGCAACACCCAACTGAGGACCCTCCGTAGTTAACATCCATCATGGTAATTCAGACTACAGATATTGGGAAGATACGATGGATCAACTACTCAAATGGTGCGACATTATACAAGAGCTCAATGAAAACTTTTGATTAAAAATTATGGACGACAGGATGCGAGATGTTTGCAGCAACTATCTAACCGTACACCTTGAAGCTTTGTAAAAGAAGGTACCGCTAGCGAAAAAAGGCTGCAAAATCAATCTGGACACCGCATAATGATCGACTGGCCATAGGAGAATATGAAGACAGTGACGATAAGGGGCGCCTGGAGGGAAGAAGAAGGAAAAGTTCAAGCGGGAGAAATTTAAATGTGGTCGGGGTTCCCGCTAAGCTTCATTAGGAATAGTGCAAACGTGACCTGACATGGGAACTTTTCTCGGAGTTCAACAGCAACAACCGCAAAAGAAGGTCCATTCAATTCACATTCCCACAGGCCATGTCGACAGGATCTAATGGTGTCCGGCGCATTGTGTCGCTGCTACGTATGTCTCAACCCTTTCTGATGGGATTGACCCAAACTGATGAAGTCTCCAGGCCCGTCTAGACTCGACTCTGGGGTGTGCACAAGCTGTCGAGAGACCTTGGGCCGCCGCAACTATGCCTCAGCAGCTACAGAGACCGCTTCGCCGTCTGAATCCTCTTCTGCCACCTCCACTTTCCCCGTAGTGGGCCCCTCCTATACCATCAAAGCCGGTGTGGTTCTTTCCCGGCCACCTCAGGTCACACGCGATCTCGAGCCGTTCGAGAAAGCCTACTACTTCTACCAGAAGCGCCTGAACGAGCGTCTGACCCTCCCTTTCACCAAATACTTCTATTACAAGCGCGGCACTCCGGCAGACGAGGACTGGAAGAAGAAGATCCTGGACCGACGGACTGCGTCTCGAGACATTGGTAAATACAACGCGTACGACAACGACGCATGGAACGACGAGCTCCTGCTTGGTGCTCAAGAGTCTGAGCCTGGGCACCAGGTCGAGATGCTGGTGCAGGACGCCGAGTCCACGGCCAATGCCACCTCCCAGGATACCAGTAAGAAGGAAGAGATTCCGCGTCCACACCCGCGAGTGACGGAGGCCGACAAGAAGGGTGATCACAAGAGCTTGAACCGATTGTTGCCCCGGACTTTGTATCTGCTTGTCCGGTCGAAGGAAGGATTCTGGAAGTTCCCCAGCTCGCCGGTTGAGGTGGGCGAGTCTCTTCGCCAGGTGAGTGTCCAATCAAACGACACGGGTGATATTGTGCTAATTCATTGTTTTTTTATAGGCTGCCGAGCGCACCCTTGCCCAGAGCGCGGGTGTCAACATGAACACCTGGATGGTCGGTTATCATCCCGCCGGACACCACGTCTACAACAACATCAAGCCCCGAACCGATTCCGCCACCGGAGTCACAAATGCCGGTGAAAAGACTTTCTTCATGAAATCCCGCATCATGACAGGCCAGGCCGATATTTCCGCTAACCTGCAGACGCTGGAGGATTTCAAGTGGTTGTCCAAGGACGAGATCGCGCAATTTGTGAACCCGCACTACTACAGCAACATCAAGAACATGTTGTCTGATCGGTAAGAGGAAAGGGATTCGGATATCCCTCGGTCAAGAAAGTTGGTGTTCAGGAACTGGCGATGTGTTCCTGGCATGAAGCGTTATATTTAACGCACTGCATATACTCCTACCGCCTATGCTATGTATAACTAGAGAATTTTCCTGTACTGTCAATCGAGAATTTATTTCAAAAGAAGAAATCTAGACTTATTTTCGATACACCGAACGCCGCGCCATGATAGAATAAGTCGGAGGTAATTACCTCTTGTCGAAAAAGTAAAGAAAATTAACCAAAGATATGGTTCACGCCATGTTGAACTTCTGTCCTTGGACAATGGGTTGATCCTTAGTAGACTTGGTAAGATTCTTACCGCACATAGCACAAGCTAGATAAAAATCAGCACAGTCCATCTAGCATAGTAGCCATAAAAACAAGATTACTTACCATTCTTCTGGTAAGCGCATCGCTGGCAATACTTCTTTCCCTTATCCGTCTTAGTCTTGCAGGTTTCGCACGATGAAGCATAAGCAGCGAAAGGATTCTTTGCCTTAGCACCAAGCAACTTGCTCTAGAAGATGAGGGTCTAGTTAGTCAAAGATTTTCACGCAATGCGAAGGTATGGAAGTGATGTACCTTGCCAATACCCGTCGATCCCAAAGTAGCTTTTCCTGCCGCGGCAGATGCGCCAGATGGAGAGCCTAGGTACATTTCATTCTTGCGCTTGACTCCTGGAGTAGCGAGCTCAGTTGTTTTGAGCTTCTTCTGACATTTGGTACAGACCATGGCCGCGTTTTTAAATGTGAGTTGGGGCGATGATGCGGTTTGATAAGAAATCGATAACTAATGTGGTTACTCTTGCTCATGTCACCGCCTGCCAAGACTTGGTACAAATTGCATGAATTCACCACTAGTTAGTAGTAACTCTATGCTAACTTCATCTCGTCAAGCTTATCTGTTATTTATTCAATTTACTACTCACTGTTAGTAATTTGAAGTTATCTGCTTAGTCAGATGTCTTACACTCTTACCTCGGACTGACTGCCCTTATGTCTTCCAGGACTGTGTACTAGGCAACCTTCGAATATAACTTTGAAACTGGTTTACAGATTAAGAAATGGATGCTAAGACAATATAAATATGGAACTCTGAAAACTTGCTAGGAAGACCAGTATCTCTAAGAATGGAAATTCCTTAGAAGTCTCAGATACATAGTATATTTTGCTAGAGGTCTAATAGCATAGCCTGCTATTAAAATAGTACGGAGACTTGGCCCTGAAGTATCTCAATCCCCTATTTCGCCTTGTTTTCACGAAGAAAAGTAGTTGGTTACTCAGATATACTCGTGGTTATTTATCAATTTTCTAGAAGATAAAAGTGCTGCCTGTACTCCGTAGTAGGAAAATCGACCTATTCGTTTTCAAGGTGCCACAGCACAGACTTCTGACCTCTTACCGTCTTCAGCTCGGTGCAGAGGTTGTGGAGAGAAGGAACAGCAAATGTGGCTGGGTTGAATCACCGCCACCGAACCCCCAGCTGAATCTCAAAGCAATTCTCCGACTAGGGGATATCCCCGAATCCACTTTCTCAGCTGGGAGAAAAGAGAAAATATCTGGAAAGAGTCAGATCATCAATATCTTAGAGGAAGAGATCACCCCACTCGTGGACACTGAAATTCCGATCGATTCATCCTTCGTAGAGCAGACTACATGTAAGCCATGCGCCGACGTCACACAAACTGGCCAATTCACTTCAACAGAGCAATCAACATCAAGACCTCTCTGAGTACTAAATAGGCTTCTGCGATTCAGCTCGATGGATTTGCCCCTTGAGACCTACCGTGGAGATGGTGATGGTGGTCGTGATAGCGGATGGTGATGGATCCCCCATGCACGAGGACCCGCCACTTACAAACTGGCCCACAGTATCATGTCGAGAACAAGCACACCTCTTGAGGCAATTATGAGAGATTCCAGCCTTCACCTTGCAACTTGAACCTGGCCGTTGTCACTGGCCCTAGCCTATCTATTAAATCCCGTCCTTTTGTTCAAACTCGATTTTCCCCTGAGGTCCAGGTCCAGGCCCAGGGGCAAAATTACCTTCACATAAATAGTTTCAACTCATATAGTTATTTTTTTTTTTTTTTTTTTCAATTCCTTTCCTTCAACCAAAATTCCGCTCCTCTATCCCTTTCATTTCCTTCCTTTTGTGTCCCTTCGTGCTTCGTCTGGCATAATCCGCATTCGGCTACCATCCGCATAAATCCGCTTTTTTTGATTATAATTACCCAAGTCTGCCCTCTAGCTCTTCTTTTCTGGCTCGTTTGAATTGACATGCTACTTGACCGTGTTGAATACCCTCAATCGACCATCGGTGATCCGATCTGCACAGACATTGGTCGGATCTCAAGTTGATCGGGTTTCCGTCTTTCCCCGTTGCTCCAGGAACGAGTAAGAACATCACTTACACTAATTCACGGCATCTACGGAGTGCGAAGTACTTGAGTGACTGGCATTAGAAATACTCTCGCCGTACAAGCTTTCTGATTCTCTCCGTGGCCAGGAGGATAAAAGAAACTCAAAAGAAAAGAAAAGAAACCCCCCTAGGGCAAACTTGTATCTCAAAAAGATCTACCTCAAAATGCCTCCAGATGGATCCTCATTCACGGCCTTGAATCTACCATCATCATTCACTCTTCCAGAATGTATGGAATACTTCACATTGTCAGCCGGCCCGAATACTGATCTATGGCGCAAACCGCCAAACGGTGACACCTCAACCGCACCCATCGTCTTCACATCCCTTCACCATCCATTCGTAGTAGCCGAAGTCACAGTCAGCGCAGACTGGGAAATGGAGTGGGATCAAGGTGGATTGGTCATCTTTGCCGGAGCCGCTCCCTCATCAGATGCACCAGCACCAGTACCAGCCATAGTGGCGGATCGCCACACCAATCGACAGCCATGTAAATGGGTCAAAGCGGGTATGGAATTCTCAGGAGGAATGGTCAATGCGTCTTCTGTGAGTGCGACGGCGGACGGTGCTGATTGGTGTCTTTCGCCATTGGTTCAGGCGCAGGGTCCTGAGGTTCAGTCTCTTCGTATAAAGTTGGAGAGAATTGGTCATGCTCTCTGGATCTGGTACCAGGTACCTTCTGCTTCGCCATATGGAGTTTCTCCCGGGGCTGTGGGTAGTACGTGGAAGAAACTGCGTGAGGTTACTTGGTTCTTCTATGGCGTTGAAGACAAGCTCGTTCATGTGGGTGTCTATGCCAGTCGACCGACTAATCTTGCGCGCAGTACCACTATGTGGGATGCTATGCATGGCTTGACGATTGATAGTTCATTGTCGACTGGATCGGCCGATGGATTGGTCGTGGAGTTTGAGGATCTGGAAATATTCTGACATATATTTCATTGAGATTCTTCCTTTGTTTTTGATCTTTCTGATTCGTTATTTTCGTTTGATCGTTTCCTCGCATATTTTCTGGTGCTTGATACCTCTGCATTTAAGGAAGCGCGTCTCTTGTGTCGGAGTCAAACTTTTCTTTCGTGATTTGACATATAATATTTCAAGCTTTCCGTCGACTATTGTCGACTGTCATATATTTGGTTACCTAGCAGGCTAAACACTTAATCCTTTTTTTTTACCTTGAGACCTTCACTTTTTCTGTGGGGTAAACATCAGACCATTTCCAGAACTATGGGGGTTTCCTAGAGAGCCTACGCTTTGAATATCCGGGATCTGGCCATATTGTGCGGAACTGGAAATTTGATCCACTATGTGTCATCATTTCGATGATTTCAATGTGCATGTCGAATCATGAAAGATATGCATCCAAAGAGAGGTTAACATCATTGATACGTATATACTAGCTCTAGATACCCGCGGCATCAATACTTATTTAGTTTGGTATTTCAACTTTCTCGGTAGGTATTAAATGGCTTTTTGTCACTCGATAGATACTTAAGGCCAATGCTCGTTCCAATACTGATTACCTATATGAGTCAACGAGTAGGTAGAAGGTGAACTATTTAATCGCAAGCAGACCAATAACTTCGCCCAGGTGATTTTTTCCAAGCTGCTTCCAAAATTCTAACTCACGAATCAGTAAAATCTAGGGCTGGTCATGTAAACGGCAGTTGAAGGTATACATACACAAACATTCATTCCTAGAATGAAAAAGAACAAACCTTGAATATTGAGAAAATCATGAGTTATAACTATACTAACAATATCGATAGAGTGAACACTGTATTGACTCAATTCCAAGGTTCCTCTACCTAGGTAGGCTAACCTTCGGTATGTACCGGAACGTTTGGAAGGGACACACCAACTCCGCAATCTCAACAAAAATACAGCATATAGCGAATACTTGTAACTAATACTCAAATTCACCTAAGACCTCGGGAACAGCCAGGTAATAATAAGCAAGCTGTTGCATATTTTCTCGATAAGTCCAGTTTTCCAAAGTTGAAAGCTGAGTCAGCCGGCCCAGGGCGGAGGGAGATTCCCGAGGTCCCGGAGCTAAGGGCGAGTTTTACGCTTGGGGCAGATCGAGCTCGATAAGAGAGCAGACCATGGACTCTAAAATGAAGGATTCATAGGGCGATCGATGGAGATTGATGAGTAGAATCTACTAGCGTCACATTGACCGTCAATGCACAGTTGTTGTGGTGTGGTTGATGATCGAAGATTACACGTAGCAACGGTCGTCCTGGGAATCTAATGTGTCCGGAGCCCAAAGACCCCAAACATTGACAAACTCATGCAAGCAAGTCGTAGATCTTGGAAGCTCCGGGAATTGAGCCCATTGTTTATACCTAGGTACCTGAGTAACCCAGATATGGTCTATGGGAGAAGATTAAAAGCATACGATCCAGAAATCAACACACAGAGTTTTGGTTTGGCTCTTTGGAAGTTGGAGGTTGGTGGGCCATTTAAGACTCTATATGTACAGAAAGAAATAGGTGTTGTAGATGACGCTGAAAAGTAGTACATGGTAATACATCACGACCAAATACCCTCCCCGGCGGACAAAAGAAAGGGGGATGAATATAAGGTGAGAAAAAAAAAGTATTTTTCTTCACGGGTTCAATTCTTTCCTTCGATCCATTGAAGCCTCTCGATCAAACGCTTAAACGTACTTGCACATCATGGCAACCATCAGGTCGAAAAGACCCATGGCCTCGACGAAGGCGAAACCCAGAATGGCGTAGGAGAAGAGCTGGCCACGGAGAGCAGGGTTGCGGGAGACACTCAGGAGAAGAGCGGCGAAGACGAGACCGATACCGATACCGGCACCACCGAGACCGATGGCAGCGGAACCCATACCCAGGTTCTTGGAGACCTCGACCATGGCGGTGGCGACCTCAGAAGAGTACTGGCGGCGGCCGGCGGTCTGGAAGGCCTGGCGGGCGCTGGCCTGGAGGAGAGTGGGCGAAGCGACGCGCTTGGGGGCCGAGAAAGTGGCGGCGGGAGCCTTCTGGGTGAAGGTGCGCTTGGTGGCAGCGGTGAAGTTGACACGGGCAGCAGGGCGAGAGACCTTAGCGGACTGGGCCATGGCGGTAGCCAGGCGCTGGGTGAAGACACGGGAGGCCATTGTGAATGGAGATTTGACTCGAAGAGAGGAGTTGGGAGGGATGGATGTGGAGAGCAGGAACTTTTCAGGGAGAAAAAGCTGGGAAACTACGGAAGAAGGTGCCCCTAGGACATAAATACTCTACGGCATAATTTTCGCCCGGCCGCCTCCTAGTCGAGGCTAGTGCGCGTGTGAAAAAAGCCCTACTCTGTGCGGACGAAGTATTTCAGGTTGGATACATTGATACAAGGAATGCTGGGGGTGGTATTGTATTGTGATTTACCGATTTGGGTAATATATTGTACAGAATCGGGTTCGCTCGGGTCATTTTGGTAACTTGATCCACTATCTTAGCTTACCTGTATGAGATGAAACTGAAACCGAACAGTGGACAATGAATAGCGAAACAGTTCAAAATGAGGCTCAATTGAAGAAGTAGGTAGATAAACTCAACAAGATTGTACTGTAGTGCTACCAGTTCATTCTATACTTCCATGTGCTCTGTGCTACTGTATCTTATTCAAGTGGATTACCCAATCACCAATCTGGCTACGCAATCTTTCCGGCGTTACCCAAACCGGGCCGAGTCGGATTCCATTCTTACCATCCCTGGTAATAGTGGATTCTTCTCCCTTCCTTTCTCATACACACCGAATCCTCTAATTGGGAACACGTATTCTTCTTCTTTCCGGATCCAGTACCCGAGACCTCCCTCTTTCCGCAAAAATTACCAATTATATGGACGGGGCTGGCTTCTTCTTATATGTTTCCCAGGCGATGACATTCCCCTTCGTTCACAATAAATAAAAATACCAAATAAATTACTGAAATTACTGACCCGTCAGCACCCGACAATACCAAATTACTCTCTATCTCCCCGGCTCACCCCCAGATATGGGATCGTGCGGAAAACAAGTTCAAGAGCGATGCCATATGTTAGAGCCTATTTCAATGACATCCGCTTTCTTGATGGAGTATAATACTCCTCTCTCTTCCTCTGAGCTCCCAGAGGCTCTGCTATTTCCGAGATAATTCACTTGCCGGCTGCAGCTTCGGCTGATCGCAGACTGAGCTTGGCAGACCTGCACAAGCTCGATCCATCATTCTGTCTTAAATTCTCAATAGCGCAAGCTCCTTGCAGGTCAATCGAACTCTAGTGGAAGATGTTTTTCTTTAATATGCTTTGTCCAGGTGCTGTGGGGGATATGTTGATATGAAGCCGTACTCGTAATCCTTACAGCTTCATGGCGATCCTAGGGTCTGACCCGGGTGTTTTAGGATACATGTAATTATACGATACACGACTCGTCGAAGCATCATTGATGACCCGCCGTGAGGTCATGGGGAATTGGCCATGCTTGGCGTAGAAGAGAGAACAGCTGGTTACTACAGAGTATGCAGCAATGCATCACATCTGTGGGCAATTGCAGTACAGGATTCTGACCTATCCTGCACGCGGTATCCCGTATAGCACATTGTAATGCGTCCGCCAACCCCAGACCGAGACGTCTCATACTGTACGAATGAGGATGTTTGATGGCCATTGAATCCACTTGAGTGGATCAATCTCTCACAATACAGGATAAATGTATCAGTACTGTTATCCCTGTATTGATGAGCTTGAAATTCACAAGACGCGTCGCGGCAGAACGGCCTCGATTCCGGGTAATTTTGATTCCAAGGCTCATAAAATACTTGTTGGGCTGGCTTGTTTGGTTGGTTGACGGACCTTCCGGGAGCTGTTGTCTGCATTCTAGCACATATCAATATCTCATAATCATAACAAGATTATCGGGGTTGATATATGTCGAATCTGCATAAAATTGCCAACAATGGCCATTAATTGTATTTGGGTTAACTTCCATGAGAATCGCTCTGGAGGAGAATAAGTGAACATCAAACAGTGACGCTAGATAGAACCAATCTTAAATCATCATACAGAGTATGCGTATGTACCTAACATTCGTATAGGTAGTCGATTCTTGGAAGCAAGAGCTCATGGTATTCTTCCTCCAGGAATGGATCCCTACCACATCGGGATTGGCTGATAAGCACCAAATCGACTAGCCCGCAAAGCTTGGAGTCAACAGCTTTCCCCAGATATATTCTTCAGTGATCCACTTCTTCTTCGACTCAATGGGCATAGCGTGTTCAGTCCGTCTGATTTCCCGTTAATAATGCCACGGGCCACACTCAAAAGTCCTGTACGGAGTAGACCCCTTGTGGATGTCTGGCCTGGTTGCAAATTAGGGCATCCGCCTCCCGGCACGGCCAAGTTTTGAATTTTATATTCAATTCTTGTGTCGGAATATTGGTAGATTGTAAATGACAACTTGGAGTGCGGCTCGCAACTCTAAGCTCGGGAAATTTGAAAGGGGTAGTCGAATACATCCAACAGCTCATTTGTATAAGAGTCATCGTTCAGGGGCCCCCTCACAAGCACTAAACAGAACTGATGACAAACGACGACGTTACCAGGGTAGTGAACGAATACTTTGTCGCCATGCTTTATTTTTAGGTCTGCCCATTGTTTTAACCTTGGAACGTTCTATATAAGGAGTATTCAGCATGATCTAAACATGGGTACCGAAGGGCTGGTCGAAGTATTGAAGTCGAAGGTTGGGAGGAAGGTGATGGAAAAATGTAGGATGAGTGGTCACTTATAAACGGGGCTGCAACGCCTCCTCCCAGGGCTATTTGTAATTTCATTCTATTGTAGATCAATTCTATTGCGCTCCTTCAAAGGGTCGACTTCGATTCCGAGAAGCCATTTCAAATACTTTTCACCCCTTCTGTAGTTCAGGCTGGAACAGCCTGTCATTTCTTGGCCGCGGCCAGCGTTCGAATCGCCCACCTCAAGTACCAATCTATCAAAGTCAACCCGTCCGAGTTGGGAAGATGGAAGCTCAACATCCTTATAATTTTGATCGCTGTGTGCCCAGATGTTATAGGTTTTATGGACATGGAGGCCATCGTCGAGTATTACCACGGTTGAAGGTTCCGAATTTGTGGCTGGAATTGCTCTTCTAGGTTTTTCAGTCTACAAACATGATCGACCAGTCGCGCCTTTAAATCTGATTGCCCTCTATTTTGGGGTAATCTTTCCTCTGGATATCTCTTAGACCGGGACGCTGCTGTCCCTCGACAAACCATCTGGTGCTCTATCAGAGGTAATACTCTTATAAGAAACACCGATGATGATGTGATGATATGTTGACGATGTTGAAGTTCCGTGTGGTTTCTCTAGCTATTAAATAGTATCATTGTGTCTAAAACATATGACCTGGTTTGTTTGAAACCTTTTCACTTTGCATAGATATTCCAACGGTTTCTGTATCATTATTCTAACACTTGATACTTGTCTAAATAGTTCCTAAGCTAGTGGATTCTCTTGATAATTTAATCGGATCCAAAAATTTCTTCTATCTCCTTCACAACAAGCGTGTCGAATTTGGAATCGGAGGCCCCTAGACTGATCGATGAGAGTATGACTTGTTAGAGAACGGAAGATATTCTGGTCTTTCTGAATTCCTCTTTTAGGTAGGTGAACAAAAGCCTAGTGCTTCATGATATTGATCTTTGCGTTAGACGAGGCTCTCTAGATATGTTAGTCGGCCCAATAGGTTATAGAAAGAGTACCCCACTGAAGGTATACTTGGCGAGACTCCATTTCTCCTTCGACCCCTTCGATTGAATTTACGGACTAAGCACGGTGGACTATGAATTGAATAACTGTTAGAATATGGAACAAAGCAGTCATGTGATCAAATTGTTACTTTATAATAGATAGCAAACTAAAAATGAAACTCAGACTTTACAACCACTTCAAAGGACACACAGATATCACAGGGGCGTAAAGCGTTACCTGTGGTAGGTGTCAGAAGTGGGCGTTAGCCTCTCATCAACTTCATCGAATTGCTATACCCACCAGTGTACCGACAATAACCAAGGCTGATATATATAGGAACATCTAACAAGAGCCTTTCTATAGGGAGGTAATTCACTACTATGACTTTTCAGTGAATGTGAGCAACCTGCCGAACAAAGATCAAACCATAGTAGGAACCGATGGAATCGCCCTTCGTAGCAGCCAAAAACTTCGTCTTGCTCTAGCCCAGGTAATTTTCATGCGGAAACACCTCTTGGTTCTGGATGATTATTTCAGCGGCTTGGATTTGGACTCAGAAGGCAAGATCGTTCATAGGCTCTTCTCTTAGTCAGGGCCTCTCCGCTCTCAGAACACTGGTGTTCTTATAACCTATAATATTGGTCGTCTCTTTTCGCGACGCTATTTACCCCGCCTTGGTCGGCCTATGCCTACTGAATATCATAAACTTTAACGAGAGCCTCTGCTGAATTTGTTCAACTTTAGACCATGACGGAGACTTCCCCGGTTCTCCCGCATATGTACGCGAGTCTATCAATGCTACTGAGACAGAAGTCAAACTATTAGAGACAGTTTCTCCCACATTAACTTGGCCTCCATCAACAACTTCGCTGCCTTATATAGTGAGTGTTCTTCACTAGTCTTCCAAGAAGTCTCTTTCAAGATCCAGCATAGGGGAAAAGTCAGTATTTGTGGCTGAGGTAGCGGCAATTCCTCGCTCCTTGCCTCACTCTTTCACCTCCTGGAATTCCGTCAGGGTTCTATAACTATAGATGGCTTGGACCTGGCTCTTCTTTCTCGAAAAGCCCTACACTAGTAGATCAGCATCATCATATAGGATCTATACTAGATTATCTTTAAAATGAGAGATTTAATCTCGACTTATGAGTTCGACCTAAGATAACAAGATCTTGATCCGTGTCTTGGAAAAATGTCAGATCTAGCCTATGATCGAAGCGAAGGGCGGGCTAACTGTAATCATGGCTAGAGGCTTTTTGAGCCATGGTCAGCGACAGCTGTTTTGCCTGGCAAGGAGTCTCCTACAAAAAAGCATGTTGCGGTGTTTTTTCCGAGAACGATGGTTAATGGTAGTAAATCCTCGAAAATACTCGAGCAGGTGTACCCTCTCAGCTTTAATGACATCCTGAGCTGTTTGGACTTCTTTTGGGCATGTTTGGTACCAGAAAATATTAAGTGAGAGCAATCAGCGGAGATGAGAGACTGAGCACTCACCCATCATAAAGGAGGAAGATACCGGCCCGGTAGTTAAGGTGAAGGGAAAGCCCAAGGCCAGTAAAATAAAGGCTAGCAATCTAGCCAGGAATCTGACCAAGAAGCCTTTGGTTGGCTACCGGACAGGAGTATGCTTCATCAAGCGCCGGTTGCAATGAATTAACACACCCACTCAGAATAATAGAGAGTAGAGGTAAGGAGAGATTAATACCTCACATCCTTGGAACCCTGTAAGTTATATCAAGGGGAAGACTTCTCGATTATAGCACCTCCAGGGCTGGGGATATCATACCTACCTTGGTAGGTTGGTATAGACCTCTCAATAAATGACACCCATTATATCGCTGTAGCTAGTGAACTTACTATTTGGAGATGAACATGTGCATATCTAAGATACTATAAGAATCATATATGAGTATATGTAGTCAAGGCGGCACTCACTTGAAAATTAGTGTCAACGCACTCGAATCAAACAGCCTTGAAAACTGTTGGTTTTCTACTTCTGCATGCCTTCCATCGTTTTTCACTTACATCTCTCCCATTCACTTCTCCATCCCCAATTTTCAAGTTTTCATCTTGCCAATTTCCATTGCTAAATTCACAATTAAAACTGACTATCCCCTCAATTCCCTTTTATGTCTCCTCTCGGTCTCCAGGAAAAGTTTGATAACGCCGTTGATATGGATGAGGTTCTTATCAGTGTTGGTAGTAATGGCAACAACATTGTGTTGACTGATGAGCGCGGTAAGCTGGATGGCCAAGAAAGATGTGATCATGGGAAGGAATATTGCTGATCATTCGACTTGATACAGAGCACACAGCCGTTGCAGACTTGAGTGCGAAGATAGAATTCGATTCGCCCGATGAGGTGTTTGAGAATCTTTGCAAGAGTTCCATCGAACAGATACCTACTGAGATCGAATTCAGTCCTCTAGCCGCCATCGGTGCCAAACTCCCCAAAGGTGCGAAGAAGGGCAACGGCACGGTCAAACCACGTTCCATCCAAGAATCCCGTCCGCGTGCCCCTCCTAGGGCTCGATTATTGCGTTCTAGCTACTCAAGAGCCGCGAAGATCAATGGTAAAGATGCCGGCGATGAAGGATCCATGACAAAACCCACGACTGCACGCAAGAGAGTGACAAAGACCGCAATAAAGAAACTCGTTGACGTCGAAGGTGATTCAACTTCTATCGATAAAGCGTCTAAGCCTGACCGCTACCAGCCCCGGCCGGGCTCAAGGCGGAAGCGGAAAACAAACGCCGTGTTTGGGGATGTCGCTGAGCACCAACAGAACGCCTATGACCCCATATGTCTACAAAGCAACCAGCCTTTCGCGAAAATGCTACAGGATGCCTCAAGTGCCTTGAAGATCATTTCTAGCCTCGACGCAGAGCTTAATACACCCTTGTCTCAAAAGATTCTCAAAAATAAGGATCTCCACGACGCTGCAGTGAAGAAGTATCGAGACAAACAAATCGAAATCTTCAAGGCCATCTGCGAGACTGAGCCAGAAAATCGTTTGAAGATGCTCCGGGTCCTAGAACTCTCCTGGAACGGAAGATATTCATTCCAAAACTTCAAAGCGTGCTTGGAAAGCAAAAGATATCGGGATTTTCTTCTTGCAAACCTTCAACTTCTGTATCAGGCCATCATCGATGGCCCTGAATCTCTCAATTTGGGTGATTTCAAATCTGGTGCAGCCTCTGGGCTTTCTATGGCCTAGGCCATATGACCATTTAGCTTCCCAAAGAATTTCACCCTCAGTATGGGCTTATGGATCTGTGTATTAGTATCAATTCGGTGGAGTCCACACTTACCCTAAATACCCTTCTCCGAGAATTTTGAATAACATCTATGGATTCCTTCCTACCAGGCTTGCTCTGCTAATATCAGTACGTGCGTTTGTATTATTCAGAGTATCGAGTTCGAGACTAGGAGGACTAGTATTGAATCTTGAGTATTGTGTGAGTAGGTATATACGTAGATATATGCGTGTTCACTGGGACCTGGGTGGATCTGTCGGCCTTTATAGGTTCGGCGACCCATCTAACATTTGAAAGGTGATTCACCAGCATGAGTGAGCTTGTGATGGTTATGTATCTGGTCTATCGCCATCTGTAATTTCTTCTTTCTTCAACATCCGACTCACTTCCACTTGCTCGTATAATATTATAGGCGAGAGTTAATTCCAAAGCCATAGTCGGTACCTGGGAGTTTGTGTCATCGACTCAAATTTTTGAAAATCTGTGCAAGAGTTCAAGCAAGCCGTCACAAGGGATTGCCATTACTGTCACCCGCGGGGTTCCTGTCAATACCGAGCCCCCGAAGGTTATGAAGAAGAGGAGAAGAGGTTCAGATAAGGGCCTCCTAAGCTAAGAGCACCTGGGAAGCCTTGTGTCGTTCTCGTCCTGCTGTCTAGTCTCCTGGCATCGTGATGACCACCACTCCATGCAAGAGAGCGACAAAGGCCGCGGTCAAGAAACACACCACTGATCCGTAATGAAATTCCAAGACTGAACTCAATGATACGCAAGAGGTGTGCATTTATGGAGGGCAGAGTGCACCTGCAGGGCGGATCACATCCATGGACGCTGAGTTCAAGCTCATATTTTGTATGGTAACTTCCATAGATATGAAGCTCAAAATACCCTTCATTATGATAAAGATAGGGGTTCAGCTATAATGGACTAAAGGGTATTATTCTTCTCGAAGTTCTTCCAAGGTCACAGTCGAGCTAAACTAAAACTTTAAAGCATGTGGTTCGCCAGCCCGCTCCCGCTCTGCCACGCTCTATAACAGAACGTTCCCAGGATTAATCAGGTTCTATGGATTTGAAAAGGCCCAAGAAATTGATTGTAGGACAAATTAATCTATCGAGTGAACAGGGGATGGATCCATCTTCAACTTGACACTTTACCCCTACTACCTAAGGACATAGTATGACCTCGGGACCTCAGAGGGCGATAAGCTGAATTAGCGTTGGTTTAAACTTACGCAAATATTGTCAAAAGGGAAAGAACATGATGATACCCAAGCAATCAACATTGGTTTGGCTTCATCCTCGCTGATTGGTTGCTATGCATTCAATCGCAACTAAAATAGGCCAGGGACCAGTTTGAATCGGAAGGATCGATCAACACGAGAAATCTCACAAATAAACTCTAAGATCCAAGCACGCCTTACCAACACTAGTAAGGGCTTACACTGGAAGTGAGATTTCAAAGGTTAACAACCCGTGTATCGGTGCCTGACTGACACAGACCAAGTCGGTCTAAATAGGGGTGGACCATGTAAACATTGGAATATTGTATGAGTCAAGGGATTATGTCGTGCTCAATATTGTCAGGTTCATACTTTAACATGCTGATTGCTGTGTTCTATACTTAGGAAACGAATTCCGATCTGTTGAAGATTTCCAATGTCGATATATATCCCTTGTGCAGCGCGGAAAGGTTAAAGGAGGCGGTGAAGCAAGTGGATCTCATGATGGTATGCAACATGCGGCAATCCGTGAAAGCCGAAAATATGAGCTATCAAAACCTTAATCTCGAGTCACGAGACGTACTAGTATTATCATACAATATTTAGTACTTCGTAGACTCTAGTACTTAGGTCCTACTAGTATTCTACTATTCTAGAAGTGACCAGGATTCATCATTTATTCCGTCACTATAAGTGGACTCAGTGGAGTATAAGCCGCTACGGGATACTACTCCGTACTCCGTTAACTGCTGGCCCTTAAAAGCGGGGACCAGCAAGGAGTAAGTGAGGGTACGTAGTACACCCCTCATTCCAAGCTTCTACACAATACCTTGACATTGAGTAGAAAGAATAACTGAAATCAATTCAAATTGCAATCAACCACCGGGGCAGCTCCGTGTGGGGATGGATCATAGAATTTTCCTCAATGATACCAATAGTAGTTAGTAATATATGAGGCCCAAGCTTGTAAGCCGTAGAGATCCGGGTTCAGGAGCGATGCCCGTCATTTTGACCAGATCAGCTAGAGTAATGATAGTCAGTCTCTGCCCCAGGTGTTACTATTACATTTCATTTTGAAATGTCATGCCATCTCGGGACCTACATCGTCCCATGGATCGTCGTTATACCACAACCCCGGAAACTGTGTTGTCAAGTATCGGTAAAGTCAAATCACATAAACAATGTAATTGTATAAGTGTTTGGGAATGGACTGGATACCCTTCCCACCACATGTACAGTCGATCATATCGTCATATCTGAATTGACTGTTGACGGGTGGAGAGGAAGAGCTCCGGCCGTATTAGCCTTATTGGACCAAGTTTATCAGTTGATGGATCCCTTATGGGTCTCTGATGGGTCTTAATGGGTCTCCACTAGCCTGGTTTTTTTTTTTTTTGCTTTTTTTTTCCATTCCTTTTGCTTTTTTTGCTGGCATTTCTCATGCAATGGACCTGATCTGGCAACTTCTCCAATCTAGTTCATGCTGTGCAACCGTGAGGGATAAGCAAGATGTCAACCTAGAATGGATAGTAGATTATCAGTGGCACATAAATGTCCTGGAGAGAGAGAGAGAAAAAAAAAAGGTATAAAAGTACCCATAGTTCAGACGTAGCTTCACCGCATGTTGGACAGCAGTGGAGTAGCCCAATAAATGCCCGCTGTCCATTGGGCATTCAGAGATAGAGGAGTATAGCATGAGCTGGTAACTGTGCCAACCTGCTTAGGTTGTCCCCACTACCATTAGTTTTCCCTGGAGATAGCTTGTGCGTCAATCGTGTGTTTGTTGTAATGATCCAGTTGGGCAGATTATTTTTTTTTTTCGGGGCTGTTTTTTTTTTCTTTTAGACTTAGTCTCCTCCCACCCTTTTTTCACTTTCCTCCCCCAATTTTGATTTTCAAAAAAGAGAATCCTTTTGATATCCTGCTCTTTGAGCTCTTTGTTGTTTTTTTACAGCTTTTAGCCTTGATCAGTTTCAGCTGGTCAAATTGCGAACTGCCGTTGTAATTTTTTTTTTCCCTCCCCCCTCACCCCATCAAATTTCCCCATTTCACGACTTATACGATTTGACGACCATTTACCATGGCCACTGCTGCAATTCATAATAGTAGGTTTAGATATTTCTCTTTTGCCTTTCCTTTACCCTGGCTTTATGCTTGGTCTGCCAAGCTAACGTACGCTCGCTAGTGTCAGACGAGACCTTGCCGAGAGACCCCGTCTCTATGTCTTCTATCACCCCAATTACAGTGGATACACAGCCTACCCTCAACGGAGCTGAGTCATTAGAACAAAGTGTCGAGTCACTGGATTCAACTTCGGAGCCTTCTAAGAAAAAGAAGAAGAAGAAGAACAAGAAGAAGAAGTCCAATACCTCATTGAATAGCACAGAAGAAAACACCGAGCAAGCTACAGAGGAAGCCACACAAGATGTCGAAGACACCACTGAGGCTGCTGAACAACAGCCTCTCTCTGAGCAGTCTGTGAAGGAGCCCGTGACTGAAGAGGTTCCTGAATCTGTCGAAATTGCACCAGAGACTCTTAAAGCCGTCTCTTTCGTCGAGGAGGTTGAGGAGCACACAGTCGAGCCCGTTGAGCTCACAGTTGAAGACGTCAAGTCCGAAGAAAAGGTTGAGGAATCGACCCCGGAAAGCACCAACGAAGAAACAGCTGCAGAGACTACAACTGAGGTCGAATCTACCGAAGAATCCGTGATTGAGGAACCTACAGTCACAGAGTCCCAACTTGAGGAGACCCCTGAGACCGTCGACGAGGCTACCCCCGAGCTTTCTGTGGAGGAATCTACTCTTCTAGAGCCCACCATTGAGGCTGCTGTGGAGGAACCCGAGGTTGAGTCTATCGAGGAGCCTATTGTCGAGGAACCTACAGTCACAGAGTCTCAGCTTGAGGAGACCCCTGAGACCGTCGACGAGGCTACCCCCGAGCTTCCTGTGGAGGAATCTACTACTACTACAGAGCCCACCCTCGAGACTGCCGAGGAGCCCGTTGTCGAAGCTTCTAAGCTTGAAGAGACTGTTCTGGAGTCTGCCACCGAAGCTCCCGTTGAGGAGACCAAGGCTGAGTTGGTTGAAGAGCCTGTCATTGAAGAGGAGGCTGTGGAACCCTCTAAGGAAGTTGCCGAAGAGATAGCCTCCGAAACACCGCCTTCTGAACAGCCTGAGGAATCCGCTACCGAAGCCATCGAGGAGAAGACCGAAAAGATCACTCAGCTTGAGGAGGAGCCCCTAGTGGAATCTTCCAAAGATATTGTTGAGGAGACTGTCCAGGAGGAACAACTCGCCGAAGCAGAGGTTGCCACTGAGGGAGTCGTCGTCGATGAACAGCCTACTGTCGAAGAATCTTCTGAGAAGATCCCCTCGGAAGAATTTGTGATTGTCGAAGCTGAGTCTGAATCCGAGCCTGCAACCGAGACTCCAGTTGCCGAACAGCCTACCACTGAGGCTGAGTTTCCCATTTTCGAGACTCCTGCTGTGGTTGAGACACCGGCTGAGCCTACTTCTGAGGTCGAGACAACTGCTGAGGTTTCTGAAGTTGAGCACAAGGAAGTCGTTGAGGAAGTTGAGACCCCGGCCGCGGAGGAGATCCCTACTGAGGTCGAGACTCCCTCTGAGGAGCTTGTTATTGAGGCCGAGACGCCCGTCGTTGAAGAGCCTGTTGCTGAAGTGACTCCTGAAACCGAGAACAAAGCAGTTGTCGAGGAATCTACTGAGCCCCCGGCTACCGAAGAAATCTCCGTTGAGGAGCCTGTTGTTGAGGCTGCAACTCCGGTCCTTGAGGAGCCTACTTCTGAAGTCGAGAACAAGGAAGTTGTTGAGGAAGCCGTCGAGACTCCTATTGAAGTGACTCTCGAAACTTCGTCCGAGGCCCCTGTTGAGATCGAGCAGAAGGAGGTAGCACAAGAGCCTACCGAAGCTTCGCCTGTCGAGCCAGCCACTGAAGAGGTCGACTCGGATGACAAGGAACAAGAGGTCGAGGCTATTGCAGCTGCCGTTGGCGTTGCTGCTGGAGCCGCTATCATTGGAGCCGCTATCGAATCCGAGGATGTTCCTGCCCAGGAGCCTGGAGTTTCTGCCTCTGAAGACAAGGAAATCGCCACAGAGGAACCCGCTTCTGAAGAGCCTGTCGGGGAGCCTGTCACCGAAAATATCGAAGAGCCAATTCCCGAGACTGTCGAAGAGCTTGTTTCTGAACCCGTCGTCGAAACTGCTGAGGAGTCCGTTGTCGAGGAGGAGCCCATCACCGAGACTGTCGAAGAAACCATCGGAGAGCCCATCGTCGAGACTGTCGAGGAGCCCATCGCTGAGACCATCGAAGAGTCTGTCGAAGAGCCCATTGTCGAGGAGACCATCGAGAAGCCCATCACCGAGGCTGTCGAAGAGCCCATCACCGAGGCTGTCGAAGAGCCCGTCGCTGAGACTATCGAAGAGCCCATTGATGAGACCGTCGAGGAGCCCATCGAGGAGCCCATCACCGAGACTGTCGAAGAGCCCATCACTGAGACCGTCGAGGAGACTATCGAGAAGCCCATCACCGAGGCTGTCGAAGAGCCCATCGCTGAGACTATCGAAGAGCCCATTGCTGAGACCGTCGAGGAGCCTATTGTTGAGAAGTCCATCGAAGAGCCCATCGAGGAGTCTGTTGAGGAGCCCATCACCGAGGCTGTCGAAGAACCCATCGCCGAGACTGTCGAAGAGCCCATCACTGAGACTATCGAAGAGCCCATCGAAGAGTCTGTTGAGGAGCCCATCACCGAGGCTGTCGAAGAGCCCATCGCCGAGACTGTCGAGGAGCCTACTGTTGAGAAGTCCATCGAGGAGCCCATCGCCGAGACTGTCGAAGAGCCCATTGTCGAGGAGACCATCGAGAAGCCCATCACCGAGGCTGTCGAAGAGCCCATCGCTGAGACTATCGAAGAGCCCATTGTCGAGGAGACCATCGAAGAGTCTGTCGAAGAGCCCATCGCTGAGACTGCCGAGGAGCCTATTGTTGAGAAGTCCATCGAAGAGCCCATCGCCGAGACTGTCGAAGAGCCCATTGTCGAGGAGACCATCGAGAAGCCCATCACCGAGGCTGTCGAAGAGCCCATCGCTGAGACTATCGAAGAGCCCATTGCTGAGACCGTCGAGGAGACCATCGAAGAGTCTGTCGAAGAGCCCATCGCTGAGACTGCCGAGGAGCCTATTGTTGAGAAGTCCATCGAAGAGCCCATCGCCGAGACTGTCGAAGAGCCCATTGTCGAGGAGACCATCGAGAAGCCCATCACCGAGGCTGTCGAAGAGCCCATCGCTGAGACTATCGAAGAGCCCATTGCTGAGACCGTCGAGGAGACCATCGAAGAGTCTGTCGAAGAGCCCATCGCTGAGACTGCCGAGGAGCCTATTGTTGAGAAGTCCATCGAAGAGCCCATCGCCGAGACTGTCGAAGAGCCCATTGTCGAGGAGACCATCGAGAAGCCCATCACCGAGGCTGTCGAAGAGCCCGTCGCTGAGACTATCGAAGAGCCCATTGCTGAGACCGTCGAGGAGCCCATCGAGGAGCCCATCACCGAGACTGTCGAAGAGCCCATCACTGAGACCGTCGAGGAGACTATCGAAGAGTCTGTTGTTGAGCCCATCGCCGAGACTATCGAGGAGCCCGTCACCGAGACTGTCGAAGAGCCCGCCGTTGAGACTATCGAGGAGTCTGTTCCTGAGACTGTCGAGGAGCCTACTGTTGAGAAGTCCATCGAGGAGCCCATCGAGGAGCCCATCACCGAGACTGTCGAAGAGCCCATCGTCGAGACTATCGAGGAGTCTGTTCCTGAGACTGTCGAGGAGCCTACTGTTGAGAAGTCCATCGAGGAGCCCATCGAGGAGCCCATCACCGAGACTGTCGAAGAGCCCATCGCTGAGACTATCGAGGAGTCTGTTCCTGAGACTGTCGAGGAGCCTACTGTTGAGAAGTCCATCGAGGAGCCCATCGAGGAGCCCATCGCCGAGACTGTCGAAGAGCCCGTCGTTGAGACTATCGAGGATTCTGTTCCTGAGACTGTCGAGGAGCCTACTGTTGAGAAGTCCATCGAGGAGCCCATCGCCGAGACTGTCGAGGAGCCCGTCGTTGAGACTATCGAGGATTCTGTTCCTGAGACTGCCGAGGAGACCATCGTTGAGACTATCGAGGAGCCCGTCACCGAGACTGTTGAAGAGCCCATTGTCGAAGAGCTCATCGCTGAGACTATCGAAGATCCCATTGTCGAGGAAACTGTCGAGCCTACTGTTGAGAAGTCCATCGAGGAGTCCATCGAGGAGCCCATCGCCAAGATTGTCGAAGAGCCCGTCGTTGAGATTATCGAGGAGTCTGTCCCTGAGACTGTCGAGGAGACCATCGAAGAGCCCGTCATTGAGACTATCGAGGAGTCTGTTGCTGAGCCCGTCGTTGAGGAGCCCGTCGTTGAGGAGCCCGTCGTTGAGGAGCCCGTCGTTGAGGAGCCCGTCGTCGAAGAGACTGTTGTGGAGGAGGCTGTTGTGGAGAAGCCTATTGAGGAACCAGTTGTGGAAAAATCAGTTGTGGAAGAACCAGTTGTGGAAGAGTCAGCTGTAGCCGTTGTTGAAAAGGAAGCACCAGTTGAACCTGCTGAACCTGAGATCACTACCGAGACTGTGGAGCCCGTTCCTCAACCAGAGTGGCAGCTCAAGAAAGATTCTCCGGAGCATGAATCTCTTGCTACCGATATTCTGGCTGCAGGCGCTGCTGCTGCTGCAGGTGTTGTCGCCGCTGTCGGTATCTCGGCTGCACTGGACAAGGATCTTCCTCACACTGAGATAAAGAATGTTAAAGACGAGCCAGAGACTCAGGCTCCGGTTGAATCTCAGCCTGAAGAAAGTAAGCCTTTACTCTCCACTCAATCGGCGCAAGCGTCAGTGCCGTCCTTCGATGCTGATTCGACTCTTGCAGCTCTCGCAAGCGATGGTGAAGCCCTCTTGCAGCAGCTAAACATGCCATCTACCGACCAACTGACCGCCATCCCCACTGGTGAACAATCTACTGCTGACAAGAACATTCCGGTTGAGTCCGTTGAAACCACCGAAACTACCACCGAAATTACCACCGACAGTACTACCGAAACTACCACCGGCCTCAAGCCACCCGTAGCCAACGGTGAAAACGAAGATGCTCGTCCCAGGAGCCAGAGTCGGTCAGTCGCAGCTGTTTCTACCAATGGTGCATCGAACTCTTGGCTCAAGGCGCTTTTGCGCACGATCTTTGGGGGCTTCTTTGGTGCTGTCTTTTCACCTTTCCGCCGCGGCGGAAAGGCTGCCAATTAAGATCGTGCCGGGCGATAAAACTAGCAATGCTCCCTTGATGCTGTCATGTCCAGGCACTGGATCACCAGAAGTGCGCAGACCTGATTGGTACTAACATGATTACTCAGGCCCCCATTCTGGCTTGCCTTTGCCGTGGTTCCTATTGTTGCGATCCTTTGGAATGCCATTACCAAGTGATCATATCGCCCTTGAGATGCCACCTTGTTCAAGCGAAAACGCCAAAAAAAAAAGCTCGAAAAAGTTGACAGAATATTCTCTCTACTCTACGCGATTACCCTGTATTTGATATCGATATCTGTCTGCGTCTTAACGATTTCCCTTAATGTCCTGACTTGCAGCTACTTTTTGTCTCTCCTCTCTCCTCTCTATGCAGGGAGATTGAATTGGTTTTATTGTTTTTTTATGGTATAATGATTTTCTTTTGTCGTCATCATGTTGGTGAGCTTGACCTCTCCTGGTTGAAGGTTTAGAGGTCTGGATTTTGCCAGGGTTATGACTCTAATGATATTTTTTATGATTTCTGAACTCCAAACTTATATTTTTATAACAAGGGTAACCCTGTAGACATGTGGCAATGCAATAATCCAGGGCTGGTACCTGAACGACGCATAATAGACCCACATAGATCTACATTGGTGCCTGAATTTGAACTGAAATATGCAGTCAAAAATTTAGTAATAACCGTCCCCTTTCAGAACTAAGTTACTAATTTATTAATACACGCGGTAATGGTCCCGCATCCATATGAAAGCAGCACCCAAATGAAAAGATTTGAACATCAACATCTAAAAGCTAAAGTAAATATTCTAGATGAGGAGGAATAAAAAAATATAGTGATCTCATGTTTTTCGCAGAAGTGAAGAAATTCCATTGAAAATGTGATCCAAACTTATCATATAGTATCAATCTCCAGGAGCCTTGCATACACGACCACATAGGTTTTTCAAAAAAGGCTATAATAATCTTCCGAACGAAAGATTATGCGCAAGTTCCATATATATATATATATATATATATATATATATATATATACCAACCTTGTAAAACACTGAATTGAGCACAATGCCGGTCGCATCTCTGTACGCCATTACACAACTTTTTAGTAGAGATGACTATTGGTAAAAGACTAAAAAAAAACATTAGTTAAGATATCGTTAGCTTTAACCATACTGATAGACTCTCGACTAGTGTCTAATCCAGATATTGTTTCTTTTCGTCCACGGATGGCTGTTATATAATGATCCATATGGAAGCCAGTCTGATCAAATTCTAAATATCTGAGAATTCGATAACAGCACATTCGATGAACTTCTGATAGCTTTTAAACAAATCTTCAGTCACCGTTTTAACAAAAGCCCTCTAGCGTTGAATATCAGGAGCTTTTTGGCGCCTCTTTTGATAGCTCTCCTAGGCTTCATTAAGCCTGCGCGCATTTGGGGGCTATCGATCAACTACGTTGAAAGGACAGGGTTCACACATTGCACTATATGTAACTGGAGTAGGGAATGGGTCGTCCTAGATTCTTAGTATATACATTGTGCAAGGTGGTGTGAAGTGTGTTCGATTCATCTAGCTACTCGGGGTGCTGATAGTGGTTCCCCGTGACCCGGGGGTCTACATGTTCCGTTCCGGGCAATGGTATTGCGGGATTGCAATATTCATGTTCCGACAGGGGCCTTTCAAACAACCATTTACCGTCCCCTGGATGTGTCATCGAAACCGCTGATAATTTAAGCTAAAAACTCGCGCAGCTGATGGGTGATTTCCATTCTGAGCGCACTGATAGCTCAAGAACTCGTTCCTTCTGATTCTTAGTATCTAAAGATATGGTGATGGGTAGTGCTTGATATCAATTGAAGATATAGGTGTATAATATCCAAATCATTGCATATGGGTGCTGGACCCACGTTAGCGCGGGTAATAATAAATTGGTAATATGTGAAAGGGGCTAGCTAGGTTCATCCTCGATTCTAAAATCCATACAGACTCCATATGTCTGAGAATCTAAGTCTTGCATTCCGCACCTGCATGAACAAGTTGGGCACAAAGGATTTAACTTGCATAATTCTTTGAATTTGAACCGCCTGGTGTTACGCAACGTGCATTATCAAGAAGCCTTTGTCTGGAATAGATGAAACAGTAGATCTGATTGGTCGAATCCTATAACGGAGTGAAAGGAATGAAAGACCGAGTGATACGTCCCTCCTTCCTGCCTAAGTAGGTAGCCCTATGAATCGAAGGTGTGCTAAAAGGTCAAAGGCTCATTGAAGGAACTGATGGATCTGAAGTGAATCGTGATAGATATAATTATGGACTAAACGAGGAACAATACCTGATTCGGGAATAAGTCGTTTTTTTTTTTTTTAAATAACCGGCCTCAGTGGGGCTGAATTCTCAATTGATTCAACCAATAAACTTATTCACACGAATGTGTTCTAGATCCTGGGGTTAATGTGATAGAGGCATTTGGTCTTATTCCTTCGAATGCCCGTGAGGTATTAATGCACAAAGTAAATTAAGAAAATCCTTCCAGTTGCCCTAGGCCACTGATCCGATGCATCTGGAACACCGCATAGTTATGGATAATTAGGTCTTGTTTCTTGATAACCTAGTTGACATATCTGTAACAAAATAGCCCCTCATAATTCTAAGCCCCGTACAATTTATAAAACCTTTATCTTTCCTATAGATTTTGATCGTCTTGCTTTTCTCGTCCATTCATTTCTCGGTTTTTCATTTGTTCGGAATGATTTTCAAATCTTTCGCCCTCTCGGCTCTTGCTGTCTTGTTTGCCGTAGCTCCCGCCCAGGCTGGTCCTGACTCGCACGACAAATTCCATCGCGATGTTATTCCCAGACACCGTCTTGCTGAAGCCCGTCATGAGATTGTTGCCCGGGATGCCATTTCCTCCATCTGCACTCAGAACGATATCATTACTACCACTTCTTTTATTCTTTTCAATAACCTTTGGGGTGAAGACCAGGCCACCAGTGGTTCGCAGTGCACCTACCTTGACGCTGAAGGTGACGGCTGGATCGCTTGGCAGACTGCCTGGACCTGGGCCAGCGGCTCCACTAGCGTGAAGAGCTACGCCAATGCCGTGCTGAATATTGGAGCTCGCCAGCTGAGCACCATTTCCAGCATCCCAACCACCTGGAACTGGAGGTAAGAAGCACGATGTAACTGATATACCTGCGTCATTCAACTGACTTGTACCAGCTACTCGGGTACTGACATTGTCGCTGACGTCTCCTACGACATCATGCTGTCAACCGAAGACTCCACTACTGCTTCGCACTCGTACGAAATCATGATCTGGCTTGCCTCCTTCAGCGCAGAACCCATTGGATATTCTTCTGGTCCCATTGCCTACCCCTCCATCGGTGGCATTACCTGGACTTTGTACCAGGGCACCAACGACTGGGATGTGTTCAGCTTCGTTGCACCGGAGACAATCGAAAACTTCTCAGGAGATGTCAACGATTTCTTCACCTACCTCATTGACTACCAGGGAGTGTCTTCTTCCAACTACCTCCAGACTGTCGGTGCTGGCACTGAGCCCTTTGATGGAACTGATGCTTGGTTCACCACCACCCTCTACACTGCCTCACTCAGCTGAGCGAATCCATTGTCCGATGTTGATGCATAAATAATACCAATACCAGCTTCCAGTCTCTCGGGAAAAGAGTCAAATTAAGCCTCAAATATCTCCTTCAATCTTGGAATAAATCCCACATGTGGCCCACGTGCTGACGTGGCTGGTTAAAGCCAAAGTCAAAGCCAAATTAAACCTCTAGTTCCCAAAGCTCACCAGTAATCTTAATCCCAAAAGAAGCATGTTCAGTCTCCACATGAGCTTAAAGCCCTCACTTGCATAAATATGTCGAGCAGAGGTCAACGTACTTTGCGTCCAAAGCCCAACACGCGCATAGCCCACTTTCCTCGCGAAGCTCGTAGCAGTTTTCACCAAAGTACGACCAAGTCCGAGTCCCCGCGCCGTCGGCTCAACAAGTAGTAGTCGGATCTTAGCCGCATTGGACTTAGATGTGCGGTCTTGAACAAGCATTATCGAGCCGAGTATGTGGCCATCGTCGCGCTCAGCCACCCAGCAACGCTCTACTTCCGGTTCGTAATCTTCAATGAAGTTGGCTGCTATTTCGGCTACGAGACCTTCGAAGCGGGTGCCCAGCCGTATTCTTTCTTGATCATAGAGGACGCTGAGGCGGTGGATTATCCAGCCTATATCCCCTGGACGGTGGGTTCGGATGATGTAGGGTTTTGTAGGTGGTATGCTTCCCATATCTTCTAGAATTGGGGATTTGTAATTGATACCAGAGATTGATGTTTAGGAAATTGTTTCCAGGCACAGTTGAGTGCCTTCCAAACTCCATTTTTTGCTCTCGAATTCATGGGTGCATGTCAATGATAGGACGTGATGGTGGGGCTCGGATAAATATCGGATATATGGGTGAATCAGATAACCACCGCATAGATCGTAGATCGTATGTAGATCTGTGGATCAATGATGACTTCCAACCAAGTAGTAAAGCTCGTAAACGAACCGTGATTCTGCGTTATTCAAATAGTTTGGTTTCAAGGCTCATGTCGTATATCAGGGTAGGAAGCATATGCAATACACGCTGATATCTAAGGAATTGTAGTTCAAGAATGATCATCGCCCGAGTCGACAGGTAAATGTAGAAAAGAAGTCGAAGGACAGATATTTATATATTTATATCTCAATAGAAAAAAAATTTACAGTTAAATGAGCGCTACCTAGGTATGATCCAAAGCTGGTCAGTACCTGGACGTCCATTTTGGTCGAATGCCAAATTCGATGATCACCAACCAAACACAGCACTCAAGGCCTGGATCATTCATCACTCTCTATTGCATGTACCCTTACCTAAGGATTGTACTCGATTTTAATGTAAAAAGCAGTCATAGGTGAACGTTCAGATATCTCTTTAATGATTGAGATGACGTGTTTGCAATCTTCTACCACAGTTGAAAAAAAAAAAAAAAAAAAAATGAAAAAACATGGAAGTGAGAGAGGAAACCAGATTTTAGCTTTCAATTGACTGAAAAACGTCAGTCAGACTCACTTATCTGCATTAAACCATCGTTTTGCTAAATATCGACACGTTAATAACTACCATGATAGTCCAAAAGTCAGGAATGTGACCAAATGAGACCGAGCGTCATGTGAGAGATATGTGAGGTGGAAGGAGAGAAGCACAAGCAATTGTACCCGAGGATGTCGAAAAATGCCGAGAGATAATTAGAGAGATGATTGGAGTCTGGGTGGACTGAATTGAGCGCCCATCGCTCTCAACACACCATCTTATGTCAACACTCCACCATCCTCTTCTTCTCACCACCAACCACCTGTCACCAACCATCCAGCTGTCCAGCAGTCCTTCACTTCCATCATCAACCAAGACTGGTAATTCTATCGACTCGTCCATATTGCTGGCATGCTTTTTCTCGGCAGCAGAGGAAGTGCCTAATGCATCACCATCGCACGCGCCTCATCCGCTCGGCGCAACTAACTCGTTTGATGTCGTTCCTAATATTATTGAAACCTAAGCTATAAGTCACTGCCAAAAAGGGAGAGCATACCTACTGCCTGTCACTGGCTCGTAAATCAGCAACTGCCATTTCTACCTCCCCCACATAATCGAGCTCGATGTATTCCAGATCCCACTCTCGTCACGAGTCAATCCGGTATGTGTCGATGCCTTCCCATAGTTTATTTGGCTGCAATCTGTCGCGACGGGTTGCACGAGTACCTCCCGTGAGACCTCTTCGCAGCGAGGTAGGTGACAGAACAGTGAGAAATTTAGGTCCATCTCCAAGGCTGTTACTATCACTGGTAAATGAGCACCCGGCTTCAGATACCCAGGTAATTTAGAAAATATCATCTTCAACAAGAAAACTGGTTCATATCCTGAAAGGAATAAGAGTGTCATTACAATCAGGCACAACGACAATGGTATTCTGAGTCGAAGATCTCATCAGTGGGTTCCTCAAATTGCATATGTCCAACATATTGACCAAAATCAAGGACAAGGTCAAGGTAGGAGACATCACTGTCGTGATCATGGATATCGTCGAAAAAAGCACTTGGGTAAGATGACTTCATGCGAAGGTCGGCATGGTAATTTGCCACCTTTGCTCTGTTGTCATCGTTCCCATTAGTAGGGGCGACGATATCACTCATGCTGCTGGTGAATCTCTGTATATGGGGACTATATTTGGCTTCAGATCCAGACTTGAGCATTGTTCAAGAGAGACGGTGATAAAATGAAGTTCGAGAGATGTGAGGGAAGCCCACTTCAGCGAGTGTGCTTAGTCGCTAGTTTATGATATCGCCGGGGAGCCCTCTGTATTTCTCTCTCACAGGCACCTCCTAGCGTTCTTGCAGTGTGACAATCTTCTCCGAGAGACTTGATTCTTTCACACCTGCAATGCTCCACTCCACCACTTCTCGAACGATTCTCATCTAGATTCCTGTAAGTCAAAGATGCTCCAATCAACCAGGGCGCTACCAACATTGGCATTCTCGGTTATCGTTAACTGTACTAGTGTGAGCGATATTAATAGTGCACCGAATGCAAATTACCCAGTCTGTCTCCACCAGATTTCACAGGAATGGTCTGTAGCAGCTTCAATGGTACTACCAAAAAACTGATAGTTGAAATCTCAATTTTATTCCACAATTATGGCACAATATAGAGCTCATGTATGAAGAAATACAGCGAAGCCACTCTTTGATGTTTTGAACAAAAAGCACAAGAAAACGAGAAGTAACTAACTACCTTGAGCTTGGCTCTACATAGCTCAGATCTTCCATAAATCAGGAATGCTTGCAATTTAACTGCAGATCATGCCTTAGAAAGTTAGCAGATGTGACTTATCAGTTTTTCACAGCATAGATACCCTCTTACAGACAAGTCAATCACATTTAGAAGCCTGCAAGACATCATGACATGATAATGAGGGTTTTGTAGTCACGTGATATTCGTGATTGATTACTTAATCGGATTATATATATTAACTAATCACTGAGCAGGCTTGAAGACAAGATAGTGTAGTTTCAAGGCTGAAGCCAAATTGAACTTAGAACTTAATAAGTTCAATCGTCAAGACTCAAGAGAACCATTTATCTATACATATCATGTACTTTGGCGAGTTCCGATGAAGCCGTGGATGTTGCCGAGGCCCTAATTGAATTCATCATCTCAGGCTCATCTGCCGAATTCACGTGACTTAATTTGCTTTCTACCCCAGCATTTCAATCTGTCAACCCTCTCATTCCTAATCCCGTGCCTTAAATTCTTAATTTATCAACAATTCTCTTACAAGTCTTTCTACCAGGTACGTCTAGTTTACAGAATGGATACGGTTGCTAGGTGGTTCCCGATCCACTAGATTTAAGACGGCCCAGCCTCCTCTGGTCCCCTCTCAGCCTGATAAACAAACAAGCCCCCTTCTCACTCCAGCTCTATCCCAAGCCTTAAATTCTCTCCTTCTGGCTATTTATCGCTAAAAGACCTAGTTCTAGGCATATTCCGCAATTTTGAGACGTTCATTCGGCCGCTTAAATCCTACCCATCATGTCCGTCAAGTTCAAGGAGGAGAAGACCGTTACCGATACCGTCCGTGCGGTGGCCGATGGTAAGCATGAGGGTCTGGCGCATCGCGTCGGTGACCGTTTGACCGGCGGAAAGACTCCTAATGGATACCTCGCGGTATGTCAAACAGCTTCTGGAATATCCCAAGAACGTATTGGAATGCGCAATTGATTCGAAGAATGTGGATCACAGGCCTACCTCAAGCAGCTGCAGACCAACCCGCTGCGAACCAAGATGCTCACATCTGGTCTTCTCTCCGGTCTGCAAGAATTGCTCGCCTCTTTCCTGGCTCACGATGTTGGCAAGCACGGCCACTACTTCAGCTCGCGCATCCCGAAGATGTCGCTTTATGGCATGTTCATTGCCGCGCCGCTTGGTCATATCCTTATCGGCATTCTGCAGAAGATCTTCTCTGGTCGCACCAGCCTCAAGGCTAAGATTCTCCAGATCCTCGTCAGCAACCTGATTGTACGTTCCAAGTTCCGTTCTTGTCGCCAATGAGACAGGGACCCACTATACTAACGTTGCGCGATTCTTTATAGATCTCCCCCATCCAGAACAGCGTTTACCTCTGTTCGATGGCTATTATTGCTGGCGCGCGCACCTTCCACCAGGTTCGTGCTACCGTCAAGGCCGGTTTCCTGCCTGTAATGAAAGTCAGCTGGATCACTTCCCCGCTGGCACTGGCCTTTGCCCAAAAGTTCCTCCCCGAGCACACTTGGGTGCCCTTCTTTAACATTATCGGTTTCTTCATTGGAACCTATGTTAATACTCACACCAAGAAGAAGCGCCTGGAGGCACTTCGCAAGGTAGATTCTCCCAATGCATATTTCTGATAATCCACTGACTGAGTCCTGCAGCGCTACGACCAACGCCGCGGCGGCAGCGAGTACGAAAAGCGTGACTATGAGAAGCGTGACTATGAGAAGCGCGACTACCCTTGAACGTTTCCATTTGACAACTGCAGAGATGGAAGTCGAAAGACGAGACAAGTTTATTCCTTCCATGCTCAATCTGCGAATACCCCATGATATTTCTTTTGTCTCGTCATGTTATTACACTTTGTACATGCCCCCTTCAGATATCTTACAACAAATTTATGACCCATCCACATTTTCATCGTATGAACTCTGCAAATCTCTATTAAAATGTTGCCCACCTACTACACGAGTCTGGAGGGTTTGCAGATCAAGTCTCAGATATTCATTTCATGGAGAGACCAAGGCTCCGAATATTGAACGAAGTCAACGCTAATTACTACACCATACGTCCAAAATTTTGAGAACAAAGCTTTAGGACTCCACCTCCATAGCCTCACTGTTGGCACTCTTCTTTTCCTTCACAAAAGCTGCAAACTCATCAATCGCACCGGGCCAGGCTCCATCAGTGCTCCACCAACCCAATGTTTCATCTTCATGCGCCTTGTTAAGAAACACCTCAAGCTGTTCCCACAGATCTTTGCTGATGGGCTTCTTGCCATTCTGCTCGCAGAACTCAATCCACCAGTCCAGCCAAGGAGTGGTAGCCGTGTTGGCCGCAACACCGCCGGACTCAGCATTGAACAGCATGCGCCACTGCTCTACAGCAATTTCGTACTGGACATTACGTTGGCCCTGCATGCGAGAGAGCAAAAAGCAGTAGCGGTACACAGCGCGGAAAACATTCTTGTCCGCGGGGATTTTCTTGCGAAGATATTCAACGTGTTTAATCATCAGATCAATGGTATTGCACCTGAATGTAATGGTTAGGTGAATTTTAAACAAGGTGGGGTGGTGATATACTTTGCAGTTTTCCAACCAGCAATGAATTCATTCCGAGTAAATTCTCCCATGGCAGGGCATTTGCAGATCTCGGCAACAGCAACGCAGACGATTTCATCAAGTTTCACACCGAGGTCGTTGTAGTACTTGACGGCACCTTCGATGCCGATCTGGTCTTTCTCATCCGTAGAGGACTCTGTTCATTGTTAGCATTTTTGTCTGGAATTGGGGTAGGAATGCAACTTACGATAGGTATTGAAGATTTTGTCCACATCAGCTACAGGAAACTGGTGACTTTCATGGTATCTGCGAGTCCAGTCGACGATGTTAGCGGCGATTGCCCGGTGCATGGCCAGTTCGCGAGGGGTTCGACGCCCAGAGTTGGGTGCGATCAACGATAAGATCAAATCAGGATCCATTTTTGAGATGGGTGTAGAGGAGAATATTTCAGAGAAGATGGAAAATAATAAAAGGAAGTCATTAATAAGGCACGTATAGGGAGTGCAATACACGACGTAAACCGGGGATGTTTGAAATTTAGAGAAAAGGAATAGAAATTTCCAACTCACGTATCAATAGCTCGTTCGACGTTAAAATTTGTCGCTTTTAGGTACTATATAGCAACATATCAGATCCGAATATTAATATAAATTTGAGTCATAGAGCATTTGTCTGGAAAGGAGTATATCATTTCCGATTCCCTCCCTTTAAGACGGGTTTCTGATCGACTGGAATACTCATGTTAGAGGATACACTTACTCTTGCAGCTTGGCTGTCAGTAGCTCCAGTGAAAGCAACCACTTGGCTTATAGCCCGCTTTTGTTCTGCTGAATAACTAGGCATGGCGGGGGTATGATAGTCACGCTTAGGAACGCCGTTAGGGATGTGGGCTGAGTATAAAGCCCTTGAACCAAGTTGAGATTCACCAAACTATCAATATATAGACTGGAAAGATGATATAGAGATTGTATCGTCAGGTACTGCTGTTTTCGTAATTTAACAAAAACACGACGGTGTTGATTTCGTGCTAACTGATTACTCAGCTGATGCCTGAGGCATAAATTATATATTTTTGTGGATTTAGTTCTCAGTTTAGCTTCCTAGGACTTGGTCTATTACTGGTAAAATTTAGATGATTTAGATATTTGGGTGAAACAAAAGCAATGATTGCTTCCTAAGTAGCTAGTTAAGTATTGTTAGGTATTCTACCAACTACCCCAAGACGATTTTGAACTCTACTGTTTTGAACAAGTCGTACAGCATGATTGTATAGTCGGACTAAAATATTAAAGTCCACAAGGCAGAAATACTTTTTATATGACAGAAAATGACTCCTTAAACTCCCAGCCCGATCGAGTATGCGAACATCTTGTACTTGATAGCACAGTATCTCCTCTAGGTAGTGAACAGGGTATCCTCCTACTCAAAGTTAGTTATGTCCTCGTCTGCAGGTCCTTGAATAATGTATAACTCACCTCACGGAGCCACTCTCCACAATCTGCTTGACGAAAGATGACAGTAGAAGTCGGTTCGAGTTTACGTGCTTCGGCGGTGGAGCGAGCAGTCACACCTTTGAGCTGGTCAGTACAAGAATAGAACCCCGTAGACCCAGTTATAACTTACCGAAACCAAGAGGTTTATCATCCATCGAGAAAACCACGACACCAGTGTGTTCGGGGCAGTCCTCGCTCCATCGTCCAATGTGTGCCTTCAAGGCATTTCCACCGTAGAGCCATGGCATTTCGCCATTGGGTTTGATCCAAGCCTCGTACAATGTTAGCTTTGAAAGCCGCCTTGGAAAAATATGGTCATTACCTTATAACGAGCGTAAGGAGCAATGACATCCAGCGCGGTGATATTGAGACGGAATTTACCGGTCTTAGTGAACTTTCCGATCTATAGCACGGAAGTTGTGAGTACTTGAGTTGCGGAAATGTATATGGTCCGGTCGATGACACAGAAGAATTGCCACTTACTTGAGTGCCAACACAAAGAAGGTTATCTCTTGGGATCGAGACAGCCAGATTGGCCAGTCTCAAAGGCATGTAGTAGACACGGCTTCCTTGTAGCCGGAATACATACTGATCAGTCTGAAGCTGAGAAGCATCTTCGGAGGGAGGTTGAATCAGCTGTGTAATTCCGCGACCGACATAGTTTGCCAATTTGGTGAAAAGAGTCTGATCAAAAACAAGAATTATTACAAAGGCCATAAAGTTGATCAGCGGGGTGATTTTTACCTTAGTTTCTTCTTCAGTCAGTTGACGCATTTTGAGAAGTAGTATTGACTCTAATATAGTCTTTACAGGTAATTGTTTGGAAATGAAGCCGAGGTGGACGTTGCGAGAATCAACCGTGAAGCAATCTCAAAAATTTAGGCGGAGAAAATAAAAATTCCGGCAGAAAAGTCTTGGCCGCAAGAAAAAAAGTTCGGACCGCCTTTACGCCGCAGAGCTTTCGGCCTCTCTTTAGGAAAACATATCACCAAAACATAGCAAAATGGCACGCGGCCAGACAGTTAAACGGAGAAGATTGAGCCCCCCGGCTGACGAGGAGGCCAACGGAAAGGCCGAATACGACGCCGAATGGGACGTCGAGCAGGACTACGAGCAGCGCCCACGCAAGACAAACAAAAAAGCCAACGAGCGCACCCGGCTACCTATTAAGACCTCGGAAGGATTTGTCCATGCTGAGGAGGAGCCTGAGGTTGAGGACGTGGCAGACGACACAGATAGCTTTTTGGGCACTGACGATGACGAGGACGGAGAAGGAGAGTCTGAGGTGGAAATCGAGGAGAAAAAGCCCAAAATTCCCGTGAAGGTCCAAATTATACAAGCAAAGGAAGACCTAGCTCGTATTGCTACCTCGATCAACGAAGATCCCGAAGAAAACATTGCCCTATTCAAGACAATGGCTGATATGGTGGATAACCCTGACTCCCCCGTCACAGTCAAGAAGTTGGCTCTGGCCTCCCAGGCGGCTGTATATAAAGATGTCATTCCAGGTTATCGTATTCGCCCCCTCTCCGAAGAAGACATGACTGGCAAGGTCTCGAAAGAGGTGCGCAAGCTCCGCAACTTCGAGCAGACCCTTGTGTCGGGATACCGGAACTATGTGAACAAGCTGGCCGCATTGGCCAAGCCAGGTCGACAGGCGATGTACCAAAAGGATAATGGTCTGAAGAGCGTTGCTATTAACTGCGCATGTAGCATGCTCCAGGCAGTTCCACACTTCAACTTCCGTCTTGAGCTACTGAAGATCATTGTGAATCGACTTGCACGGAAACAGGTAGATGCCGACGTTGTGAGGTGTCGTGAGAGTTTGGAGGATGTCTTTGAAAAGGACAACGACGGTGTAGTGTCTCTTGAAGCCGTCCGTTTGCTCGCAAAGATGATCAGGGCCCGTGATTTCAAAATCCACGAGAGTGTTCTGGACACATTCCTTCATCTCCGTCTGCTAGGCGAATTCGGCCGACAGGCTTCGCAAAACCGGGTAGATCGTGAGGCTGAGGAAGAGCCAATTGGTGGGAAAAAGAAGAAGCAAGTGCGCGAGTTCCGTACCAAGCGCGAGCGCAAGGTCGTTAAAGAACGCAAGATTGTTGAAAAGGACATGAAACAAGCAGATGCTCTTGTTTCCCATGAAGAACGCGACAAGAACCAAGCTGAGACACTGAAGCTCGTCTTTGGTGTCTACTTCCGCATCCTTAAGCAGCGTATCCCCCATTTGATGGGCCCCGTGTTGGAAGGTTTGGCCAAATACGCCCGCTTGATCAACCAGGACTTTTTCGGAGATTTGTTAGAGGCAATGAAAGATCTCATTGGACACGCTGAACGTGACGAGCAAGGTGATGATAACGAGAACGAAGAACAAGATGAGGACCCCAGATCTGCTATGAACGATACAACGACTCGCGATGCTCGCCGTGAGACCCTGCTGTGCACCATCACTGCCTTTGCTCTGCTCGAGGGCCAAGACGCCAGCAAAGCCGCCTCCGCTCTCCATCTGGACCTCAGCTTTTTCATCAAGCACCTATACCGCTCCCTCTATGCTCTCTCCATCAATCCAGACGTCGAGTACAATCCCAAAACATCTCTGCGTCTTCCGGATCCCTACGCCCATGACCAGTCTGCCATTCAAACCCGGTCACGGAACAAGGTCAATTTCCAGACTCCAATGGTTCTGCTCCTTCGCTGCCTCCAATCCGCCCTAATTTCTCGCGTCCACGGCAACCCTCCCCCGAACCGACTTGCCAGTTTCTCCAAGCGTCTCATGACCACCTCGCTCCAGCTTCCTGAAAAATCCGCCCTTGCAACCCTCTCGCTCATGAGCCAGGTCTCAAAGAACCACGGTCGTCGTATTGCGGCGTTGTGGCACACCGATGAGCGCAAGGGTGATGGTGTATTCAATGCGTATGCTCTCGATGTTGAGGGTACCAATCCCTTCGCTGGATCCATATGGGAAGGCGAGCTGCTGCGTCATCATTATTGCCCCCAGGTCCGCACGGCAGCCCTTGATATTGAGAAGATAATGAGTTCAACAACTTAATATGTCTTTCTGTTGGACAGTTATTACATAGGAGTACACATTTTCATTACGCTGGAAAAATATTTTTTACATAAAACACTGCTGCTTCAATTCGAACTAGTTAAGAACATGATCACTCAACCTTTGCCTTCTCGTACTCCATCTCTTTTAAGAAAATGGACACTCAAAAAACTACCTTTCCAATCTTGATAGAGGTTTTCACCATGATTACTCAAGAATTCCCCTTTCCTCCCTGTTTTCTTGTTTTTGTATCTTTTCTCCTTTTTTGAGTTTGCATTTTCCCATGTCAATCTGAGAGAACCTTCCAAATTGTTGCTGGTTGAGAAGAAAAAAACAATGTTAACTGCTGCCATCATTCGTAGTCATGTCATTATCGTAAGTAAACCGGTCGAATCAAAATGAAGCTGAAACAATCAAGAAAAGCACACGATCATTCGCGTTGAGACCTGGAATGGCGACTAGTAGCGCTTTCGGTTCTTGTTGCACCACTCCTTTTCATTGATCTCGGGCGACTTGTTGCTGTTTTCAGTAAGGGCAACCCAGTCATCAACAAACTTGTTCTTTTGTCGCCCAATCGGAGCAGCTTCAGACGCAAAGGGCTGCTCATGCTCGGACCAGTCATCTTTGGACCAGTCGTAGGGGTTGTTCAATTTTCCCGAGTGAGTGTCATGAAAGCCAGAGTGATTGTCCGGGCAAAGGGCCAAGTGGGTGCCAGTGTTAGTACCAGAACTAGCACTCTGGTTCTCGTGGTAGTAAGGAAGCAGGAGTGAGCTAGACATCGGGGAGTTACCCGATGGCGACAATGGTGATCCAAGGCTGATGTCAGAGTTATTACGCTGGGACTCTCTCATCGTGTGAGACTGGCCATCGAATGATGCGACGGAACGGATCTCATTTTGAGTCGAATATGGTGAGGACCGGACCTGAGCAGAGTCCCGAATTTGAAGGCTCGGTGAACTTCGGAGAACAGGTGGACTCTGGAGAGCAGAGTAAGTATCAGACTGATTAGCATACTGAGTCTGAGTTGCAGGATGAGCTGCGGTGTTATAAGCCGGATTATAGCCCGAGCGATAAATCTCTGGAATGGAAAGCACAGAGAGAGTTGCAGCACGTGAATCAGAGGCTGTGTTCTCTGAGGGTTGGGCACTCTTATCAAGGCCAGCAGCATGGCGAGCTGAAGATCGAAGGAACTTGATCATACCGTTGTGACTGCTCGCAGCACTTGGGGCCTCGTTCGCCTGATCCTGTCGACGGTGGAATCCGAAAGGGTTCCATCTCTTCGTCTCTTCGTTGGTACGAGGGATTTCAACGGGCTTCTTGTTGTCCTTGGGAGTCGTGTTGGGACTTGAAATAACTGTCCTTGCGATAATTGGCTTTTGGGAGCTACTGATTGATCCCTTCGAGCTACTGTCATTCTGAACGTCTGTTTTTCTAAGAACGGGAGGTAGAACAGTCTCTGAAGAGGTCATCCCACGAAGTTCCCTCAAAAAACCTTTCTTCATAGTTCCGCTTCTCTGGAGTTTACCAGGAGCTTCAGGTACTTCGTTTGCATCAGTAAGAGCCTGGATATCATCGGAAACCACTCGCTGAGTAGTTAACGGCCGCAGCAAAGGCGAGCTCGCAGTGCTGGAGGCACTCTGAGTAGGCCCCAAGATGAGGGTTTGGAACATAGGCATAAGTCTTTCTTCCTCCAAAAAGTTCTTCAGCTGGGAAACGTCCTCTTGAATCTGTGCGTTAACCGCACGCTGCTCCTGCAGCTCCTCGGCGAAGTGATTTATGTTGATGCGCTCGAACTTCTCGGTCACAATGCCCACTTTTTTGCTCAATTCGGCACATTTTTGGTTCATCGAAGTAATTTGATCGTCAAAATCATCGAGAGTTCTTCTCTTCAAAGTTCCAATGCGTGTCTCCATGAGTTCCATCTCCATGCGTAGATTCAGTTGAGATTTCATCATTTCAACTGTCATTTGACATTGCTTCTTGAGAAGGTCCGTATTGGTACGATTCAGATCCTCAATGGTTTTCATATGATATCTGAGCTGATCTCTAACCCAGTCTGCCAGGTCATCTGCCTTTTTGCCAATATTGGCAACCGAAGTATCACATTGACGTTGGATTGAGCCCATCATATCAACGATGTTGACAAGCTGTTCGGACACTGGTTCCGCCTGGGCATCGGCCGCGGTGGGTCTTTCTGTCAGGCCAGCTTTCTCCAAACGTTCCTTAAAAGAAGACATGTAGTCTTCACTGTCTTTGAACCATCCTGGAAATTGAGGAGTTTTGACGGTAATGTCAAAACATGGAGATGTGGGCTGCTTTCCATCATGTCTCTTCTTGGATTTAGGCTCCCGGAATTCAAGTGTAGAATTTGGTATGAACACATGCTTTTTCACAGGTGAATAACTTCTTGTGCTGAAAGAGTTGGAATCAGTAGTGGATGGAGTGCTTGGATCATTCTTATCCATCAACTTGTCATTAGCTGAAGGATATCTAGCCTGGGGTGATTTCACCGAGTGAGGAGCATGAATTCTGCTACCCATGCTAGAAAAGCTCTCTGTGTAACTAGGTGATTCAATGTTCAATTCCGATGGTCGTCTCTTTTCAACGTGAATCTCCTGTGGACAGGAAACGCAGGGAGAAACCACCACAGTACCATTCGAACTGGCACGCAGAGCTTCAATAGTCGGTGGGTTAGAGAAGCTAGGAGAAGCCAAAGGACTGCTCAGATTAGCACGCAGAGATTGGCATGTCGCCGGGTTAGAGGTTGTGGGAGAACCCATCGGAGTGTTGCTTGAAGAGGCACGAAGAGAGTAAGTTGTCTGTGGGCCAGATATTCCTGGTAAAACAACTGGACTGCAATCCAAATTGGCTCGAAGAGACCGAGTATAAGCGGTCTCAACAGGCAGAGGAGGAATTTCCTCTGCCTTAATAACTTCTTTCCGGAGATCCTTGAAGCTGAGTTTGCTCTTAAGCATGTCCATTCGTGATACCTTCTTCTCGCCATTATCTTCAAATCCAGAGCCATTATGGAGCGATGGCATAGTGGGAGAGCGCTTTCTCAAACGGCGAAGGTTATCACTAGATTTTCGTATAGTATCTGTTGATTTGTGGGGTTGAAAAGAGCAATCAACTGAGCTCCCGAGTTCAGGCGCGTGAAGAGGCTTTGGCATTGGGAGGGCCAGATGATCCTCAAAGTTGAGTTGGGTTAGCTTTTTAGTCATGCCTGGGCGTTTGCGATCACTGAAACCTGTGTAGAGTGTTAACAAATAAATAACTTCAGAATTCCATGGGAGGCTGAAGTTATGTACTCTTTTGCGATACATCGTCTTTCATAGCAGCAAAGGCGTTACCGACATTGCCCTCATGAACAGTGGTCGCATCCAAGCCAGAGAAATCACTAGTAGAAAGATTTCCAGCTTGTGCAAGCACAGGGGGTGTCATATCCACGTTGTAAATACGTCGACCAGCCTGTTTCTCTTCCATTGTGGAGAACACAGGGGATAACGTCAAACAGAAGTAACCGAACTTATTGTGAGCTGTGAATAAATAGAACAGAGCACAGCAAAAAATCTTAGTGGGGATCGATGAAAAAAATGGTGAGGGAGAGTAAAAAGAAGGTTGGATGTTGTGTTCGATGGACTGTGTTGAGACAACAAAACACGTCTTCGCGAACCACTCTGTCAAAAGGAATGACACATATAGCTAATAATACTTTTGTTTTTCTCTTTTTTCCATAATTCCATAGCACAAGACTAGAATATTGAAGTAATACCCAATTAATACCTAAGTATCTATGTAAGTGAAAGATAGGCATGTTCAATATGAATTGAGATAAAGGCTACCTCGAACAAGACGCTGAGAACTCTACATGACTTCAAACATATCATGTAAGTTTGCGTTCTTATGGATATAAGGTCTTCCACCAGTGTAAAACTCTGGCTTACTTCAATGTTGGAAGGTTCACCATAATGAAATATGATTGTACTTGATCATTGTTCCCGGTTTAATCGGCCCTTCTGTGTAAGTCCAAGTGTGATTTTTTACCTGGTACATTTCATGAACAGTTTTGAGCGCTTCCCAATCACTAGAAATCTATTTGAGATGCCAAGAAGCGAAGGTGACTTATACTTTCGATCAGATAAGATCGATCTATATGATCTGTACCGTGAAACACTAAATATCTCGGCATTATCGAGTCATATGATCTCAAGTCTGTACGTATTGATCGTCATTTTCTATCTCCTGCTGCAGTTGAATAAAATAAATTTTTATGGTTCCAATGTTGTCAACTCTCGTATGTGTACAGCGGTGTTATACTATGTCAGATGACTTATGTACTTCAAACCCCCCTCTTCTGTTGTTATTTTAGATTCTTTTAATACACGCCTTTAAAAGCAACAAGGCACATAAAAATTGGTCATTTCCAATTAGAATTTCCTTTCTCATATACGAGAGGGTTCTGTTCACCAACATAAAGATGTAAATGCTACTGTCCAAATACCAATCATACAGACATATGACAAAGCGGGTCATCCGAAATAGGAAGTTATATCCTTGACCGAACCTCGGTTCCCATGCCTCGGATGCCGCTGCTTATTTCATTCATGCTTGAAGCATGTGGACCTCGGGTTTTTATTGCTACTTATTTTCTTTGGAATAAAACTTCCTGAGAACCTTGTCTTCTCAACACTTTTGATGACTGTGGGAATATCTCTTTCTTCTCTTCCTCTCACATAATGGCAGACGAAAAGGCTCTTGATCCTGATGCTTTGGCGGGGGATGCCCATGTGGGGAATGAGAATCCACTAACCAAAAAGTTGGCGGCGCGACAACTCGCATTTTTATCAGCGATCGATGTGATCATCGCACGGTTGGACCGGTATGCTTTGCCTATGATTCTTAGACCTTAAACAAGGCTCCGATATCGCATTTGACTGGTTAATTGACTTGTCTAAGACTTCTTTCAACCGCATCCGGGCAAGAAAGAGCACTCGCAACAGTCGACTATGTTGCTTCGACATTACATCATCTCTGCGCATCAGCTCCATGGGCCAGCTTCCAAGCCCGGCTAGCTGTCCTGACACGACTCAAAGGTCGAGCAACACAACTTTCAACTCTACCCTCTTTAAAATCGCGATTCAAGGCGCTCGCTACACTCGTATCGGAGACTCGATATACCCTCCGCCTATTTGAACTAATTCCACTCTGGGTATGGGGATCCGAAACGCTCAAACATCCACCGTCTGATCCTATTATTCACGCCCTCACCATTCTACAAATCATCTCCAACGTCGTCTACCAGTTCCTCGAGAACGTGACATATCTAGCATCCAAGGGTGTGATCTCAAAACGATATATCAACAAGTACGGTGGCCATGATAAATTGGAGATCTGGAGCAATCGTGGGTGGTTCGGACATGTGTTTCTCCAATTCTTTGTGCTTTGGAGAGAACATGTCCTGCGCAAGCAACGTTTGGCGAAGCGTGCGGCAGCCGGTGATATCGACATCAAGTCGATCGAAACAGAAGAGACAGCCCTTCGTGTAGAGATTCGTTCATGGCGTAAACGTCTGTTGAACAACATCATTTGGACGCCTCTCTGTTTCCACTGGTGTTTTGAGGAGGGCGTGGGCATTCCAAGCAGCTTTTCTGGTCCTATCAGTTTCATGGCTGGCGCATGGACACTGTCTGATATGTGGGCCGCAACGGCCAATGCTTGATATCATTCAAGCCTGCATTATCGCCTATTCAATATTTAATTTCTGTCTAGACTTATCCAGCACAGCCGATACCCGATACTCTTAAAGTACAGCGAATACCAATTTCTACGTTTCCACTTTCAATATGTTGTTGAGATATAGTTCGAAGCTAGAGGCGAAGAGAGCAGAGCGAAGACAATCTCATAGAATCTGGAGTCTGGACATTTGTATCACGTAGAAACTAAGTCCAGACAACAATCCTGCCGTCATCTCAATAGACTATTTTCTTCCCATATCGACATGGGATATCTCTCAAACATAGTCCAAGCAATTGGCAACCCCAGAAATCACCAACCGATCTACATAGAGATAGACCCCACTGCCCCATCACATACCCCAAGAGGCAATCTATATCATGTCACCAGAAAAATACTAAGCGGCATGGACTTTATTCCATGTCGTACGATAGACTCTGAACTCCTACCAGAGTACGTCCCAGACACAAGACCGCTTATAGCAACTATACTACCTGAGGACTTAGACCACTTCGATGGATGCTATAAGGAGGCCCCGCTGCCACGGGTGCAGGTTACTCGTGTTGAGAAACCTTTGTTTACTGGTACGCTCCTCTATCGGTTTGATGATTAGCTAAAGGACTCTGAGAAGCTTGGGTTTGAGAAGGGGATTATGAAGCACTGATAGCCTCAGAGACTACATTTTCAGACGGGTATGTGGACATGATGTATCGAAATTACTGTTTTCTGATGCTCACTCTTCATAAATAGCCCGGCTTGCTACTTTCGAAGCACTCAGGAGCTTGTACGGGTTTATATCGTATGATCGTAGATAATCACAGCCTTGGACAGTGTTGCCTCAGGCACTATTATCACGTGAACATCAGTCCATATTTGACCTCGATATTCCGGGGAACGAATCTGTCTGTAGTCTATCCCTATCTTGGACTAGATCATGACGATCGGATATCGGAATCGAATATCCCAGATTCCTTTCTCTCAATCATTCTCCACTTTTCACCAAATTTTAGGCAGCTCCAAAGCCTTACTCGGATCTCTGCTTCCGAAGCTATGAACATCAGGCCATGTCCATCTCTCTGCCCCTGGTTCTCCTGAAGTGTGCCTGCCGGTACCCACTTCAGACACCTAAAGCTTGGAATTGGCTACTCCACATCAAGAAAGGCTGTGATTCTAACCTGAATAGGTAATATCAGTATACATGCTTACAGATCCAAAGATATCAGAATGGGAGCCCCTACTTGTGCTTTTCAAAGTCTAATCTGTTGTAATGTATTTAAATTCTGGTCAATATCACTTCAATTGCTCTTACATTACCAATCAAGTCTTTGTGAATTGAAATCGTGCCTTTTTCCCACTTCTCCACTCATTTCAAAATCAATCCATTTACCAACCGCATAAAATGGCACCTGCAGCACTCGAACGTGAAGATATCGAGCGTGATGCTTTGTTCAGCAAAGCTCTCCATGGCAAATCCTCCCAAGCTCGAGGTGGCTTCGCTGCCATGCGAGGCAAAGATGCTGCCGCCCAAAAGGCTGCCGTTGATGAGTATTTCAAGCACTGGGACAATCAAGCTGCTGCCGATGAGACTGATGAAACACGCGAGGTAATTGACACTGTCCCTTAGTCAAGGCTTCACGAAACTAAATCAATGCACTTTGATAGGCCCGGAAATCTGAATATGCCACACTGACCCGGCAGTGAGTATATCACAATGATCCAAGTGCTATACAAAGCTGATTATCTTCATAGCTACTACAACCTAGCCACTGATTTCTATGAAAACGGATGGGGCACATCGTTCCACTTCTGCCGTTTCGCATACGGGGAGCCATTCCTTCAAGCCATCGCCCGTCATGAACATTATCTTGCCTTTCAGACCGGTATCACCAGTAAAATGAAAGTGCTGGACGTCGGTTGCGGTGTTGGAGGGCCTGGACGGGCGATAGTCAACCTGACTGACGCCCACGTCACCGGGCTAAACAACAATGACTACCAAATCGAGCGCGCGAAATCCTATGCCGAAAAGCAAGGTCTGTCACATAAGATGGACTTCGTCAAGGGAGACTTCATGCAGATGAAGTTCCCGGAAAACAGCTTCGATGCAGTCTATGCTATCGAAGCTACCGTTCACGCCCCTGACCTGGCAGGTGTATACTCTGAGATCTTCCGCGTGCTGAAACCAGGGGGTAAATTCGGCGTTTATGAATGGCTTATGACAGATGAATATGATAATGATGATGCTGAACATCGTCGTATTCGTCTGGGTATTGAGCAGGGTAATGGAATTTCGAATATGGTCAAGATTTCTGATGGCCTGGCTGCTTTACACCAGGCAGGCTTCGATGTTTTGCATCACGAGGACTTGGCTGATCGGCCTGATACTGTTCCGTGGTATTACCCCATTGCAGGGTCGTTCCAACACATGGGTTCCCTCTGGGACTTGCTCACTATCGCTCGGATGACTTGGTGGGGACGTGGTCTTGCGCATCGATTTGTTGGAGCTGCTGAGAACATTGGCCTTTTCCCTCGCGGGTCTCAGAAAACTGCTGATAGCCTAGCGTTGGGAGCAGATAGTTTGGTTGAAGGTGCTGAGAAGAAGCTTTTCACTCCCATGTATTTGATGGTTGGCCGCAAGCCGGAATGAGAATTCGATGTATAGGTTAGGCTTCTTAGGCCCTTTCTGCTTTCTGCTTTATACTTCACAATCAACCAACTCGTGTCCAAAAGCAGCCCACCTATATTCCTCACTTCCCTCAGCTGCATACATGAGCATGTAAAAGCGTAATGCATGACGTTGTCGCCAATTCTATCGATGTGGAGACCAAGGCGTCTACAATTAGAGACTGCGTCCCACTTTTTTTTCATCTTTATCCAGAGGTTCATACTAGCAATTACTATACCAGGGATGAATTCAAATCGTAGGTACTATTGTGAACTGAAATGCTATCGTTTATTTCAATTTGCAGAACCAAAAGGTCGCTTTCAGTGATCACTACGGTTACTGCAGATGTGACGCTTTGCACTTTTTCAAACGATTTCGTCATTTGCTTACCCTATTTGTCCCTAGGTATTATTGCGTTTGTTTACTCCACTTATACATGCCTAGGTGAATACCTACAATTAATTATTCGCTGCCCAGGTGGATAATACCTCCAGGGTTGAAAATGATGTGGCCTTTCATTCCTGAAGTAGGACCTCGCACCACTAAATAGTTGCCAGACATAAATAAACAGTTGAATACGCTACTTAAGTATTCGGAGTTAGCGCAGTTTGTAATGCACTCCAGAAAATATCTTCACTTTTTTTCTAAAGAGGAAATGATCATGACTTCAGGATAGTCAACACTGAAGAGCTCAACCCACTTGCACTTCTGAATACGCCCTTACTCCCCTATGCATGGAATATTCCAATGAGCTTTGGAGAAAACGCAGAAATTTGAATCTACATACCTAGGGAGGCACAAAGAATATTTCGTCTCTACTCTCCAGAGCTATCATAAACCCACGACAAAAACCTCAAAAAGAAAACATCAAATCTGCACCTGGGCAGTTACCTCTCTTCTCTACCTGTAACCAACAAGGGCTATCAAGCAATGAAAAAAAGTATGAGAGTGATAAAATCACAATTTAGACATCAAAAATTCCCTAAGCCAAGAGAACAAAGCCAGGAGCAACCCCTATGGGTCTGCAACGATAGTTTTCGTCGCACGTAGATGGATCTCAGAATATCTTCACTGATACAAACACGGAAAAGTTAGAAAGGACAGTGGTCTTTAGACACTGACTAACCCCTAGCACTAAGGATGAAGAAGAAAAAAAGAAGAGGAAAAAAAGTGGGAACCACGCTCTGGTTATAGGCCACCGGGGCACAACGTTAAGACCAGTGCGGCGATGACCTCGCCGACGACATCATACGCTCGAGGTTTCGAAATTCGAACGTCATCAAGGCCTACGAGGTAGGACTAGACTTGGTATGCATCGACTAGGCTTTAGAAGCAAGTACCTTGTTATGACTAGATGCAAACATGTTGATATTGATTTAAAAGAAAAGACGGAGATCTTTATCCATGAAAGTATAAACAATTCAGGCTGATATCAAGAATCAAAGCAGATTGGGTATGGCCAAATAGCATGGAGACGAACATGATAGATACTCAGAAAAGAGATAATTTGCATATTAGTATGAATACACAAGGTAAGAAGTCATCAAACAGGAAGACATAAGGAACAGGAGGATGGGAAAATTCTCCAGGTAGAATTTGCTTATCCACGTCGAGAGGATCGTCGAGAAGGCAGGGAGATGGGCACTTGCTCTGCCTTGGCCATCTTTGATGATCTGCCAGTTCGCTTGGGAGCAGGGGATGAGTTTTCTTTTCCGCTGGTTTGCACATCATCTTCGGCCTGTTCTTCTTCGTTATCTTCTTCTGGTATCTCCTTATCTTCGTCTTCAACCTCATCTTCATCGTTAGCTTCCTCCTCTTCAGTCTCAGCATCGTCATTTTCATCCTCCATTTCTATATCGTCCTCATCACTGTCCCTATCAGCATAGCTGACTTTGTTTTGAACAGTGCCTCGACTGCTGCGTCGTCGAGCAGACGCAGTCGTCTTGTCGGTGGCATCGTCGTTACCATCACCATCTGAAGTCCAGCCATCATGGTCCTTGCGCTTGCGACGAGGAGTAGCTTTGGCAGGTGTACCCATAGATGACACGGACTTTCGGGGGATGCGTGCAGGCTTTTCCGTACGTGCCTTCTTAACAGGCGTTTTGCCATTGGCACCACCAAGTGACTCGGTCTTTCTTTTCTTGGCCGTACTGTGGTGGGTTTGAGGCTTCATGGCACTTCGAACAACACGGTCCAGCATATCGTCCAGCTCGTCAGGAAGGAAGTTCTTCTCCGCGGTCTCTTGAGCCTCTCGGTGATTTGGCATCGATGCGAAAATCTGCTTCGGTACACCGATTTTTCCCGGGTAGGTCTGCAGGATGCTTGTCCCTCCCCCAGGACCACCTAATTTGTGCTGTTGAGCGTAGATATCAGCGAAGCGCCGAATAGTCGCCTGTGCCAGGTCAGATAAAGTGTGGAGGCGAGTTGAGATCAAATCGGATTGTGTGATGCCATCACGGAATTGCTTGACGCGCTGCCCAACGTGGAAAATCAGCGAAAGATTATGCTCATTAGCCACTGCTGAGAGATAGTAGAGTATGTATTGTGAGAAGTCGCTGAGCCAGCCCAGTCTTGTCGACTCTTCCAGATCATCCGATGGGTAGTCAGGATGGTAGGCAAGCAGAGACAACAAACGGGAGAAGACCAGCTCCAGAGTTGTATTCTCTTCTAGCCGCTTTGAGGCCTGGGCTTGCCGAGAGTGGAAAGCAGCTCGGGATCGCAGCCATGTGAGAGTGTTGGCTTTCAGTTTGGCATTGGGCTCGAAAGCAAGAAGACACGGCACGGTGTACCAACGGGATCCCAGAGATGATGTTTGTACCAATTTCTTCTTAAGATGGTTAATGAAGCCGCTTCGCACGGGCAAGAGTGGATCTTGAGCAACCAAAGCGATTGAGTTAAAGTCCGCTGGACTCAGTAGTTGCTCGCACAATGAGCTGGAAGCGCATAGTTTGGTCAGAGACATAGCAGCCAGCAGACGCAGTCGTGATTTCTGAGCAGCTGGAGTATCTTTTTCCTTGGATATTTCGCCTTCATTGGCCACCAACTTATTAAGGGTATTGTATACTGACTCAGCATGCTCAGCATGCTCGCGCAATTCCTCATCACCGCCATCACCGTCCTTGGCGCGAAGACGATTAACCATAATCTTCAACGCCCATTCTTTGGCCTGTGTCTCTTCGTCAATCGTATCTGACCAAATGTACGCTGAGTCCTGCTCCGGTGAGCGGTTGGTAAGGAGAACTTCCTTGATCGCAATCGAAACAATGGAATCGCTCTCTTCTTCTGTCTCCCGCGGTGCGAGAAGGCACAATTGCGAGAGAGCGGCAAGACGAGTGAGGAAGTGATCCGAGCCGTATGTCCACTTCTTGACGCATTTTTTGACCAGGTCCTTGGCGTACATTTCTTTGCGATCAGTCGTCACCATCAAGATTGAGACGGCATGCTTTGCCGAGAGAGGCGAAGTGCTGTAGAGTGCGTAGTTCATAAGAGTTTGGTAGAAACTACGCTCCGTAGGAAGTTTTCCGGGAAGCTTCTTGGAAAACCCAGCGCAAGCCTTCAAGAGCTCTTCGTTGCCAGCATCGCCGCCGGATGTAGCGCTAGGAGCTTGTGCTTCAAGCTCTTTACACATCTCCTGCACCTGGGCTTCCAGAATTTCAGGGCTCTTGGATGAGATTTCTTTCAGCATCTCCTGAGCAGCGTTAGACAGCCCGTTCTCATCACTCCGAGATAAACCCATGATTGCTGGGATATGGCTGCGGTTGAAAATCAGAGAGCTGCAGCGGTACAAAAGAGGAGTCAACGTTGTAAGCAATGCGCCTGTGCTGTCATTATGTATACGTCGATGGAACTCTTTGATGGCATTGGTCACGGTACGATAATCACTGGAGGCGGAGATAGCGAAGCGAATCAGTTGATAGCTGCGTCGGTCATGGGCCTGGGCGAACTTCATCAAGTCCGCTACCGCGCGTGTGGGGTCTGGGAAAGTTCTCGACAATGAGTCAACGAGCTTCGAAAGCTGCTCTTTATTCTGCTTAGCCACCCCGCCCTGTAAGTAGTTAGCTTCTTGTACAAGGCTCGGATTGTCAAAAGCTGTGGGATTACTAACATTGTACTGCTCGCATGCCTGGAGATAGAGCGACACAGCTTTGGCCATGGACAGCTGACGAGCCAGCATTACAAAGAATACTCGCCGGGCCTTTTCATCCAAGCCACGAAGCAAGGTCAGAATTCGGCACACGCGAATCTTATCAACGTCAGTCTCTTCAGTCTCGGATACTTGGCTATCCTTCTGCTTTTGAAGCTGATTTGATCCTGTCCGACTGAGTTTGGACTTGATAGGGGGATAGGCGAGGGGTAAAAGCGTCTCATAAAGCACGCGGTCAATCAGGACATGAATTTCCTGGTCATTAGTATAGAAAGCATCGAAAATTTTCGACGGGATATCCTTCAGAAGAGACACGACAGGCTCAGTATTGTGCTCAATGTCTCCAGCCGCCACCGCCCACATACGTGCAAGGACCTTGATGGCGCGCTCACGCACCTGCGGTTTGCGGTCCTTAACCCGCTCTGCGAGAATAGCGAAAATTGAGTCTGGTGACGAACAGGGGCCGTTCCTACTCAGTTTGTGAACAATATGGGAGAACCCAAACTGTCCCACGGTATCCACTGCGGCGACACGGACTTTCTCATCTGCATCTTGAAGGAGTATGGCAAGGCTTTGCACAAGCCACTTCTCATCATCCGCGCTCAACCCACAGCCTCCTGCAGAAGTAAAAATGATTCGACCAACGACAGTAGCCCAGGCAGCACGAACCGAAGGAGTTTTGTCGAGTCTTCGGCTCAAGAAGGCATCGTATGCGGAGGAATGCACCTGAGAAAAGGGCTTTGGAGATATCGGCGCGCGAAGGGCATTGGGTTGTATCAATTTTTGCTCATATTCTTTTAAAGTCATAGGCGGATACGTCGCGGGGTCCATGGGTGGTGGTGGAGGAGGGCCAGCAATACCAATACCAGCTGAAATATCACCAATCGTCTGAGTAGCCAACAGACGTAGGGCAACCGATTCCGCAGACAATTCGGCCTCAACCTGTGGAATGACATTTTGTAGAACATCTGGACAAGCACGCCAAAGCTCGCGAATGAGTCGATGGGCTTTGCTCAATTCCTTAATATCCTCTCCCTCTGCGTCAGAATCGTCCAGATTGGATTTGCGGGAGCCGTGTTTGGAACCGTTCGCATTAGTTGGGGCGGAGGCATCGATGATGACGTTGTTGAAATACTGGCTGATGTGACTGGTCATTCGCTCTGGACAGGCCAGGCAAATAGACTTGGCCATATTGTAGGCCGGCGGGTAGTCCTTCAAAAGAAGGGTTTCCTGTTTCGCATCGACTAGTGCCTCCACGCGCTTCCCCTTGCTATCGAGCACTCTAGCGTCGACACGCAAGAATTGGGCCACGATGGTGTCAACAACCTCTGGTGCCAAGACGGGTGTTTCGTCAATTACTGTGACCAGTAGCCGAGTCATGTCAAATTCTACATTTTTAGCCACCTCTTCGCCCGTTGAAGCCTTAGAGGACCCGGAGACAATATCAAAGCAAGTCGAGAATAGCGGAACTATCAGCGAGTCCGGATGATCCAGATCTGTCATTAAAACAATACTCTTAACCTCAGCGAGCGATCCCAAGACATAGATATGTTGGGCATTGTAGGCGTTGGAAGGATCGGCCAGTGCGGGGATAATCGAAGTCACGATACATGCAAAGATGTCCTGAAAGCGGGCTGAGTCAGTATATTCTGCAATCGCCTGAAATTTATGATAAATAGACAACGTACCTTGAGCTTATTCCGTGTAAATGGCGCGTCCGGTGCACACAGTCGCAAGACATCGACCAAACAGCATGCGGCCCAGGCCCGGACACCTTTGTCCTTGTGGGCCAGTAATTGCGCACTGGCAAGCTCCTGCGAGACCTTTTGCAGAGATTCCTTATCCACTTCCTCTTGTTCAATCTTGCGCAATTCTTGGGCGAGAACCTGGAGTCGTGTGAGGAGATCGGCAATGGGGATAGCAGACCGCCCCACGCGCCATGACAACGGCTGGTTGAAGGACAGGCAGCGAAGTCCAGTCTCATCCTCAGGCTCCTGGGTAGGGCCTTGGCGAGTGCGCGAAGGCATGATGAGGGAGGAGATTGGAAAAAGGATCAAGCTCACATGAAAAACGTGAGGAGGAGAGTTGAGAATTGACGCGGTACAAAAAGGGTTTAGGTGCTCCAGAGTGGAGATTGACCGCTTTTATTAGTAGGTACGCGTCAACATCGCGCCTACTTGCCCATGAGAAGTTGAATCCACCCGTTAGTGCTCTTTTTATATTCCAGGGTCTTCATCCAGAGCTGCTGAAGTAACCTTGAAGATATTCAAAATAACCATCCATGGCTTTTTTTTTTTTTTTCATCTATGGGTCGTTTATCGATTGATTACCTAGTTGTAAACCCTCAAAAACCCCCGTAACACTACCTATGTCTAACTAGATATGATCTGCATCTTCCTATAGATGCAGAATTAAACTGCTTACTACCCAGTTACCTAAAAAATTTTCTTATGCTAAGCCTATCCATAGCTCTCACGGCTAGCTCAATAGCCCCACTATTAGTGCTGCTGAACCGTGATACACTGGCGCAGCATCTGCTGTAAATCTTTCAATGTCCTCTATAACTACGGTATTCACTGCCATTCTGATGACTCTTGTTGTAATTTTGTGAATCGTATAAGCTTGGAGTACTACGACTGCCGGACTTAAAGCTAGTATTTCTGATCAGTTGGACGACCATTTCAATGTATAAAACTCATGTATAAAAGCATAGATATTAATAGGCAACCTTATGATCATCAATATTCATACCTTCTAGGTAGGTATCTTCTTTAAAGAGGTCTTCCAATGTTTCAGAGTCAGGGTGGACAATATCAGCCCTGGAAAGGATTTCGTTTCTTTGATAATTTCTTGATTGGTTTACGGCAGACTCAGCACTCGTTAGAAGTTGAAACTCGACAACTTGCGCCACCTGGGTAGCGTCTTATAGTCCACCAGTAGCTGAGTCTGCAAATCCATTGAGAACAAGTGCTTTTTGGTGTCTGACGTACTAAGTACGTGGAAGAAGCGCACTCTAGGCCGTCATCTCAAATTGAGCCAAAAGACAACTGTAACCTCACTGAAGTGAGATTGAGATATTGTAGTAGCTGACAGAACCCTAAACCAATGCAAACAGATCAAACATAAGCAAACTAAATAAATGACGAAATAATTAGTCTCAGAACCCTAAATCAATGCAAACAGACCAAACATAAGCAAACTAAAGAAATGATGAAATAATTAGTAGCTGAGTTTCAGAATCCTAAACCAATACAAACAGATCAAACATAAACAAAATGAATATGACGTCCGACGGATTCACGCTCGGAGCCCGCTTATATCATCAGAATCCGCTTACATCATCATGAAGTTCTTCAAAATTTGATTTGATTGGTTCCTATTTGCCGTGGACGAAACGTGTAATTAAGCTCGGCCCACATTTGTTATCTCGTTCTATATCAACTACTAACTAGTCGCCACATAGTTGAAGAACTTCTGTTGTTACTCTTCAGTGTCAAAATAACATTGAATTCTATTTTTCAGATGTAGTAAGACTGTAACTCTGATAACTTAAGTCAGGAGCTTGAGCTCGACATAGTCTTGATGATATTTGTCAGGTTTACGATCTTTGTCGCGCCATTCGGGCCTTCGGTCTTATCATTAGCGCGCAAATTCGGATTTTACGGGATTTACTGTTATCCGTTTCCGAGGCGCGACTTCGTAGCAAGCTTGAATTTCAGATTATTATATAGAAAAATATTATCATACTTACTGCAGAACTAGATTGCTTAAATAGTCACCAATCCCTCCGTGGTTGCAGAAAAAGTACTATACTCGATTCACTAAACCGTTAAGGCTTTACAGTATACTTCCAAGGTTTCTACGTTTCTTTACCCTATAATTCGGTGACTTAACCATGAGTTTCCAACCAGAGCCAGTCTCATCAGCATATCGTCAAAGTATGGAGGAAATCGAAAAAGTCCCCGAGGCTGGGGGACCTACTGAAGACTATGAGAAGGACGCAGAAGCCGTTCAAAGCGCATCCCACGATGAAACCGACGTCGAAAGCCAAAGAGCACCACAAACTCTACAATCTCCACAACTTACAACTGAGAAATCTGCGAAAGATCCCAACCTTGTCGAGTGGGATGGTCCCGATGATCCAGAGAATCCTCAGAATTTCTCCAAATCTCGCAAATGGCTTATAACTGTGACCATGTCCTCGATGACTATGTGGATCACCTTCGCTAGCAGTGTGTTCTCAACAGCTACTGAAGTGACTGCTGAGGAGTTCCATGTATCAAGTGAAGTTATGATTTTGGGTACCAGCCTGACAGTTTTTGGATTTGCATTAGGTCCTCTTCTCTGGGCACCTATGAGCGAGTTATACGGACGTCGACTGCCGCTATTCGCTGGTTATACCATGTTCGCCATTTTTCAGATCCCTGTCGCCGTGGCCCAGAATATAGAGACGATAATGATCTGCCGCTTTCTAATAGGCGTCCTTGGTTGTTCGCCTTTAGCCGTTGTTGGTGGCGCTATGGTTGATCTGTGGGACCCCATAGAGCGTGCCGTTGCTATCGCCATGTTCAGCTCTGCTACTTTCCTCGGTCCTACCCTTGGTCCTATCATGTGAGTTATATACCAAACCCCATTGAAATACACTGAAGCTAACGTCAATCAAGTGGTGGATTTATCACAGAATCCTATCTAGGGTGGCGCTGGACCGCTTGGATCACCCTCATCGCATCTTCATTCTTCGGCCTCTGCGCCCTCATCATCGTGCCAGAGACATATGCCCCGAAACTCTTACAAGATCGTGCCGCCAGACTGCGCAAGGAGACCAAGAACTGGGCGTACCACTCCTTCCTCGACGAACACAAGCCTACTTTTGGAGAGATTATCCAGAAGTATCTGACGCGCCCCCTTCAGATGCTTTTCTTGGAACCTATCCTGCTCTGTTTGACCATCTACCTGGCCCTAGTTTATGGCATACTCTACCTTTTCTTCGAGGCTTATCCTATTTCATTCGGCCAAGTTCGCGGCTGGGAAGACGCAGGCATCGCCGCCCTCCCCTTCCTCGGTATCATGATCGGTGTCATACTGGGTGCAGCCTTCATCATCATCACAACCAAGACTCGATTTGCGCGCAAACTCAAGAAACATGGCAAGGTCGTCCCTGAAGAGCGTCTCATTCCAATGATGGTCGCCTCGGTTCTTCTACCTATCGGTCTGTTCTGGTTCGGCTGGACATCTAAAAAATCCATCTCCTGGGTACCACAGGTCATAGCTGGTATCCCAATTGGAATGGGCATCTTGGTCATTTTCATGCAGGGCCTTAATTACATCATTGACGTCTATATGATGTTTGCCAACTCTGCCATCGCTGCTAATACCCTCATCCGTTCAGTGCTTGGTGGCGCTTTCCCACTCTTCGCTACACAGATGTATGAAAATCTTGGCGTTGATTGGGCATCCAGTGTGCTTGGTTTTATTACCATTGCTATGATTCCTATTCCCATCTTGTTCTTTTTCTATGGGGCTAGGATCCGTGCCATGAGTCGCTTTACTCCGAAGTTTTGATCTGTTATGTCCTGGCTTAAATAAAATAGTTAGGTGCTGCTGATGTAGAGATTTCTACTATCGCAGTCAAGCACCTGACTGAGTATCTCTTCTAAATGTTTTGATTCGTTTTGATTCGTTTTGATTTGATTTTTGAAGGTTATCTTTTGAATTGCGCTGCGTGATATCGAACCCGATTTTGGACGTTGGAGTATAAGGCTGTTCTCTAAATAATTAATTTAATTTATTACGATGCAAACACATTCCTTCTTACCTTCATAATTCGGAATCCTATCACAGATTTGGAAGACCAACTTGGATAGTGGGATGGGGGAGGAAGTCTTATCCGACATTGTGCCGGAGTAAACAAAGCTGCGGAATCCATGGACCAGGTGCTACATATGATAGCTTAGAATTACAAACTATTACCAAAGCGAGATTGGATGTAGAAATTCTTCACTTGCATCAGTTACTACCTATGTAGATATGTAGAGCACATTCTATGAGAACAAACAATAAAAAGAACATAAATTATTCGAATACGAATTTCAGACCAGTCCAGCTCCGCACTCGAAAAGATAATCAAAGTCGTTCCGAGAACGGAGTACTGGGCAGGCCCTCCCTAAAATAAAATAGCGAGAACAAATATTTAAAAAAAAAACCCATTTAGTCGTAGAGGCTGTCATCATTGCCGGCCTCGCCGAAAGTGCCGGTCTGAACCTCCCCGGCGGAGGGGAAGCGGAAGAAGCTGCTACCACCAGAGTTCTTCAAGCTTTGAGCAAAGGCCTCGTAGCGGCGGATCTCGATGTCACTGACTGAGCGGCGAGCAGACTGCATGGCCTCCTCGAAGTGAGCACGAGTCAACTCAGGGACGGGGTCCTCCACATCATCTTCGTCCTCTCCCATGGTGACATCCTCGCCAGCAGCCTCGCGGGCCTTGAGACGATCGATATCAGCAGTTATGGCCTCTTTGATAGCAAGCTTGACAGCACGTTGGGTGATGAAGCCAAGATCGGCACCGGAGAAGCCGTGAGTCTTGCCAGCAATAAAGGGAATATCTACATCGTCGGCTACAGGGGTCTTGCGAAGTTGGGCACGTAGGATACCCTCACGCGAAGCCTCGTCGGGCAGGGGAACGTAAACCAGAGTGTCAAGACGGCCAGGACGGACGAGAGCGGCATCCAACTGTTCAGGACGGTTGGTAGCACCAATGACGAAAACGTTCTTCTTGGAGGTCATACCATCCATCTCTGTATAAATTTGTTAGTAGTTTCCAAGAAAATAATAGATTGCAACGCTTGCTTACCTGTCAGAAGTTGATTCACAACACGGTCGGAGGCACCGCCGGCATCACCAACGGAGCCACCACGGGACTTTGCAATAGAGTCTAACTCGTCGAGGAAGACGACGCAAGGGGCGGCGGCACGAGCCTTATCGAAGATGTCACGGATGTTGCTCTCGGATTCACCGAACCACATACTCAGAAGCTCAGGGCCTTTAACGGAGATGAAGTTGGCAGCACACTCGTTGGCGACAGCCTTGGCCAACATGGTCTTACCAGTACCAGGAGGGCCATAGAACAGAACACCGCGGGAAGGTGAGAGACCAAACTTCTGGAACATCTCGGGGTGGTCCACAGGGTACTGGACACTCTCGACAAGCTCCCGCTTGACCTCTTCCAAACCACCAATATCGTCCCAGCGGACATTGGGGACTTCGACAACGGCAACCTCGCGGAGAGCGGAGGGGTTGGAAACACCCAGAGCATACCGGAAGTTTTCCATGGTGACGCCAAGGGAGTCCAGGACCTCGGCGTCAATGGTATCTTCGTCAAGATCGATCAGGTCCATCTTCTCACGGATCTGCTGCATAGCGGCCTCAGAGCACAGCGAGGCCAGATCAGAACCGACGTAACCGTGAGTCTCAGCGGCGATGGTCTCAAGATCAACGTCGTCACCAAGCTTCATGTTCTTGGTGTGAATCTGCATGATCTCCAGACGGCCAGTCGGGTCAGGAATGCCAATGTCGACCTCACGATCGAAACGACCAAAACGGCGGAGAGCGGGGTCAATAGAGTTGGGGCGGTTAGTGGCAGCCATGACCACAACGTTGGAACGGGCCTTCATGCCGTCCATGAGGGTCAAAAGCTGAGAGACGACACGGCGCTCGACCTCACCGTTGGTCTTGTCACGCTTGGGGGCGATGGAATCAATCTCATCAATGAAGATGATGGCGGGAGAGTTCTTCTCGGCCTCCTCGAATGCCTTGCGCAGGTTCGATTCGGACTCACCGGCCATCTTGGACATGATCTCAGGGCCGTTGATAAGGAAGAAGAATGCACCAGTCTCATTAGCAACGGCACGGGCCATCAGGGTCTTACCAGTACCCGGGGGACCATACATGAGGATACCACGAGGGGGCTTAATACCGATGGACTTGAAAAGTTGAGGATGGCGAAGGGGCAGCTCGACCAACTCACGGATCTGGGCCATCTGTTTGCGACATCCACCAATGTCATCGTATCCAACCTCATTCAGGTTACCCTCCTCATCCTCACGCTGAATCGGTTCACCTTCGCAGTGGATAACTGTGTCTTGTGCAACAATGCCATATTCCGGAGGATCAACCTCAACAACCTTAAATTCCACCTGTCGCATACCGCCTCGTACGGTGAAGAGATCACCCTGTCGAACCGGACGGTATGCCTCACGGAAATAGGGAGCGAGGAAGACATCAAAGAGGGAGCCAGTTAGGCCTTCAACAGTATCGGCAATGGGAAGAACGGCGATCCGCTTGGCCTGAGCGATGGGAGATAAGAAATTAGTTCATGCGAGAGAGGAAATTGAGGTTATAATAAATACATACGTATTTGATATCAGAGCAGGCGTGGACAGTAATGACATCGCCGTGCTTGACACGGAGGTTGTGGCGCACCACACGGTTGATGCGAGCGTTTCCATCCTCCAGGTCATCATCAGCCAAGACGATCAAAACAGTATCCTTGCGCTTCTTGCCCTTGACCAGAACAGTATCGCCACGGAAGAGCTGAAGAGTTTCCATGGTGTTGTTCGAAAGGGCAATAACGGAGTTATCATCGTTGACGGCATCGGTCACACTATTGATGAGCTGTCAACTTTCATCCCAAATGTGACGATTACCAAGGAAGATTCTTACATCAAAGAGTTGGGCTTCTTCTTCTTTTTGAGAATAGCGGTGGCAGTATCAAGCTCCTAAGTCACGTCAGTTCCGGTGCGTTGCAAGCTGTATTCGGGAGTTTCTAACCTCTTTCTTCTCCGCACCAGAGGCATCCCTAAGATATGTTAGCTGGAAGAAAGGATGAAGTTTGTTTCTAATAGAAGGAACTCACTGAAGATGGACTCTCTTCTTGTCGTGAGAGTGGTCCGGTTCAGCTGACATGATGAGCGGAGCTGTGACGTTGAGATGGGGAAGAAAGGTAATTGGGCAGAATATGAAATAGAGCAGAAGAAAAAACAATGGAGGTGGTGGGAAGACGTTTGATAAAAAACCGGCAGATCAAAGTTTGAGAGATCTGACGGTGATGAGGGAGGGTGAAGGTGGGATGGGGATGGGTTACTGAAGAGCTTCATATGTTTGTCTCGGCGGCGACGATAACACGATGACCTAAGCATTTGTTATGTCAGCGACTTTGTTGTCCGCCACAACGAACCCAATGGAACTTGGTCGACTTTGGTGCCTTGATGCCTTAAGTGCCTTAACCTCAAAGCCCTAATGCCTTCCAATTCAGTGACCATATGTAGACAAAAATGAAATCATTCAGATAGCAAATCATCTATTCTGTCTTGATGAAATACAACACATTTACAAATAGCTCTGGAAAGGCCTGATCTAGAGTCTATAAGTCTACCACTTTGGACAAGCTCTACTGTGACTAGCTACTTAAGTGCGTCGTAAACCCACAGTTCCATGTGGTGGATGGCTGGCAGTTGGGACGGTACCTTCAGTGGAAGGTATATCAAGTTTCAAAGTGTTGAGTGAGGGAAAACACTCCGAGTGAAATTTGCAATTGGACATCACTTGAGATATCAAGGTTGATGTTGAACTTGAGTCAAACCTTGAAAGGCCAACTCCGCATTCGATAATGAATGTTTGAAGGACAGACTGTCTTCTTTAAGCATCTCTCTTCCTCTCTATCGTTTGAACTCCCATGAGAATTTACTCTGCCACTTCTTGGCGTTCCCCTTCTATATTAACGCTCACTCCCTCGCTGTTTTTGCTCACTGAGTAGAACTGAGCAGCCCCTTGGGAGTGTACAGACGGAGACTCCAACTTTCCTCTAACAGTGAAAATTTTTAAATCCAGTCTGGTCTCTCCTTATAAAACAACTTCTTGGGAGGCTCTCTGTTTGGCTGAAGATAAGAGACGAGTAATATACTTGTAGAGGGCTGCTTTCAACTACTGTTCTAAAATATCGAATGAAACTAGAGGTGTCTCTTGAGCCCTAAGGGAACAACTTATGAGGTTTTCTTTCCTATTAAAGTTGGCTTTTTTAACAGAAGAGATAATTCTATTTTATACAAATTTGTATATACCTAAATCAATATCTCAACCTTGGAAGCTTTTGTATCGCTTGGATACCATTTTAAACACTCCCTAAAATACTGAAGGCCTTAAGCTAGTGAAGAGATATCTGCTGTAGAAAAACATCGACATAACCTCTCTTATTGATGCTATGTTCATAGGCTCTAGTGTACTCACTGCTTTGAAAATTGACCACCCAATATGTACATATATATTCCGCAGCTGCTTGTGGATTTCGGCTAGGTTTCCTCCAGTATACTAGAATAGAAAGCTCCGTGGAATGTTTGAAAAAGATAGAAAAAGAAGATTATAGCTCTGGGTATGATGGCAGTAGTTATTCCCCACGTACAGATTAAAGGTTTGAGCAATACACTACATTATGAAAATTCTATTCATCTGTAGTCGTTGATCCCACTGATTGGCTCAACCCAACAGCTAACCGGGCCTTACATACGTTACATAAATTATACTTAATTTCAGACCCTCGCTACACGAGGGTCCGCCACCCAAATGGACTATTTTTCTAAATTCCTACAACCACCACATTTTTAACCACCACTCCACTAAATATGCCTTCAGATAATAAAGACATTGAAGATCGGATTACTAAAGCCCTCGAATCCCTCCATACTCAATCAAAACCAAATATCACGAAAACTGCACAAGAATTCGCGGTTCCTCGCGGTCGGCTTCATCGGCGTTGGCATGGTGGAAAATCACTATTTAAACAACAACCCAATGGTCGTAAGCTTAATTCTGCTCAGGAATTAGCTCTTTGCGAATACATCAACTACTTTGATAAGGCAGGAGTATCAATTAGTCGCGGACAAATTGAAATTGCAGCCAATTCAATTCTTGAAGAGGCCCATAACAACCCAACAACAAATCCACCACAAATCGGCGACCATTGGTTAAAACGCTTCCTTAAACGTCATCCTGAATAACATCGTCGACGCTGACAGGCAATTGATGTTGAGCTAAGCCTTGCTCTTGATAAAACTATGGTTGAGCGATGGTTTCAAGACTATGAGCGTGTCATCATAGAGCATGGTATCTGTCAACAGGATATCTATAATTTTGATGAGACTAGCTTCCAAATTGGTGTTGGAAGAGACCAATGGATCATTACAAGAGAGCCAAAGAAGAAGTTATTCAATGGTTCTGTCACCAATCGCGAATCTGTTACCTGCTTAGAGGCTGTCTCAGCTGATGGATTTGCTTGCCCACCACTTATTATCTTAAGCGCGAAGCAGGCTTTATTACGTTGGTTTGACAGAATTCAAGATGAGCGTACTGCTATCGCTATTACTGATACTGGCTATATCAATGATCAGCTAGCATACCAATGGAATCAATTATTCCATAAATGGACTATTGGTCGTACAATTGGTAAGAATTTCTCTCTTATCCTATATCTATACCTATATTATAGTATATACTAATACTTATTATATATTTATAGGTAAAAAACGCCTTATTTTATGTGATCAATTTGGATCTCATCTTACAAGGCAATTCATTAAGTTTTGCGAGGACCATGATATTATCCTCTTCTTTTTACTTGCACATACTAGTCATATACTTCAGCCACTTGATGTTGGTGTCTTTAGTGTCTATAAACACTGGCATAGCCAGGCTATTGAAGCTGCAACAGTCACCGGATGTCAAAAGTTTACAAAAGATGAATTCCTCTATTCTATCGCCGAAATCCGACAAAAAACCTTTCGTCCTCAAACAATCAAGCTTGGTTTTAGGTTAACAGGTCTTTGGCCTATTAACTCAAAGCTAACCACAGAGGATTTACCATCATATAATCCATATAGTGATGATCAACGACAACAACAACATACTCCATCAATATGCTCCTTACAGGATACTATTTTTAGTACTCCGAAAACCGCTGAAAAGGTTAGGAAAATAAATGGTCAGATGAATAAATATAGTCCTAGCTCTCTACGCTTTCAACAAGCGCTAGATAAGCTTCAAAAGGGGGGGCTGAAGCTCAGGCTACTCTAGCCATGGAATTACAGCGGGAATTTGACAACATAAAAGCTATTATGGAAGCACGCCATGCCCGATATAGTGCTTCTCGTCGTTATACAAGGATCACGGGTATCATTACTTCTAATCAAGTCAAAAACATGAAGCTAAAAGAGTATAAGCTTAATGAAAAAGCTCATCAAGATAAGATACGACGGAAGTGGAAGAAGGTATTGGTTGAGATTAGGAAGCATGGAAGGTCGAAAAAAAAGCTTAAAAAATAATTCTGTTTGGTTTCAACTATAGTTTAGTCTCTAATTCATACTATTTTTATATGAAATATATATATATTTAGTGGAGTGGTGGTTAGAAATGTGGTGGTTGTAGGAATTTAGAAAAATAGTCCATTTGGGTGATCCAGTCCATTTGGGTGATCCAGTCCATTTGGGTGGCGGACCCTCGTGTAGCGAGGGTCTGAAATTAAGTGTAATTTATGTAACGTATGTAAGGCCCGGTTAATGGTATTACAACAAAAGTGAACTTCCTCCTTCCACAGCCACCAAAGAACGAAAAAAATATAAAATAAAATAAAGCAGTATGGATGGAGGGTAAAAAACCATCATAAAAGAATAAATTAGTTACCCATGAAGGTTAGGCATAGAGTATAGTAACCTTGGAATACTGAATTTCCCGAGGCCTATTTCTATTTACTTAGTAGTATGTCTTCAAACTTCGGAGTAATGCCCTAAAATTCTCTTGTCCAAAGTGGGCTTCAGATTCTATTTCCCATTTACCAATTTACTGTTGTCCGTCTACAGTCATTCGTATTCTTACAAGGAACTAAACCCCTCAACATTCGGGGTTCCATACACTAGCCTGTACACCAACTAGCCATGGTACGTATCATGGACAACTACAGAGTATTATCGACGTCCAAGCCCAATTAGATTATGGTGGCCCTAAGGCGTGTCACTAAGCGTCGACGTTAATTCCTGATTAAATAGTGATTGATGGAACTAGCGCCACCTCGGTGGATCAACCGATCCTGTAATGCTTCGCTGTTGATGCCACGCGCCTACCTAGTCATTACGAACATGGGACGACACAATGACAGTGATATCTGTCCGAATATGGGAAGTCGGAATCATCCTTTCTGATTGAATGATTCCACCAGCGACTCCCATTGGACACAGCCTCCCAAATGAGTGGGACAGAGGTCTTCTTTAGTTTCAGTTAGCAGTAGTAGAATCTACACTTCACATCATCTCTACAACTGCAGTTCTTACGAATACACGTGTAAAGGAAGTCACCCATATCTTACGACAATATCCACTGGCTGAGCTTGATATTTCTTGTTCTCAGATCAGGATCAAGGGAGGTGACTTTAAATTGGCACTTCAGGGCTGCTTGTAAATATTGACAAACGTGACAACAACCACCTCCCTAAAGTGAATTTTGTAATCAATCCTGCTACCCATGTAGTTGTTACCTATGGACTTTGACAGAAATATCCACAAACGGCTTCTCTCTCTCGCCTTGGAAATTATTCGATTCGATCTGCTCCACATACTCAAGGAGATCCTGTAAAACCAGAAGTCTACGAAAGTGAAGTTAAGATGAAAGAGACTGAGATGTGGTATTGGAACTAGTTGGAGATAAGAATAAAAGAGATGAAGGTAGGATTGTAGAAAGAATACAAGCTATTGGAAAGAAGAGTGTTATGCCAGGATATCAATCCATCTCTCTCATTACGCAGATACAGCGCTATCATCACGGCATCAAAAGATCCAATACCTTATTGGGGAGGCCGGCTGACAAGAGATGAAGAAGTAGCACCTAGGGCTGGGCTGGCGCTTGCTGAAGTCACTCCCCTATGGGCTGGGCTACCAATATTTGGGTTTGAGGGAGCGCCACCTGTCTTGACAATCCGCTCATCGACCCGCTCCTTGTGTTGACGGTTGCGAAGATGAACCTCAAAGTTGTCGACTGTCATACCAGGTCCGGGTGTGTAGAGCTTGCCGGGGCAGTCGTGGCAGCGAATTCGAGGCAAGTACTGGTATTTGATCGTATGGCCAGACTGCATGTTGTTGGGGTTCGTTACAGGGGCCAAAGTTTCCATATCCACTGCTGAATAACGCATTACTCCCTCAAACGAATCATTAGGGTGGGCTTGCTTCAACCGTTGAAGACCAGCCACAAGCCATGAAGGCGGTGGGGGCTGTTTACGAACATGAGGGGTCAGCCAGGACCAAATTTTATTTGAAAATTAGAATCTACTCACACCAGGTACACCAGGCTGGGGAGGTTTTGGTGCATCGACAGCTCCTGTTTGTTGAGGGCGCGGCGGCGCATGCACATGTTGTCGGGATTGCTGGGCCAATGGGGGTGCCATAGGATTACCAGTTTGTTGTGTCGGATAAATACGCCGTCCGTTTCGTAGAGCATGCAATTTGTCTCGCGGAAGCTTGAGCTTCACAATCAAAGTGCCAACCTCTTCTACGCTTTCCTCTCGATATTGTTGTCGTCGGGTGGACGCTCGGGGTTCATAAACTGGTTCCGGAGTCGCAGACTGTCCCAGGCTTGCTCGCAATGCTGCATGGGCAGCTGTAGCGGCACCTCGTTGCATACCTCTGGTGCGAGCCGTACCCTGAGCCAGATAAGGTCCAATGGCTGGTGACCCTTCGTCCGAGTCATCGCTATCAAATTCATCGGAATCATCGTCACGAGTTCCAGCCATTCCCCGGCGACGACCAGTACCCGAACGCTTGGTTACATTGCTTTCCTCAATAGAGCCTGCTGAGTTCGGGATGACAGATGAAACGATTAGTGTGCGGATAGTGCGTTGACGATCCTTCAGGTCTGGCAAGGCAGGACCACCACGACGGTTGATAGATCGCTTCTGTCGACGTTGTTCTCGAGATATCGAAATCTCAGTGCGTTCAAGGTCTGCCTCATTCAATTCGTAAAGATATGGCGTATGTTCCTTGGCGGATTGGTACGGTCGGAAGGCGGATGATACGGGAGTTGGTAGGAAGGAAGCGCTAAGATCAGGGTCTTCGATGGGGCGACCATCGAACGGATGAGCGACGATGTAAAGCGACTTGGTGAAGAGTTGCGATTGTTCGCGGATTGAATGGGCTATAGCGGTAGTAAACTCGCCAGAAAGAGATAGGTCGTCGGTCATGCGCATGGCAAACTCCTCTGGAGAATTCTGTGGGTCGTTGATGTCCCACTCAAATTGATCAATCAGGGTGTGTTGGCCAATGGTGATATTCAGCTTAATCAGAATACGCATTTCATCGTTCCTGTATGCAAAATATGGGAGCTGTGGATCAAGAGCCTCCTCCTGCATAAATATTTGGGGATAGTAGTCCATCAACTGTTCTTGGATACTCTGCGAGATTTGACGCATCAACGGACCAGATGTCTCTAAAGCAAGCCCCAAGTCTTCAACAAGCTTTTCAGCAAACAGATCTGGCGAGATAACACGATCATGCAGGTTCCAGGTGAAGGTATCTCGAATTTTAACTTTCTCCCAGTCGATGTCGAGTCGAATCGGTACAAGATCTTCCATCTGCTCACTCTGCACTTTCATGTCTCGACGTGAAACCCGCAATTCTCGCGTTTTCCGGTTTCCGGGCCGACGTCGGTTGGATGGGTATAGTAGCTGAGGGTGCGGAGTACGCAAGTCCGTACGTTGGTTTCCAAAACCTTCGTAGCCCAGACCATGCAACGCAGCTGGATTTATCTGATGCTCGCGGCGAAGCTGGAAATAGAAATCGCGCTCTGCTCGTTTCTCTTGCTGTAGTTCTTTGCTTTGGTTGTTCAAGGCAATTGCGGCTGAATAGTCGAATTCGCGGTTGAGATACTGTTCTAGAAGAACTTTTTGCAGTGGTGTTTCGCGCGTACGAAGCGCCATAGATCCAGATACATCACTCGATTGAATCACAGAGCCATCACGCGATCGTTTCCTGCTGTGTCCAGACCCAGATCCATCTGTACCATTCGAATTGAGAATACCATTGGCATCATTTGGATCTACCAATGAAGCAGAGATCCCCGATTCTGTAAACATGGCTTTGTGATCGTCATTGGATGAGTGGTCAGAATCGATAAAGTCTGCACCAACAGCCTCAGAAACGCCAAAGCCATTTTGAATACCAGAATGAGAAGATGCGGGAGACTGATCAAATGGCAGCGAGGCCCCTGCCATATTCGGCGATGTCATTATCAAGTAATTTGTGAAAAGGTTAGGCGATAAAATAGATTCGCTATTCGGTGGGAAGTGAATTGCTTTCGACGCGACGGAGATGGTTGTAGGACAGCTATCACAGCATCATTGGACGCGACCTGAGACACGACCCCATTAGTTTTAGTAATAAGGAAGGTTTTTGATATCGAGGTTTGAAAACATCGTCGCAAGCACGCCAAAGTCGATCGTCTGTGACGATAATTGGTGGGCGTGTCGCGACGGGCGCATGTGACGGGCACCATCAACGACGCAGACGAGAGCTGCGCAGGTCGATAAAAGCAAAAGGAAGGAAATGAAGATACCGGGGAGTGGGAAGACTAAGTCAATCCAGAGTGCGATATACGTACCAGATGTGAAGGGGTTAAGGTCAATTGCGCGCTCACAGGTACTCCCACGGGGCACAACAAATTTGATCGGAGGAGCTTTCTTGTGGGTGGAGTGAAATGAGCCTGCGAAGAACTCTATCGTGAGAAGATTGACTATTCTTAAGATTTTAAAAGCGATAAAGTTGAGGTGGTGGTGGCGGCTCTTGAAGGCGCAGACGAAGAGAGAAGTGCAAGTTTCAAAGGGGAGGATTACGAAACCGCTCCCGGCAAAAGTATGGCCAACTCTTCATGGCTTTTCCACAACTTATTAGAGACTATTGGGTTGTTTATTGAAATAACAACTCCATGGTAAACTACTAGGAATAATTTGAAGCAAGAATACAGCTATTATATGGCCATGAAGGCTTATGGCCAGACTAATTCGCCGGTATGTATTAGTCACGTGATTTATTGAATAGCCGCTATTGTTGCCTTACTATTTAGGCAGAAGTTTATACTTGGCTCCAACTAACCACTTTCTAAGGTTCATCTTCACTCCCTGAATTTGTACCGCCCCTTGAGACCTTGAGGATGTTACTAGATAGACTGTTTAGCCATAATTCATTTTTTAAACATGGGGTGTGACAGGAATAAGGTTATTTAGGCTATTAAAGTCAATGAAAATCGTCAATCATCGATGGCAGGGGCCAATCGTATCCGATTCCAACGTCCCATTCTGCGCTTCGAGTAAACTGAATGATATGTTGCCCTTCCGCCTTCTTCCTGATACGGCGGAAGAGCAATCTCCCCATCCTAAACACAGACCTTAATCCACTAATGTGAGGTCTGCAACGACAGCGCAATGATCCGAGTTGAATACCCCATCATCGAACTGGTTTGGTAAGACACTATATCCATTCACTTTCCAAGTTTGTTTCTGAATTTCTGGTATGTGTAAAAGCACATAGTCAATTCGCGAGGGTGGCTCTTCCTCATATCCAAACCCGGTAAAAGTATTATGATTACCATATCGATAGGAGGCATCGACCAGCATGTAAGTATCACGCATATGGCCATGGCTGGTTAGTTCCTTGTATGCCTCCTCAGTTTCCTGACTGTTCAGATCACCGGCCAGGAAGGTCCCTGAGATTAGGTCTTTCCATTTCGAGACCTCCCGATATTCCTTGATCTTGTTGTGAATAATCCGTGCAGCTTCAAGTCGAGAGCGAGATCCCTGATCATCCAGATGAGTATTCATGGCCAGAATGCCGCGGCCACTGGGTCGGTGAATGAAAACACCAATGGTGACAATGCGATTGGAAGCAGCGTCCCAGCTTTTGGACGGCTTTGACGGCGTTTTCGAGAGCCATACGGTATCCTCGTGAAGCAGCTTCCATACCGATGGCTGGTAGAAAATAGGGGAAAATTCCCCTTTACAGTAGCCATCGTCTCGTCCAACTCCAATGAACTTCCATCTAGGAGTAGAAGGTTTGGGGTATGACACGGCACACAATCCCCTATTGATATCTTCGAGCTGATTAACAAGGACCTCTTGCAGGCAGATGAAAGTGTTGTCGTTATGTCGAGTATGGAAGTTAAGCTCATTAAACAGGAGCTGTTGGCGCTCAGGCCAGGGCCGCTCGCCCTTGAACGGGGCAGAGGTGTCATAGCGAATGTTATGGGTCAAAACGCGGACCGGTAGTTCCGAGGTAACCTTCATCGTCAGAGAGTAGGAAAGAAAAGTTAAGGTCTGCCTCTTTTCCTAATTCTAAGGCTATGTCAAATTTAAGGGGAAGCTGAAATGTAAGCTGTAAGGAAAGCGTTGCGAAGGGTTACGCCGCTGATTGGAAGGGGAGGAAATGCGACAATCCCTGCGTTGGATCGGAACTAGTGCTGAATAGAACGAATCAAGAATGTTCACTGAAAAAAGAGAGAAAAAAGAAGAAAGAGCGGGGTATTTTACCCCATATTGTTGGACTTCCACGAGGCCAGATGGATGGTTCAACAAATGACGTCTTTGCCGACTAAGTTAACCCTAGAAGGCGTTACCGCCTGAATCGTCAGGCAGTCAGATTTTTCCCCCCACCAACGCTAAATAGCACAAGACTTCTCCATTCATTCAACTCTTCAGCTCTCGGTTTTAGAAATCAACTTCTAAATCCACTTTCACTTTCCAAATTTTATCCCCTTCCCAGTGAGGTTTTACTACACAATGGCGGAAACTAAGGTTCCCGAGGTTGGTAAGTATATTCCGCTTTGCTGCGAAAGCTCTGATGGATGTGGGCATCGTCGGCCGACTAGGTGCTAAGCTTCATCTGGTTCAAGAACGATGCCCTCCGTATCATTTGACCTATCCTGAATACTAATTGATCCCACGTTTCCCTCAGACTACACCCTCAATAACCCCGATACCTTGACCAAGTACAAGACTGCTGCTGAGATTTCGCACAAAGTGCTCCAGGCCGTTATTGGTACGTTGCGCCCCCATTTGTCGGATGAGACGGTCTAACTTTGTGAAACAGCTCTGTGTGCTGAGGGTGAGAAGATTGTTGAGATCTGTCAGAAAGGTGACAAGCTCCTCGAGGAGGAACTTGCCAAGGTTTACAAGGGCAAGAAGATTGCTAAGGGTTGGTCTATTTCTTGATGGCATTGCGCCTTCTTTTTAAATGCCCCAAGACACTAACTAATAAAAGGTATCTCTCACCCCACTACCGTCTCTCCTAGCTCTTATGTTACTCCCTACACCCCTCTGATCTCAGATACCGCGGAGGCCGAAACTGTTCTGAAGGCCGATGAAGTCATCAAGATCCAGCTCGGCGCTCAGATCGATGGCTTCGGAACCATTGTCTGCGATATGATTGTCGTTGTTCCCAAAAACTCGGACAAGTCCGAGGTCACTGGCCGCGAGGCTGACCTTATTGTCGCTACTCACTACGCCAACGAGCTCCTGCTGCGTCTGATTGTCCCCCCTGGCCTGCTGGCCCAAGGTACCGACGAGGAGAAGGCTAAGGCCGCCGCCCAGAAGGCTCCCACCCAGGCTCATATCTCCTCTCTGCTGGAGAAGGTTGCCAAGGCATACGGCTGCAACGTCGTTGAGAACACCACCAGCTGGCTGTTTGACCGCAACGAGATCGAGGGCACCAAGAAGATTATTCTGTCTCCCGGTAACGGCACTCGTGGTGACGGTGTCCCCGCAGTCGGTGAGGTTTGGGGTATCGAAGTCGGTCTCAGTTTGGGTTCCGGAAAGGTCAAGACCCTTGAACACCGTACTACTCTCCACCGCCGTACCACCACTACTTACGGCCTGAAGCGCCCCAGCTCTCGCCAAACTCTGTCCGAGGCTGTCAAGAAGTTCGGAACTTTCCCCTTCAGCTTGCGCCAGCTTGATGACGAGAAGGCCGCCAAGGTCGGCATCGTAGAGTGTGTCCGCGGCGGTGTCCTGCGTCCCTACGAGCCCGCTGGTGACTCAGAGAATGCCCCAGTCTCTCGCCTGCTGACCACTATTGGTAAGTTCGCTCATGATCCAATTCCTTCTCATTGCTTTGCTAATTTTTTTTTTTCAAGCTATCACCAAGAATGGCATCACCAAGCTTGCTGCTCCCACTCCAATTGATCTGACCCAGTTCAAGACTGATAAGAAGATTGAAGACGAGGAGATTCTGAAGATCCTTGAGCAGCCCCTGTCCCGCTCGACTGGCAACAAGAAGAACAAGAGCAAGAAGAAGAAGGTGGCCACCACTGCTGAGTAAATGTACTCAGACAAGATTTCTCGTTCTTCATTTGCAAAACACGCCGAAATCTAGACAAGCCCTGGAAGTTGGAAGTGAAGCTACACAAAAAGGATATCCACTGAAAATTTCATCAGACTACACAAATTCTCCGTCGGAAAAAAAAATGAAAGGTAACGTTTGTTGATCAAGCTTGCATGTATACAGGGATGACCCCCTGTTATGCTTTTTTTTTTTCCATCGACTGTCGACTGTGTCAATTACTGTGGTCATTATTATAGGCCTCTTGAAAGATTTGATTTGAGAGAAACAATTATATTGGTCTATCGTAGCTGTATACAAGCTCAATGTAAATGTAAATCTTGAATGCCCACTTGTGTGATTGTATGTGTTCTAACGAACTGGGTTTTTCATCAAGGTTCCAATGTTAGAACATTACTAAGGTATTCCTCATGCCTGTTAAGTACTGAGTCTATTGGTGTAGGTAGAAGGTCATCAGTCATTGGAATGTAGACATGCCACTCATCCCTTCAAAGGTTGCTCAAGGGGTGTTTTGCTTACAATCGATGTAAATTCTCGACTCCATAATTGTATCTCTATATCAATTCTCGTTCTCCTTGAGAGTTATGATCTCATAATTCGGCTTTCACTTAACCTATCACCTTGAGCTGTCATGTTTTTCATGTCCACTTCAATTTTCTGGTATTGGAATTATAGCTCTGTTACCGGCCTGATATGTCTGTAGTCACAAAAGATCACAGTTTCAAATTTATAGTTGAATTTTGTTGTCTTCAGAGCATGTAGCCAGAGATACTTCCTATTCATTTGAGCCCAGGCAACTATCTGTGAAACCCTTTTGATTATATAATGAAATAACCATTCAAACCTCCAAAGTCTCGCTGCAAACAGAAAACCCAAATCATCAAATCATTGCATTTAATGTTTATCCAAAACGGTCTAGCTAATCTGAAATGAGGGGACAAAGAATGTTAAGAAAGGAGTGAGTGAATGGCGAAAGTTAGGGCATGTCTGGGGTTAGGCCACACCGCCTGCTGCACCGCCCCCTTTACTGCCAATATGGGATCTGAGTTCTTTTCTAGAGATCGCGAAGGGCCAAAGGGGAGTCAAGGCCGGCGAGTGAACCAAGTGTGATAAAGTTGATTAACGCGCTAATTTTGCCCAGATGGGCCCTACGCTGGTGATAAACCCCACGCGTAATCAACTCAAATTTAAAAGAAACTGCCAACGCCCTCCGGCTTGAGCCTAATCCGACGGTGACAGAGAACACCATCACCATGAAGCCAATAGGACAGTATCCATCACTTGCAGAGTATAAGAGCGTAGGCATAAAGCCTCCACTTCATTACGTCATTAAAGAAACCAAACTGCTGGTTCCTCGTGCTGGCACAGATACGCCCTTGACTTCCGCAGAAGATGCTCTTCTTTCGGATATCTCCTTTATGGATGAAGTCGAAGTGGAAGTCGAAGTAAGTCCCGATTGGGAAACCCCCCAAAAAATGGGCTCCAGCTCGCGATTTAAAAGGGCAGTCCTGAACATGGACAATTCTCTCCTTCACAACGACTTTGCTACACCTATCTCAGAATCTTTTGAAATATTCACTTCGCATCCATCCTCATCATCTCCAAGATCAAGAACTCCGGTCGATTCTTTGGATCAAAAACTCTCCACAATGTCTACCCCAGTTTTGCCAACTGCAGATATCAAGCCAGAGACAGGCTTTCTCGATACTTTGCGATCACTGCCACTGCCTGCATCCTCTAAGTACAATGTCCTTCGCTTGAGAGCTGCACTGGAGAGTGCAGTCACTCACTCAATGAACGAAGGTAACGACAAAGCAGCTCTGAGTCTGGTCTTTTTCTGGGCTGAGATGAAGCTTAATGGAGACGACTTCAAATTGGCCCTCATTGAAAACATGGGCAAAAGTCAAGACAGTGGCCATCAATTGCAAACGATATTACAAACTATCTTGCGATACTCCACTGTGGGTGCGGCTTCATGGTATGAATCTTTTATCATCGAGCAGGAAAGCCTCCAGAAGGGCTGGGTCAGTGAATCTGACAAGATGGCTGCAAAGGCTGCCAACTTTGTTGAGCCTGAAGCTTCAACTCGCAAGGCAGTCGTTAGTACTGCTGAAATCTACCGTGATACCAGCGGACCCCGTCTGGAAGAAGCGTTCCTGAGTGGCAAGACCAACACTGCTCCCTTGAAACGTCCTAAGAAGCCATGTCCTGCCAACGAGCTTCCTTACAAGCGTCGCCAAACCTGGGATGCCGATCCCGATACGGAAATGCAGCTTCGCATCAAGCGCGCCCGTGCAGCTGAAAAAGTTCTCCACGCCAACACGTCGCCTGAGCAGGAAAGTTTTGTGCGAGGGTCTGACCCTGATGATCTGGCACGTCTCGGAGGACGGCCAGTTTCTCCTACATTTTCCGAATTTTCCGGATTTTCCGGGTTTTCACCCAGTCTCTCTGGCCTGTCGAACTCGGCTTACTCTGATGCAGATGTTTGGTCTGGTGACCAACCTCCACGAATGGAGTTTGAAATCAAGTACGTTTTTACTGCTTGTTGTTTTGTTTATGCTTGTTTTATGTTCAACTTCTAACATTATTACTACAGGGATAGCGATGACGACGATGACGATGACAACGTTAACTCGGATTTCTGCCGGAACTGTGATAAAGATGGATTCATGATCTGCTGCGAAAACTGTGACAACTCCTTTCACCTTTCTTGCTGCGATCCTAAGCTGGATGCTATTCCCGCTGGAGCCTGGCTGTGCCCCAAGTGTCGTACTCACTCGATTTTTACTACACTTATCAACAACCCCATTCGCCCCCACAAGACTGAATTCAGTCTTCCGGTTGATATCAAAAGCTACTTTGAGGGTGTCGGTGAGGGCCGCCAATACGATACGAATTACCCTACGGATCTCAAGAACCAAAGCTGGTACAAGTCGGTTCCCCACCTCCCACGCCTGACTAAGCAACCCAAGCAAAAAGGGCCAACTCCGCTCTACGGCGATCCTAACTTGACAAAGTTGGTCGAGAACGGGCACTTAATTCTCTGCACCCGCTGTGGTAAAAGCTCAGAGAACATTTACCCCATAATCCGCTGTGATTACTGCACTTGCCGCTTTCACCTTGATTGTCTGGATCCCCCTCGCGCTATTCCTCCCAACCCCTTTGATGGGTGGATGTGCCCTAATCATGTCGACCCCGACGGTATGATCTCCCGCAAGATGGTGAACGGTCAGGTTCAGGAGCGCCGTATCCGCATTCCCAAGCATGCAGCCAGTGCCGTACTGAACGACCCAGAGGCCACTCTTCTTGTTGATCAAGACGACACTGACATTGATTTGGAAGAACAGAATGATGTGATCCTCAGCTTCATTGATGGCGTGAAGGATAAGGCAGCCCTTCGTCAGCTTGAAAAAACTCTGCAAGCTGAACAGCGACTTATCAAGGCTCAAAAGGCTTTGGACCAGCAAAAATCAGAAATTTCTGGTATCAAAGCACAGGCCGCCTTTCTGGCTTCCATCTGCGAGGAACAACGTATCTTGGCAATTCAGAAACAGAAACTCGATGAGGCAAAGAAATTTGTCTCGGATTGCATTTCATCTTTCAATCCCAATGATACCAATGCTCATGCGGGTCTTCAGGCTCAACTCGATGTCATTCTCGAGGGCATGAAGTTGGATAATATTAGATCGATGGAGGCAGCCGCCGTCGATGGCCTGTTAGGACTCTCGTCCTCGTCCCCTTGATTTTTTTTGGGTGAATTTTTCCTGGCCCCATATGGCGTTTATGTAAGGTAGTTTTATTATAAATTTCTTATTCAACATTCCAATCCATGCTAAGAATAATATCACTTTATCTTTTATTACATACATATCTTCAACTCAGGTTTGGTTTGAATGTTCCTAGACATTCTTGTAGTTTAAATCACTTCCAATTTCCATGATATTCACTTCAGCTTGGTCTCATATCACCTGGTAAACATTCTTCCTACCTACACCTTGCAAGACTGCCCAGTATTCACCTGGGAATTTCCAAGCCCTGGAGGTTTACGTACCTATCAACGTTGAAATTTGATCAACTTCGAAATTCGAATATTCTTTCACACTCGTGGACCTTAGTAGACACCCCACCCTTAACACTCCAGATACCCCCCCCCCAAAAAAAAAACCTTCCAAGGTTATGTCGACACCCAATATCGAGGTCTACAGATTCCAAATTTAGCCATTTTGGAACAGACCAAGCCAGAAACTGGCTTCCTCAACAACCTGTATTGGCTCCCACCGCTGTCATCACTTTTCCTGTCTCCAGAGGGTAAGCCATCCATGCTAAAACAAAAGTTTATTGAAAACTGTCCAAATTAACGCTCTCTATTCGCTCCTACTTCTTTTGTCGGCTAATTTTAGCGTCTTCTGCCTGAGGGCTGCTCTTAAAAGTGGTCATTCCTTCTAAGTATAAATCAAGGCTAACGAGCTTCGAACCGGCATAGCCTATAACTATCAGCCCACCGAAAATCTGCGTTATCTTGACCCCTTCAACAGAAAATTTCTTGCCCAAATCCCGAATACTTCTAGCGGTAAAGCCATGGTTTAGTCAGTAACAAGGAATGTAGAACTATTTCCGATGCTTAAAATGTTCTTGTTGTCCTATCCCATCCCCGCTCCAATGTGCTATTCCTTCTAAGCGCCTGAGACTCCTTGTTATACTGGCTGTAAGCACTCATTCCTCAGGAAAAAACATGGACAGAGATGCTGAAAATAACACAACGTAGAAGCTCCCCGTTTATTAGCATAATGTTATATCCAGGTAAGTTTATTATCAATATAGACATCCAAGTACTTTCTGAGTATAATGATCCCCTTTAATACCCATTGAATTACATTCACTCGAAGCTTTCAACCAACTGTATATCTTCTACACTACTTCTACCACCAGAATCGTCGATGACAAATATGAAGGAACCTGCCAATGATGGGTATGTTCCCGGTCTTTCTGAGAAGACTTCTTATTGCCAAGAGACAGCAAAAAGAGTTGAGGTTAAAAATGTAGATGAATATTTCAAGGAAATCCAACTCTATCACCATTCTCATCTTCAGCCCATCGGTATACTCTTCCAGAACGCCGCCTCTTGCGACCTAGAAATTAGCAAGCGCATGATGTCGCTCGCCGAGTCTATCACATGTGTATACATGATGTCGCTAACGATGTCATTGCCGCATTGGTTTTTACGCTGTGCCCCGAGGGCCTATAACTAGAGTGCGGTTCCCACTTTCTTTCCTCTTCTTTTCTTTCTTCTTCATTCTTAGTGCTAGGGGCGATTCAGGGTCTAAGTCAGACCACTGTCCTTGCTAATGTCTCCGTTTTTGCATCAGTGAAGATATTCTGAGATCCATCTACGTGCGATGAAAACTATCGTTGCAGACCCATAGGGGTTGCTCCTGGCTTTCGTCTCGTGGCTTAGGGAATTTTTGATGTCTAAATTGTGATTTTATTACTCATACTTTTTTCATTGCTTAATAGCCCTTGTTGGCTGCAGGTAGAGAAGAGAGGTTGCATATGTGACGCTTTGAATTCATCACGTGTCTTTGTTCAAGGCGTCTGCATTGATATTAACGGTTAGTATTAAACATTTACCTCCCAGGTCTTCAGGGCTCGAGGGTCTGGATAGATTTGATTGTTATGATCCCAAACGAGTAGACCACTTGTTTTCGTACACACTCACAACTTCAGTAAATATAATATGTATGAATTGTGCATGATATATTTGTACGTAAATCAAAGCATAGGCTTATTCCCTTTTGATTTATGATTTTTTTTATTTTTTTTTTATGAAAATGATAATTTGGACTCAGAATGGACGAAAAAATCCTTCGTTTGTTGACGGCTCAAAACGTCCAACACTTGCATTGGGCGTAACTCTAAGGGCCAACGTATCCCACTATGCTGGACTCCGTAGTCAATGGTATCTCTTCATGCATTCTATTTTGAGCCCATCCCTACTGGCCTCTTTTCTGTTGGACCTATGAGTTCATTTTAATCTGCAGGAAATTATCCGGATAGTGACGACTTTGAAATCATATCCCGAGTTAACACCTCTAGTATTGGTAGAACTTCACTCGTATTCTGGCTGCATCAATCAGTCATCTATCACGCTATGAAAGACAAAATCAAGCACAGGCTTCAGGTTTCGATAAGAGGAGTGTCTTAATTCGGCGAAAGGTACTTGTGTTGGTGTTAGTTGGATCAAGTACGTACTAGAAGCAGAGCTGGACTATCACCATTAAGAGTTCTATCCATTATGGCCTCATACATATCTCTACCCAGGAAGAGAGTTATAGGGTTTGTATCAGACTCCGACTGGAGAGGAAATCGATTGACTACGTAAAGGCAAGAGTACCTTGATGATCCTAGCATGACATATCTCGAGTTAGTCAACGATGTGTCGGTAGTTATCTGAAAGAGACTTTATCAAAAGTAAAATATTGTGTCTTGTAGAAAAATATTAACCTACATCGATATTCTGTTGGCTGGTGACAAGTGCTGAGGAAGGCTTTTCCACTCGCGGGATCAAAAAAATTGGACGTGGATATCTTTTATCATTACAGTATCCGAGGGACTAACTCGCCTGTTGGACCATTGGTGGCAAGACATGTGGTGATATAATGAAGGTCATGAAGCTGGCGTGTGAAATACCTCTTACTGGTAGAGAACCGGACAAGAGGGCGCGTAGCACTATGAAATTGTCGAAACGTATGACTTGGGTATTTTGACTTGCGAGATCTGAATTGGAGCATGCTAGGAAGAAACAGAAGTTGATGGAGCCTGACTGATGTTGATGGATAAGATTACTCAGGGTCTTTGATCAGACACACGAAAAATGATGTCATAAATCCATTCAGAAAAAACAGTTTAACAGAAGCTACATATCTCGAGTATAAGAAAGGTTTCATAGCGTAGAGAATTACTAGAGCATAAAGCTCACAAGTACTTCTTGGGCATACCAGCACGACGGCGCTTGTAGACGACATACGACACAGCGAGGAGAACCTGGAATGCGATGACCATGAAGATGAAGAAGCCCATGCGTGGGGTGGAAGCAGTGATAGCTAGTAGAAGAGGGAGCATGTCAGTACCAGGTTTCTTGCTTTGCTTGAGATGAGAAGGGAAGACATACCGTTCAACAGATTTCCCTGGAGGCTCTCACTCAAACTGAGGTGCGAAGATCGCAAAGTATCGTGGAGCTGGTTAAAGCGGCTGCCGTAATCCTTGCCTTCCAGATCACGCTGGATACTCTGGAGCAAGTCCTCGATGCGCTGGAGACGAGCGTCAAGCGATGCCACAGCATCCTTTGTCTCCGAATTCTTGGCAGATTGTGCTTTGATTTCTTGAAGGATATTGTTTGTTGCCTGATTCTGGACCTGAAGACGGCCGCCTAGATCGCCAAATTGTTTGTTCAGGACGTCATTATTTCCGTCTCCTACAGGTGGTGTTACAACTTGTTCCTGGCGCACAAACTGTTGCTGTGGGGCGGAACCTTGGTTCGGGATCTGGGTAGGTGTGGCCTCCAGAACGAACTTGAAGATCTCGAAGGAGTCGGGATTCTCTGGAGTCGCAGCGGTAAGACCGAAGGTGTTTCCAGTGGGCAGGAGCACCATGTTGGTTGAAAAGCAGACCTTGTCATCTACAGTCACTTGGAAGATCGAGTTGGTGTGCTTGAGCTTCACTACCGAGGGACGACCCAAGTTTCGGTAAGCATAGTCGCAGTGTCCAAATGCCAGGCTATCAACACTACGGTGAGTCTTGTAGTCGGTTGTGCCATCGTTCAAAAATCCACGGATGCTTCCACCCTGACGATTGGTTAGCTCAAGTTCACGTTGTGGTATTTGAGGGAGACATACCCTTCCGCCATGAGTATCAATGACAAGAGCGAATCCATCAAATGGTCCGACGGTGTAGATGCTGGATGCGCCAATCCGGGCTTGTCCATCCTTTGTATACCATAATTGAAGATTGCCACTCGCTCTCTCGGGGCCAGTCGCTCGGAATTGAAATTCGGCAGACCATTCAGATTGAAGAACACTAATTATTAATTAGTTTATCGATTCAGTACTTTGGGGGAGCATGTGAAGGCTACTTACGGACTTTGAGCCCATGCTGATCCTCGTACACTTCCCGGGTAAGGCGGTGTTAAGATTAGCTTATCGGAGAGCTAACATGCATATTAGCAACGGTGCAAAATTAAACAAGGAACGGCATACTTACCAAGGAGGGGTCGAAGCTTTCTCCACTAAGGGTCCATCCTGGGATGGATTCTTTGTTTTGTGAGATTCTAGTCAAGGGTCAGTTGCTAGATCAATGAGAGATTTGACGGTGGTCCGTACGTATCACCGTATCCGAAACTTGAACTTTCAATAATCTGGGCAGTAGCACCAGCGGCAAGCAGTACCAGTGATGTAAATGGTCTCATTATGGCAAGCGTAATGGGTTTGTAGGAAGTATGGTAGCAAGATCAAAAGAGCCGTTCGATGCCCGCTCGTGGATGTAACGTCACAAGGTGTATCTTTGGGTTATTCAGCTTCGGAAGTTTTCGAGTGCTTCGAGTATTTTGAGGTCTTCGAATTATTAGAGCAATGCTCACACGATCTTCGGGGTAGATCGCAAAGGCTAGAAACGACACGAGTAGTAATCCACCCAACAACAATAGCAAGAACGCAAAGGCGGGCTTCTTTGGCAATGGCAGCTGCAGAGGGAGAAAAGTCAACAAGGTGATTTAATTGGACACTGTTCAAAATAGTATGGCTAATGCCGACGTCTGTGAAGTCCATTCGGAAGGTTTGGCAACTGAGAGCTGTCCTTCTCCTGATTAGTTCTCCGCATTATCAGCACGTGACCAATTGTGGAGGAGACGTGAGGATTACAATTTAAGCTCCAAATTTGAAATGTCCATTACAGAATGCGCCCAAACTTCAATGACTGAGCTTTACCCTTCATTGGCGCAGTGTGCCATCGCTGCAGGTGCCCTCAAGGTACTGCTCTTGCCGGCATAGTGAGTTTCGCACTTTTCATCTGAGGCTTCATTTATTCCTAACCACAATCCCGCGCCATAAAGCAAATCGACCGACTTCGAGGTTCACCGCAATTGGCTCGCCATCACCCATTCGCTTCCAATTAAAGAGTGGTACTATGAGGTTAGTTTCAATAAAAGCTATATCTCTGTCCTATTAGCTCTAATTTTGTCCTAGAAATCCTCCGAATGGACACTCGATTACCCCCCGTTCTTTGCGGCCTTTGAATGGCTGCTGTCGCAAGCTGCTGCATACTGTGACCCTGCTATGCTTGTTGTCAAGAACCTAGGCTATGACTCTTGGCAGACAATATACTTCCAAAGGGCTACAGTCATTGTGACCGAGCTGGTCCTGGTCTACGCATTGAGCCGGTAAGATAAATCCTACCCTCCCAAGGTCAATCGGAAAGGTGCTAATACATTCACTTACTAGGTTTATTAAATCAGTTCCTCTTCCAAACAAACAAGCAGCGCATGTGGCTAGCCTCTCTATCCTTCTCTCACCAGGTCTTTTTATCATCGACCATATCCACTTTCAATACAATGGGTTTCTCTACGGGATCCTCGTCCTGTCTATCGTTCTAGCACGCAAGAAATCGACTCTTCTCTACAGCGGTATCCTCTTCGCCATTATTTTGTGTCTGAAACACATATATCTCTACCTTTCCCTCGCCTACTTCGTCTTCCTGCTACGATCTTACTGCCTCGACCCTAAAAACGTTTTTCGACCGCGATTCGGAAACATTATCAAACTTGGATCTTGTGTCGTCGGTGTTTTCGCAATCGCATTTGGTCCTTTTGCTCTATGGGGCCAGATGCTTCAATTAAAGGATCGCCTATTTCCTTTCTCGAGAGGGTTGTGTCATGCTTACTGGGCACCTAACATCTGGGCAATCTACTCTTTCGTTGATCGGGTATTGATACCAAGTAAGTATACCTTCTCAAGCTTGATGCCTTGTATTTGCTAATTGGATGCAGTTGCTCCTCGCCTTGGGCTCACCGTGAACCATGAAGCTCTCAAGAGCGTAACTCGAGGTCTCGTCGGAGACACAGCCTTTGCCGTTCTCCCGGAGGTAACTAGTGGGCAAACCTTCTTGCTAACATTTGTCTTCCAGCTAGTACGTGGCCGCTTGTGTTAAACTATTTTTGTTTTCTTACTAATTTTCACCTAGGTTCCTCTGATCAAGCTCTGGTTCCGTCCTGGAAACTGGGAGACCTTTGTAGGAGCGATCACACTATGTGGCTATGCTTCCTTCCTATTCGGTTGGCACGTTCACGAAAAAGCTATACTTCTAGTTATAATTCCGTTCAGCCTGATTGCGCTCAAGGACCGTCGCTACTTCAGTGCATTCCGCCCTCTAGCAGTCGCGGGCCATGTGTCGCTGTTCCCACTAATATTCACAACCGCCGAATTCCCTCTCAAGACTGCCTACACCATCCTCTGGCTGATATTATTCCTCTTTGTCTTCGATCGAGTGGCGCCTGTTCCAGAACGGCCACGCAGGTTTGTGTTTGATCGCTATATCTCCTTGTTGTACCTAGCTGTTTCAATTCCCCTCATTGCGTACTGTTCGCTGATTCATCAAATTATCTTTGGGTTCGAGCGGCTACAGTTCTTGCCCTTAATGTTTATGAGCAGCTATTGTGCAATTGGCGTATTGGGAAGCTGGATTGGGTTTATGGTGGTTTACTTTTCTGAATAGATAGATTTTTGCCAACCAGGAGAGCCTTCAATTTTCCAATTTTATGCACTATATCTATAAAAATCAATATAACCATCTATCCTGCAACACTTAGGTATATCGTGTTTGTAGACTGAGCTCTTATCGGCAAAATAGATCATATCATCACGTGTTTCATGCCCACTCAAGCCACAAAGTCTAAAATGCGCTAGTACAAATAAGGTTAGATTTACCCCGATATGCCATGCTGCCGCTGCAAGATCGGATGGGTTGTCAACAGTACAGTGTTTTCTTCATGATTTGTATTTATCAAAGCTACATCTGTAATACTGGGCACATGAATACCAGATATACACCTGAGCACTCAATTCCACGCCCTAGGCTATCCTTAATCTTGAAACTTTTGAATTCAGAGATAACCAGATAAAGCTGGAGATATGATGGTATTTGCCCCCGTGGAAATATATACTGAAAACTTTTTATAATTTTTTTTTTTTTCGTTTTCAAGAAACTTTCAAGGTCAAAGCTCATTTATCATTACCCAGGTGATAAGAATTATGAAAAACCAAGCTGTCATGGACGTCGGGATGTATCTCGCGGAGTATAAATTTAAGGTTGAATCTAGGGTTGGTTCCAAGGTTGATATGGATAGCGTGCCTGGGCGGTCGGCAACTTTGGAAGACATGGATGCTTCCTAAATACCACCAGGGCTACCCAGGTAGGTGGGCACACACGGGTGGCTCTCAAATGTTGTTCGATTTCTCATAAGGATTAAAAACCTTGGAAACACATGACGATTCATTTATTGGTATCGATGAGCGGTTGTACAGTCTCACCCCAGATCTTAGTAGCTAGGTAAAATTTGAGGCAGTGGGATAATGCCAGAGACATAGAGGTGTCAGACGAGAAAATGTGGATAACCTCATGACAGGTGGGGTGGACACGACACGTAGTCCTGAACCACCCACCTAGTTCCAAGATTACATACAGTGGTTAGAAGCCGAATAGTGATACTAAGTAATACATAATGCTTGATATATGACACTTGAGGCGGTGTCCAGTTTAATATCGTGTATTCTATAGAAAGAGATTCGGTGAAACTGGAACTAAATTTCGAAATGTGAGAGATAATCGGCCGGAAATATTTTAAAGCCAACCAGGTGAGATGTAACCTGCCAGGAACAAAGAATGATGATCAGTCAAGTATAAGATGTGGTAGTTCTTTGAGAAAGACAAAATAATGCGGGCTTTGCATAGATAGCTCTGGCAGTATCAATCGAGTCCTAATTGTCCTTTTCTATAAATCCGAACTACTCATTTAAAGTATGAGCCAATCTATAAAACATAAGAATGGAATGATGAATACCAAAGGAACCTTTTGCTAATAATAGAAAGATGGTGGTGGAAAAGAGAGCTACTTTCGATGTATTCTTTTCCCCATTGTCTAAATTTAACCGTACTCGAGAGCTCTGGCAATTGATAATAGAAGAAAATAAGCAAATAACATCAGAACAAAGGGATTAATTAATTCCTATTAGAAAGCCCTATACGAGACGAGTAGAATGAGGGTAAATACGTGCAAAGTTGGGGGTGAGGGAGTGAAAGGGGGTGGACACTAGCGGGAGGAAGGACAAGCAGGGCAGAAGGGGAGCTGGAGGAGAAGAAGTGTTTTTTCTGCTGGGCTTTGACTCCCGCTGCTCCTCCTCTCCACCAATCATATCCCACCGCTGATTCGCGGTTGATCTACCGCTTCCTCCTCTTTTCTCTGCTACTGTTTCTGTCTTTCTCCCTCATTTCTTCCACAAAGAGAACGCGTCCACCACTTACCTTCAACTTGCTCTGGTATCTCTTCTAGGATTCATCTATAACTCCCACGGCATTTTAGACGCGTTTATCCGGTAAGTCCGCGGTCCCAAATTATATGCTACCTCTGCCAATCTCCGCTTTCTTGGGTTTTTGGCGTCTCACGGTCTTTGGCTTGACCCCCCCAAGATCCATGAAGCACTCCTATCTATGGACCATCTTACCCCTGCCTCCATTAATCAATCATCTACAATTAAAGTAGCCTTATTTACTTTCCTATCAACAGCTGCTAACTCAAAGTCGCGTGTCATTTTAGTCTGTGAATGCCCTAAGTCGTTCGTGATAGTCTGCGGTAGACTAATGCGCGCGCGCGCCATCGATCATACATAATGGTATGCGATTCTCAAGCTCAAGCAGACTAGCAGAACATGTCATCTGCGGTGGATTCGCAAGAACTCGACCAGAACTGAAGCTGACGTTGTCAAACTAGGTTCTATTCAAACGTAAACCCGTACAATATCTCCCTCGACCCGTCATTGAAGATGAAAGCTCCGAGGTACATACCATGAGTACCTAAATACGAAAGCGCTCCGTTGACAATTTGAAAACATTAGGTCTGGGTCATCCCAGAGACCAACGAGGTCTTCACGAGCTATGAACCATACCTCTCGCGAATGGACTTTTATAAGCAGCGTCGGTTTATATGTGAGATCACGGGTCATTCGGGCCTGAACTTTTTTGAGGCGCATCGAAGCGAGGTACGCAGTGGTGATATCAATAGAGGTGGATTTGCGCCAGACACTGATGCTAATGCATGACTTCAGATGGAGGAGTCGCGCGAAGTGAACAACAGCTTTCCAGAAGCTCTCAAGGAGCCCATTCTGCGTCGTATTCAGTTTTCCATTGTTTCGAGGGTTGATAGTCTGGGTATGTTACCTTTTGTGATTCACTTTACGTGATCGATTTTGAGCCGAGCAGAGCTGACCATTACTTTATATGCAGTTGATGAAGTATACGAAGTGAGAAGCACTAAAAGCTTACAAAGCGCGTGTGATGATTTTAACATTTATTATAGGAATTCAAATCCGACTTCTACCCGGGAGAACCTGTGCTCATTCTGCTAGAAGATACCACTAGACTTCATGGCACAATCAGGGACAAAGCCAACTTTGCCGAACAACTCTTTGCCGATGGAACGATCAAAACACCCGCGTATGCTAGGTACTTGGTGAAAATTTCGGACCGACCAAATGAGGAAGCTCTCTTGGACCAAGACCACATTACTCGCGATCGCAAATCATTCACAAAGCTGATGCTACGAGGGTTTATAAAGAATAACGTCACTCGAGAATCTTGGACGGGTGCACCCTGGCTGGTGAAGGCTTCAATTGCGGACGAATATAAGATATCCACCGAGGTCCCTAAGCACCTGCAATACGGGGCCAAGGTGGCAGAAAAGAAAGCAATGAAGAAGGCAGACCAGGATGGCTTCTTTGGCTTCTTCTCATCTCAACAGCTCCATGAATTGAAGCCCGCACTGAAGGGCCAGAAGTCCAAGCTGTCAGCACATGACCAGGCTAAATCACGAGAGGCACAGTATCAGGAATATCAGCGATCGCTGAATGGAAACCCCACCTTTTTGATGCCTTCCAATCCACTGCGTCCATCTAAGCCGCTTCTGGTCGGTGACAAGAAGAATTCAGCAGCTGTCGACAAGAACGAATCCGTTCCTCCATCGCCACCCCCTATTAAATACCCCATGGAGGATTTGGAGCTTGCGCTAATACACGAAAAAGGCCACCGCCCACTTCTAAAGTTTTTAAATGTTGAGGAGACTGAGGACGAAACAGGCGAGGATCTTCTGCCCGACGATGTAGAGCCTGAATCTGTGGGCCTTCTTCTTGAAACTTGGAACACTCTCAATGTGTACTGTGAAGTATTCCAGCTGGACTCATTTACGTTCGATGATTTTATCCAAGCAATGCGCTATTCGTCGGAAGAAATGAATTGTGAACTTTTTGTGGAAATCCATTGTGCAATCCTGAAGAAGCTTGTCCATTCCGAGAGTGAGGGAGGTGAGATCCAGGTCTCTCTTCCGGATCTACCCGTCGATGAATCAGATGACGACGACGAGGATGGGGAAGATGAAAAAGATGGAGATGAGGAGGAAAAGCCAGCGCGTGCTACGCGGATGACCACTCGAGGCAGTTTGGCCAAAAAAGAAGCAGAGACCTTGCAGACGTTGATTGACGAGGATGAAGATCCCGCTGCTGTGCGTATTCATCGTGCAGCAGATATGTTCACTGACTACGGATGGATTAATCGCCTTCGCAAACGCGACTTCCGCAATGGTGGATGGGAGCTGGTAATGATCGGTCTTTTGCATCAACTATCAGTTCGTCCCCGCATCGAGCAAACTTGCAACGACATCCTTAAACACCTTGCACCACTTGATGAGGAGCCTACTCAGAGCACTGCCGAGGATCAATACAGCACACTTGATATCAATAGGCGTGTTAAAGCCCTCCAAATCATTTGCATGCTAAGTCTGGAGACTAAGGCGATCCGAAATTACCTCGAGGAGTGCAGCAACCAGATGACAGAGTTCCGCAAGGAGAAAATCGAGCACCAGAAGGCACGGAAATCTGCGTAAGTTCAAATTCTTGCTAACACACGAAGTAATATATCGTTGCTAATTTATTGTTTAGTGTTGCTGAGCTTCGTCTGCTCCATCAGGAACGGAAGGTGCTTCAACCAGAACTTGAGAAATCCCCAACGCCCGTACCCGAACTAGACGGCATGGATGACTCCAGGATGACTGGTATAGAAGGCGATTCTGAGATTCCCATTGACACAGAGGATGAAGACACGTCTCGACCCCGTTCACTTCGTGGTGGGGCTGATCGTGCCCTTGAGCGGAAACGCAAACAGGAACTGGAGCGGGACCGCAAGGAACAATTGGCAAAACAGCCCAAGGGTACTAAGCAGTACCAACGAGTATTGAAGAAGGTTGAAGACCAGAAAGCTAAAATCGCAAAACTTCAGGAACAGATTGATATTTGTGACAATGACTTGCGGGAACATGACTGCCCACGGACGCGGTGCCTTGGATTGGATCGCTTCTGCAATCGATACTGGTGGTTTGAGCGTAATGCAATGCCGTATGACGGCATGCCGAATAGCTCTACGAACGAGGCCAAATACGCCAACGGCCGTCTCTGGGTGCAAGGCCCCGACGAGATGGAGATCGCAGGGTTCCTCAACTTGAACGAGGAACAGCGCAAGCAATATCACCGACATTTCCACACAACACCTGCTGAGCGCAAGAAGAACGAGGAAGGATCTACCCATGTCTCGACTCCCCGCGAATGGGGCTACTACGAGGACCCCGAGTCGGTCGAGCAGCTAATCGAGTGGTTGGACCCACGTGGCAACCGGGAATCCAAGTTACTGAAGGAGCTCAATCAGCAACGCGAGAAAATCACCGTATATATGGACAATCGCAAGGCATATCTAGCTGATAGAGCCGAGCGTGCCGAGTCAGAGGAGATGCCAACTAAGCGCGTGACTACTCGCACCAAGACCTACAAGGACCCGAACAACCATCACCTCCGCTGCCTCAACTGGACCAACACAACCGCACTGACCGAGATTGGTCATTTGCACGTTGACCCCGATCGACCAGCCAAACGGGCCAAACGAGGAGCTGCTGCTGAACCGCGAGAAACCAAGGCGACCCGCGGCAAGCCCTTAACCCGGCAAGGTTCCCGTCGAGGATAATTCTTCTACCAGGTTCACGCGACATGACATATTTGCTTTTGATGTATAGGATTGATTTGTACACATTCTGCGCATTTGGAAACGGGGGAGTCGAGGGGTGGTTTCCTTTATTTTATATCTTATTTTCTCATTGAAGAAGCATGGAGATAGATTGTAGCACATAGACGGCGCTAAAAATTCGACTTTTGACTTTGATTGCAGTATTCTACCTCGTGTAAGATTACCCTAGTGCTCAGGAGATGAAGATGATAATTAGGCATGACTATGACTTGTGTCAATTTTCGGCCATTAGTACTAACTTACCACTTCTGAATACTGTTTCATGACTTGCTTGGTCTTACGTATTGCCAATCTGTTGGATACTGGTTTGGGATATTCTGCCAGGCAGGAAAGAAGTGTCCAATTTTTGATATGAACCCACTGTAGCAGGCCAGCCCACCGTCAGTAAATTAGAATCAATCTCCAAGTAATGTATAAAAACATACAAATAAGCAAAGACAACTATAAAATCATCTTGAAAGGCCGTACCACAGTTATGAACCAATAAGATAGAAAGCTATTCCTTTAAGTTGATAATGCGACGACCAGTAGAAGATGGTGTGACAAAAAGCTCAAGGTGCGTGCGGGATTCAGCCCAGAAGCATTAAGCCCTCTCGCGATGATCGCTGAGGGATGTATTGTCGATGCTTAGACGATCGGTGCCCAGGCGGTTTGCTTCAACCATACCACTGAATAAGTCCGTTCGGGTGAAGTTGATATGGCGTTCATAGATCCCTCGGTCAGGAAAAAATTGATTAGACCAGAGTTTTTCCACTCTACCAACAGCATTCCGATGAAACATGTAACTCCTGACACACGTGGGTAGAAATTTACTAACAAAACTTGTGCACATTAGTACCGACGCCCTCTAACTAGAGTGTAGTATCATTTTGAAGCTTTTATACGTCTATTCAACGCCCAATTGTGATAGTGCCAAAGATAATTACTTCATGGGCACCAAGAGACCACGAAGCTCAAAATTAAACGAGCTGTCGACCAAGCAGCAGAATGTCAGCCGAGCTGTCGATGCCAAAGACGACGTGGACCACAATTACGAAATCTCGCTAGACGGTGTGTACACTGCAGAGAACGCACTCGATATTATCAAAGTTAGCGGGGGTTTCAACCAATCGCTTTATTCATTGCCACTTTGATAACGACGGTTGGTTTCTTTGATGTAGGGATGTTGAAGGGAATTATAAATCTATCAGGTTCTTTGAATCGCCAGCATAGGGGGATTTGTAACTGTGACACGCGGACTTGCTTGGATAGCCAGGTTGAGTTGTTTGGTCGTAGTCAATTCATCGCTGTGCCCCTCAGCAGATGATCAGCTGGACGAACCATGCAAGTACCGACTCACGAGTGAAGCTTCGTTGAAGATAATACATATTCTAAAGTGGAAAGAAAGACCAATTACAGGCAAGAAGAATGTAAGAAGTGACGTTGCCACTTTACTGCCAGAGGCGGTGACTTCTGATAGTTTGAGTTTCTTATGAAACTATCTCACTTCCCAGTTATTTTCGGCAAATTTCGCTTTGCGGTTGCGTCCCAATTGATCCTCGATACTGCTTCTTGAACTTTGAATGTTAACGACGCTTAATAAGTACTTGCAAGCTTTAAGACTGACTTGTTGTGAACCTCTGCGACACCTCTTCCCGATGATATTCCGGTAACCCGAGTACCGAAAACTGCTTTTCCCGCATTATCGCCGAGTGATCACGAGGGCAAGACCGCTCTTCCCCACACTCTGTGAGCCTCGGCTACATTTACACCACCTTACAACATCTCTACTCTTCCATGTCAACTGATAGTTCAGAACATGCACCTCTCTTGTCTCCAACCTCGCATCGCCACTCTTCTGACACCGCGGAGCTCGCTCCACAGCCCGATTCCATGAACAAGATTGCACACCAAAGGTCGCCGTCGGAGGCTATCGCAGATGCCACCAACAGGCAGACCTTGACTTTCGAAGACAAAAAGACCAACTCAAAAACACGGAGTCTAGACTATATCTTGCGGAGCGGTTTAGCGGGTGGATTGGCAGGCTGTGCTGTAGGTTTGCGCGGATTTAAAGATCCTAACAATTGCATAGCCCAATATATGCTGACCCATAAACTATAGGCTAAAAGTGTCGTAGCGCCTCTCGACCGTGTCAAGATTCTCTTTCAAGCGTCCAATCCACAGTACACCCAGTATACTGGTAGCTGGGCAGGTCTCGCTGCCGCAATCCGTGATATCAAGCATTATGAAGGCGCTCGAGGTCTTTATAAAGGCCACTCCGCCACTCTCCTCCGTATCTTTCCCTACGCTGCCATCAAGTTCCTCGCCTACGAGCAGATTCGCGCTGTCATAATCCCATCTCTGGACAAGGAGACCACGATCCGTCGCTTAGTCTCTGGCAGTCTGGCCGGAGTCACATCAGTATTCTTCACATACCCCCTTGAATTGATGCGCGTACGATTAGCATTTGAGACGAAGAAAACAAATCGATCGTCATTGTTGGACATATGTCGCCAGATCTACCATGAACGTGTTTCGCCTCCATCCACAAAGGCAACATCTCAAGCTACACCCGTCGCTGCAGCCGAAAAAGTGTCTTCGACCGTCAACTGGGTAGTCCCACGCTCAGGCCTGGCTAACTTCTACCGCGGCTTTGCCCCTACCATCCTCGGCATGTTACCCTACGCAGGCATGTCCTTCCTCACCCACGACACAGTAGGCGACTGGCTCCGTCACCCAGCGGTAGCGAAATACACAACCCTCCCGGAATCAGAAGCAAGACCCTCAAATACACCCTCACGACGACCTCAATTAACCGCAGCAGCGGAACTCTTCTCCGGCGCAGTATCTGGCATCGTATCCCAGAGCTTTTCATATCCCCTCGAAGTGATCCGACGACGAATGCAAGTCGGTGGCGCAGTCGGTGATGGTCGTCGTATTGGAATCATGGAGACAGGCCGCAAGATCTGGCTAGAACGGGGATTCCGTGGCTTCTGGATTGGATTGACTATTGGGTATATCAAGGTTATGCCAATGGCGGCGACTAGTTTCTTCGTTTATGAACGGTTGAAGTGGTCACTGGGCATTTAGACTCGCTCTTACGCCATATTTTACCTTGTTCTATACCATCCATTCTCCATCCTCCATTCCCTTGCTGCATCCTTTGCGTGGCCACCCTTTTGGTTCGGACTCGGCATCTTTTGATTTCCCTTGGCGTTGAGTGGATACTACTTTATTTTTTATTTTTATTTATTTCAGCGATAGAGAGGCTATAAATGGGTCTATGGATTGAAAATACCTGGCACAAAAAATTGGACATAAATATTATTTGCAAATTTATACGTTTCTCACATTCTGCTTTCTTCACTTCAGTGGCAGTAGTGCTTATCCGCTTTATCGTACGCACGGACCATCTGGGTTATTATCCGCAAAAAAAAGTTGAAGGCTTTCAACGCTTCTTTCCAAGCGCGCTTCGCCACGTTTATTACTCCTACATCATGACTTCTCGCAAGCATAACGAATTTCTGGATATAGAAGCCAGTGAAGATGAAGTGAACGACCGCGGCTACGACTCCGAAGAGAACGTGGCAAAGACCAAAGGCCGAGCCGTGAAGCGGCGGCGAACAGCAGACGGACAAGATCTTTTCGGGCTAAAGTCCGATGAGGAAGATTCAGCAGACGAAGCCGAGTCAGAGGAAGAGAAGTCGCGCACAGAGGTGAAGGGCAAAACACGCAAACAGACCAAAGGAAGACTCGAATTAGCCTCTGAAGACGAAGACGAATTCTCCGAAGAAGAAATTGGCCAAGACGGCGCACTTCTCGAGATAGACGACGACAAATCAGCCTCCAAGTCCAAGACAAAATCCAAACCGCTCACACTGAAAGCGCTCAAACCGCCCAAAAAACCCAAAAAGACCGGTATCATCTACCTGTCCTCGCTCCCGCCATACCTCAAGCCCTTTAGCCTGAAGTCGCTAATAGAAAAGCGAGGATTCGGCCCAATTACAAAAGTTTTTCTGTCACCGCTTGTACCCAGCAACTCCGGTGCACGGAAACGCAGCAACAAGCGCCAACTCTATACAGACGGCTGGATCGAGCTTCCCAAGAAAGTAGCTAAGATCTGTGCCGAAGCATTGAATGCCAATATTGTCGGCGGGCGGAAGGGCGGCTGGTACCACGATGATGTATGGAATATGAAGTACCTGCGCGGATTCAAGTGGGAGGATCTTATGGAGCAGGTGCAGCGGGAGAGGTCTGAGAGGGAGGCTCGGCAGCGGGTCGAGGATGCGCGGGCTAAAAAGGAAGAGAAGATCTTCCTTGCTGGTGTTGAGGCTGGTCGTGTGGCTGATGGTATGGCGAGGAAGAATGAGGAGAAGAGGAAGCGTAAGCTTGAGGCTGCGGGTGGTGATGAGGACGTTGTTGAGAGGAAAGCTCCTGCTGTGCGGAGACGCTTCGTGCAAAATAATGTTGTGGGAAGTGATAGGAGCCAGGGTAAGCTTGGTGATGATGCGAAGAGGGTTTTGGGTAAGATCTTTTGAGTTAAGCTCGAATGTTTCCTTCCATATGACATCTAGCTATGGGCCAAAATAGATTTTTCTACACGTCTTAATCGAGTATCTGTTCAAGATGATACATAAGGGTTGAAAATGAAGTAATATGTGTATTGATTGCATGTCATATATTGACAATCCATGTATCCATGTTAAAAACTTTTTTTTTGGAGATGAAAAAAAACATATCAGAACCAAAAACGCCAGCCATGATCGTCAAGGATATCATCCGGAGAAAGCTCAGTCATCAGCCATGGTCAACTCATCGAAATCGTCAAGTAGATCATCCACGTTAATCTCCGGCACACCATCATCACTCTCGCCATCAAGGTCCTCATCCATATCATGATCCTCCACGGGGGCAGAACGATTGTGGACCTTGTAGAGGTCCAGGGTTTGTCGTAGCTCTTGATCCTCTTCAACGTCACGCAAGAACATCTCAAAGTCGGCTTCCATGCGGCTCTGCTCTTGCTCTTGTTTGCGAGAAGTAGGCGCAGCACCACCGGCTTCAGCCTCGGCCTCGTACTCGCGAGCCATACGCTTAAGACGCCAGGCACGGTTCTTGGGCTTCTTCTTGCGGGGGTAGAACTTCTTGACGAGCATCACATCGGGGATGGTCGAGCTGTACTGGTTGTTCGCCTCAATGGCCTCGTAGTTGTCGTCATTGAACTGGGTACCGGCCAGATGGTATCCTAGTGCTGAATCTCCAACATGGAGAACACCACCGAGATGTGTCCGGACGAAGTATGTCTTGTTATTGTGTGCCATATCCGAGACCTTAGCGACGTAGGCTTCGGCCAGATGGTACCGGCCATTAGTCTCGCCGGTGAGTTCAATGTCCATGATAATATACTCCTTCAGCTCTGTCACATCGGCAAGATTCTTAAATGGCGAGCGGAAGTAGGTGCCAGTGGGAACGTCGGTGGTGCGAAGAGTTGAGGGGTCGATAAGGTTGACGGCAGTACCAACACGGTGGCAGAGGGTCAAGGGCGAAATGTTACCCAATTGGCGGGCCAGTTTGATTGGGAGAGCGACCATATCATCCTTACAGATGGGGATCAGCTCAACTGAGTAAGAGAACTTGTAGGACTTGGTAGAAGTGTGGATATCCATGGATATCAGTTCCTGCGACTTCTTCGTCTTGCAAGGAACATTTGACGTCAAAAAGTCCAACATCTTCTCTGCGTGATTGCGCTGAGCAAAGTAGAAGTCCAGGCCGTCCTTCACTTCCTTAATGTTCACGGTATCTTTGTGGATGTTGTTTTTCAACATCAACTGCTCAAGGAAAAGGAATGTTCGCTTGTGCGGCACTTTCTGTCGCACTTGCACTGAAGCTCTCCAGGTGTTGGGTGTGAAACTCTTCTGACAGTCAGGACATTGCTGTGATGCAACGACGTATTCAACCTCGAAAGTTTGCTGAATGATTGTGCCTTGGAACGCTTCCTGCTGGATCGTGATCTTCACCTTAACACGGCGAGAGTGGGGTTCAGTCCAGATGAAACTGGCGTCGATGATGCGGACCTTTGTCAAGCCACGCAAGCGGCGCAGACAGATAGCTAAGAGTTCCTTCGATTCGGGATTTGCAACAACCCAGCTCTGAGGTGGGAGCAACCATCGCTCGCAGTCTTTGCAGGTATGAAGAACGGCTTCTCGCTGAATGCCTTGAGAAACGTCGACGGTGAGTCTCACACAGTCCTGGCACAGTGCTCCAGCAGAGGTGGTTCCATCGATGGGAGCACCACAGTTGCAGCAAAGAATACTTCAAATATGTCAGTACTCTTCGGGTAGCAAAAAAAAAAAAAAAAAAAAAAAAAAGATGTTTCTTAACTCACGTCGCAGCGATAGGCTGATCCTGCATCCCCGTCATGGGGACACCGCCATCGAGATCCATAGACATATTGGATCAAAAGCAGTTAGTCAACAAAAAAATGCAAAGAAGTACAGATCGATGTCTCGATAGAAAAAGAAGAACCCGATTTACAATAACTTTTTGCCCCGCTTTGATTCTTTTTTTACACATGACTCAGCTGTTTGACTTGTTTGCACTCCCGATATCATTATCGCATATTCTTGATTGCAATCTGGACTTTGTTCTTAGCATTATTGCCGTCGACATGAGTAGGGCTTTAATAAGAGGGGCCGTGTGCCAATCCTGTCGAAATGACACTCTTCGGTCTATAATTGCCGTTACAGGCGTACCGATGCCCCGATATACCAACGCTCTTCGCCCTAGCTTCAACTCCAGAGCTTTCTCCGCGATAGGCCTGTCAAGGTCTGATCGGCCTCCTTTTTCAAACCCTGCGGATGTCCAGTCTTCGTCCGTGGAGGAAACGACATTGGAGTCAGAAAACAATGTGACTACTACTACCGCAGCACCCGTGCCGTGGTATCTCAGGGACGAACCAGAAACCACTGCCCAGTCCAAGCCTGTGCCCGGTGATCATATCCCAAAGCTTCCCGAGAATTCTCCAGAAATGCTTCCAATTCTTCTAGAGTATTCATACAAGGATCTGGGCCTTGATCAATTGAAGTTATTCGATCTACGTGAGCTCGATATTCCCGCCGCTCTGGGTGCCAACGTGATAATGATCATTGGAACTGCCCGCAGCGTTAAGCATTTGAACGTATCCGCAGATCGTCTATGCCGATGGCTACGCAGCCAGTACAAGCTATCCCCACACGCCGATGGACTGCTGGGTCGCAATGAGCTGAAGATTAAACTTCGCCGCAAGGCTAAGCGGGCGCGCGCTGCTAGTCATGCTGGTACTATGATTGACGAGAAGGACGACGGAATCACAACTGGATGGATTTGTGTAAATGCAGGCGTGGTGGATAAATCTTCTTCAACGACATCAGTCCGTGAGGCTGGGTTTGAAGGCTTTGGTCAACTCGAGACGGGTACAAGCGTTGTAGTCCAGATCTTCACCGAGGAAAAGAGAGAGGAGGTCGATATGGAGAAGTTGTGGCAGGGAACTCTTGACCGGGCTGAACGAAGTAGACTTGAAGAAAGCTATGCACCTGCTCCTTCGTCAAGATCAACAACCAGTCCTTTTCAAGGCAGCCAGCGAAGGGGTATCTACACAGCATGTCAGCCCATGCAGTCTAAAATTACTGCCGGCTTGAAATCTGTCTTTCCAAACACCATGCAGGCTCCTGGCGTTGAGTCCAGCACAGAATCCCTTCTTCAACTAATGGCTGCGCTTCCTCGTGAAAACTACACTGGCTACAGCAAAGAAATTATTTTCAGCTCCTTCAAGAAGCTCCTTGATCGAGGTACTGATATTTCAGATGACCTGGGCTTCGATATCGTTGCTTCTCTTCTTGCACCTCGTTCGGGACAATACCTACCCCAATCCGATATTGAGCTTGCCTTGCAAGTTCTCGAACGTCTTAGCTTTCGCGGTGTACCAATTCTCAATTTTAAAATGTTTAATCTGCTTTACCAAGTTGCCGACACACCGATGACACCACCGAAAACAACTGAAGAATCCACTAAAACTGCCCAGAAATGGACTCCGTCGCAACGTCAAATTTTGACTCGTCTATCCAAAATTGTGGCCGCAGCAGATGTTCCATTCAACGAAGTTGAGGCACGAAAGCTCATGTTTACACAGTTTCGGTGTGAAGACTATGATGGGTTCTGGCGTTTGTGGCGACAGTTGCCCTTGAAAGGTGCTAGCCGGACGTACGATGATTACGCCCAGCTTTTCCAGCTCCATGCTGAGCTGGGTGAGGAACGACGAGTGCGAGACTGCTTGTCCATTTGGGTGCCCATGATGGCTCGTGAGACGAATCCTATTGCATTGGAGGGCCCGCTTGTATCTTCTGTTGTGCGCTGTCTTCTTATTGCAGACCCGGCGATTCGAAATCGGGCAGAAGACGGCTCTCCAAGCTACTTCCTTGATATGTGGACTCGATGCCAACAAGCATTGTAGATCGAAGCCCGGAAACATTGTATATTATATCTAGTGTATACTGTCAATTAAAAGAAATGACTTTGATTCCTGTGTTTTCAATTTGTAGTAAATTTCTCAACCTTGGAACTCGACCTTAGAAAACTACTTAGGCATCTGCATGTAGTCCTGGAGCTTCCAAGTCCCCCTGGGCAGGAGTTTGCCCTTTTCTGTGAGATATTTCGGGGGAAAGAATAGGCTCAGTCAGCCTTTTAAGGATCCATGGATGTTAAGACATTCCAAGGTTTAAAGCCACAGTAGGTAAGGTATGATACCTAGGTATGATATGGTCTCCTCATTGATATGCGTAGACTGTAGAGTATGTGGACGTAGTGATGCAAAGAAAAAAGTTAATGCGCTACCTATATAACTGAAAAATACGCGTACAGTAACCTCTCTTCTCTGCCGGCAGCCAACAAGGGCTATCAAACAATGAAAAATGGTATGAGAGTGATAATATCGCAATTTTGGGTAAAAAAATTACTGGCCACTCGCGAGGGCAGGCAGGTGTGAGGCTATAAATCTAGAATCAACAAAATAGCAATCCGTCCATAGTAATCTCGGAAGGTTCCTCACTGATACTATGCACAAGGACGAAAACAGAAAAGAGAAGAAAAGAAAGAAGAGGGAAGAACTATCTACTTAAAATTAAATGGGACATAGCGTAGAGACTAGAACCGCAATGAGCGGTGACCTCGTCGACGACATCATACAAGCGACATATGGTCATTTATGCTGACCTAGGGCATGGCAGAATAAACTATAACAGGGCGGTGAATGTTTATAGATGCGGTTGATAAGCCTCGGCTGTCGATCACTTCGCTCATCACCTTTCTATAATATTCCTGAGCACTATCATTCGAGGATGATTGGTACTCAGAAGAATGGAGTATCTTCCTAGTCTTCAACAGGAGTTTGATGAGTCGAAGCCTTCGCTCTTCGGTAAGCCATAATACTACCACAGCTCTCATGTCAAAAGCAGAGTCACTGACCACTTTACTACAACACAGAACTCCTTGCTGAACAGCAGCTCTCTGGTCTACTTCCTCCATCTATCCGATATCTTCTTGCGGTTGCGACACACCGTCACCCTCGATACCTTCTCCGAATTCTCAACTCTTACGACGAAATCTATGCGCTCCTCTCGCTCGTCGTCGAACGCTACTATCTGCGCACATTCGGCGGCTCTTTCACTGAAAACTTCTACTCCCTCAAACGCGAGCGTGTTCTTCGCACGAAAGATGGCGAGATTCCACGTGCTCAGATTGGTGCTAGTGTTCCCGTGCGCGACGCCCTCAAACTGCGCTCAACAGACGTGTGGAAGAACCTTCTCGTCATGGTTAGCATCCCGTACCTGAAGCGTAAGTTAGACGAAGGATATGACATCCACGCGGCACCACAGGCATCCTTGGTCATGGGCGGCGGGCCGCGATATAACCCCAGTGACGACCTCCCGCACAATCCATCCATACGCCAACGAATATTCCACTACTATAAGTGGTTCCTACGCAATATATACCCATCCGTGAACGCGGCGTTCTATTTTTCAGTTTTAGCATTCAATCTCGCCTACCTTTTCGATAATACCAAATACTCTTCTCCTTTCCTTTGGCTCATCAAGACGCGCATTCGCCGCCTTGGCGCCGCTGACCATCGCGCCATTGCGGCTGTCCTGAATTCTAAACCCACTATTGGTGGTAGACCGTCTCAGCGACCAGGCTCGGGACTTTTAGGTCTACTCAGTCCTCAAAACCTTAATCGCCAGCTTCTAACACCACTTCGCTACTTCCTCCCCGCATCTATCTTTGCTTTGAAATTTTTAGAGTGGTGGCATGCAAGTGACTTCTCGCGCCAATTGACCCGTAAATCAACCGAAGTTCTCGATCTGCCTGCCCCCGTTGTTTCCGGCCTGACAAATCCAGCTGAAAGGCGCAAGTCAAGCCAAGACGAGAAGGAGACGAAAACAACAACGGACCTCAAATCTGCACTTAAACCCTCTCGCCGCAACCAACCTCCCATATCCGCTATCTCATATCTTCCTATTTTTACTGTCCCCTTGCCACCAGCAGATACATCAAGCGCAAATATGTGTCCTGTTTGTTTGAATACACTTGTCAATCCGACAGCGTGCCAGACAGGATACGTATTCTGCTATGTATGTATCTTCCACTGGCTCAATGGCGAACATCAGCGGCAGCTAGATTTTATGGATGGAGATGCTGCCGGTGCACCTTGGGAAGAGGAGATCGCTGGTGATGACGAAGAAATGGAGCGAACAGATAGTAATGCAGAAGACAAAAAGTCACACAAACGTGGCGGTAAATGGGAAAGTGGAAAGGGCAGATGTCCTGTCACTGGACGGAGAGTCCTCGGTGGAACGGAAGGCTTACGGCGTGTCCTGGTCTGATGTGTATATCAATACATTTTATTTCTCCCTACTATACATAGTACTAGTCAATCCTAACTCAATCCTTTAACCTTCGGAGATTGAGCTAATATGGGGTTGAGCGTATAGATTAATTATATGCCGCTCCGCTGACTCTCCGGGGGCCGCAGCCGTGGAGGCCGTCTATTTATCCTAGATGCCAATGAATGCTAATACATGCCAATGCATGCTAACGATAGCCTCTAGCGTCGCGGTAAACCCTCCCATAGTATCTCCATGTTCATTACTATTCAATGGCTCGCTCAAGGATCTGTAAGCGCGTACCATGACTACTAGATGACAGTATACGGGTAGGACGAAGTCTATAAGGTATGGTTATAGGAGCCGAAACTGATATGGTGGGTGACGTTTAATATCAGGTGATGATGACTGCTTTGTCAGAATCAAATATTTTGATAGTATATGTCATATGTCTAGGAATTAATTATTTATGTTTTGCTTCGCTCAACAATAAATTCAAGCACGCTCAAGCACGCTTAACACATGCGATCTATGACCTGATTCATCGCTTGTGGGGCGGTTGGGAGCGTGAATAGTTCTGATATGGCCTCGGGGCCTACAAGATTGTGTTACCAGTACTTTTGACAAGGATATTCATTGCTAAAAGCGGGGGATCCAAGTAAGTATTCGTAAGCAACTGTCCAGGGAAGTTACTAAAGGCAGCCTGGTGCCCGAGATGATATTCTTGATACTCCCTAATCATAAATTAACCTGATTACTCCGAGCAACGATGGCTTCTAGTAAGCCCTCAAACAACAAGTCCTTCAATTCATATATCAATGAAGCTAATCAATGACCTCAGATAACGATGAGTCTCTCTCAAACGGCGAGTATCCGCCGCGCGCGGACTTGCGAAAGATGCTAGATGAGCATCCATTGCCTGTTCTCACCCCGGGATTAATAGACCCGGTCACGATGACTGCTAATGAAGCGAACAGACAGGCAAAGGCCGTCTTAGACCAATTCAACAAGGCACTTCTCGCCGATGATGCGAAAGATCTTGAGAACTGCTTCTATGCTGACCAGGCGTATTGGAAAGACCAATTGGCATTGACTTACCACTTGCGTACATTCACAACACCCGGTGTAATTGCTGCCAGTCTTTTGGAAACAAAAGCCCTGAGAGGGCTTGCAGATGGTATGGAGATCGATAAATCAGCTATGTTCCTTCCAGTAACACCCGTTCTGGTAAGTCGGTTGCTTGGATTGGTTGAGGGTTATGCTGAACATCGTTTCTCCTAGCAATACATTCACTGCCCTTTTACTTTCCACACTAGCTCACCGGGTGCTACCTGCAGGGGCAAGATACTGCTTCTTCCTGTTGTTGAAGCTGGTAGTCAAACGATCGATTGGAAGATTTGGATATTGAGTACCAGACTCGAAAGCCTTGATCTGCAACATGAGGATCTGGAACTATTAAAGTCGCCGAAAGAAGAATTTGGAAAACTTGAGAGCTATACGATTGATGTTTGCATTATTGGAGGTGGAAATGCGTAAGTCGAGGAGAATTGTAGATGATGAATAACTTGATGAACTTAGTTTTTAGTGCGGTTGCTCTATCTGCCCGTCTCAAGGCCCTCAACGTCACAAGTGTGATGCTCGAGCAAAATCCCCATCCAGGCGATAACTGGGCTCTTCGCTATGACTGCATGCAGTTTCATATTCCGACATCATACTGTGAACTGCCCTACCTGTGTACGTCATTTTTTAGTGAAATTATCTTCAGGACCTTGAAAGGTCATTTTGCAGATATTGGACTGAAGCTAATTATCATCAGCTTATGACAAGGGGCTCCAAACGCCACATTTCTTGACTCGCGATGAGCTGGCCTCACAGATACGGCGATACATAGAAGCGTTTCATCTCAACACTATCAACTCGGCACAGATTAAGTCAACCCATTACAACAAGATAGCCGAGAAATGGGAGATTATTTACAGAACTCCTGCTGGACAGCATAAGGTTACCGCAAGACAGCTTGTCATGGCGACAGGTATAGGATCGCAGAAGCCCAATATGCCACATATTGCAGATCGTGATGTGTATAACGGTATTAGCATCCATTCGGCTAGATACAAGAGTGCCAAGCTACTGAAGGAGCAGGGTGCCAAGGTGAGTGAAGGAACCGATATTAACGAAGGACTACAGAGCTGTGAACTGACTGTATTTTAGTCCGTCATTGTTGTTGGCTCTGCTAATACAGCTTTCGATGTACTCGAAGACTGCAATGCTGCAGGTCTTCAGTCAACAATGGTCGTCCGATCTCCAACATACATCCTTCCCGTGGACTATGTCTGTGACAAACTCGCTCTAGGTGCCTACGATGCTGGCGTCGAGGAAGCCGATGATATCTTCATGTCATTACCGGCCTACGTTGATGGCCAGCTAGTCCGAGGTCTGCTCGCGATGTTCGCATCCAAAGAACCCGAGAGATATGCTGCCCTTGAAGCAGCAGGGTTCCCCGTCATCGATAGCCGTGATCCAAGTTCAGTTCTAAACCATTACATACTAGAGAGAGCTGGCGGTCACTATATTGATGTAGGTGGCACTAAGGTACTGGAAACTGGTCAAGCCGGAGTAAAGGCTAATGTTGAGCCGGTTGCGTTCACCACCGGCGGCCTTCGATTTTCAGATGGCAGCACTGTTGATGCGGATGCTGTGGTCTGGTGCACCGGCTTTGTAGTGAATGTTGGTGAGACTGCGGCTGAGATTTTCGGAGGATCATCTGATACAAGCGTCAATGCTGATGAGAGTGAACATCTCCTGGGTCCTCTTGAGATAGCTTCCCGTCTTGATAGTACGTGGGGTGTGGATGTCGAGGGAGAAATCCGTGGAGTGTGGAAGCGCCATCTCCGACTTGACAACTTCTGGACGACGGGCGGCCAAACCCAGCAACATCGGTGGCACTCGCGTACACTTGCACTCCAACTTAAGGCTGCCTTGGAGGGTGTTTTGCCGCCAGCTTACCGGAGGACACCCATTCTGTCCAGGGACTAATTTTCTTTCGATTAGATAACCAATTAGATTCTAGGACAGAATCAACAGATGAACTACTTGAATTTTGGTGGAACTGTTCTTGATAGCCGTTTGAATTTGCGAAATTGATCCTCCGATGCAGATTATAATACAAAAATACAAAAATACAATCAAACCAATACTCGCTATGGAGAAGAAAACAGATGGAGAGCTATAGGGTAAACAGGTAGCTTAGATGCTTATGAAACAACGTATGGCTCTACATTCTCCCCAAAGATCAAATGAGGTCTCTCCGCCGCGATCTTCAGAATAGTCTGCGCGAAGACCGAGTTGGCCCACGCGAACCAAGGGCGGGTATATACTTTGATATTAGTGACATCAATAGACTCGTGCACTAGGCCAAGAAGACTTGAGTTTCGGACAAGCTCGATACACTCTAAAATCTCCGAGTCGTTGTTGGAAGTCATCGCTTGCACGAGGAGTGACATGGGCCAGGCATTTTGTAGTCCGACTGGAATGGATTATGTGAGTAAGACCCTACAAGTGGCAGCGTACTAGGGAGAAGGACTTACTATGTGGACCGCCAATCCCATGGAAGGCGGGACCTTCTAGGTAATAAGGGTTACCAGACTTTTCGGTGATCATCTTACGGGTATTTTGGTAGACTTCATCGGTTTGGCTCACGAAGCCCAGGTATGGAAGAGCTAAGAGCGATGGAATGTTTGCATCGTCCATGATTGTACGAGATCCGTAGCCATCCACTTCAAAAGCGTAGACATCGCCGTATTTGACATGGTGTACGATGCCATGCTCGCGGACTGCGGCAGCCAGATCCTTGCCCCGCTGTTTTAGTTCCTTGATGAGGCTATCGTGACCACCAGCCTTTTCAATTATACCAGCAATCTTCTGAAGTTCAACAGACATCATAGCATTGGGTGGAATAAAGTATCCGAAGATGGCAGCATCATCGCTAGGGCGGAAAGCGCTGCGAATGAGACCAGTGCCGCTATTAAGTGGGTTGCCAACACCACTCAAAGCCAAGGTCTCAGTACCAATATTAGTCTGACGCTGGAAGGTATATTGGTTAGTAACGAACTGATTCTTCGAGTTAAAAGAGGGCTGTGATTGTGCATTAATGACCCGAAGGACTGTGTCCAGAGCCTTGAACCAGCGGTCGTTCAAAAATTCAATGGATCCGGTGCTCTCATGGAATTCAGTCGCCAGCAAAAGGAAATGTGCCAGTGAGTCCAGTTCATACTTGCATTCGTAGACGAACGATTTGTCGTAGGTTGGGTGCACATTGTCACTTTGACTGCTTTCCTCGGGTTTAATGCCACTCACAGAGGGCGGTTGAAAGGCATTGCAGTATGGAGACTGGATCACGAATTCGGCTTGCGTATGAATCGCTCCAATGATAAGGTCATACAGACTCTTGTCACTGGCGGCCAGCGCCTGATAGTTGGTGAGCTGCCTAGTCGAGTCGCGGAGCCACTCCGCATTTATGTCACCCGTCACGACAAAGGTGTGCGTGCCGCTCCAGTCCGAGGTGTCGCGTTTGTTCCTCTTCCGAGTTGCAGCCGAACTTGTGCCATTCGTGTGCCACCTTATTGTTGTGTCCAAAGTGTTGGGGTAGGCATTTCGGAATAATTGGGCAAGGTCCTTGTCGACCAGGCGCGACGTCACATCTTCGATGACCTGCTCAACTGCCGGTGATGAAAAGGTGCGGCATGCTAGGGCAGGACGCTGGTATGGGAGGTTCAAGGGACCGCCACTATACGGAGCACTGGAAGACGCCAATTTAGTTGAGTAATTGCTGGTGTTGGCTGATGAGGGGTACTCTACTCACTGCGGCGTCGAGGCGTACGAGGTGTACTCCGGACATGCGCGTCGCAGGATCGCAGGACTATCGCCAGGCGTAGCACTTGCAAGACTTAGAAGTGGAATAGCCGCAAGGAGTGCGGAGAAAGACATGCCAGGCGAGTTAAGATTGAGAGGGAAAAGAGGCACCATCTGAGACCCGGGAGCGATTAAATAACAGACGAGCCTTCCTATTTATCACAAACAGGGGCGCGCATTCCTCTCGAATTGGAATTGATGGAAGAACTACGGACTAATTTGGCGGGGAAATTAGTCAACATTATTCAGTTGCACTGTCTCCGCTTGTAAATGCGGAGAAGCTTCATGATCACCGTTTGTTTACTTCTTGTCCCCTCTCACCTCACACTCCCAGTACACAACACACAACTCTCCATTAAGAATCTAAAAGAGGAAAAAGACCACAAGAATTATGAACGATGACTGCGACTGCAATATCTACCTCTTCCTGTACAGTCCTGTTTCAATGTAAAGTGGTACAAGTGTATAAAACATTGGGACGATTAAAATTTTCAAGTGTGTATCGAGAGGACATTGGAACAATACCAGTTGATCTATAATGACTGATCTATAACTAAGTCTAATGAGGATAAGACATTTCGAGTACGGATATGGCTGGATGGGACATAGATGCGCAATAACTAATATTATTATTGTAGCTATTACTTTTTGCCAAAGAATGACATGATATTGCCCTGGCCAGGTTTTCCTCCCTTGGCTTTGGGCACATTAACTGCTGGCTTCTTCTTGACCGGTGCTGGTTCATCCTCGGAGAATGATTCCCATGAAGGCTCTTCTCTAGTCACTGTTCTCAAGTCAGCATAGACCAATCAAGGCCAGGGTGGACACTTACCTAGGTAACCCTCTTCATCCTTGACTGTGCGCTTCTTCATGACTTGTCGTCTGCCGCGGCGACGTCCTCCTTGCACCGATATCTCCTCCTTCAACTCGACTGGTTTAGGAGGCGGCAACTGTTCCATAGGAGTCGGTTCGCGCTCTGGTTCTTCATCGGCGTCGGGCATTTCCTCATCTGCGACCATGTTAGTTATTTATGTATCAAATGAGAACACATAATTGAAAGTACCATCGGCTTCATCATCTTCCATCATCTTTCTTAATTTATCTTCGCGCTCTCTCTTGCTTTCGCGACTAGCTTGGTCTTTGTCCTTGTCAGCTGAATCTGGGAACAACTCCTCTTGCTCTTCCTCAGAGGCATCATCCATGACCACTAGAAGGTGTTAGTAAGAATTCCGGAAGTTGGATTGATGAGACTGACCATCTTCTAAAGGCGCAGTTGGCTTGGACTTCGGCTTTGCCTTCGCAAAAGAGCTGAAGAGGTTGCCCTTCTGCTTCGGGGGTACTGTTTTGGTAGACGTGTTGACTGATGATTGAGTACCACTAGCAGAGGGTTGTGATTTGGGCTCTTCTGCCTTAATATCCGACTTCACACTCTCTTTTTGAAGAGGTCTCTTGGCAGGAACAGTCGATTCAGGTTTCTTGGCAATTGGCTCTGATTTCTTGGGTACAGGGACTTCTGGCGGCGGGGGTGGGCGTGTCCCGGTTCTCCGCTTGACATTGTGATTCTGAATCATGCCCCATTGCTTTCCACACTCGAGGGGATCTTCTTGCGCATGCACCTTGGCAGTTTCCTCGGCCGCATCTGTCAATGTGTTGAGATCTTGGATCACCGTGGACTGGATGCTATAGATATGAATTTTAGAGATAGACTGGAAGGTAGCTTTCGCATCTGCTCAATATGGGTTACAAATTAGTCTTCGTCAATAGGTGTCTGGCAGATAGAGCCTCGTACCCTCCAAATCTTCCTCCCGGGCTAGTATGATCGAGGAAATGCGCACTGATTCAGATGAAGAATCTTGATTTGGCATTGAACTAGGGAGATAGGGACTGCTTGGTGGGACCTCGTCATCCTTGTTCGCATTGCCATTGCCATTGATCGTAGATTGCTCTTGAATACCGGAGATAACGTAGGTTGCGTGCACAGTCTGTGGTGTCTTTGCGTTTTCATTTCGATGGAATTCAAAAAGGATCCTATATTGCATGGTGAGGATTTTGTCCTTGGCTCACAACTTCAATGAAGGTATAAGAAGATCATACTGTTTAGCACGATTGGCGTGAACTTTCAGCGCGCGGCTCAATGAGCGATAGGTGATCTAAAGGAATTAGTAACAACACAGTAGCCACTTGAAAGAAAGACTCACTGTCTGGCGCTCATTCAGCACATTTTCTGCCAGGAATATCTTGGGATCCATCTTGCTTGAAGCTGGTAATTTTGAACGACGCGTGTTGATGCCACTTTACGCGTATCAGTCAGCAGTGGGTCTTGGCAACCAACAGCTCCACCTTTTACATCTTCCTTCTCACACAGTTGATCTGCTGATCTCGAAAGGGGACCAGTCACAAATATCCAGGATCTTTCCACTTGCTCACATGGAGATCTCATTTGACATACCCGATGCTACAGATTGGCTCGGAACACCATTGCATTTAGTCGCCCCATTGGAATCGCTACTACGATGCCAGGTTTGCAAAGACTTCTTCGAGAACCCCGTGATTACCTCTTGCTCTCATACATTCTGCTCCCTATGCATTCGCCGCTGTCTCAGTAATGATGGCAAGTGTCCCATCTGCCGCGCTACCGACCAGGAGCTCAAATTGCGCCGGAACTGGGCAATCCAGGAATTTGTCGAGGCTTTTCAGACTGCTAGGCCAAGTACGCTAGATCTTGCACGAAAAGAGGCAGATCGTTTGAAAAATGCCGACAATGAGATCTCGGAACCACCAGCCAAAAAGCGTAAGGCCGAAAATACGCATCAATCGGAAACTGCCGACCTCCAGGATTCGAGACCTCAACGCGCCCGAACAAGATCGCAACACAATACAGTGGATATCCAGGAGCAGGGATATGAACCAGAAGTTATAGAAGACTCTCAAGATGAGGAGTACATTCCAGGTTTGTCTCAATCTCAATATTGTTTTCTGCGCGTCACGAACTATGTTAACTCTTTTGGTAACAAAAGACGGTCTCGTCAAGTGTCCTATATGCCAACGGCAGATGAAAAGCGAGTTGATAAATAGGCATCTAGATACATGCCTTGTTAAGGATGAGCCAACTCCTCAGATGCCAGCAGCACATATACCGGCAGCTTTTAGGTATGTTAGAGCTACATAAGTTTGGGCTATCAATTCTGATCGAGCTTCTAGATCATTACAAACACATCCATATCCGAACTCACAACAAAAACAGTTGGAACGATTACCTACAATGAACTATAATTTATACAAGGAAACACAACTCCGAAGAAAATTCCAAGACCTGGGTATTCCAAATTGGGGGCCCAGGGCTCTGATGCAGAGGCGCCATACCGAGTGGATCAATTTGTGGAATGCCAACTGCGATGCCACAACCCCAAAATCGAAGGGAACATTGCTTCGGGAGCTCACAGTTTGGGAGAATACACAGGGTGGACAAGCAGGGCCATCATTCGAGAGGAAATCAATAACTAGCAAGGAATTTGACGCAGCTGGATGGTCTGCTAATCATGACGATGACTTCAAACGTCTCATTGCGAACGCGCGCAGACGAACCGAGCAGGTCAAATCCACAATTCCTGCCGCTCCACAGGCAAATAACACCGAAGCTTCTGATTTACCACCCCTCTCTACTCCGGTTGGGGAAACCCCGGATATGAATCACCCTGGTCTGTGGGAATCGTAATGGATCCCTACGCTATGTTGCTACTTGATAGGTAGCTCTGCTTGAATCATGGAGAAAACGCATTGTCAGCGCGTAGATGAACTTCATTTTGCGTTCAACGGCTGGTCTTCCACCGACATATTCGAGAGCCTGTCAATGCTGTTTGCCAGCTCAGATTCCAGGTCTTTTGATGCCTGTGCTTTGCGAGCCGCCTCATCTGACGCTTGTTTTGTGCTGTCCAACTCGGCAAGCTTCTTCCGAGTTTCCTCTGCCTCTTTCTCTTCTCTTGCCTCGCGATCGCCCTTCTCCAGCGCTTCAAGCTCGTCATCGATCTCACCCTCATCAATGACCGGCCCAGCTTCGCTCATGATACTTCCGATCTCATCGACCTTGGCCATCTCCTCACGCAACTCCTCGACCACATCTTCGACACGCTCGGCACCGCCGATCTTGGTATGCATTCCACGAAGAACACCAGTACTTGCTTCCATTACTTGCACAATCTCCACCTGGTCAGCAGCCTGCTCAATCTTGGAATAAACCTCTTCGAGCTGCGCCAGCGTGGCAAGTCGTTGAGAGAGATTATACTCAACCATCTTCTTGGACTTGACAGCCGACAATGCCGAGATGCGATTTTTATTAGCGAGAGCCGTCTTGGCAGATGCTGTCAAGCCAGCAATTTTTGCTTCTAGATTCATGACCTGTTTTGATATCGTAGATAGAAGTGTCTTGATTGAGGCAATGGTAGTATCCTGATGAGTGATCTGTGGACACTCATCCCCTGACTTGAACTTGACAGTCTGGTACAGAATGGTCAGCTTTTATAGATATTTTTTGCTGTACATTCACATACCTTTCCATCATATGCAATGACGCCACAGTCGCGCGAAAGATACAGCAAAAGAACGTCAAAATCAGAACTAGAGAGCTCAGTGGCATCATGTAGAATAGTCGCAAAATTCTCAGTAAAGCTTTCCTTCGAGCATATAAGATCAAGCTTGGAAGGATTCCCGGCCATCGCCTTTTTAATAGTCAAATTTGCAGCTTCCTATAAATAAGCTAAAAATTAGAGCTCATTCAGCGGACCAATACTCATCATATACTAACCTCCAAATTCTGACCCAATACCAGTTCTTGCACCTGCAGTTTTGGTGAAGTATCGCTCTCGCCAATCACAAATCCTTTCAACTGGCGGAACCCCCAATTTATAATATTCAGCGGGCTCAAAGCTCCAGGATCAATAAGCCTCCACTGACTTTTGCGCAAACTCCCCGCAGTCGTCATAAAGATAGGCAAAGGAACCATAGAATGCTTTTTCATAGCCTCTTCCTGAGTTGAAAAAGGTAGTTAGCAGCAATTTCGAGAGCTCGTTCATGGACAGAATAAGAGTTGTAGCATACAATTACTGCTCCCAAGGCAACGGGTCTCCCCCACTCTGGAAGTTCCAAATCTCGTAATAGCGACTCATCCGTTCGCAGGATAAGGTGATCGGTTATCTTGGAGTCGGCACCTTTCTGTGACGAAAGAGACCCCGAGCGTGCACGAGTTCCTCGCGAAGATGTGTAGCCACGCTTGGCAGCCCTGTTCAGGGCTTGTTCCCATGCCGCAACGTTGACGGCATACCCGTCTGGATTTGTCTGCTTTTGAAGGGTAAAATCGGAGTATAAGGATGGTAGGCGATTTCTAGTGTTTGGAATTATGGTATATTAGTTCCGCTCTTCACTTTTGTGCCGTATCGCTTTATATTTGGAGGCTTCGGTACCTTCGAAAGGCCTCCTCGTTGTTGAGGATGTAATTTAAGAGGTCGCTCATATCGGTCACTTTATGGAATCTGTCTGGAGTCAAGCGTTTAATTTATTGTGGGAATACATGTGATATTAGACAGAGGACGTTGGGTAGAGGAGGTTCTTGCGTGGGATGGAGTCGATTGTCAACACCTGAGCACTGGGGCAACCACATCCCAGCTTTATCGATAATGGCACGTGATCTACTTTATACATTGAAGAAGCCATTAAATGGGATTAGTAAATTAGATGCACAGATATAGGTCTGCATTCTATTATATGGTAAGATGATAAGGATTCTTGTTCATGGTCTATGCTCGTTCAAAGTCATCATTAGGTGGATTTTCAGGGTCCCTGGCCCCGGAGCTCGTGGTGAGATTGCCCGCATCCAGCTGTGCAGGGGGTCCGATCAACGAGCGCCGATGGCTGCGCTTGTCTAGCTTTTCGCTGATTTCTTCGGTCCCAACAACATCCTCTGAAACAGGGTCATCTTGAGCGCCAAATCCTCTTGACTCGAGGTATTCAACCTTCACCGCGTGACGTAATTTATCGGCAAAATTCTGCATCTCAGGCATTGGGAATACACAGTCAGTTTCGAGAGCATCAGCGTAGAGCCGTTCCGCTTCTTCAAGGCATGCTGAAGCCAGATTGGACTTTCCAGCTTTGAGCCATTGATCAGCTGCGAGGATGCTCCACATCCCAGCCTTGCGACGACGTGCGCCCCATTTAGCTCCCGCCACTGGTGTCTTGGAGGCATAACATGCGGCAACACGCTCCATGAAGAGGTTATGTCCGACAGTGCCAACCAGTCCAAAGTCCATGACCCGCATGGCCCATTTAGCGGCACTCTCGGTTGCAGACCCGCCACGCGACTTCAGGAGCTCTACAGCCATAGTCAAACATCGGAGTGCATGTAGTGTGTCCTGGCACCGAGTGAGGTAGGAGTAGGCTGCAGTCTCAAACATATGGTCGACACTTTCAAGCTTGATCTTGGAAGACATAGCCAGTGGGTTCAGTAGCATGCTGATTGCGCACATTTCATGAGCACCAGCATGATATTTCCAAGCCTTGTCGTTGCCAAAGTCCACGCGAATCATCTCGTAAATCGAGGCAGAGAGTTTCCAATCACGGAGCATGAAAGCGAAATCGGCCATCTTTCGCAAAATGGCTTCCGGTAAATCAGGGCTGTAGAAATTGTCGGTTATGTTGTAGTTTCCACTTCCACCGGATGAGCCGGTGATACTTGACCGTGAGCTGGAACCGAAGCCAGCCCATCGCCGTGACATTGACATAAACCGACCGCTGATACCACGTCGTCGCGAAGCAACTTGGTCATTCCAAATAGCTACTCGATTCTCCATAAACGGGATCACAGACTGTACTATGAGTTCCCTAATGAAGGTTTTGATTGCTGAGGCATCAGAGTCGAAGAGGTACGGAGTACCGTCTGTACCAAGATCCACCAGCGTTTCTGCTTTTGATGTTAGATTCCGTGCCTTTCTGAAAGAGATTCAAATCTACGACTTGCCTGCTTCCCCGACCCCCGACAGTCGCTCCTGTGGGGAAAGCCATTCACATAGGGGAATTTGAACACTATCATCGTCTGTCACCACACACTGGCTACTCCGAAGTCTCAACAGATGACAGTGTAGCCCGAAATGTCGCTTCATTTGATCGTATAATTTGGTGGATTCTGTGATATCGTCACGCTCCTCGTCATGAACCAACACGTAGTATCGAAGATACTCCTGATTGACGTAGTCGGGTAAGCGTCTGTCTCCTGTGCTGCTTTGCGCGTAAAGCTGTCTCAGTGTCTCCAGTGGCGCTGAATTACGCGACGAGATAGTTATTACGCTTGCAACGGGATGCGAAAATGTCTCATGGGGAGCCGGGGCCGTGGACGACAGAAGCTGTCGCAGAAACAGCTTAGATAGAGGTGTTGTTGCAGGAAATGCCAAAATGTCCTTGGATGATAGTGCTTCGCTGAAATTTCCATCGGTCGAATTCAGCTGGTTCTCGAGCACCTCTTCCATTTGCGTGACTGTGTCTTTTCCAGAATTTGGGCCAGTCGGAGTCCGACCAAACCCTTTCAAATCCACGAAGCGCACTCCATAGTCTTCCCAAGCGCGACTCGCTCCAATACTGTCGCGAATAACTACCTTTCCCGGGATGTTCTCACCAAACGGCTTGATCAGTTCGCAGAAGCCTCCTTTGAACCCCTTATTCCTCACCAAATCATCGGTGTCTTCCGAAGCATAAATCGCGACGGTTGGTGAAAAGCCCCGAATCAGCAACGACCTGATATCCTCCGAGCCATCAAAGCGACCATCAATCGACCCGAGTGACGAGCGAGCTAATTGTGGGGTAGACGATCTAATGGAGCGGGCCTGTGGCGAAGCAGGGTGGATGGGCAGTTCTGTGGTCGTAGCTGAGAGGGGTGTGGGCGGTGTTGGAGAGGCCCCTCCTGCCCGGGCCTCTGCCAGTTCCGTATCTATTGTGGGCGTCGATTCGGTCTCGTCCGGATATCGTGACTTGGATGCGCCACGCGCAACGGACGGCGGAGGTTTGACCGGCGTTCCATCCCCGGGCGATGTCATGGACACCGAGTACTTTCTGAAAGTCGGAGGCTAAGAAAGAGAATCGACAGACCCCATGGACTGGAAATTCAAAGGGAATTAGTCCTGATATTAGGCAATAGCGTGTGATGGAATGTCAGGCTGAGGTTGGGTGTTGTTGATTAAATGATGGGGGAAGCCAAGCTGCGGGATTCGCCGATTTGATTGGGACGCGAAGTAGAAGGGCGCACTTGGAGAGAATACAAGTCAAAAGTCTGCGATAAATAATTTCACGATCACAATCAATCAAGAATCGAAGTCGAGGATAGTTTAGAAGGAGTTTTAAGTGATTAGTAAATTTGGCATGAAATTGTACAACACGTGAGGGCAGCTTTATCGGCATTGAGTCACTATTTTTTTTGTTGCTTTATTTCTTTCCCCGCAAAATCTCCATGGCTGTCAATGCCCAAGTTGCGCTTCTCTGACTCATTGCTTGGGGTCTTTCGCCATTCTTCATCTAAGACTGTCCTTCCCTGGGCCAGACCAATACATTACACATGCGCTCTCATTTTCCGCAAACCTATCCGCACCTTCACAACAATCTGGCATACTGTAATGCGTGCTCGCGAAATCGATTCTCACTCCCCAGGACCTGCGAGCAAACGAAGACGCATATCATCTATATTTGAGCAGAGGAAATCTCACGAAATGGATCTTGTCACCGCCACTATTGAACTCACTCCGATCGAGGCAACCCTACGAACCCTCCTTCTCGACGTCGCACAATACGTTGATGAGAAAAATGAGTTGGACAATGAAGGCGATACAGCTAAGAAGCCTGCAACAGTCCTGCGTTTTACAGGCGGCTGGGTTCGCGACAAGCTTCTTGGGGTAGACAGTCATGATATTGACGTGGGAATTAGCAGCATGACAGGCTACACGTTCGGAATGGCCTTGAAGGAATATCTTGATATTCCAGAGAACCTCGAAAAGTACAAGAGGCTAGATCGTGATCAACATGATGAGATTGTGAGCTTGCACAAGATCGAGGCTAACCCAGAAAAATCTAAACACCTGGAGACTGTCACAACCAAGATCTTTGGACTCGATATTGACCTGGTCAACTTGCGCAAGGAGACATACACTGAAGATAGTCGCAACCCACAAATGGAGTTTGGAACTGCACAAGAGGATGCAATGCGACGCGATGCGACCATCAATGCCCTATTCTACAACCTGAATGAATCGCAACTAGAAGATTTTACCGAACAAGGCCTAGAAGACATGAAAAAACATATCGTTCGGACACCTTTGGAACCATACCAAACATTTAAAGATGACCCACTCCGCGTTCTGCGAGTGATTCGCTTTGCGAGCCGACTGGGCTACAATATCGATCCAGAGGCTGAGGCAGCAATGCAAAATGAAGACATCAGGGAAGCGCTGAAGCTGAAAATAAGCAAAGAGCGTGTTGCAGCTGAGCTTGAGAAGATGTTGCGTGGTAAGTCACTCAGCAGGTTAGATATAAATCTGGTTGCTGATCATTTCTTCCTAGGCCCCGATCCTCGCGGCGCATTGGAACTTATTGACCGGATCGGACTGTATTCCACTATCTTTGCCAATCACCAAGATAATGTTAAGGCGAGTACGTCGACCTGGCCTATCGCCTACAATTCTTTGCCCTTTTTGCTTCACCCTGAACTCCATCAAGACGAAACTGCTCAGGAGGTATTGGGTCGCCTTCGACAGATCCTGTTCCGTGACCCTGCGAGCGCATATCACGCTTGGATGATCGCAGCCTTTGCTCCATGGACGGCCATCCCCCCTCGGGCTGCTACCGGCCCCAAGTACAAGCCACAGACTACGCGTCCAGTTGACGTCGCCCGAGACAGCCTCCGCTCGGATAACAAAACCATGACCATCCTTCGCGATGCCACCTGGAACTATAAGGATATCATTGAATTCAAGTCTTCCCTGCTCGTTAATTCTGAGAGAGACTTAAGTGCCGAAGTTCGGCAGCAAGTCGGCCTACGGATCCGGCTCTGGGGCAAGGATTGGAGATTGTGCATTGTGCTAGCTTTTCTCCAGGAACTCATGCAGGGAGGCAACATCGTTGCAGGTATATCAACCCTCCATTCATTAGATCATACACGATACTAACTGCACATAGTGGCTAAACACTACGACCAATTCCTGGCATATATTGTAGAACATGACCTGGAGGACGTATGCGACCTCAAACCGATTGTAAATGGAGGAGAAATCATGAAATTCCTTAGTGCCAAAAATGGACCCTGGATGAAAAAAGCGACCACGATCATAATGGAATGGCAGCTCCTGCATCCTGAGACGAGCAAAGATGTGGCATTGGAGGAACTTCAGCGCCGACTTGGAGAGTTGAAGTAAATATTGATAAGATAAAAAAAACAAAATAAATGACTCCATAGAGATATGTAAGCAAGTTTACTTCTCTGAACTCCCGTCCCGTCTAACCTCGTGGAATCAACTCTTCAATAAAATCATGGATAAGAATACATCAATTCCCATTGGCGATATAGATGCACTGAATGCATTGAGAAAAGAAGTCCGCGAGGCCATCCAGAAAGATCCTTGGAACCTCGACGATAATTACCGCTCAGGCTTTCGCGCCGCAAAGCAGAATCTGCATCAGTTATGGCTGAACGTGTCGAATTATGACAACTCTACCAATTTGAACGTAAGTATTGGAAAATCACTGACAATGACAATATACTAATATTATTTCTAGGCCTGCGAAAGCATTTGGACTGCCAATACTTTCATTAGTTTCTATGATACTTTCCTACCCAACGATGGAGGTCCTCGTACATTTCAAGGAGAGGAAGCTGAAGCCGTTCTCAACATGTTCACGTGGGCAGTCAAAATGGCACTGCCTTCATCAGAATTTGCAGCCAACTTCGATGATAATTTGGAGATTACCGAAGGTATTTACTTCCCCGCGCAAACTGGTTCAGAACTCCCCGCTAAGAAAGGCACAGATATTCAAAAGGCCCAAAATGAGACTCGTCTGCGGGCAAAGCTAGCTACAGAGTTCATTTTACAGTTAGAGATCCGCATGAATCCCTGTTTCGAGGATCGTTCTGCCACTCAGACTTCTGAAGCTATTGTAGCCATCATTAGTTACCACTCGGCACAAGATCCATGGACGGCGGGCCCCCAAGCGGCTGATATTACCCAGCTGAGTGACCAGTATCTCACTCAGGTGATGCGCCAGAAAGATGTGATGGGTTCCATTGAGAAGATACTGAGAGAGATCATCAAGCCACTGTTTACCAAGACACGGAATCCAGCTCTTACCAGCGAGGGGCGCAAGAATCTGTATCCTCTGCCGCTGCCGCATTTTGACGGTAGTACTTTTGATGACTCGGCAAAGCCTTGGAAAAATACGAATATCTATGCTACGACTGTGTTGTCGTGGATCATCTCACAATATAAAGTATGGCCCGGATACTGATCGATAATATAGCTTTACATACTAACTTCTATTCTAGTCCACTCACAAAGCTCAGCTGGAAGCACACTTCCCTCTTTTAGTTCCTGCTCTCCTGGCCTTGATAGATGACAGCAATACCTATTACAAAGCAAAGGGCTGCCTTCTATTAAAGGATCTACTTAAACCTATTCAAGAAAGCGGCTCTGATATTATCGTTCGAACGAACTTGAATTCCGTCTTCGTGGAAGCCATTACACCTTGTCTTCTTTCTCTACCGACAATCACACCAGAAAATAAGTCGCTCCAAATCCTTAGTGGAGCATATAATGCCCTGCTCTCAGTATTGAAAGCCACCTACAAGACGAAAACACCTGGAAAGACACGAGTCCAGATCGAAAAAGACGACGAAGCCTACACCACAGCCATAAGCAAGATCCTGCGAACAAACGTGATCGCTTCATTCCACCAAATCAGCTCTTCAACAGGCTCCATTTCCACCTCCGCATCTTTCCCGTATCCCAAACTGTCAGAAATTCTAATGTCATGGATCTACGCGCTGACCAACGAACTTGGCATCCACACTGTCAAATATCTCCAAGACATCATCCCAGTTCTATACAGTACTCTCGCCAGTCCCTTCGGCCCAGATCATCCTGCAATGATCCTCGGGGCAATTTTATGTACCAAGACTGTGATTTTGAATGCTCACCCTCGCATGCGCTATTGGCGTGGTGAGATATTTGGTGGACTGTCTGCGTGCTGGCTCCATGTGAATTGGGAAGAGGATGAAGTCGCAAATGGATCAGCAAGGGATTCGGCGGTGGAAAGCAAGTGGCCTGCACTGAAGACTAATTTAAAAGATACAGTCACTGTCTTGAAGCATGCTTTGCAGAATCCTCCCCAAGTTGTTGACCAGTCTAAACCTGAGAATGTATTGACGGCGGAGAAAATGGACAAGGAGTTGCAGGATCTAGTCGATGCGGATCCCAAGTTGAAAGACCTTCTGCTTTAGATGGATCTTTACATAATATATAGTTCCAAACGAACTGTTTGTTGAAAATCTACATAATCTCGCTTCATATGTTCGATTAATGTAAAAGTATATTAAAATGCAAAGGGGGTATCGATCTCGATGCCAGTCCGCTGAAATGAAACAAATATCAGATTGCGGTCGTTCAGTCATTAAACATCGACACGTTGCTTGAAAAGACTCTTTCCACGTAACCACTGTCGGTATCGCTTATACCTCTTCTTCTCATAATCTTCACTGACGACAGTAAGGCATTCATCTGACACGCTCAAAAACTCTGCATAATCATCCAAGTTGTTCTCGGCCCTAGATTGTAACACATTCTCTTGGAGATTGGTCTTATTGGCATATTCGGCCAAGTCAAGGTTAGGCCCATTCGCGTGCAGGGACACGGCCGTCATTTCATCTTCAAACGTGACGACCAGAGGAACTTTAAGGGGGTGATTGATGTATCGCTCATACTCTGCCGCCTCTGTTGAGGTGACGGAGGGACTCAAAGAGTCCGTGACCAGTTGACCTAATGTCCACTGGGCGATCTGCGCTTTACTAGGCTTCAAAGGTGCAGAATTGAGAGGAGCGATTGGTGGGATTAGAGACTCCTGAGATATCTCGAAGATGGAATCTTTGATGATTCCAACAGAGGGAGCTTGCTTGAAAGAGGATGGAGGTTGGTGTGTCCAGTTGTAGGCGGGATCAGAGCTAGGTATGGAGGTTGAAGAATGAGGGCGGCTGTCGGATGGCTCTTGAATTTTCACGCTTCTCGGTGCTGGCCGTGGAATCTGGTCTGCTGTTATACGAGGGACAAACGGGCTGAGATCGAGTGACGTTTGCCCTGGGCGTAATGGCGGAAGGTAGTCGAGGCTGGAATTCATCTTGTACGCAAAGTTTTTCGCGAGAGAAGACAGCGTATGTGGACGGTAGTACTCAAACCAGTAGTCGTCAATTTGAGAAAGCGGCACTTTGGGTCGAGATGGAGGAGGCGGAAATTCTCTCTCCTTGAGAAACTCTGGTGTAAACCAATTCACGTAGTTTCGCTTCTTCTTGTCCAATTGCGTCCTAGGCCGGCCGTGGTGCAAGTAGTAGTCGGTGGAAAGATCCCAAAGCATCGGTGCTCCGTGGATGTATATGTAATTTCCAAGGAAGAGGTTGTAAGCTTCTTGGCGCTGAGCATCGAGGAATGAGTTGTTATAGTATCGTTTGAAGCTCTCTACCATATCACGGGAGTGGCTGCTCCACTGGTTGATTTTGCGGTATGTGGCCACTGTGTTGACCAGGTGGGACCCTCCATACTGAATTGCAATAGAGTCACCGTGATCATGCCACATGTGAGTAAACAGGTTTACGCAGTCTGTGTCGTATTCAACCGTGGTCTCCTCGATTACACCTAGGGCATGGAGTTGGTAACCGAGTGCCCTTTTGCCAATCACGAATTGGGCCGCATTAGTTCTGTCAAGGCAGTCTATACAGTTGGTTCGTGCGACACCATTCTGTAGCTGCAGACCTGACTCCACATCAGCTCCATTTTTGAAAAACCCAGTCTTCGGGATAATATCTCCGGCAATCCCCTCCAGCGTTTGTATAACATCTTGGTCGCGGCTTTTTGCTGCACGACTCATGTCCCAGGCCTTATAGATCAGTTTTTTATCTGGTGGAAGGAACTGGTTGAGATAGGTCACTGCATTGGTGAATTCTTTAAGGACTTTCGATTCTCGTGGCGTATGTTCTCGAGATTTGACAAGATTCAAGATGTAGACAGGAGCCCCATATCGTTCAAAAAGATCATCGAAATGCAACGCCGCCGCAGAGTAAAAAGGATCCAACAGATTCAGCTCGATATCCGGCTTTGGCGTAACGCCGGTATTTTCCTGTATCCAGTAGAGGGGTATGCTGCCACGGTGCTGAACATACGAGGTGTAATTTGGACTTGCATGGAGGATAGGGCCGGCAGAGTGGAATGATGTTGTTATTTGCTCGGAGACAATTTGTTCAGTTTCCACATCGTTCGCCACGTATCCTCGATCGTTGGCACCACGCTTCAAAAAGCGTGCGCCCGCAAAGTGTCTTGACCGACGAGCAATGATAGATATGTATACTATCCGTCCAAAAACGCACAATTTCGCCTGATTCAGATACCCGTAGATTATTGGAAGACACCAACGATAAGGGTTTTTGAGAGCGGTGATCGCGGGGCTGAGAAGATGATGGTTCCAAACGAACATATCGTTGTAATCCTCTGGTATAATTCTAGCATAGCCATCCTTGTGTGCGTGTCTCTCGCGGCAGATGTTGTGCTGCAATGACCGTGTGATGTCGTAGGAGTAGCTGAAATAGAAAGACCGACTTAGGTTGAGATTGTTCAATATGGCTTTATATCTCTCCTCTTCAGGTTGCTTTTCAGGTTTCAGACGAGACGAGCCTGACATTGTCAATGGTATGAGCTCTGTCTCATCGATCTGGAATACGCCATGGCCACCCAGCATGGCTACTTGGCTCCTTTTAGTGACCAGAAGCATGTAATATGCCCCCGTGAACTTGATAAAACCAAGCAAAGCCCAAGCGCTACATTTTTGTCTCAATCCACCCGTGCTCTTGTTGCCATCGTCGATAGTATCCAGTAGCTGGACCATTTCCCTTTGATTGTAGACCATGTCATCCTCGATGATTCCCAACTCGCCAGATTCAGAGGTGCGATCTATTTTCAGGATTCGAAAACGAGTCTCTGAGAGATTGATACCAACCATGTAGAACCTAGTAGCTGTTTCGTACAAGGTAAACTTGAAGATTCTATCGAGACCTTCATCCTCGGCGTCTCCATCCAAACGGTGCTTCTGAGAAGCGCTGGGTGCCGAGTCTTGCTTAAAAGACGTTGCAGCCCAGGGCTCATCATTTTCCTCCTCGAGTGTGGATTCTAACACTGATGGGTCTCGTGCACGCTCAGTGCCATTGTTTTCAATTTGACTGCGTCCCACGTTCACGGAATGGTTAGATGTGGGGGTGCTTGACTTCGAGTCCACGTCGACAGGTTTCCTTGCTTTACTGTCAAGGCTAGAGATAGGGAGATGTTCATCAAGAAAGCCAGGATCAGGGCCGATTAAATTAACGTCATCAAAGCTCTCCATGACAAATTGTGCGTTGAAACTGAGGAGTTTGAGAAGCTGGCAGATTTCCCCACAAACGGTGACGTCGCCCGAAAGCCATTGCTGCCTGAGGAACCAACATCTCATTGTTTCATTAACAAAGCGACGCGACTTTCAGTTCTCTTAAAATCTATGATATATGGTCAGAAAATTACAATTTTATTTCAAATTTTATTTTCTGTTATCGGGTAGTTGAGGGCATCTTCAATCAAGTAAGGCATGAAAATGTCTATTTTCACTAGTTATTGGTACCCAAAGCACGGGCTATTTACCAACCTCACCCCATTTTAGGTAGCTTTTCCCCAGCAAGATTTGAGGATGTGGCAGGCGTGGACTATGAGCTTCTCAGTATCTCGAGCACCGTCGAAGTAAATACTGAGATGTTCGAGCTCATTTTCCAAGCCTTGGAAGATCAACGGTCCTAGAGTACGGCCTTCCAAGATTGACATCTTCCAAGTAAAGGGAAGGAAACATTCATGTGGTTATCTAATACCCTGATACATGCATGGAAATTGAACGAATTCAAAATTGATCCTGCTCGATATAATCTTCCCCGTGGACTTCACCTACCCGCCTATTATTGAGTATACTAAGTCTATTGGTCATTTTTGATGGGTATCTAGGTATCTGAATTTGACAAGCGCATGGTTTCTTCGCTAATCAATCTAACTACCTATGCCCTTAACGGATAGTGGTAAAGCAGCCTTGGATAGCCCCTAGAAGCCACCCGTGGACCTCAGGACTTCGGGACCTATCAGTGTATATAAACTGTCTGTTATCAAGGTACTGTCGAGTGCCTGACTGTACAAATTTTACGAGGAGCATGATGAGATCATCTATGGGCGACGAAAACTATAGTCGTTGACCTAGGGGATCGTTACTGCCTTCGCATGGCCAAGGAATCTTTATACCTCAAAATGACAATCCTCTTCATCTACACATGTCTGCGAATAGTCGGAGGACTAACTGTAAAGTCCTATGATATTGTCAGCATACACTCATGACCACTGATTTTTAATTTGAGAAACGTACCAAGGAGATAGACAGATGAAGAGTCCATTATTCCAACACCCCATGAGAAAGCACAGGTATCAGAAATAAAAGTACAGTCCATGAAATCTGGATCTTCGGGAAATAGACCAGACGTAAATGGCAAGGGTGAAACGGGGACTGGCTGGAAATAGGGAGACTCGGTTTGAATCATGCCCATGCCAATTTCTTTGGTTTGATACAACTCATAATAATAGAGAACCTGGTGCTCCGAAGCTGTCCCATACAGCCACGTAGGACCCTGACTTTCAACCAGAATGCCGCGAGCTGCATAAACATCGAGATTATGGTCGGCAGTCCACGCATAGACATTTTCAGATATGCTGAAGAACTAGCGCCTTCACATCCATGACTTGAATATTTCCTAGGTCGTCATATTTCGGACGACGACGAGTGAAGAAATTAGGAATGGTATTGTACGTGGTATTTCCAAGCAGTGAAGCAGTTCCGTTCATGGCGAGCAAGTTGGCGCCAGAAACGAAACGTGCACCATCTGGGTCATTCACCATGCCAAAGCCTCATGACTCAAGGATTGTTTAATCGCCTCCAGGTACCGGAGCCTCGTCGGCATTGTTATCTAAAATAGCGTTTTGTGTCGTAGAAACCCATTTCTGCAAAAGTAGCGCAGTTGAGTTCTCACTGTATAGTGCTGTGATGATACCAGTAGGGGTATTTGCAATAACAGCGTCAACTAGAACAAAAGTACCCACGCCCTGTCCAGTACTAAAGGGACCACCAGCCTACCCCTATGGCCGTATTGCCTCGAAATGAATTATATTTGGAATTTTGAAGAAATGAAGACATTTATATAAGGCATTCCTGATATGCAGGAAGCGCTAGTAGAACGCGTTAAAATAAAGTGAGAAATATCCATGGATCCACGGGTAATGATCCTTACAATAAACTTGATAGAGCTTCATGTCCAGATCTTGATCTATAAAGATGCACTAAACGAAAGAAACTCTCCATCAACAGGAGATAGGGCCCCAGTGTTAGCCACAAGAGTTAGTCGGCGGCCACATGATAGCGTCCTGCAGCTCAGCTTCCTCTTAGAAGAGACATCTCTTTCCTCATTTTGTTCCTCTGTCCACGTCTGCATGTAGGTCATAGTATAACACCCAGGGTATTTACGATTTCTAAATGGCTAAAAGTCTAGATAGGTACTTGCCTGGTCTTAGTGTTTCCTATTTTATTTTCCGTAAATTATCTTAACATTGAAGTAATCCCCACAAATAGTAGACGTATATATTCTTAGAATTGTCACACAACATTGCACATCTGGATAATTGCATTATTCAAAAGATTAGATTGAATCCGACAAACCCACGATCCATCGTTGTTATTTTCCCTCTTTGACTTAAACATCCATGGATCACAATTGAGATTATCACTAGTATAGAGGCTGGAGACCTCCAAGGCTATTGTCACTGCAGCCCCCATCTTTAATCTGAAAGCCCCCAGGGCTATTGCCGCTGTAGCCCCATTTCTAATATTAAAGCCCTGCATTACGCCTTTCCTTATCCAGATTAGTGCAAACCCTATCGAGTATAGCAGTACAACCATGAAACTTGCCCCCATATGGCTGAGGAGCCTTCAGCTTATTTTATTTTTTACTATATAGCTTGCCAGGATAATACCGTTTTGTATTCAAACTTCAAGTTTATCGCAAATATGCGACAACCATGTACATGTTTGTGCCTTCTTTCAATATTCGTCTTTGCCTTTTATTATTTCTCTCCTGCGCAAGCATTAAATAATGATGGTATTACCTTCAATGTGGCAACTTCGCCGTTGATAGTGATAGACGATGAGCGTCCAGTAAGCTCATCGAATCACAGCACGTATCCTCGCCTGACAAATCTTTCTGATGGAGCGATCTTGTCCTCCTTTACACACTACATCGGAAAAAACACACGTTCTCTATCTGTTTCTTACAGTACAGATGGTGGGAAAACATTCAGCGACTTTAGTGAAGTCACCCAAGCAGAAGGAGATGTGGATAACATGTTCTTGCTCGAGGTTTCCAAGGATGTTGTTCTAGCATCCTTTCGTAACCATGATGATGAATACTTCCGTATCACCATCTGCCGATCTATAGATGGAGGTAGAACTTGGAAGTTTGTATCCCAAGCTGCGGAAAAGAGCGGCTCACTAGGACTCTGGGAGCCATTTATGCGACTTGGGGACGAAGGCGAAGTCCAGCTCACATTCTCGCAAGAATTCGCGCACAATACTCAGCGTACTATGCGTGTGGTATCGCGTGATCAAGGAAGTACGTGGAGCACACCAACTTGTCTATCCGGCTGTAAAAAGGAACTACGGGATGGAATGAACGGAATCACCAAAACGAATGATAATGGCCGTGATGCACTTGTCATGGTTATCGAAACAAACCGCTATGGCACGTACAATGTTGAGTCTCTTGTTTCCTATGACGACGGATCTACTTGGTCACATCGCGGTTGTATATTTCGTCCCAAGAGCGGTCATAATGCTGGTTCTCCCCAAATTGCTTCATTTGGAGATGGCTCTATGGTGACAGTTTTCATGACAGATGAGGATGCAGATAATGTGGACTGGCCTAAACACGCCTCAATCAAAGCTGTATTTGCAAGCCCACCGAAAAATGGGACGCTTATATGGAGTGATCCAACTTTGATCTCGTCGGAGTCAAGCTTCTGGCCTGGATTGTTATCTATTAACGATAATACAGCTCTGGTTACATATGATCGAGGAGCGAAACCCCTTGTGAAAACGATAAAATGGAACCCCAGGGTCGCAGGTTTTCGCTTAGATACCTATACATTGAGAAAATTTAGAAGATTGGCTAAGGAGGCAAGATGAGCTGGAGAGACTTGGGCATATTGAGGTAGTTCGGATCTGAGAATCCATTGATTTCTGTTTTATCTGGATTAACTATTTGAGCGTATAATCTATCTTGGTCTCTATTTTGTAAGATATACAATACCAGCAAAGTGTTTTCCGCCTAGGTATCGCTTCAAGAACAGCAATAGAAAGATATGAAGAAAAGATATCATAAAAGGTTGCTTCGAGCTAAGTTCTCTTGTTAATAGCCGAGGAACTCGATTCGTTTCTAGGAAAGTTCAAGTCGAGAAATATGAAGTGATTGTCTCCAGGTGGTATTTCTACAAAGTTGTTGGAAAAGAGCCCCCTAGCATAGGATGTTGCTCGATCTAATTTTCATTCCAAATGTTGAGTTTGACCTGCCAGGACGCAAATACTGAAGTTCTGTCATTGTAGAAGCTAGACCCCTTTGAGTCTCGGCCTCTCATTGAAAACAAGTCTGTACCTATGCTCCTAGCGAGTTTCTATGATCCTAAGCTGCTCATCCAGGAGTCTACAATCAGGCTCTCCACTGCCGCTAGCTGCCCAGTGTAATGGAAGCCGCCCATCACTGTCACAGGAGGAAGCCAGGTCAGGGTTGCCGTTGGTCTTATGATTTTGATGATTCAAGAGCAATTTAACAGCATCAGAATTGTAGAATAAGCTTGCTAGATGGAGCATAGTCACATAATACGTGTGAGCGTTTGTTTTACTAGACTGAAGTGGTACTCTGGCATGATGAAGGTGTTGATGTTTGAGGTAGATATCGGCTCAGGAATCAATGAGCCGTTGAATTAATGAACCATTACCCCTTGATACAGCAAGCCCAAGCACACTGTCTTGAACCTGATTTCCCCAAGGAGAGAGGTCATTTGGCAAAAGTGGAATAACATCCGTCGCTGAACAGCCCCGATCGAGAAGAAAATTGATCAACTGATGGCTTCGCGCAATCCGATTCCGAACCCACTCATTCCGATGAAGGCCCTCATCTTCCACTTCGTCGGCGTCTTTGTCAAGATACATCAGCGACCTCGCAGCCGCGAGAATCGGCGTATCTCTGGAGTCATCTTTCTGATGCAAATCTACCGTTCCGAGCGGTAACGTATTCTCTGGATCATCATGGCTGTCCAAGATGAAACGCACGACATCAATACTTGCCGCACCACATGCGTCGAGCAGGAGGCGGAAATTAGGATTGAGCTCTTTAACAATTTCTGGGGCTGCAGTGTACACCTCCAAGAGGATGTGAAGAGCCTCGGAGCTGCCGTACGAGGCTGCACTGAACAAGGTGTCCTCCAAGTAGGGTGTCCCAGGGGCAATCACATCCTCGGGAGAGTACGAGGCGATAAACTGACGGAGGTGAGACAGATCATTTTTCTTGATGCTGTTCACAAGGCGGCTTCTGCGCCTGCCGATGATTTGAGTGGCTCGAGGTAGGAGAATTACTCTTTACCATGATAATCTACTCTCTTTCTTCTCTCTTGGCTTGTTTCCCTTTTTATGTCAGCTATTCATTTGTGAAAAAAGAGAAAGTGCGAAAAAGGGGGAGATGGAAGAATGGAGAGGGAAGAAATTTAAGAGAACGAAGAGGGCCTTGGGGTTTAATCAAGCTTACTGCTGAGGGCGAAGGTGTTCCATCGGCGGGTGACGGGAATGATGCCGACCCTAATCATGCCCGGATGGTGTTCTATGATTATATGTAGGGGGTTTCCCCTAGCTAGAGTTGCTCAAGGCAACAAAGAACAATACTGATTTAAAATCATGAATAAATTCGACTCTCATCTGTATTCTAACCCTACACAGCACTTGGATATTCAATAACTCAATCCAGCATTGAAGTTTCAGCACGGAACTGGACTCTCCTTAAAAGGGAGATCATCTGAAACAATTGACTAGCTGGCTAGGAATTCACCTAGATCTTGGCCAGTCTCTTTTCTTTTCTTTTCTTTATTGCATCAAAACTCCGTATGCTCATACCCATCATGATCTCCTCACTGCCACCGCCGATAACATGAACTCGAGCATCACGACTGATCTGTTCAATGCGTGCTCCCTTTCCAGACTTGCTGTATCCAGCACCTCCGAGAATCTGCTGGGCCTCTCTCACACTCTTCTCTAGAGCTCTGGTAGATGTGACCTTCAGCAAGCCGATCATACCCTGAAATGAGCTAATTAAATGAGCGGGGACGATACTGATTGGGACGGCACGGATTGTGGAATCATCAGAAAGTTTGTCGTTTATCTGCTGGAGAACACTGACTAGATGTTCCAAGAACGCGTACGCGGGTTCAATACTCAATCCAATTTCGAAAATTTTGGCTTGAATCACCTGTCTCTCGATCAAGGGAACACCAAAAGTTTCACGCTGAACTGCATAGTTGTATGCATCTTCGACACATACACGGGCCAGACGGATGGATGCACAAGATAGTGCAATACGCTCTGCGTGGAAGTCTGCAGAGATATTAGAGCATGTGAAATGATGAGAAATGCCAATGAATTACTTACTTGACATGATAAGTTTGAATCCGTTGTTCTCCTCACCGATTAAGTTTTCGACTGGAACACGCACTTCATCAAATATGATGAGAGTTGATCCTATCTTAAGTGAGTATTTTGCGTGATGTAAAACAAATAGCTGAACAAGAGTAACTTACCACTTGCATTCACGCCAGAGTTGTACATCCTGTGGCGAGTAACTCCAGTTGCATTCAAGGGAATTACAAGCAAGCTAATGCCCTCAGCTCCCAAGCCACCTGTTCGCACAGCAGCGGTACAGAAATCAGCCCAGACTCCATTAGTTATCCACTTCTTTCCACCATTCACAATGTACACATCACCATCACGTCTAGCCGTGGTTTTGATACGAGCGACATCTGAGCCGGCTATCATAAATGCAAAATTAGCCTTGCTGCAGTGAGAGTCTCAAGAAAGCTGATCTACCGTCAGGCTCCGTAATCCCAAGACAAAATCTGATGTCACCCTTGGCAACGCCTGGCAGCCATCGCTTCTGCTGCTCTGGAGTTCCGTGCTTGGCAATAGGAGGGCATCCAATTGTGTTTCCAGCACCAAGACCCCAGATCACGCCGACAAACCCAACACGTGTAAGCTCCTCAATCACAATAAGGCTGCACCATATATCCCATTTACCAAACGGCACATTTCCTGGAAGAGACAAGCCGGCTACGTGGAGGGGGTGCATAATATTGAAACCTAGTTCGCAATGGCGCATTCGCACCTCCTCGGGAATTCCGCCCTTTATCTCCCATTCTTGGGCATAGGGTGCAAGAGAGGTTTCAACGTAGTGACGAATATAGGCGCGGAGGTTGTGGTGGATCTCGGTGTGGTGGCCGATTCCACGGGGGGTGAAAAGCTCACTGTATGGAGATGCATGGGCCCCTGGAGTGGGCGGCATGGTTGAGTAGGTGTTAAGAAAACTAGAGGACAGGCTGCCGAGATATTCACCCACATCCGCCTGGCAGAACTGTCGCATGTATCGTGTATTGAGATTACCGAGACAAAGGTTCCAAGATTGTGACTGGATTTTCTTTATGGGGAAACTATTGAAATTATGTCTAACTTTGAGGTGATTTGTCTTTCAAGCATCCATGTCATGTACCAGACCTGGTATTGTCAACAACTGCCAAGGTGTGTAATTTGGACCTCAGGGGTTATTATTCACGGGATGTGATGTTTTAAGGCGTTAAAAATACTTGAAGAATGCATACCTCATAGCGCATAGCTCTATGTAAGCCTAGGTACTTACTCGTGACAATGAAGGCGTATCATGCTGTGATGGAGTCCAAAAAATCATCCATAGATATATGCAGTGACCTCCTCTCTACAGGTAATGAATTGTAAATAGTGTTGAACAGAATCAATGTTGACTCGTGGAATTGATCAACAATCACGTTAAAGACGCAATATGGTGTCATTTTCAAAAGCCTTAAATCTGCAGAATTCTCCCGATCTTCTCTATGCGCTGCACAAGCGCTGTGAAATAATGGCAAAAAGGGATGAATACTAAAGTAAACTTTTGGTTAAAAAAATTCCCTAGTCGCCCGCGAAAGCAGCCAAAAGACCCGATTGATAGTTTTCAATCAGCAGGAACGTAATCTCGGAATTCTCCTCACTGATATACGTGTAGCCCTTGCATAAAGATGGTGAAGAAGAAAGAAGAAAAGGAAAGATTTATCAGGAAGTCTGAGATATATGTCACGCTAGTGATGCCCGCTAGTCTGTATTTGGTGAATGGTCATCAAGTCACGGGTTCGAATGCACGGACATCGAGATGATGAGGATACTGTATACAGAAGTCGAGTTTGAAAATTGGGGAAAACAGCATTGGATAAGTATGTATGGATGTCTATGAAGTATCAATAAACCTTACAGTTATACCCCTATACCATAAAAATGCCCGATGTCTCGCCGTTCAAAGTTTCTTTACAGATTTATATACCTGACGAAGGCGGTCCTTGACCTCTTGGCAGCCCCAGCGCTTTTCAGACTGGGGTTTCAACATGCCCTGGATACATGATATGAGGGAGTCGGCAACAACTTCCCCACTATCCAGTTTCGCTTCACCGTGCTCAATCTTGGTGGCAAAATCATCAGGTAGTGAGACTGACCCACGGGTAAGATCACTCAAAAGGAATTGTCGTTCCATCTTTGTGTTTAGTCGGTATATAAGCTCGAATAAAATCACACCAAGAGCATAGACATCGAGCTTCTCATCGATCTTGTACTCGTCAGTGTAACACGACGAGCTAGATGAACTGGTATTGAGAGGAGGACGATAGAACTCAGTACCAACGACGCGTTGGATTTTCGGTCTTTCTCGAAGTGATGTTACAGTACCATCTGGCGCATGTGGTGACTCGTTGATATGAGAGATGTCAGCAACAAGGCCAAAATCCCCGATGCGAGGGCGCCAGAACTGAGCTGGAGAGTTTGCGCCAGGATTGCAAGAAGGGCAGGTCTGCAAGGAATGAGCCTCAGGTGCAGATAAGAAAATATTCGCCGGCTTTAAATCACGATGGACTATTCCTTTCGAATGCAGATATTGAACACCCGAGATAATGTCGAGCATCAGCCTCAGTGATGGAATCAGATGGAAGCAGTGACGCCGTGGGGGAGATTGATCGTCGTTTTTACGAGCTGTCGTTGCTTGAGAACTTAGGTAAGAGCTGAGAGAAATGGGATGAAGTGACATTTGTATGTGAAGAATTACGGCTGGCGGTGGTTGGTTAGATCGGCATTGGCGCTGAACCTGAAGCTGAGATTGATCCTGGCTAAGGCCATCGGTGAAAATATCATCCGTTTCGCCAAAGGCAGATGTCTCTTCGTAGGATGCATTGCTAAAATTGCGGGGGATAGACTCAATGTCATCATCTTCATAATCTTCTATTTCAGGCGCCGAGCTTTTTCTCGAGTGACGAGAGGAAGTGGTTGTATGGCTATCCAGTCGATGGATTCCGCTCAAAAACCGATCGTCATGAACCGAGCCGAAATGGGTTGTAGCGACTGAGTTCTCGGAGTTCTCAAACACGATTCCCATGCTTGGATCGTCTCGAGAATCTTCATCTTGAGTTGTTTCTTGAGATTCTTCGCTTGGCAAGTTTATGTGTGGCGGCTCATTTTTGGGGCCATCTTGATGCGCAAATGGGGCGCTGTGTGCGATATGAGCCTGTTCGACCCAGGCGCCATAATACCGAACAACATTTGCATGTTCGAGACGAGCAAGAGTCCTGATCTCTTTCATGATAGTCTCCAGTTGATTCTGTCCGCCAAATTGCAACTGTTCAAGACGTCGCTGACTGAGGGGAATCTTCTTAACGGCGTAGTCCTGTCCGTCGATGTGGTTTGTGACATGGTAGACTTCACCAAATGCCCCACGACCAAGAACCTTCAGCTCGCTGAATTCAACTGAATAGCGTGATATATGACTGAAATGTGGCATCGTTGGGTTGTTAAATAACGGCATACTCGCAGGCGAGCTTCCGAAAAGAGGCCTCAACGTGCTGGGCAACGCCCTAGTGACAATAGGAATCCCTTCAAGGATGTTGGCATTCTCGATCGGCGATATCCTCTGTGCATTTCCCTCGCCTTTCGCAAATTGACTTGTAGTTTCGATGATGTGGTTTTTATTTGGAATTGTTGCCAATGCAAGCTGGTCACCCGACTCGATATTAGGTCGTGTACGGGGACCGCCTGCAGTTATTTGCATATCCTCAAATGCATTGAGGCCAAGTAAGTCAAGATGATCACGATAACTTTGTCGTGTAGCTTTAAACTCATCCTTTTCAGTACCATCAGTTAAGACGCCATGCGTTGTCAAAAACTGGGATTTGAATCTGTATAGCTTCTTTCCAAGAAACTGAGCCTCGGGACTATGCGGGGTGAAATTTCTGCTAGGGTGCTGAGCATTGAGAATATCCACGGCTCGTCTTTGACAGTAGAATTCAAGCAAGGAAGAGGTCATCATATTTCTATGATGATCAATGTTTGCATCGAGAGAATCGAGGACGTCTTGTGACGCGGTAGAAAGATCTTCAAAAGAACTCGATGCTTCAAGTTCGTTGGTGGAATCCAAACTTCGGGGGCCCTGGGAGCCCTGAGAGCATTCTATGGGTGCTGTAGGCGTTTCATCATGCTTATGAGGTTCTTTCTCGCTGTTGGAAGAGATTTGAGGCTCAATTGCAGTAGGCTCAACATCAGAGTCAGTGATATCAGAACTTTCTGCAGCTGATTTGAACATGGACATGTTGATAGGAATCAATCCAAGAGGATATATGAGCAGTGTACTTTTAGTCCTACCTATATATGTGATAATGTTAGAAAAATATAGAGAATTATAATATGAAAATGCCCTGAAACCCGGTGCTTACCGATTCAGATCTAAAATAGGTTTCAAAATGGTCCTTTTGACCCCATAAATCAGTGTCTCGGGAAATATGTCTTTCCAGATAGAACTCAGGAACGCGAGTACTTGAGGCTGTTTGGATTTCGAGATGCCACATGGGCATTTATATCACGAGGAATTATGCATAAATAAGTCTGGGTCCTTGAAACACAGTTGGTGGACTCAAGCTTCCATCCGATTCTAATTGTCTCCAATAGGGCGCGAGGTGGGCGGTCGACTTCCTTATGGTGGAGTTGAAAGACATGCAAGTTCAAAAACCCAGGACCTTTTCCACAAAAGCTGAAAAGGTGAGATATTGAACTTATTGTGAACTTAGAAATATAAGGAAAGTCTAGGTTAAGTTGATGGTTGCTGTAGAGTCATCGCTTTCTGCCAGCGGGAACAGATTCCCCGCCAAGCCAAGGGTCCACTCTAGGTGTGCAGATATTCACAGATATAGATAGAATCTCATTTCTTTCTATATAGAAAGAGAATCACGAATCATTGCACTGTGACATCAACTAGCAATATTTGATATTACATGTCTCAATTTTCATATGTCCATATTCGATACAGGTGCCACATACTAATCAATATCGCTTCTTTTATCTTAAAAAAAAAAAACATTAATTCCGTTATCTTATCATCAGGTGATCAGTCACGCGTTAAGCGGTCACGTCCAAGGCGCGACTGCGACACGACTTAAGTTACCTACCCAACACAATCTCTCTTTTCGGCTTATATGTTCCTCCATGAAAAGCCTTCATATTTAACATAGCCATAATCACCCATCATGCCTGAAGCCATTATGCCCCAGAAGCGGGTTTTGGGTGACGCCACTAATCAGAATGCCTTCGAGTCTCCTACAATGAAAAAGCGTAAGATCGATAAGCCACTACCAAATCAAGTCAAGAATCTGGCACAAAGCTCTCAACGAAAAGGGTTTGGCTCAAGCCAGCCGAAGAAAAGCCAGTTTGAAGAGGAGGTCTTGGAAAAATTGACCCAGGATATTGGTGACCTGAAGGGGAGCAACGCCGAAAAGGATCAGCAATGGGAACGACCACCCCTCGGAAAATGGGATCCAAAGACAGATAGCATCTGCTTTCAGCAGATTGATGCCGAGGAAGGGAGACTGAGTGGGGACAAAATGGCCGTCCGTCTCTTTGGTGTCACAGAGGTAACGAAATTGTTGTGACTTTTAACTTAATATACGATCTAATAAGCTCCATCTAGGCTGGACAATCTGTTCTGCTACATGTCACTGGATTTCAACACTACCTGTATATCGCTGCCCCCGTCGGCTTTACCAAGGAAGACTGCGACCCTTACAGGGCGTTCCTGGAATCCAAATTAGCACAAAACGGCCGCATCATCGAATCTGTCCAAGTCACAATGCGCGAAAATATATACGGATTCCAAGGAAACCAGAAAAGCTGGTATCTAAAAATTACCGTTGTCGATCCGAGATCCATCGCTAGGCTGCGCAGCGCACTCGAAACTGGAAGTGGAACCATGAATTATAAGGGCTTATGGAACAATTCAGATTCTGGAATACTCACCTTTGACAATATCCAATATCTCCTGCGATTTATGATTGATACCGGCTTGGCCGGCATGTCTTGGGTTGAGACAAAGGGAGGAAAATACAATCTGGTTCCGGAACATGACAAGCAATCAAATTGTCAGATCGAAGCTATTGTCGACTACCGCGACATGATCGCCCACGCCCCGAACGGAGAATGGGCTAAGATGGCCCCACTTCGTGTCTTGTCTTTCGATATTGAATGCGCTGGACGACAGGGTATATTCCCAGAACCCAATGTGGATCCGGTCATTCAAATTGCCAATGTAGTGACCCGATACGGAGAGTCAAAGCCTTTCATTCGAAATGTATTTTGTCTTGACGAAACTAGTCTCATTGTCAACACACAGGTCTTGGAGTTTCAGAAGGAAGACAAAATGCTTATGGCGTGGAAGGACTTTGTGCAGAAGGTTGATCCTGATGTTATTATTGGATACAACATTGCCAACTTCGACTTCCCTTACTTGCTAGACCGAGCGAAACACTTGAAGTGTACCAACTTTCCATACTGGACCAGATTGAAGGGTACCAAAACAGAGGCCAAGGAAGCCAATTTCTCCAGTAAGCAGATGGGCAACCGGGAAACCAAAGCGACAAACACGAACGGTAGAATTCAGTTGGATCTTCTTCAGCTTGTGCAGAGAGATCACCATCTGCGAAGTTATACTCTGAATTCTGTCTCTTATGAGTTCCTACGAGAACAGAAAGAAGATGTGCACCACACAATGATCACAGAGTTGTTTAACGGAACCCCAGACTCTCGACGACGACTGGCTGTGTACTGTTTGAAGGATGCATACCTTCCGCAAAGGTTGATGGACAAGCTGATGTGCCTGGTTAACTATACGGAGATGGCAAGAGTTACTGGTGTCCCATTCAATTTTCTCCTCTCACGAGGTCAGCAAGTCAAGTTTATCAGTCAGCTGTTCCGAAAAGCTCTCGAGCAACAATTGGTCATTCCCAACCAGAAATCTCAAGATGAACAGGACTATGAGGGTGCAACTGTCATTGAACCGAAACGTGGATACTACGGTGTGCCAATTGCGACTCTTGATTTCGCTTCTCTGTATCCTTCAATTATCCAAGCACACAACCTTTGCTATACTACCCTTCTTAACAAAAACAGCGTTGAGAAGCTTGGTCTCAAGAAAGACGAAGACTATATTGTGACGCCCAATGGAGATATGTTCTGTACCGCCAAAGTTCGCAAGGGTCTTCTCTCTCAGATTCTGGAGGAGCTGTTGGGAGCACGAAAGCGCGCGAAGAAGGAGCTTGCTGTCGAGACCGACAGCTTCAAAAAGGCAGTGCTGAACGGTCGACAGCTGGCCTTGAAGATCAGTGCCAACAGTGTGTACGGTCTTACGGGTGCGACTGTCGGCAAACTACCTTGCCTTCCAATCGCCAGTAGTACTACCAGCTACGGTCGTCAGATGATTGAGAAAACTAAGCACGAAGTCGAAGAACGCTACACGATTGCTAACGGGTATTCTCATGATGCCCAGGTCATATACGGTGACACTGATTCAGTCATGGTCAAATTTGGAGTGAGCGATCTGGAAGAAGCAATGAAGCTCGGACAGGAGGCGGCAGATTATGTCTCATCTAAATTCTTGACACCCATAAAGCTTGAGTTCGAGAAGGTTTACTTCCCTTACCTTCTCATTAACAAGAAGCGGTATGCCGGTCTTTACTGGACTAATCCTAAGAAGCATGATAAGATGGACACCAAAGGTATTGAGACCGTGCGACGAGACAATTGTCTGCTTGTGCAAAATGTCATCGAAACAATTCTGAATAAGATTCTAATCGAGCGAGATCTTGATGGAGCCCAAGAGTAAGTCAAACTATGATCTCCAATGTCGGGTTGAGTGACCGGCTAATACAGAAGCCAGATACGTCAAGTCGACTATTTCTGATCTCCTCCAGAACAAAGTCGATATGTCGAAGCTGGTCATCACCAAAGCTCTATCGCAAAAGGAATATGCCGGTAAACAAGCCCACGTCGAACTTGCTAAGCGCATGACGAAGCGTGATGCAGGCTCGGCCCCTGCCTTAGGTGATCGTGTGGCCTATGTTATGATCCGAGGTGCTGCAAATTCAAAGGGCTACGAACGCGCGGAAGACCCGATTTACGTTCTGGAGAACAACATCCCGATTGATACCAAGTACTACCTCGATAACCAGCTTGCCAACCCACTGGGCCGCATCTTCGAGCCCATCTTAGGTGAAAAGAAGGCCAACCAGCTGCTGACGGGTGAACACACTCGGTCAATCTCAGTCGCCGCCCCCAGCCTTGGTGGATTGATGAAGTTCGCCAAGAAGACTGAAACGTGCATGGGTTGCAAGAAGCCACTTTCTAGCAAGAATGAGATGGCAGGTGCGGTCTGCGAGAACTGTCGCCCTCGTCTCGGTGAATTATACTCCAAGTCTTTGCAGAAAGTTTCTGAGTTGGAAGTCCGCTTCGGCCGTCTGTGGACACAGTGCCAGCGTTGTCAAGGCAGCTTGCACTGTGAGGTTATTTGCTCTTCCCGGGACTGTCCCATCTTCTATATGCGTATGAAAGCTAAGAAGGATGTCGAGGACTCCCAGAAGGAGATTTCTCGGTTTGATTCTGATGCTGGTGTATGGTGATGACCATTGTTCATTGTATCGTTTCCGCAGATAGCATGGGCGTTCTGATGGGTTCTGTGGGGTGTTGATAGGTCGGGTTGTACAATAATTGTTATTTATCATTGCATACATGGTTATTGCGTATTACAAAATTGAACATATGACGTAGTTCATAAAGGCGGTCTGCAAAGCGGAAGTAGGAGTGCCGCAGAAATATTATTAGTGCGGTGCGGAGTTGCTCCGATTTGTTTCTCTTCACTCAACCCATTCGACAATTGATATTATGGACGCGCATACTTCCGGGTCTGGCCCTGGGCCCCCTGGCGCACCTGTGCCTATGAATCGAGCTCAACTCGCGTCAGCGTGTGATACAGTAATGTCCTCACCATTCAACTTGAAAACAGCAAACAATGCAGCAAATAATGCAGAAAACAATGCAGCAAACAATGCAGCAGACACTGCTTTCTCACCTTTAATCTCACAATGGTTTTGATTAAACTAATACCTGGTACCACTAGGTCTGCTTGCAACGCATCCGTTCCCTCTCCCACCAACTGGACTTTTTGCGCAACCAACAAGTCCAAGCGCATTTCCAAAGACTCCCTGTCAACGCACAACAAATGGAGGTAATGACAAACCAGCTGATCAAGGACTTCACGATTCTGCAAGAATTTTTCGTTCGTTACCCCTCCGCTTGTCATTGAGTGGTAATTCAGGAACCTGTATCTACGACTAACACTTTCTTTCTTTCTTAGATACACCGTACGTCCCATCTCTCTTCCGACCAATATTCAAGGCTGGGAGAAAACTAGGAGCAAAGAGTGAATGTATTTAACAACCCCCTTATAGAGGCAAATGCCCCTCCTATCAACCCTGGAGTGCCCCTCAACCCACCACAAGCAACCTCCTCTCAGGCAAATTCTCAGGAAACCCCCTCTCGCGTGCCCGTCAGTGCATCTCAAGCACCCGGAACACAATCTAAAGCCACAAATACCAAGAATTCTCATGCCAAAGAAAAAGAAAAGTCAACAGAATCAAATCCATCGATGCCGACTGGAGATACATTCTGGACTTCTCACTCTGCTTTGAACCCTCGTGGACTCTTTGCTCAATTTCAAGGCGCAGACAGTCAATACATCAATGCAAACAAAAGTAACCAACGCAAACGACTGCATGATAATGAAAATGATTCAAAATACCCAGAGCCAAAGAAACAGATGTCGAACAACAAAGGACCTGATCCAACATCCAAGCACAAATTCTTCTTCAGCCCCGTCCCTGTTATTGATACAGTTGCCACTTCCGTCGAGACGGAGGATATTTCCGAAGAAGTGGAACGACGAATCCAGAGAACTCGAGAACGACGCCTGAAGGAAGAATCTGGCCAGGCAGAGAAGCGAAAGCTGGACTCGAGTGAGAGTGCGTCGTCATTGATTCTACCCCCGACCAAGAAGAAGCGGACTTAGGTATGGGACAATGCGACAGGAAACGAAGAAACAGGCTTGCAGTCAGATGATAACTGGCAAGACCCATTTCAAAAGTGTATGATAACTACGAACTGGCGTCGATTTTTAGCGTGATCTTCAGGGAAAGTCTTTTTTACCTGGTGGTTCTTTTGACTGGGAAAGCGGACTCCATCAACGATATCAATATAAATTACGGAAGGTGTATGACCATTCAATGTATTTTAACATGGTACCGCACATATTTAATCTCTATTGTAGCTGTAAGAATTGTACCTCCAATGTGAGTACTTTCACCCGTGGACTCACAATTTTACTCGAGAACTTCTCCTTCACTTTCTCAGGTAATCTCCTATCTTGCAAATATCAAACTTATAAATTTGAATATTCAGGTGCCCGTGACTCTCAGTGCAGCTCAAAAGATGTGGGAAAATCCAATATCAGTTTATCCAAGAAGATATCTGTATGGGCTAAGCTGTTCAGAGGAAGCCGCCGATGATACCTGATGGCACGGTAAGCTGTGAGATAATAGATGTGCATGAGCACCTGGGCATATATCACTTTGGCAACTAAAATTAACTTTAGTGCTCCAAAGATCGAAGTCCTAGAGGGCTTTTTGTTTAGGCAGATACTACCCATGGATGGTATTACGTTCCAAGGTTAGACGATGTGTAATTCACACCTTATCTCCAACAGTTGCTACGCGCTACGAAAATATAAATCAGGAGGAGAATTGGTATTACACATTAGATGCTAGGTGGATTTATTTTACTTACAATAAAAATAGTCATTGGTATGAAGAGCATATGACGCTATCAAAAACTACAAGTTGATTTCCCCCTCGGAGAGAAGGAGTAGATGTCTAGATAAAGCCCACATCAACCACGGTTTGTTCGGCACGGCTCGAAACTATCAAATATAGAAGTGGACCTCTTCAAGGAATGGGTTTGCATATCTTCAAAATGAGAGAAATGAAAGAATAAAGGAGTTGTATTCATCATTATCGATCGGCATATTCCATCCACTATGCTCTCATTGTATCGCTGTCATACTTAAATGACTGGTTGATCTCAACGATGGGGAATCTTCAGAGAACTTACTATTAAGATTCAATGAAATTATAAGATGCTTACAAGCCCCGGCCTTCCTGCTTCTATCGCTCTCTCACCTGGACAATATATAGAGGTTCGAACTTCGATTGATGTCATCAATCGCGCATCGACATCAACTCATCACTATTCCCTAATCTCGTCGGCGCCTTGGAAGTCAACTCATCATTATTTCCCCTATGGGTATAGCTTTACTGCTCCCAAAGGCTATAATATCCCCTCCCATCTCCCCCTCCCCCCCTTCTTCCTTTCTCCAGCCCCAAAATTTTTTGCTCACAACGTTTCTTCAAAATCAGAAGAAATCGTGAGCCTTCATTGAACAAGGATTTGATACTGGTTTACTTGGCCAGTTTACGCATCACTTTCTGTGAGAGAAGAAGTTGTCTCCCGTCACTTTTACAGAAGAAACATCCCCTTTCTCCTCTTCTTTGAGCTTGCTTTGTTAAGGTGTTCGGATTTTTGGGTCCCCTTCTAGGGTTGGACTTGTAGGGAGTCAACGAATATCTTGAGAGCTATCAAATAATTCCACAGAAGGCAAAAGACTTTCAACTTGAAATCAAAAATATTTCATTTCACACTACCTTTGACCTCAAAAACAGATCAAGTTGGGAATCCCTGAAGTTGGAAATCCGGTCCTGGTGAGTGTGGGTGCCGAAATTCCGCATTCACTAAGACAAGGTACGCTCGAGACTGGAGATCGGGGCGTTGAAAAATCAACACAAAGTCCGGAACATAGAAACAATGACTCAAGTCGCTCGATATACATCGGGTTTCGACGGACAGTTCCAGTCTAACTGGAACGGCAAAGGTCTTGACATCTCAAATGCCGCGTTTCTTCGCACTCCATACGGCTCAAGACCCGAGCAACAAAGTGACAATGGAGTGGTGTATTACTATGCCACCACACCTGTAAGTATCACTTTTGCTTGCTGATGCGTCTCCGGTCTCGTCCTGCAGACCCATCCTAACCAAATCACAGACTCAATTGCCTACCTTCAATGAGGTTAGTACATGCAGCTTTCGTTGTAAAAATGATCTCAAGAGACTGACACGACAACAGGGGCAATCCTATTCGGCCAATACCAGCCGCTCTAGGAGCCAAAATCAAAATCAATCGGACGGGCAACTCCGAGGTAATTCTCGAGAGTCCCGAGGCGGACAATCCCGCAGTCAATTCAGAGGCCAATCCCGAGGCCAATACCGAGGCCAATTCAGAGGTCAAAATCAAGGCCAAAATCAAAGTCAATCTCGGGGCCAATCTCGTCAAGGCCAATTTTGTCGAGGTCAAAACCGAGACCAACAAAGCCAAAACCAACAAAATCAGCCCAGAGGTCAGCCCCGAGGTAATTCTCGAGGCCCGCCCAGAGGCCAAAACCAAAACCGATACCAAAATTTGCGGCATCACCCACTCGATCGTCAACATGGTGGTCCAAATCATGAACGCATCGAAGGAAATCGTGGAGGCCGCATTACACGCAACCGAGTAAGTGCTTTGACATCCACCTTTGTTCGTTTTTCTCTTATGATTCATGCTGACCATCTCCAGGGGCCACGTCGACGTCTTCCAAGACGCTTCCATCTCTTTGAAGCCGACGTCGAAATGTTGGATGCACCACCACTGGTGCAATCGCCATTCGAGCGACAACAGCAATTCTTGCAACATGAGGAGGTAAGTTTCCTGATTTTCTTTGATACAGAGAAGAACTAACCTTGACATAGGATATGGATATTGTGATGGAAGATGCTCCTCCACTGCCGGAGGACCCCGAAATGAACTGCCTGGCCTTGTTCCTTGCCAACATTCACTTGGAAAACCAGGCATCCATAATGACCTATTGTGGTTGAGACTTTACAAAGACCTCAGCTGCCTGGAGAAGACAGTCAGATTCATCAATGCTGACTTTTTATGGCTGAGACTCCAAGACAATCTCAACCACCTGGAGAAGAGACCAAGAAGAGAAATGTATTCTTTGTGATAAAATCACATCAATCGATATCCTGGTCAAGGTTTTTATCTTGTGCAGCCCAAATTGTTCAGCTCACAAGGAAGTTTCCCTTGGCCCTGTGGCAACATCCATCATTCAAATCCACTGCCCGAATGGGAGGATATCACTTTCAAATTTGGAACCTGTTTGTACTGTTTTCATCATGTGCGTTCCTATATTTTTAGTGCTGGCACGACGTTTGTTTTGACACTGAACCATTGGGCATCTTGTCCTTTTCTGTATCCTTTGTTGGAGATTGGAGATTGGAGATGAAGATTGAAGACTTCCACACAGACCGAAAACCACCAAAAAAATGTCCCACCACAATCAAGGCAAGGTACCCGCTGAGTCATGGCAGTTAGGGTGTCTCTGACCTCGTGGATTATATTCACGTTCTATCAGAATTATTGTGGAAACCGTTGAAAAGAAAGAAAGAAAGAAAGAAAATCCTGGAAACGGGGGAAAAAAACAGACATTCTTACAGTCTCAATCAAGGGCAAGCAAGGAACATCAGCTGAGTCATGGCAGAGGGTGTTCTTCTTGCCCTTGTATTGCAGACTTGTCATTGTGGTATTGGAATTGATAATCCAAATTGTGGCACTGGACTGTTATCCTGTTACGAAGATTGATTGTTTAGACTGCGAAAGCCGTGGAGCTGTTTTGTATTGGTTCAGGTGGATTCAAACTATGTACGATAAAGATGCAATAAGAAAAAGGTCGTTGCCACTCACATCTACTTCACAAGAATGGAACTCGTAGTTCATAAATGTATTGATTTTCCAATGTTGGTATGAGCAGCCCTGGATGTACTAATAAGCTGGATAACTTTAAAAAAGCCGAACGCCTGATCCCAATGCTGATGTTGAACAAATTTTGGGTACAGAGAAGACATGAGATAGTGGAGATTATGGCGGGAGCAATGGACATGAAGATGCCAAGGTCGAGGGTATTCCGGGTGGGAGAAAAAGGCCCATGTCTCTCTCTACTCATCATCCTCATCATCGCTCTTCTTTCCCCAACTCCACACATCCCAAATATATTCCTGAATCAAATCACCATACCCCTTACCCTCATCAAGAGCTTTCTGTTCCTCTCGAAGTCGGCGCTCCTTCCAACCCTCAGTTTCTCCACCCATCCAAACACGCGAAGCAATACCCTGCTCATGCCTCTGGCGCGCCTTTAGCTTCTCAAGTTCATCTCCAACTAGGCTACCCTCTTTGATCTGCGCATCCCGTGCAGCCCGCATCTGAGCCTGGAGCTCCTGAGCGCGCTCTGATGGTAGACTTGGGAGGACATTCTGAGACCGGCTGATGCGGGATTCGACGCGCTCGACGATGCTGCGTCCTGTCTTTTGTTCTGTGATGTGATTTGCGGACACTGCAAATGCGCTGACAAGGAGGATGGCCAGGGGATCGAGTCTGCGGGGTGGGAGGGCTATGATCACTGGTGTTGCGATCAGGAATGTGTAGGCGGCGTAATTTTTGAAGCGCTCGTAGTCGGCGGAGCGTTGCGCGTGTGTGTCCGCCAAGGGATTCGTGGACGCCATATTAATAGGTGCCGAGTCCGTTACTTTGATTGACAATCGATTTAGTGCGTTTATCGCAAGGTGATAAACTGGCCTCGATGCATCTTTATGGACATCGGGTGCGCTTGGCATATTGAAACCTTTACGGTTGCCCATAAGTACCTTTAGCGCAGTTTATGCATCTTATCTAAAAACTCGGATCTCTACCGTACACCGTAGCTAGGGCTTATCATTATAGCCAAGGCAAAAGAGCAGGAGTTTTATTACAATTTACAGACTTGAGACTAGGTCACTAGGCAGTCTCTATCAGTTCTGTCGCTATCTATAACATTATGGAGAAGCTACCTGAGACGAATCAAACGATATTACATTCAAACATCGGACATTCCACGATTCCAACTCATGTTATTATGTATATCTCTATTGAAGTGAAAGCTGAAGTGAAAGGCCGAAAGCCTTGCCTTTTTCGGCTGTGGATCAATACCAAAGTAATACTAGTCTACACCAGCGCAGGACTATGGTGTCAGGCGTCAGCAATCCTGCCAGTTGAATTCACCGATGAGCTGATGTTTACTGTAGACTCTCGAGTGCTAAGTACGCACTAGTAGCTATACTTAGTAATATGTGCCAGCACCAGAGCAGTTAGTTAACTGCTGCCCACAAGTAACATGTCGTAGAAATTACGCTGTCGACTAAAAAAGTCCAGCCACAACACAGCCGTAACACAGCCACCCTATAAATATCCTGTTCCTAGTGAAAAGCTTGACAAAGCTTGAAATCAAATGCATCCAATCTCCACATCCACGTGTAATATTTTAACCAATGAGTATGATTTTCGTGTCAGGGCTGAATGATATTAGTGGCGAGACTGGAGACCCTATCAACCACTCATGTCCTCTTATCTCTTATCATTTCCACACCACAAGATTAACTAGTCAGAACAAAGCCGTAGTTACGCGCCACAGTCTTGTGCATGGATTACGGGAATTGACGCGTAATTTTGCTTGTTGCCTGTTATAAGAGATTACCTCCCGTTCCTGATTTTCGTCTTCTTCTCTTCACCAACTCTCCACATCTTCAAACTCTCTCCTCGACTCCAGTTTTTTTTCAATTTCAAAATGTTCGGCAACGGAATCTTCTCTTGGTTCTCCTCTTCCAAGGAGGAATGTAACCACGCTACCTGGGATGCCACAACCGTCCAGACCCAGCAGCCCACTGCCATCGAGGCTCCCTCCACCAACGAGGTCATCTCTGAGCAGCCTGTATGTCACCTACCCCATTTTATATGAGTATTGAATTTTAATAATCTCCTCTTTCTAGAACTCTCAGGAGAACATGATGAAGCTGCGTGGAGGTGGTGACTTTTGCTGTGGACTGTAGGATTACCCCCAGCTTCTTTTCATAAACCATACATATACTGACCCTTGATAGTTGCGCCGGTATCGCTTGCTTCGAGTGCTGCGAGTGCTGCTGCTAAACGCCTCACTATTCTCGCTGGATTGATCACAATGATCCCTTAGCGTCGCATCAACGTACTCTAGTATCTTGATGACCCTAATGATTAGGGGTTGTTGTTTTCCTAGCCATGTCTTATTTAGCATGCCTTTTTTTCCTTTTCATGGACTGAAAGCTCTCTCGATACCCTTTTAGCTGAAAATTATTTACGTGAATTTATCCAATCCTTGATCGATAATGACATAGCTTCTCGCTAACGTAGCAACTGTAACAGCTGTAGCTGATCCGATTGAACCCGGCAAAATAAAGCCACAAGAAGGCCCAAACATACATACGGTTGATCCAGATCCACTTCACAATGGTGGTGCCTAAAGGCTGGTATCCACTGGAAAGCCCAATGTATCGTAATAGTACCGTAATTTGTAGGCCCAATAAAATGATTTTAGCTAGGAAGTCTGATTCGTCTGACGCGTACCTATTTTTGCTTACCTAGCACTTAGGTACCCAATAAGAGTCTGAACTCCAGGGACGTCATCTTAGGTAACGAAATCAGCAATCATGCAAGACAGGCATCATCCCTACTTCTATAGTTTCTAATACCACAGCCATTTTCTAAATTCCATTTCTCATCATCTTATATTGAACCACCTTAGCTCAAGATACACATCTGAAGGGTACATATTTGATAAACTTATTGCACTTAAACCTCATAAGTACAGTGGAAATATTCGTAATCTAACATTGCCAATAATGGTGGTGATTACCTTAACCAGCTCAATCCATATATGTGCAGCCTCGATGAAACACAAATGCATATGAAACCTAAGCCTCCTACCATCGAGTAAAGGGCAGCCTGTGAAACATTTGTTAGATCCAATCAAGCCACATTACTACATGAATAGAAACCCACCATTTACCCCGCAGAGTGATTACAGCCCAGTTATTACCGTCAGCATCAGTCTCCTTCTCGACTTTAGTTGAAAATGCAATAGCACTCATAATACCATCTCCAAACTTCTCATTCAACACAGCCTTATACGCATACCCGTAGTTCTGCACAATCTCATACAATCGATAGATCAGTGGTTCGGTAGGAGGCATCTGGACAGAGCGGCCTCGATCAGGGAATCCACTGAGCTGTTCTTCAAGGAGAGACTGGGGAATCTCGAGCAGTTTTGATAGCTCGTGAATGTCCTCGGCGGATGCCTTGGCTTGACCGTAGAAAATTGCGGCCGTGGATACTTCATTGCGTCCGATGTGCTGGGCGATTTGCTCGAAACTCAGCTTTTTGGCTGCTTTTGCAGAGAAGAGGGTTGTTGCCGACTCCGGAAGGCTTGGGTGTTGAGATTTCTGTATTCATTTAGCACTTCATCATATTGATTGTCGTTTAGATTATGATTGATGGGTGCAACATACATCTAGAGTTGCGAGAGACATTTTGTGAGGTTGTGAAGATAAGATTGTTTATGGTTGGAGATGAACGTGATGTTGAGGGTGTATAAGTTACAGATTTATAGCTGCCCGGGTGCGGGGGCCTCGGCATGTTAGTGGGGAACCCTTAGAAGCCGTGGGAGTCATATAGAATAGGCCCAATTTATTGGCTGTCTAGATATTGTCAAGAAAGAATCTTGGAGTTGGTGGTAGTACGATTGACTGCTTATTAGTGTCTAAAAGAGTATGGTGTACGAACCTCGGAACATTCTATCTACATCGTACATAGTAGGTATAGCTGGAGAGAGGGAATGTTGTACCCTTGGCATCAACCCCTCATCCAAATTTAGATCGTATCCACAGTCTATGGAGTACCTGACAAGGTTAGGTAAGGCTTAGAGACTGACATCTCTTTATCTTTCTCGCAGACGATCCCGGTGAGTGCTATAAGAGATGTACAGGCAGTACATAATGATCAAGCTATTTAGATATGAAACGCGGTGGGTAACCTTCCAAAGCTGGAAAAAAATGAAGTGGAATAGTGGGTGAGTAAATATACGGTATATCTAGTAGAAATGTAAAATAAATATCAAATTCCAAGGTTGGAATTTGTATGAGGGTGACACGGAGTAATCAGAGAATCGACTGTTCTCCAACTTCTCCACCTTCTCCAATTTCTCCAATTTCTGGTACTAAAGACTTCTGAGATAACCTTTTCTTAACTTACTTTGAAAATCCCATCTTGTAAATCTTGCAGGACTTAGGGCAAGTAGTTAACTAGTTATTCCGCCAAGCATTAGTAAGACTTCCAAGCAATGCCAAGCATCCCGGGAAATCATAATGCCCGAGGTCTTGACCTTTCTGTTGACCGCAATTTCGAGTAACAAGATACGAACTTACTCGGTTAAGTCTTAGAGAAAGACACTAAACCCCAATGGGAGGGATTATACCATGATGTCACATCCAAAAAAACCTCTATTCATCCCACAAGATCGTAGCACTGATGTGAGCCTGGAGTCCTGAGAGAACTATTGATTTCTTGTCCTTAGATCGAGTTATGAACCAGCATATAATGGACGAACGGGTGAACTATGGATCTAACGTACGAGAGATGCCAAGTAAAATGCCACGTATGCTAAGTAGCAAAATGAGTTACGATGGCCAAACTGGCCATTCTAGATGCGATATACGGTCTTGGAATGTGTCAAAATTACTAGAATGCTTGCTGCAGCCAACCGGCGTTGCCGATCCATGCCAAGCAACATGTTTATGCGACCTATATGGAGACATTCAAGATAACACGCATAAAGTCAGCTTACTCTCCGTTTTTAGAAAGGTTCGGGGTGACGCGGGAGTGAAACACAGCCACGATGGAGCAGGAGACGTGGCTGGATTGCGGGGCATCCAATTCACTTAAGGCTCCTCAATTCTCTCTTTTCTTTTTCCATCTGAAATCCAGAATTTCAGTTCTCTCTCATTATCGCCATGTCTCAGCAAAATAATGATTTGGCCTATGGTGGCTATTATGAAGCCGAGCGGGGATCCGATGGCTCCAGGGGTCTGAGCGATACCTTCAAGAAGTTCCGCGACACTTACGGCAGCTACTCGGGTTCTTCAAACCAGGGCCATGAGCAGTACCAGGTATGCATCATCTATAAAACTAAACTGATCTTCAAATAACATGTTTCTCGGTAGAATCAAAACCAAAGCCCGAACCAGAACCAGAACCAGGGACAGAACCAAGCCCCGCAGTACGGATACAATGACCAGAATGCTCCCCCTCCAAACCAGTATCAACAAAGACCTCACAAGGAAGATAAAATTGGTGGGTTCTTAGATAAGATCCAAGACGTTGTAACAAACATTGGCTCCGAGTTTGCCACAAAGCTGGGTACTGCTGTTGATCCACAGGCCTATGCGCAATATGGTACCGGCGGCAAGCCAGCAACCGAGAACCGTTTTGGAAGCTTCGCCCCTCCTAGAGAGCACAACGATGTGAAGTGGTATGTCGATGGATGCAACTACTTCTGGGCTGTGTCTCGAGCTTTGGAAACTGCCCGGGAGTCCGTCTGGATTCTGGATTGTGAGTCCCCTTGTGTTTTGCTGTAGAAGCCCTTCTAATGTACGAATAGGGTGGCTGTCTCCTGAGCTCTACCTGCGTAGACCTCCTGCCAAGAATGAACAATATCGCCTCGACCGGATGCTGCAGGCTGCGGCTCAGCGCGGTGTGAAGGTCAACATCGTCGTGTACAAGGAAGTGCCCCAGGCTGTATCCAGTATGTCTGCAACCTTATTTTAACTATCAGGACTATGAAGCTAATATTACGTGAAAGCTTGCTCTGAACACACTAAGAAGGCATTGGAAAGCTTGCACCCAAACATTGCTGTCTTCCGTCACCCTGACCACATTCCAGTCCGCCAGGAGGTGGAATCTGATATTGCTGACTCTCTGCAGCACATGTCACTTCACTCAGGAAATCTAGCCAAAATGTCTGGAGATGCTTTGAAAGCCATCTACGGTATCAACGATGATGTTGTTCTGTTCTGGGCTCATCATGAAAAGCTCTGCATGATCGATGGCCAGATTGCATTCATGGGTGGCCTTGACCTGTGCTATGGCCGTTGGGACACGCACCAACACTCGATCTCCGATGAACATCCCTCTGATGCCAGCGAGATTGTCTTTCCAGGACAGGATTACAACAACTCCCGAGTTCTTGATTTCCAAGATCTCGCCAACTGGCAAAACAACAAGCTGGATCGGAAAGAAATCTCCCGCATGGGATGGTCTGATATCTCCGTCAGCCTGCGTGGTGCAGTTGTAGAGGACCTGCGTCGGCACTTTGTTGAGCGCTGGAACTTCATCTATGACCTGAAGTACAAGGCCGAGAATAATACCAGATATGGAAGAATTGAGCTCTATGGACGGCCAGGATCAGCAAACCTATATCCTTCAGGATACGCGAGCCCGCAGAACCCTCAACCACCATCCCAGCAATACCCTCCTCAGGTTGGAGGCGTTCCAGGAGTGCCAGGCGTGTCTACTTATCCACCCCCTCCTAGTCAGACGCAGATCCCACAACAGCCTGCTTCGTCCTACCAGACGTATCACGCTGAAACACCGCCACCGTATCAAGGCAATACATCCAGTTACCCAACCCATGAAAAGCCTGCTGCCAACTACCAGGCTTCCTCTCCTGCTTACCCAAGTCAGGCTCCCACTCAATACACTTACACTGGAAATTCATTCCCACCGCCTCCTCCCGGTGCCCCTCCTGCTGCGTCGCCTTCCAGCGAACCTTATCAAATCCAGCAACAGGGACAGTCTTCTTACTACCCATCGGCTCCTACTCAGCATTCTGATAGCTCAGACTACCAAGGACAGGGTCAGACTCAGGCACAGTCATCCTACTACCCTGCAGCACAAGATCACTCACAAGGTCAAGGCTCTTATTACCCCTCTGCAGGTGAACAACATCAAACTGCTACTCGTGGACTTGGAGATAATCAGTATGAAAGTGATCGAAGCTTTGTACCGCGTCGTATCCAGGAAAACCTTTCCAGCCTTCGCGGCCAACTGGCTGGTCAAATTCACCAGTACCAGGATCGTCTGACCACCTACGGCCGTCCAGGCTCTGCTCAGACACATGGCAACATCTCATGCCAAATTGTGCGTAGTTGTGCTAAGTGGAGCAACGGCTCTCCCGTAGAGCACTCGATTGCCGATGCGTATGCTGCGATCATCAAGAACAGCGAACGGTTCGTTTACATTGAAAACCAGTTCTTCATCACGGCTACTGGCAACTCACAGGAACCTGTGAAGAACCAGATCGGTGCTGCGATCGTGGAGCGTATTCTGCGCGCTGCTCGGGCCGGCGAAAAGTACAAGATTATGGTTGTGATCCCATCTGTGCCTTGCTTTGCCGGAGATCTCAGAGATGATTCTATGCTGGGTACTAGAGCAATCATGGAATTCCAGTACAACTCGATTAACCGCGGTGGCCACAGCATCATGGAGCTTATCGCCAAGGAAGGCTTCAATCCGATGGACTACATTCGGTTCTACAACCTTCGTAACTACGATCGGATTAACAACACTGGTGCCGTACCTCCCGTTAACACTACAGCTCCTGATGGTTATGCCCCGAACGCTGGCCACAGTTCTTTCGATACCTCTGCCACCTACCAGCAAAGCCCATCAGCTGCTTACCCTGCAAAAGCTGCTGGCCCTGGTAATTGGGACAGTGTTAGCTCGTGCTATATGCTTGGCGGAGAAGATATCCGCAATGTTCCTTGGACCGGCCACCCTGATGCGGAGATTGATGCATTTGTGAGCGAGGAGCTCTACGTTCACTCCAAGGTATGTCTCCTCCTTTATTATATTGATGAAAGTATTCTAATAGAAGTAGGTTATGATTGCGGACGACCGGGTGGTGATCTGCGGATCTGCAAACCTGAACGACCGCTCGCAGCTTGGCGATCACGACTCCGAAATTGCCGTGATCATCGAGGACTTCAACCCGGTGCACTCCAGAATGAACGGCCAGCCATGGACAGCTAGTCGCTTTGCCACCTCCCTGCGCCGCGAGCTGCACCGTAAACACCTTGGACTTCTGGCTCCTCAAGACTACTCTCGACCTGAGCAGAACAGCGAGCCCGTTGGGGTACCGAACCAGTGGGACTTCGACTCTCCCGAAAGCCAGATCGTTTCCGACCCGCTGTCAGATACGTTCCAAAGCCTTTGGAACTCCCGCGCGCGCAACAACACTGAGGTGTTCCGCAAGGTCTTCCGCGCCGTTCCAGATGACAGTGTGCGCAATTGGTCCACCTACAAGGAACTCTACGAGTACTACTTCCACAAGGCAGACGATGAGGCAGGAGGCGACACTGGATTTGGCCCGAAGGCCCGATACCAATGGGGCCATGTGGTGCGTGATGACTTTGCGCCCGGTCCCGACGGAGTCAAGCAGGTTAAGGAACATCTCAGTCAGGTCAAGGGAACTCTTGTCGAGATGCCTTTGATGTTTTTGATTGAGGAAGACGTTGCCAAGACCGGTTTGGCTTTGAATGACATCACGGAACCGATTTACACTTAATCTGATTTCATGGACTTTTGACTTGATCCGACACTTCCGCAACAACGCATTCTTTGCGTTATTTGACATATATATTAACACGAGAACTCAATGCTTCAATCGAGTGCATGTACTTTGAAGTCTATTTAAATTCTATATACAAATATCATTCAAAAAACTATGTCGTTTAGATAAAGTTACCTCTAGATAACGAAACACGGATCAAGATAAAGCTATTCGGTGGACGTCATCGATATCTAGATAACCATAAAGCTGTCAACTTCAACCCCATGAACCCATAATTCGTGCTCTTTTCTCTTTTCTCTTTTCTCTGTTGAAAATTCTTCAAAATCTTGCAAGTATCGTTCTGTACAAAATTCATCATGCAATCTGGTGTTCAACATAAGTCCAACGGCGTACCAACCCCCGAGGTAAGACCGCTCCATCATAAAGTGAATCAACTACTACAAATAACTAACTGTAAAACAAGCCATTGTCTAGAAGCGAGTTGCTTCATTTCAGCAAATATGGCAAACTCCCCCGCAGAAGCCTACTCAAAAACCACATGTCAAAGGTAAGAACCTTCTAGACTCCCTAATCTATACTTCAAAAAATAAAACTGATACTGAATAAAAAAGGAGCGCACCTACTTCGACTCGGGTGATTTCGCCCTCTCAGCCGTACGCAGAGTAACTGACAACGGTACCATAAAAACTGGAATAATGCACCCGCACCGGGAAAGCATCTCTCATTCTTTCTCGCCCATACCGGCTGATAGCAATGTTCGGAAAGATGCAAACTGCGATAACTATGGACGGAACGAGAGTCGTGAGGGTAGTCCACTTACGCAGCAGAATAGTGCTGAGAGCCTTGAGCGGAGGAGCAGTGAGGAGAGGGAGAAAATGATGTCTCGTCGAGATTGATTTGATCGGTTTATTTCTTACGTATTAGATTTGGGTACAAAATTCGGAGGCGCTCTTTTCAGCTGTATCATTTGTTTTATTAGATGTTCCTTTTTAGGGTTGGCTTCCTACCTTTTTTGATGAAGGTCTATACTGGTCTCCGTAGAGCGAAAGACTAGAAAAGGAGAAAGGAGACTACGACATACTAATGCCTAGCCGTACCTAATATCAACTAAGTAAGGGATGTGTTGAAGTAAGAATATCAAGCTAAACTCCCCGACTTCTGCGACACCAACCCACCAAAAATACCTAATACCCACGAATTTATACCGGCCATACCCACTGAGAACGACCGATTGGACCTCATTGGTGCCCATAGTATTCTTACCTATGACCTTGTCATCATATCCATGTCTCTATTCCGTTCCGACTTGCGATCTGTCATCCTATGTGAGCCTCTCCACGATTTATCCAAGACCTGACACAATACAGAGAAGTACCCTTAGGATAATGCCTCGGAGACCCCTTGAAGAGGGGCTGGGCCTTGTTGATGACCATATTGCCTAAAACAGGGCTATATCTTGATAGGGCTTGTTCAAACCTGCAAAAAAAGGAAGTCCTTTGGTATGCCATGAAAGATGGCATAATGAAAATTCCCCACTCGGACGATGATCTCTCTATCCACTTCTTCATCGAGACAGCCTTCCTTCACCATCTTGCTACCTGATGTTCATAGCAAGCTTCTGATTTTGAAATCTCGTATTCTTTCTATTTTTTCTCTTCTTATCCGTTTCTTTGCCTCACATTCTTCTATTTCCCTCTGATGCTTGCATCTCTCACATCTTATTCCATTTAGTATCATTTGATTTTCTAGGTTTGAGTATCATCCGACATCAGGAGAAAGAGCGAGAATCTTGAGATATAGGATCAACAGGAGTTGAAACTGGGGCACTTAGCACCATGGAGGGATGAGAGTTGGGAATAGAATATTTCTTCTAGAATCCGTACACGGCTATGAGGGGATGAAAGATTCATTCTTATAGCCCTGCTAGGAACTCGAGAGCATGAAAAAACTAAACGAAATTTGTGGAAAGCAGACATTCATCAATGTGGTAATTTGTGGATAGGTTTAGCTTGATGATTAAAACGTTGCATAATGCCTTCCAGAATGCCTCAAAGGTGATTGAGAAGAAAAATAAAGAAGAATTATGAGTCTTCTTATACTGATACCTACCTATGATTTTCAGGGCTACCTAATCACCTGGTAAAGTACGTAGTAGTTGAATCAAAACAAGTAGTTAGAAACTGTAAATTGATTGTAATCACTCGAAAAAACGGTAATAGCTAGGAAAAGTTTACTTGACTCCTACGGGCGCTGAATTTGAGCTTATCCGAGATCTCCAGGACTTAATTGAGCCTCGGCTTGGAGCTTTTCTGGAATCCTCAGCCTAAGACTTCAGCCGTATGCTGTGAATACGTAGACCAAGGACTGATATTGGATTTAAGCTTGTATTCCTATAAACTGACATGACCAACAAAATATAATAACTCAGGAACCATCGAAGACTATCAAGACAAAAAGCGTGACAAAATAGATGGCAAGACTGAAAACGACACACAAACCCGAGATTTTTTGTAACTTTCATATAAATACCCCTAATCAGCGAATAGGAAATAGATAGACTTTCTCCTTCTAAGCTACCCTTGTTATCACCCACAAATAGATCGGTAAAAACAACAAGACCTCGCAAAATCATCTCAAACAGCCTGAATTTGAGGGACTAACAGATCGGCATTTAAAAGTTTGTCATCAGGCAGACCTGGATAGCGAGTGATGATGCACAGCATAGAATAGTCTATAAATAAAGCCGCAAGTGATTATAGTGGAATGATTAAGGCTTCGGCCAGAAAGGAATGGACTAGACGGTGACAATAAAAGCAAAATTGAATCGACGTTGGTCGTGTTTAAGGGGTTCGGTTTAAGGGTTGATGTTTGTTCTCAAGGATTCGTAGCACAATTCTTGTCATGCGCGATGAAGATCATCGAAGCAGCTCAATATCGCGTGGTAGTGTGGAATGGTTCCATTAAGGCTTTCATGTAGGTAATCTACATGATAACGCAGCCACCACCGGGGGAGGCTATCGACAAGATTTGGTTAGATTCACGAATATGATGGATTACATAGGTAGAAGTAAAGTGGTGATAGAGCTTACCATTGACTATGGGAGGAGAGAGGATCTGGGGAGCAGCCATTTTGATGGATTGGTTAGGACTTTAGAAAAGCTTGAAATTGAAGTTTGATAGTTGGAGTGGAAGGTAATTGAGTAGATGAACAGAAGAAATTGATTAGGGAAAGACGAGATACTTATATCCTTATTAATGCTACTGAATTTGACTTCCAAGTATATGAAGATACACCTAGAGTAGATGTCAACACATTCTGATTGGATGGATAGTCTTGTCACCTGTGCAGGCTTCTATTGAAGTGGAGTTTCTTAATATTGTTGTCTAGAAGTCAATGGGAAGTGGCGGTCTTCTATTCAGTCAGGCGTATACCTAGGTATTGATTGAGCAGATTACTGATAAACATTGATATATCGATTGGTGAACTTCAAAGAATCATGTTTCAAGGAGATAATATTGTTCTGATGACAACAATCTGTTCGATATCAAAACATGTCGAAGACCTCTTTCATACGGAGATACCCAGAGATTAAAACTTTAATGGAAGTCTTAGTAGATGTCACCATGAATATGAGAACAATAATAAACTACATATGAAATTTTGAAAGAATACAGCTCATCAAGCCACAATGGGAAATGCTTTGGACAAAGAGACTCGGGAACTCGAAGTCACCTGCCACGCTTAATATTGTTCTCGAAAGAGCAATCACTTTTCCTTTTCCAGTTACAGAGCTCCTCGCTAGGTACCACTGACCAGGCATTGAGGACTAGGTACGAAAATTTCTTTATCTTCATTCCAAGTTCATACGCTAAAAGCCCGGCATCAAACTATAGAATGTTTGTCATGTTTGCATTTATTTTCGTTGTCAAGTCACATGACTCTACTCCTTACTTCCAGCCTCCATCTTCCGTGCCACCACATCCACCATACCATCACATCCCATCTCATTTTTTACTTCAACCATCAGCTACGACCCAGGTTTTCTACTTGCAAAGCCTAGGCGCGTGTTTGCTCTACACTGTGGCGATCCGAGTCTCGTGTTGACAGCAGCGCATCTGCGCGGCAGCCGACCAGACTTCGTGAACGTAGCAGCGTTCTTGCGAATCCCTAGTGTCTAAGCTCTAGCAATCTGGCTGTCAAATCTGAACTCCTATTACCTCTATCAACGCAGTCAAATTACATATCTACTCTTCATCTCCATTACACCCGTCATCCATTCAGCCTTAGCATCAAATTCCATCTCTTTTTTTTTCCTCCAGACATCGATAATCGGTACGACCCAGATAACCTACTCGCAAAGCCTAGGCGCGTGTTTGCTTTACACTGTGAGCGGTCCAAGTCTCGTGCTGATAGCGGCGCATCTGCACGGCAGTCGACCAGACTTGTGAACGTAACAGCGTTCTTGCGAACCCCTAGTGTCTCGGCTCTAGCAATCTGGCTGTCATATCCGTTCTGTTTGAGTCAGGGCTGCTCTTAAGCGTAACCGCTTCCAAAGCCTGGGTGGGCGGGTCCAACCCAGTGTTGGGGCAAGTTTTTCTTACTCGTGTTATTGACATTTTATATCTCAGGGACTAATGGTATGGTTACTTTCCCGGGTTACTCTGTCGCTTGAAAATTCACAATGTCTCTCAAGCCATTCTCCTTTGATCCTCCGACATCCCTCGCCCTCGAGGGAGATATTTCGTGGAAATTAAAAGAGCCAGTGTTGGTCATATGGCGGGATTCAGATCAGACCCTCTCCCTCGGGCAGCCATGTTCTTTCAATAGTAATACCCCTACTTTGGTGACCATGTGGGTAGGTGAAACGCCGGACAAGAAGCTGGCAGTAGTATTACTGCAAATGACCATCTCTTTCAAAGTCTCATCTCGCAAGAAGAGCTTTGATTTGTTCTTAATTCTCCCATCTGATAAACTTTGCGTAATGGATAATACAATCTCAATAAATGAGGTTCCACCCGATGTTTACCAACGTCTAGAACAAGCCCGCTCAGAGTCATCAGAGAGAAGGAGATTATCGCACCTCAAATTCCAGCTCGACTGCCCAAGTCAAGTACTCATGAATGTTCAACCGACTAGTGCCAAGCCTATTTCTGGCACAGCTTTACACATCATGCTTCTCCTTAAATCATTATCGCAAGTGCTGTCGTTCGACGCATACATCGGCTATAGCACATACGCAATACAGGCCTTAAGAACTCTCAAGACTGGACTCGATAGTGGTGCCAGGACACCCGAAGTCGATTTGAAAAATGCGTACGCCGGTGCTGGAGGCAGTCTAGACAACTGGGAACAATACAACACGGAACATTTTGCTCGCAGCGCCAATGATATTGCACCGAGCAGGAAAAGGCCAAGGAGGGGCTCTTCTTCAAGCACACCACCGAGACAAAAGGATTTCTCCAGTCAGTACATCCAAGAACTTGAACCAAGTAATCCACCGCCCTATGTACAACTCGAAGAAGCACCTCCCACGAATCCTAAAAATTCTCACTCGGAGGTCCTCGTTGCGCGAACGGACAGTGATTATGCTCCGTCTCCAGTTCTTGCTTTATCCGACGACGGGGACTACATCCCCGAGACCCCTCCAAAACCAATCGTGGGCGTTCAAGATATTACCAACGACCCTTCCATCGCAACAACCAATCCAATCGTCGAACCAAATGATACTACGCTTCGAACATCGATGACTTCTTGGATTCTGGCCATGAAGAGAGTCGACGGCGACTTTTACAAAGCCCACCGACTCCACCCGGTGCTTCTATCCCTCGCGAGTGCTGCATTAAGACAAGACACGGATCAGTTCATCAAAGCTAAAGCCCGAGGCACCACGATTGTCTTGGCAAAAGATGCTGCCGCGACCATCATGGGCCAGCGGATTCACACCACCCACCAGGAAACACCAAAGCTGCTGCATGAACAGGAAATGTTGACTTCGTGGATGTACGGATTTGATCTCAACACGGATGTGGTCATGCTTCCTGTTCTGCGCGTCATGGCTCTCTGGGCCGTTGCGCACAAAACGCATACCAATGCCAAGAGTCGTATGGTAGACCAGATTGGTGATGATGCTAAAACTGCGGAACTAGAAAAAAGCTTCAGACGATGCGAGGCTGAGTGTATTGCGGAATTTTATACCCACCTTGTGTCAAGGAAGGAAGCTCAAAGCATAGTATAAATTCTATTTCAAAATTCATCTCTATTATCTCTAATAAGTGTTCGCCTTAATGTATGCATGCATTACTACAACAGTCTTTTGAACATTTGTATACATCGACTACCTAAACATTGGCTTTCGAAGCATCAACAAAAACTTGCTGAAACAGATCATCCCTCGTTTGATCTGTGATTTTCGAAATAGCAATAACCTCCTCGTTACCATCGGTCAAAGCACGAAAGACCGACTCAGCAGTATCATACTCAATAGTAGTGAACCCAGGCCTCTTCTCATAGACCAGGTTTACAATCGGGGCGTGTAGCGCGACCCTGATATCATGCACATCCATTGCTCCGGCAATTAGGGAATTCCCAAGCACATATTGTCGTGCCTTTTGCGCACGTCCGAAGAGAGTAGATAGTTTGCCATGATCTTGGATATCATAGATGGTATATGGTTCGTCTCCGCGCATCTCGTTGACTGATGTTTCTAGTTCTTGGAGAGTTGTTGCGGATTTCACACTGGCGGACTTGTATCTGCCCAGTCGGCTTTCAAGTGAGGTGATGAAAGTGAGCCATGGAACGGGTAACTCGATTGTTTTATGGGTGATTGTTCGACTTGTGTCGATTGAATAGTCTTGGATCGACATGGTATTGTTTTTTGCAAATTTCTCACTCAGCTACCTGGTTCTAAAAATCGAATCCAATGATTGTATATTGCTGGGCTTGGTGGATTGAGCCTAATAGTGTAGATTTAGTAGTGTAGTTAACGTTGAACTGGTGGGACGTTGGAATTCAAACGTGGAAGCCGTGCATTTATACCTCTGAAGGATTGAAAGGGTAATTATTAGCATATTGCTGTGCTCTGATTTTGATCGGTCTATCGTTTACGCATCTAAGAATCAATTTACTTCTATCAAATAATCATTGATGGTGTTGAGTAATCCCTAATATTGACATAGAATTTGATGGTCCGAGCTTTCGTGGTCCCACTTCGATGAATAAACAATAAATCGGTAGTCAGACAATCCAAAATGGACAACCTACCAACTCACTGCCCAGCCCTTTTTGAAATGCGGAGCTGTTGCGTAATATCGAATAGTACCGAGGGCACTGTATGTTCCAATGAATAATCTCCCGCAGATCCATAGATGAATTAGGGTCGAATGCCACATAAATAAGCACGATGACCATGCCTCGGATAAACGTCTTCACACTTATAAGTCTCCAGTCTTTCTCTGTACTGACACGTTAGAATCCATCCAACATCTTCTATCTATTTATAAGTTATTCACTATGGCCCAGAAAATCCTTGTTATTGGCGGCACCGGTGCCCAAGGCTCAGCCGTCGTTAAGGAGCTTCTCGAAGCACCATTTGAGGTCCGAATTTTGACCAGAGATCCAACTAACGCCGGGACACTGGAGAAATTCCCACCAGGGAGTGGAGTGGAGTTGGTAAAAGGTAAGTGCCTATGCTCTTCTGCAGATGACGGTGTCAATCATTTGATATCATCCACTAACGGATAACCAGGCTCATTCATGGACATTAAAAGTATTGAAGCGGCTCTCCAGGGCTGCTACGGCTTATATCTCAATACCGATGGTATGTTAAGCTTAAATCCTGCTTTATGGGCATTGGCTTATCGCCAATAGGCTTCACAGTGAAAGAGGCAGATGAGATCTGGGCCGCTATCCGCATCTTTGAGACAGCTAAGACGGTTTCTTCGTTGAGACATTTCGTCTGGAGTGGCTTGGATTACTACCTCAAGGTAACTTACTTGCTGTCGTATCCACCAATCAACCACTAATGGCTTGGCAGTTGGGAAATTATGATCCTAAATACGCTTGTTACCACGTCAAGTATGTTTTTTCTCTCATTTTAGGACTCTTCATATCCAGACATTAACAGCGTTTTAGTGCAAAGGCGAGAGTGAATGACTGGCTCCGATCACAAGATTCATCAACTGAGCCTCAGGGCCTTGCATGGTCAATTATCAACTCGGGGCCATATATGGAGATGCTACACGGTAAGCAGGAGAATGCATAACTGATTGGTAGAATCTTGAAACACATTGCTGATACATACATCATCGACCAGGTGGCACCTTTGTTCCAACGATCAAACCAGATGGAACGCACGTCTTTTCTTTCCCCTTGGGTAAGGGAAGATTACCTCTGATTGCACTCCCTGACCTTGGTACATTTGCTCGAATCATCTTCGAAAACCGTACTGAATGGTCGGGCCGCACCCTTGGTATCACATCTCAATTCGTTACCGGAGAGGAAATTGCAAGCACTCTCACGAAAGTAACTGGTGTTACAGCAGTTTACGAGCCTTGTACAGGGGAGGAGTGGGTTTCTCGAATCCCCGGGTCTTCGGGACCTGTTGCCTCCACAGACCCAACTGGCCCTACAAGCCGGGAGAACTACCTTATGTGGTGGCGTGCTTATGAGGATGACCTGATTGCTTCAGAAAGAGATTTTGATCAACTTAGAGCACTCCACCCTGGCTTGAGAACCCTCGAGTCGTGGATGAAGGAAACTGGATACACGGGAGAAAAGAAGAAGTTGTTGAAGGGCCAACGGCAATCATAGAGTCTCTCTGTCGGAATGTGCGCATCAAGTACGTATGTATCTATAGAATGATCTCGGATATTATCAGTTATAACTTACATATACAATTGGACCATTTTGGAAAGCCAAATTCGATTATTGCTGTAAACATCGTAAGATATAAGCAGAGTAAAGGTGATGTTCTACTTCATCATCATAAAGTCCGTACCAATTGCTCCATTTTCCACTCAAGCAGCCATGGAAGGCATAAGAATGGAACCCATTAGCAGGATGAGCGTGGGCAGACCGATCAACAGTCTCAGTGCATCGGCGGACATTTATGGCATAAAATGACCCTCAATATCATTATTCAGTCATCCATCAATCACCAAAATGACTTGCCACATGATGAGCGACGGCGGCTTCATCACCGGTGAACTCGCCACAGACAGGGCATGTTATTACTTCCGCTGAAGCATGTCGGGCCTCGACGTCTGTATCTGTCGGCTGTGTATTGGATTCACCTCCCTTCCGCTGCTTCTTCTGCTTCCCTTGCTTGACGTATGCATCTAAGCCGATGATTTGCGATGGAACTTCCGGCGCCGAGGTGTTCATCAAATTTGATTCGGCTGTCGAGGGTGAGGTTGTAATAAATGTCCCTGTCATCATGGACTGAACTCTTCCGACACGACCATCAGAAAGCCTGACTTTGATGCCCCGTGGGTGGTTTCCACGTGTCAGAACATTTGCAATGGTTCCCTGCACTTGTTTTCCGGTTCGTTGGTCGGCTTTGAGAACGATGTTGACAGAAGCGCCGGGGGTAACTTCTTTTGTACTTGGAACACGATACATTTTGGTAGTTATTGCCTTTCTGGTAACCTTCCACATTATCCGATTCTGTTTCCTGGGCTCGGTAGATGTATCTAAGTGTACGCGACTCATTATTCAGTTGTTTCGCTGGCATAATAAAGGCGGTATAGAAGACGGTGAGCGGCTTACTTTAGCTACTGGTGTCTGATAAATAAATATTTAGCTAACTAACTATATTAGTTATTTGTAATATCGTTGCCAATGGTTAAACTGTTACATCGTCATAATGACATGATGCATTTATCATTTCGGACAATGTCTGAGAGTAATCATTTGGTATTGCCTTTTATATTTAGTATACTGGCTTGTCTCGATCCAAGATTGTGGGCAATTCCTAATCTCCATCAATCCTTTTCTTCTCTCATAAGGGCGCAGAACAACAGGGCTGAGATCTTATCCCTGTATTCCACGCAGAATTAGAAAGAAATCCAGGGGCTGACCTGATATCAATGCCCTCAAATCATATATCTATCGACATAATGTTTCCCAATACCGTCAGATATCTTATTCTACATAAATCAATCCCAAGATGGTTTGTTGATACTGCACAGAGAAGAATCAGAAATTGCTGTCCCAATTCCCGTCAAATTACAATCGAAGGATCAAATTGAAGGATCACAATCGAAGGATTGCAAACGACTAAAACAACAGTTTTACTCATGGCTTGATTGTGCTCGGTCCTTTCCGAGTTATTTTTATGTCCTATATTTTGGAAATAACGCTGACCCAAGCATTGTCGGGTCCGTCATTCGAGGGAAAGTTATCGATCCAACGACAGCTAGAAGATATTTTCTATCGACTAAGGTCTATTCGGCAAAACAACAGAATAGAGCTTAGGGGTGTTTGCAGAGAAGGCGTCAAAGAGCTCCATACTCACCTATATACCATATTCAAAGGCATCACTACAACCAGTTAAGCGAACTACAATTTTTGGCCACTCACTATGGTAGTAACTCATACACCATGCGCCCTCGTTCCCTCTTGCACCAGGTTTATCATAATATGACACATTGATTGGTCTTCAATCATAGCCATGGTACTGACAATATCATGGTGGCAAAGGATCCGAATATCGATGGTCATAATATTGTCACTGTGATCATTGACTGGGAGCTCAGCGGCTTTCATTCGAAGTATTTTGAGTGTACTACTTTACCTAACGCGCCCCGTGGGCGTAGCGAATGGAACCGACTAGTTTCTCTCCATACCAGAGAATGTCTCACCTTCAAAGTTCTGAGCATATTACAATCTGACAGATGTAGACTAAGACTTTCGCAGATGATCGGACAACTCTTTAATCGTTATGGCTCCTACCAGAAATCTCCGCATTTGTTGACTCATGGCTTCAAACGCCTTTCTAGGTACAATGGCCCGGAAAGCATTATCCCAGGGTCTGGTACTTTGGCTTGTCACTTTAGGGATACACTTTCGGCGGTCATAGATAACATCCGGGCCGAGATCCTTTTTGCTCGGCAACTCGGACCATACGGCAAGCCGTTATGAGATGGATACTACAGATAACACACAGGAAAGGGATTGGGAAAACTTAACATGTAACATTTGAGGGAAACCGGTCCTGAGCTAGTCTTATCTGGGTTCCGGTGATAATTATATATGTATGAATTCGCCTGATAGAGCCTAAAAAAAGTCCACGGGTGGCGTAAAGGCTAAGTATGCACGGTAATTTACTAAGCACTTCTTCAGTTAAACACGTCTTTTTGTCAAAACATTACCATTCCAGAGCTTCAGGGGCTTCTTCAAATTCGAATTGCTCTACAGCCAAATGTGTGGGTTGATAACGTCGATCAAAGGGTGTGATGAGTAAATCATTATCAATCTAGCCGTTTGTCTCCACAGTGTTTCAGTCACGCCAGAAACCGGGAAGGATCCGTTAATATTTTGTACTTTTTCCATAAAACTTAGAAAGATCCATTAGTTGCTGATCGATGATTCCGGATCCCTTTCTTTTGTTTCATTGATTCGTCGAAGGAATCGCCTTCCCCTGACATATATCATGGCATATACCAGTCAGCTAATCGAGTTGTCCATGATAAAGTGTTGTACTTCCTCGTGTTTCACGTTAATTTCTACAATGTCTGAGTATGTGTACAGTACCCGGTCATGTTCGTATTCGATGAACCAATTCATATTCCGGATGAGATAATTGTGGGCCAGAGAGCAGATCATCGGTTTAAGAGCTACAACGGGAATAGGCAAGATGCTTAAAAAGTATTTGTCAGGCTAATGTCATATTTGGAGAACTTTTGAAAGCCTGCCTAGGCTCTGAATGGATGCTTTTGGAAATTAACATCGAAGGGGGCTGCGCTCAAACTCCAAAGTATAAGAAGCCATGATTGTTCTGAGGAAGTGACTGAGTTCAGCAAGCATTCATTCGTAGTCTTCTGAGTTTCAATTACGAAGAGTCTATTCATCATGCGCAGTCTCGCTGTCCTTGCATTGCTTCCCCTGGCGATCGCTGCTCCTAATGCTTCCAAGCCCACATATGACTACGTTATCGTTGGAGGAGGAACCGCTGGTCTGGTGATTGCCAACCGCCTTTCAGAACTTGAACACATCAATGTGCTTGTAATTGAGGCTGGTGGCTCTGTTTACGACAATGTCAATGTGACAAATCCGAACGGATATGGGGAAGCATTTGGAACCGACATCGACTGGGCCTACAAGACAGTCCCGCAAAAATGGGGTGGCAATGGAACCCAGATTATGCGGGCTGGAAAGGCACTCGGAGGTACATCTACAATCAACGGCATGGCGTACCTTCGAGCCCAGGCAGCTCAGATTGATGCATGGGAAACCATTGGCAACGAAGGCTGGAACTGGAATAACCTGTTCCCCTACTACCGCAAGGGAGAGGATTTGCAGAGCCCATACAATTACACGTGGTCCAAAGGAACTGGTATCGCCTTTGATCCTGCCGACCACGGTTTCTCGGGACCACTGAAGGTTGGCTGGACCAAGGACCAGCTGAACGATGGTCTTGCTCAGAGGCTGAACACTACCTATAAAACTATGAGTCCTCCTATTGAGTTCAATGAGGATCCTAACGGTGGTCAAATGGTTGGCTTCTCGCTCTTCCCTAAGACTGTTGACACAGAACTCACAATACGTGAGGATGCTGCTCGGGCCTACTACTACCCCTATAAGTCTCGCAGCAACCTCCATGTGTGGCTCAACACTCAGGCTAACAAGATCGTCTGGAAGGACGGCGCCGAGGTCACTGCTGAGGGTGTGGAAGTTACCCTGGCCAACGGCAAGACTAGTGTGGTTAAGGCGACTCGGGAGGTTATCCTTTCAGCTGGTTCATTGCGATCTCCCCTTCTCCTCGAGCTGTCCGGTGTTGGAAACCCAAAGTAAGTAAGATCTTTCAACCATGAATAATGGAAGCTAACGAGAGTAGGATTCTTTCTAAGTACAACATCAAAACAAAGGTCAATCTGCCAACTGTTGGTGAAAACCTCCAGGATCAGATGAACAACGAGATTGTCTTTTCATCTAGCGCAAACAACACCGGAGCTGCTAATTTTGTGGCATACCCCTCCGCCGAGCAAATTTTCGATAATTCCACTGCTGTTGGTGCTAAGCTCCTTGCTAAGCTGCCTGCATACGCCGCCAAAGTTGCCTCTGCTAATGGAGGCGTGACCAAGGCGGAAGACCTCGAAAGCTTCTTCAAGGTTCAATGGGACCTGATTTTCAAGTCCGGTATTCCCGTTGCGGAGATCCTAGTTGAGCCCTCAGGTCTAACCCTCGATACTGAGTATTGGGGCTCCGTCCCTTTCTCTCGTGGTAACATCCACATCTCATCGGCTGACCCGACTGCCGCCGCCATTATCGACCCGAAGTACTTCATGCTAGACTTTGATTTGTACTCTCAGGTTGCGGCTGCAAAATTCATTCGCAAGCTTTACAAGACTCAGCCATTTGCCGCCATCGTTCAAGGCGAGACTAGCCCTAGCCTTTCTACTATCGCAGCTAGCGCTTCCGAAGACGGCTGGTCTACATGGCTCAAGTCGAAGTGTAAGTTTTTCTACGTAGGAATATATTTTGAAGCAGAACCTAATGAGTCAATAGACCGATCCAATTTCCATCCGATCACTTCAGCTGGTATGATGCCAAGGGAGAAGGGTGGTGTGGTTGATGCATCCCTTAAGGTCTACGGCACATCAAATGTTCGCGTTGTTGATGCATCAGTCGTTCCCATGCAGGTCTGCGGACACTTATCAGCGACTATCTATGCAGTTGCAGAGCGAGCCGCGGATATCATTAAGAGCCAGTTATAGACTTCGTGTCTTCAAGATGGATTTTTGTTTGAGAAGTACGCTGTTGCGGTACGGAGATTTCTAATCAGTCTCTCAATATTAAATATCAATATGGAAATTTCGAGGTTGTTCAAATACAGAATGTAAAAATTCAAAATTTAGTATTAAAGATCAAATCCAATATTGACATGCAACATGGGATATCAAATGCCAATATTGAGTATTTAACACAGATATTTGAAGTCAAATTAGATATCCCCGTTAAACTCAAATTGAATATTCAAGATTGAGCTTCCAATACTGACCAATTACCATTCTTTGACCACAAAACTGATCCGTGGACCACCTCGACACCGATTACTTCAAGCAATTACTAACTCTTGATGATTTTTACACCTTCCACAGGACCTGAAACCTGTATAACAGCTCTAAAAACCTTCTCTTCTTGCAATTTTGTCATCAAGGACCTTGCATGGGCTTCATCTTTCGCTAGGAATGCGCATGTGGATCCTGAGCCACTCATCAAGCTCGAGATAGCACCAGCAGATTGTCCTACTCGTAACGCACTGGTAATATCAGGGTGTAATTGAGCAGATGGTATTTCAAGGTCATTGATCAAATCAGGCAGGAGTTCGATCGGATCTTTGATCCCCCAGGGAGTCTGAATGCAGTTTGTTCGGTTGCGCAAGTACTCCCTTTCAGTCTCCAGCGACCCAGACAGTATATCATCATGTTTCCCAAACACAGCTCTTGTGGATAGACCCCCAAATGGCACCCCCAACACCCAATGCCAGGTAAATTTACTTGTTTTCAGGCTAATCAAAGGCTGTTTATGTCCCATCCCCAGGGCCATCATTCCCTTGATAAAGAATGGCACATCTTCACCAATATGTGCACCCAGAGCCATGAGATCATCTGTACTGAGATCCGCTTTCCATAATAGATTGCATCCCACAAGAGCTGCTGCCGCATCAGCACTACCACCTCCAAGACCAGCTTCTATCGGTATTGATTTCACAAGCTCGAAATGTACCCGTGGCTCGATTTTAACATGATTTCCAAGTAGAATTGCCGCTTTTATCACCAGGTTTTGGCCATCTATTGGAATACGGTGGCTGTCTATACCTGCGATAGATATGCTTGGACCTTGAGAGCTAGACGAAACTGTGAGGATGTCATAGAGCGATATGGCTTGGTAGACCAATGTGACATCGTGATATCCATCTTTTCGAAGAGGCCCGACGCGAACTTGAGGATTGACTTTTGCGGGGACTTGTAAAGAAACCTTTGTAGTAGAAGGGTTTTTTACGGTCATATTGCTCGAGTTGTGAAAGAAAATCAAAATACAAAAAGTGGGAAGAAAAGGAAGGAGGTCACGCGCCACAAAGTCAATTGACTTGCAGATTGAGGGGTAAATCAGTCGTCCCGCACACTTCGATACTCTCTTTATCTTCTACAATGGTCGTTCAAAAAGAAAAGCCAACAGTTGGTATAGTTATTGCAGCTGCTGGTCGAGGTACGCGTGCAGGCCAAGGTTGTCAAAAAGCATATCGCCGACTCAAAGGTGATACTGTTATAAACCGCGTCCTCAAACTCTTTCGAGCTTGGAATACACAATATCCAATTGTTGTCGTTCATCACATTGATGACAGCTCTCTAGTAGATGCCTGCATAGATCGTGACGATAGCATTTATACTACGACTGGAGGAGCTGAACGACAAGAATCTGTTCTTTCAGGTCTCCGCTTTCTTTCTACTTTGGAGAGCCCTCCTTCGCACGTTTTCATCCATGACGCCGCTCGACCTTTTGCCCCACCCAGTCTCCTGGACAGGATTATGGATTCAATCGTGAAAGACCCATCTGTGGGTGTCATTCCAGCGATTCCCGTTTCTGACACACTAAAGAGGGTCGATTCAAATGGCCTTATTACGGAAACAGTATCGCGAGAGTCTCTTTTTCGTGCACAAACACCGCAGGCATTTGAATTAGTAACTATTCTTGATGTTCATGAACGTGTTGCTGCTTCATCGTCGTCTACAAATTACACCGATGACGCTTCCCTTTGTGAAGAAGCCGGCTTCCCTGTACGGATTGTTCTTGGGGATTCCCAAAACATTAAGCTCACCTATAGTGTGGACTTTGAAGAAGCCGAGCAACGGCTACGGTCCAACAGCCTAGCTAGAAGCACTGTGCCAGACGTTCGAGTGGGTCACGGCTACGACACTCATCGATTGGTACCAGGAGTGGAGATCATCCTATGTGGCGTGAAAATACCCCATAAATCTTCACTACTCGGTCACTCCGATGCAGATGTGGGATTCCACGCTCTGACAAATGCGTTCCTGGGCACCATTGGGGCCGAAGACATTGGCAGCCACTTTTCGCCAAATGACCCTCGATGGAAGGGGGCTTCGTCAGACATGTTTCTTCAGCATGCTGCCAATCTTGTAGCCCAGGCTGGGGCCACCATTACCCATTGTGATGTCAGCTTTATTTGTGAAGCACCACGGATCAGCATTCACCGGGATGCGATGCGCGACTCTGTTTCCCGAATTATCGGATTAGACCGGAGTCGCGTTTCTGTAAAAGCGGGAACAAACGAGAGGAATGGATTTGTGGGACGTGAAGAGGGCATTCTGGCCATTGCTACAGTCACCGCTGTTTTTCCTTAGCTTTGCTTATGATCAGATGATCGGCATAGATACGTTTACTGAAAAATTGATAGATACTATGAACATCGTTTTGGCTACTCGCACACCTATTATTAGTAGGTGTTTTAATACTCAAACGGGTGTCACTATAAAATCTCCCCAACTAAGATATTTATCCACTTCGCTCCGATGGGCAGAGTGATGAAACATAAGCAATCAGAAAGCATGAGTGGATCGTCCGAGTATGCAGGATGATGTACTTTAAAGTTAATAATGTACTTTTGCTGATCGATTTTTGGAGGGGTAATCGAGCTTGTGGCACCTAGAAAGACTAGATTGGAAGGCAGGCACATGATAACAATCTTACATACAAAATGACATATTTAGCATCAACAACCAACGTTGAATCTTGACTAACCACTCCATGAGAATCTGCGTATTTCAATCGTGCTTCCAGGAGCTTCAGGCCTCTGTTGGCGAGCAGGAGCTATGCATGAATCCTGGCGCATTCGTCACTCAGCATACAGTAGTCCACAAAACCATTCACAAAACGACAGCCAAGCAACAAATTGATGGGGCAGTCCAAGAGGGATACGACTTTTACTTGAATTTTATGTGGGGGACACACGATGATTCACTAGCCGGTATAGATGCCATCCGATACTTCGAGTCACTCAATCTGCCATCTGCTGGCGTCCAAAGCTCGGAGAGAGAAGAATCAAAATGGGACTTCTTTGCCGAAGCAAAAAGGGCTGGCAGTCCACTTGTGCCTGGAACTTCTCAATACCCTCTTTTTATCAAGCCTGCGTCTAGCTATGGAAGTATGTTCATCGACGAGCATTCCCTTTGTCGCAATGAGATCGCGCTGGAACATTGCATCCAGCGCTTGAATAAGTTGATGCGCCCTGTACGGATTCAAAGAGCTCTAGCACTGGGTCAGCCCGATCCAGATAAGTATGCCGATGCTCATGAAAAAGCAGGACGCGACAGTACAGACCTCGTTGTTCAAGAGTTCATTGGCGGAGAGGAGTACTCTGTTGTAGTAGTCGCAATGGGTGAAAGTCCATTTCCACTGATACCACAACGCGCGAAATACAAGCAAGTCTCCGATGAACGGTTCTTGACACTAGATCTGAAGTTTGATTCTGATTCTGGCTATGAGCTTCTTGATGAAGATGAAGATCCAGTCCTCTGGAGACATCTGCAGGAGACCGCAGTGGAAGCATTTACCACCAAGAAAATGTATACCAATCACATGGGCTGTGATGTGGATATGCGAATAGGACAAGATGGGAGAGCCTATGTCATCGAAGTTGATCCTCTTCCGGTGTTTTTCTATCCCACAGGCTTTCAGCTCGAGGATATTGATGTCAAGTGTGGATTTCCTGGTCGATACAGGGCGGTGGTTAATACCTACATTACCAATTATTTCCTAAGAAACGCCGGCGAACGAGACCTCCAGATCGCCGAATTGGCAGCGCTATTTGATGGCCTAGCTAGGGAGCCGCATCTTACAACTGCGATCACAGAATTAGGGCCTTTTGAAGGTACGGCGGTCGACCTCGGATGTGGAAGTGGAGCTGTAGGGAACTCGCTACTTCAAAACCCTGATAACCACATCACCAGTCTGGTTGGAGTTGACATATCATCAGAAATGTTAAAAACCTGTGGCCAACATGGTAAATACACCGAGCTGGTCCATAACAGAATGGAATCGTTCCTTGCCCTGCGGACGGAAATGGTGGATCATATATTCTGCATTTCTGCGCTGGAATTTCTCTCTATGGAGGAACTCGATTTCGTTCTTGCACGATGTTTTCAGCTTGCCAGACGCTCTGTCATCTTGAATATTTCACATGATGATGAGCTTTTAGACTGCTTCAAGAAATATGTGACTAATCATACTAAAAGTATTGAAACATTCGAGATCGTGGGTGACTGGCGTATGCGTCAATACAATAACACATCAGCCTGTACAGGAAGTCAATTAGCTTTCAAGTTTTCACGTTAATAATGTGAATTTATAAGGTTATAACGATGAATTTATATGTTTTATGAAGATGACAAGATTCCAGATTCCAGATTCCACAATGACAAGTAGAGATGTCGATAAATTTGAGATTTTATGCGTTAAGTCGTTCTTATCGCATTCTAATGCCTTCTTCGATCTCAATGAGGTGATGCTTCACTTCATTCTAGATGTCAATCATGTCATTACCGATGCATTCGGGAGCGAAATAACTTAATAGCGAAGTTCGAACAAACTTGCAATCTAAAATTCAGACTTAGTGGGTCAATTAGCGGATATTTCTTTATCAGATGATCAGATGATCAAGCCATGTATGTTGATTCAGACAACTGAGAGCTTAGCATTAGATACTGACCCTTAATTAGTTTCCAGACGTCCGGATTGCATATTTCCATAGTTCCGGACGGTGAATACCTACTTCCGAATACACTTTTGGAGGCTTAGCAGGGTGAATACGCTGCTAATCTGCGGAAGGCTTTGTAGGTAATTCCCGAGCCCCTTGTGGGTATTTCCCATTAGACCCACTCGGGTAGGTATTTTCCGCAGTACTTCATGGCATGTAGGTATTTGTCTGTAGGTATTCTCCATGTGGACCACCCGGGTCGACTCTTCCCGTTATATCATGAGTAGGAATTACCCCTGCATGAGGTCTGTTATCATACGATCATAATAGGTTCGTTCTCCAGAGTAGGGGTTAGCCAAAATTCTATATAAGCCGCCCCACAGAGTTCTTCCTGTTCTTTTTTTCCATCAGAAGCTCCTTCCGTACAAACCATCAAAATGGATGTCATTCTGGATGTTGTCGATACGTTCGCTCTCGATCGATTTTATGCATTTATCCTGCCGGACAAGTTTGCTACCGGCTTAGGAAATAACACTCTGTCTAATCTTAATGAGCACGTTAAGCACTACTACCCTCTTGAGGCATCTCATTGGGCAGAGGCCAGTGCCTGGAAAAGAGATCATATTGGCAGACAGTTAATATCGTTCATGCTGATCATGTGGTATGTATCAACCTGCCAGCTAGATTCAATTCATCAACTAACAAGAACCCTCTAACAATAGGATTTTCGGAGTGACGTTGTATCTACTTGGCAGCTGGATCATATTACATACAATGTACGACAAGAGATTGTTCAAGCACCCACGATACCTTAAAAACCAAATGCCCCAGGAAATCATGCAAGGAATGATCGCAATGCCCATCATGGCCATTCTCACAGCTCCCTTCTTCGTCCTAGAAACTCGTGGCTATTCCAAACTCTACGATTTCACTAGTGACAGCCCTTTTGCTGCTTACACCTGGTTGCAGTACCCAATTTTTGTCGTCTTCACTGATACTGGCATCTATTGGATTCATCGCTGGCTGCATCTTCCTTCCATCTACCCTCTCCACAAGCCACACCACAAGTGGGTCGTTCCTACTCCCTTCACCAGCTATGCCTTCCACCCGCTTGATGGTTGGGCCCAGAGTCTGCCTTATCACATATTTCCCTTCATCTTCCCTTTGCAGAAATGTGCTTACTTGGGACTGTTCGCCTTTGTTACATTCTGGACATTGTTTATCCGTAAGTCTTATTCAATCCCTGGACATCAACATTTTTCTGATTATGGATACTTAGACGATGCCGAATATCTGTGTGACTCAACGATCTTCAACGGTCCTGGATGCCACACCATGCACCACCTGTACTTCAACTACAACTACGGCCAGTACGTTACCTTGTGGGATCGTCTTGGAGGGACTTACCGCAAGGGTGAGGAAGACAAATTCATCCAAGAGCAGAACCGGAAGAAGATCCAGTGATCCAGCTGGACACTTTCAACTTTATAATATTTCCAACCTTAGAAGGTTCTGCCGACTCTTATAACATAAATTTTTAATGAAATATAATTTGGTGTACAAAAATCCCACGTCTGGAGTGGATCTCATAATCTTTAATCCAGCCCTATATCATCCCTAGATACCCCGTGAGCCGTCGACACATTCCAGAAACTGGAGAAGTAGAGATCAAATCAAATCAAGCATAAACGTAACAAAATGGTCCAGCCGTCGTACTCATAACATCTCTCATACTTATGGAAGCACCTTTCTCATTACCGCTAGCATACCCAACATGAAGAACAGTGTCAAGCGTTGTATTTGGAGAAGCGGGATGATCAAGAAATGTGTTCGTACCAGCGATAGCATACTGTCTTTTCTCCAAATCTTGGTTTTGCCAGATCCACCACACACGATCAATCATGCCATGATGAAGATAGAACGCTGGATCTCCAGCACTAGCATCTGAATCGCGGCCAGGATCACCACCCATGGCAAAGTGACCACCGCCATGAAGACCTAAAGCGGCGTCGCCAGCTGTGCCCCATACATGAGTTTCGAAATCCCAGATATCATCATGCTCTGTCAGAGTCTCAGCAAGTTCATCGTAGTTGTTATTTTCTTTCAGGATTGATGTTGTAAGAGAGCGCGTTAAGCAGCGTGGGTTATAGTCGAGGGGATTCGACTGTCTACTTATATTCCCTCCAGGCTGGTAAAGGAAAGACGGGCCCATATTAACTGTGAAGTTGACGAAGGGACCACTAGTTACACAGCCTCCTCCACTACCTGGTGGTAGCTCGATTGCTGGGTAGTCAGCTGTTGGGAGTGTTACTTCGAGATTTTTCTGGTTGGGAATGAATACTCCATTTCCGGAGAGGGATGTATCACTGCCGTCAAACAACTGTGACTTTTCCAAGTCATCAGTATCTGCAGGCCAGTTCCAATATCTTGTTCAAGATTTCAAGTCAGTTTTGAGGTCATGTGACTAGGAATGTCAACTGAAAAGTAGATTGACTCACGGATAACTGCCATTATAGCCGCACTCATTGCGGAGAACTTGCTCATACTGGTAAATAAAATACCGATGCCACGCGAAAAATGATCCCTAGAGACTATCAGTCTACATTATCAGAGTAGAATCCAGACTTTTGGAGTACATACTGTACGATGAATCCACCAGGTTTGATTTATATGAGTTGCCAAAAAGTCGTCGAATCGACTCTTTGCCCCTGCCGCAAGATGCGATGGCGTCTTCGCCGGAAGTTTCTGCAAGCAAAGCACAGCTTTGATGAAATTTCTCTTCTCTGGCTTTGTAAAGACGTTCCAGTCTCGCCGCACATGCAGAGTTTCGCGTGTGCATCCCTTTCCATGTCGGGTTATAGAATGGTTTCCGAGAGAATCCACAGTCAAGTTCAGTGCATATTGAGCCATCTGATTGACGAGAATGGATGCATTATCATCAGAAAAGGAAGGGAAGTCATTGTCCCTGCCAGTGGGCATTGCCCAGACCTGAAAGGCGACAAAAAGCAGAATGCAAAATCGAATGCCTATCATTCTGAAGGCTTCAGCTCAAGATCAGAGTTTGATAATAGTTAGACAGATCGCCAAGAGGTAACGAGGGAATTTTATACCCTCATGAGTCCTAAAACCCCATAGAGCTTGGCACACATTAAAGCAACACTTCATAAATTTGACCCTGCATTGTGATCTAAGCAGACCCTGTATGAATGTTGTATCACCAAGGCCATCAAGTCTTACTTGATCGGTGGTTTCTGGAACAGCCTTAGAGTAGGACTCACCACATCCTCGGATCTTACGTAGGACAATGCCAATACGGGACCCTGGGGCCTCGTGGCTAAGCATACCACCAATAGCTGTCAGGGGTATACCATCATCCCGACGCTGAGATTGGGGGAGGGCAAAGTCACACAAGCCGGAGAAAACTAGATCTGAGCTCATCTTTCATGGCAGCTAAGCGAGAGCGAGAGAGAAAGAGAGAGATAGATTAAACATAAATTTCGACCGTCCTAAGCGATAAGGCTCGTGTTTATTATTAAACAGTCTCTCTTCCAATGTCTGATATTCGCTTGGTCCCCTTTTGCATAAATTGATAGCCGTACATATAGCCATGATGTGTGCAATACGAATCTGACAAGTTAGCATATACCCAGAAGATGTTTCATTGCGCGCCTCAAAAAAGTGTGAGAGCTTTGAATGTAACTTTGAGGGAAGCTGACACCATCTCAGCTCGTAAATCGCCAAATTTCACCAGCCTTGGAACATCTGGCGATAGTCGGGCAAGAAGTCGGGTAACGTCCATTTTGTTAAAAACTTTTTGGCCAACCATAATGCAAAGTAATGTGTCAGAAAATGTGCGATCGAGTGGACTGCTTAAATGAACAAGGACAGTCCCTGATATCTCATCAGGTTTCCCGCTCGATCAAATGACTCTCGTCAATCCAGACTCTATAGCCATGTAGCTCTGATGAATAATCAAAAGACATCTCATCTGTTGGGTTGGGTAACCGTCGTGCATTATAGCCTATGTGACCTGATCCATGTTGTAAACGGAAACCTTTCAAGAACCTCCGCAGTCTGAGCCCATCACACCAAGCATGAAGGTCTCACGGATTTGAAACTCCACCTGGCCAGCAATGTAGCAATGCTTATGTTCATTCTATGCTGCGGTGACACCATTGAATGAAGTCATTCAAATTTGCTAATTCGTCAGTTGCGGTATTATCCAGGTAGGCGAAGCGAGCATCCTGTTGGTTTGCAATCTCTAGGGTCGCCTTAAGCAACCACCAAAGCTCTTCTGCATGTTTGGGATATCCGAGATGTAAGAACTGGGTCTTGTCCAAAGAGGAGATAACGGAATCCCAAATTAGCTTCCAATTCTTGGCAGCGCGCCCTATTGTACTGAGTGAGAAGTATCTGAGGAGCCCTGCTCTATTTTGGAACGCAAGGGAGTTCAAGGCTGTGGGTAATATGTAAGCAGAGAAGACAGATCGCAAAGATAGACAAAGAACTTACCATATATTAAAATAAGAAGATTCTCTGGCGATAAAGAATGGCTCCACTGTATTTGGGGTTCGGTTTCGGGGGTTTCGAGTAAATGTGTGATCACTTCCTTGAAAGGAGGAATAGCTGACCCTTCTGGTTGCATGGAAAGTATTTTCGCGAAAGAGGCTGCATCATCGGCTTCCCATAACTCTGAAGTCCAGGGCAAATGACAGTTCATCTCAAAAATTGATAGTGCTGGATGGTTCTTGAAGCATACTGTCAAGAATCCATCCGCCAGAAAAGCCCAGCATGCGACACTGAAATGAAAGAACCGCGTTAGTGCTACTCGCTAACTGGTTAGAGAATGACATACCGTATGCAAACTTCCTCTGCAACTAAGAGCCTCCACGTTCGATCGTCAGAGGCCTTGGGTAATGGCCCTCGCTTGAGGTGGAATATACCCAAAGACCGTATGGTCGACACAAGGCACGGATGCCGCATGATGCGGATTCGACGCCTTGTCTTCATATCATCCCTGCTGAATTGAAGCATTTCCATGATCAAAGCCCCTTGGATCAATTGAATAGTAGGTAGAAAGCTTGTTGGCTCCTCCAGCGATGGGATAGTTGATATGTTTGTAAGTTTGCGGAAGATATACTCTTCTGCCACATCGAAAAGCCAGGGCGATAGGATCGTCCCGTCTACTGGGGCAGAATATGTTGCACCTGACAGGAAGATTGAAAGGAGCAAGGAATTAGAAAGATTCCCTGGGTCGAAGGTGGGAAAATGGATGATTGGGAGATGCCAGTGCAAAGACTTAAAGAACGCTGAGATGAAGGTAGAAATATTTGAGACGCTAAACAGGGTTGTGAGATCTGCCATTTCAAGCATATTTTGATGTTCGGAGCTGCTAAAATTCATGGATGCGGATGTTTCGACTAGCTCTTTCATCAGCTCTGTTAATTGATTTGAGAGCTTTGAAGGGAAGTTAACTTCCCACGGATACTGGGGGATCAGGTAGTCATCCGTACTTATAGATGAGAGCGGAAAAGAGAACTGAGGGAGCTCCATATTACCCAAAAGAGCCTCCGTCGGATCAGTGGGGACCAGTGCGTGTTCTAGGTGGGAATAGATTGTCTCGAGGTTTCTTGGAACAGACCATTTTGCTGTTTCCCCTATTGCCAGTCTGTCCTTCTTGACAGACGGATTAGCAAAATGACGAAGAAAAAAGAACGGTCCGTCCGTCTTGGTCAGATTACGGCCCAGTTTCAGATTCATTGAAGCTGGACTCGATGGAATCGACACTGGTGCTTTGATAAGCATCTGATTCTGTTGGGTTTCAAAGGAGCATTCCCGTCCAAGAAGGCAACAGCGAGAGCATGGCGATTTTCTGTCGCAAGCAGATTTCGTTGAAAAGCATGAATCGCATGACTGTCTTTTTCTCCCTGGTTTACTGGCCGGAGGAGGCGGTTGATCATGCTTCTTGGCGCATATTTTGGCATGCCTTCGAGTGACTTCTCTGAGAAGAAATTAGACATGCCTCAAGAGACAAAAGCCATGTACCTACGGCTTCAGGAACGATTTCTTGCAAATGGGACAGCTCGACTCCAACTGTTTTGTATCTGCATATTGGTCAGCGCCAGATATTCAAGGCTCAGGGTTGATGTGGCCATACGGGTAGCTTCATGGCGGAGTAGATGGGTCTTCCTCTGGTAGGACTTATCGCACTGCATGCATTGGAACATGATTCCAAATTCCAGTAAGATTCGAAGTTATTTTTCCATAAGTTTCCATAAAATGGTTCAACATTGGTTGAATAGAGGCTGGCCAGAACGTCAAGAAAGGGACATGGCACTAACCCCTATAAGGAAATCCCCATCTAACCACTTACGGAAGCCGGATAATCCCCGGATACAAAACACTAGCAGTCACAAAGACATGGGGATTGTTAGAACATTGGAGGTTGATTAGAATGACACTATTTAGGCATTCATTGCATTTATGCATGTTTAGGTAAGTCCAAATTTTTATGAATCTAATCTCGGCCTCCAGGTGTATAGGCACGAGAAATTCTAGCTTAGTGCAAGCACAGGTGCTTTCGTAACTAACGATACCACTCACTTCTCACGATTTTGCATGAGTAATTGTCGACGACCAGGACAGCCTTAAGGCACTTCACTGCGGAAAAATTTCTGGCGTGGTCTAGAGCTCACCAATCTCTTCCTACACATCGCGATACTATACCTACCAATAATCATGTTTCAACGGCTCAATCTGAATAGGATGTGGAAAATTTACCTTGGTGAGGGGTTTTCTTTTGGGTGACTGTACGTTTGATATTTTCTCTTGTGGGGACTCTTGGCTCTAATATTCTCTTAGTATATACATCCTCAGCATTGTGAAACTCATATATATATATATATATATATATATGAGTCCTGGGAATTAATGCTGTGATTCGAGAGCGAAGAGTATAGAGGGTGCTCGGTCTATCAAGTTAGAGCCCTTAAGTTCAGATGTGACACATGGAAACCAAAGGACTTATCTCCACGGAGTTGCCGTATAAAAATCAAATATATGTGCATTGTTTGTATGTTGTTACGATAAGTGGTACATCCAGTGATCAAGAACCTAGTTCCAACTTTGTGATTCGCTCCGGATCTCCGCCACCTTGGCTGCCTCTACCTCCGAATATGTTTTCAGATCGGCGTCATCGGTTCCATAGATATCATTTGATAGTTCCTCAATCTGATCAAGGGTAAGCCCGATCAGTCCAGCAGATCGCGCAAGCCCGGCCTGGCACACCTCCTCGCCAACGACAGCTTGAATGACTCCATCACCACCGCTGGCAATGACATCATCCTCAAAAGCACGGAACTGTGTCCGAAGCGGACTAAGAACCTGAGTGCGGAAGAATAATATCGTCTTTTCGAGATGGAGGCTGTCTCGGAGAGCGGGAGAAGAGAGCAGGAGGTAGTATAGGCTCAGAGCGGAGTGCAAATATGGGCCGTGTGTCTGTGTAAGGCGGGTCCAACTTTCAAAAAGGTTAGTAGTCGAGAGATCACGGGTGGCAATGAACAAAAGAGGGAATATTGCCCAGAAGTGTAAAGGATCATGGAAGATGGAGTCAGTAGACTTGGTGGATTCCCCGACAAGTTCATCTCTTAGCCACGAAATAGCACTGTCACGAGAGAAAAGCAGTTTCTCATCTTCAAGGGCTGTTCGAATAAGCTTGAACCGGGTGGTTTCTGATGGGTGGCTGCGCACAATGGTACCAGGAATCTGACGGACAAGACTATAGCTCTGTCTAGCCGAGAGGGAAGTCAGAGATAGGACAAAGTCCTTGAATTCGGTCTCGTTAGTAGGGGTAACGATGGGCTCTTGCATGGCATTGACCGTCAAAGCTAATAAGGAGTCTATGAGTGCTTGCGGCTGTTCAAATGCAACTTCTTCTAGAGACTCATTTTTTCCAAGGAAATTGTCGAAGATAACGGCCAGGTCGGGAAAGACAGGTAATTGTCGCATTGGGGAAGCAGCCGCAAACAGTTTAGCGCCTGCCGCACGAGCAGCGAGGAGCAGTAAAGATCCATGACTCTCCAAAGGTATCTCATCGATGGATTTGGGAGGATCATCGAAGTCTAACGGTTGAGGCTGGTTGATTGGTGACTTGGAGACAATTGACAAAAGGTCATTGCTGTCTATGCCAACGTCACGGGAAAGAGCCTAAATTGACGGAGATGAAACATCAGAAACCAGCACCAATCTACAATTGAAAACGTCTCTAAACTTACCAAAATCTTGCCCATGATCATATCCCGCTCTTTAAGCTCTTTAGTTGTGGTAAACGCTTCAGTCTGCGACTGATCAGGCAATCGTAACTCAGGGTGCAAATGCTCCAGCATACGTGCAGCTGAAGACATTCCAGGATCCAAAGGACTGGAAAAACTCAATAAATAAGCCTTAACGAGCTCAATCAAGCCGAATTGGATGAACTTTAGGACCAATGCCGTTTCATTATCAGCAGCCGGAGATGGTACCGTGACCTCCGCCTCGGGATCTGGTGCAGATGCCTGGGCCATTCGGAGTACACTCAAATCACTATTCGCTCGTGGGGGTGGTGTAGGACGTTTGCTTGGGGCAACATCGCGGAGGAACTCGAGGAGGGCCAGTGTGGTCTCATCGGTCGGCATGGAGGTATAGGCTTCCAGGGCAGCCTGCAGCGAGGTGGCCATGAAACGGCTAGGAGATTTGGTCTCAATGCGACGATGAAGCACCGACAGCATACCTAGTAGACAGTTGAATCGTAGAATATGCGCTGGAAGGCGGCGCCTCTTCACAGTGGATGATCCCTCATCGTCATCGTCATCCGGCTGCAGCGCCATGAGAGCCTCCGACACACACAGAATGACTTCTCGTGGGTTTCCCAGTCGTGCTATATCCTGTAGGCATTCTGTTGAGGCTGGGAGCATGGGAAGCAACAGCTTGACTAGATCCCAGCCAATGTTTGTAGTGAGCTTCTCATCCTGCAGGAGTTCATGCAACAGTGGCAGGCGCTGGCGAGTCAACTGATATTCAAGAATAGTAAGATAGGTGAGATAGTCAGTGGCCGGCGGCAGGGCCTCGACTAATGGGTTTGCGGAATCCATTGTTGAATGGTTGATGTCAGGACAAACAGCATTCAACTTGAAACTCCACACACTGTCCCGCTGCGGGGATCAACGTGGCTGGTAGTGACATCATCTTAGTCATATGTGGCGCATGCGTTGAAGAGGAATCAAAGCTTCAACTATATAAGTACAGACCTCGAAGGGTTTATTAAAAACTTATTATTTCATCCACTAATAACTGAATCTGGGACTTTTTCAATTGACAATAACCATAACCTAGCTGAGAATATAAGATTCGGCACCTGGGATACCAAAGACAAGGGTATTTGGTAATCAAGCAAATTGGAAATGACTAGTCACGGAATTTCTCCGAAATGATGCACGCGCCATGGTTTAGTGCCTGGCCATCCCTGTTTTTTCGCAGCCTTATAGAATTAGGGTATTGACATTGTGAATAAGGTCATAAAATAAGAAATGGAGAAAAGGGAACATGGTTAGATTGGGGTCAGATACAATAGTCTTCTTATATTCCTCAATATTCCTTAACCTACATAATAGGTAGGGAAATAGCTGTTTGTTGTCAGTGCCTAAGTGCCTGGTTTATAGTCATCTACTGAATTTTCAAGGTTCTTTCCCGACGAATCCGATAGTGTCCAGCTGTCGGGATCGTCCAGGGCTCCGGCCGTAACTTCGCCGATCTTCTCTCTCTACTTCTCTATATTCTCTCTTCTCTCCAAAGTTGTTCCCGACTTAACCCGTATACCCATCTCTGCTCCAGCCTCAAGCCCTCCGTCTGCGTACATCCGTCTGCGTACATCCGCCTGCATCCGAAGCGGAGCAGGAGAAAACTTGACATAACTGAGTCTCTTGAAGTAAGATATATACCAACCTGCGCGAGGTTTTCCAAAGAGATAGCAAGCAAACCGACCATAAACTCTGAATACCCGAAACAACATCTGAAGCTGTCCCCGCTTCTTCTATAAAACCGGCAAACCATCATTGTCATCAACATGGCACCTGAGCTACAGTCCTTCTATGGATCTTCTATGACCTCGCATATGTCTCACTCATCAGCAGCGGTGGACGAATTTATCAGCAAATGCCCTTCTATGAACGCAAATGCACAGAAGGCATTGCGGAACCATCGGAATCCATTCCAGCGCATCGTCGACCGCGTCCGACTCGAATACTACCGCTACGAGGTCACTTTTGGTCTGTACGTTCTGACCCCGAATGAGAAATGGGTGGCCAATACTTTCGTGATTGTTGTTCTGGGTCTTTTGCTCTGGGGAATGCTCTATTTCCCAGCATTGCTCTTCGACAAGCTCGGCAACTTCGCCTGGGTGTTGACAGGCCAAACCCATACCAGTGAGCAAGTGGAAGCTGTCATGGGTGTCATCGACATGCATGGAAGTGTTATATCACCCATCTCCATGGCCCAGAATATGACGTCGTGAGAGGACTCATCGCGCTGAGCTTCCCTTCTTATATATGCGCAACATGTTTCGAGTTTCTCGAGCACTCCCGAACCTTCACTTTAGCGGGGGGCTCGGCTCGTACTGCATAACGCCTAGTTGATGGCACTGCAGAAACATTACAGAATCGATACTGGGGTCGATCTTGTCATCTGTTCTCTCTTTTTTGCTTTTTTGCTTTGGTTTTTATGTTCTTGCCCTGTCTTTAACCCACTTGGGTGTCCACACATTGGCATTTTTAGCCTGAAGATACCCATGATCTCGCCATTTGCACCCATGAATTCTTAATGAAGCGCACCGCCATCGGCGGTCGACGAAACACGAGCAACACGAACCGACGCTCGAACGAAGGTCATATTGGCAGTAGAGATCTGGTGGGGATCTTATTGTTTCAATTGTTTAATCCTAATTCTAATGTCATCAATGTCAAGTGAATGTTTATATCTTTTGTTTCTTAACTTTGCTTTTAGATCCACAATAAACCATCAACATGTAGTTGAACTTCTGTGTGGCCGAGAATGAACGGTACGAAGTAATGTTGGTATGGAAGAGGTGAATACACGTGTATGGCTTACTACTCCGCACGAAAATGACTAAGAATACTTAACGTTCATTCAAAGATCCAATTAAAGCTAAAACCCGCCGCGCGGCTGTGTTGATGATCCGCTCCCAAAAATAAATAAGATTACCTGATGTGCCTGATATCTTTCTCTCTCTTTCATACCTTCCACTCCTCTTCCATTTCATCTGGGACTTTATTCTCTTTGTTGTTCCTGTTTTTGCGCTCGGCATATTTTGACGACTCCACGTGCTCCGCATCTGACAGGTTTTCCCCATCGCCAAACTTCTGTCAAGACAACGACAGCCCAACATGGCTTCCAACGACTATTACCATTCAAATATCCCAAACCCACCTAGCTATGACCAAGCTAGTCATCAGCGGACAGATCAATACCCATCAACGACTCCTAGTTACGGCTATGCTAATCAGAACACTCCCGCCCATGACCCTTTGGCCCCTTACCACACCCGACACAGCGATCAATCCTTTATATCGGATACTGGATATCCCGTCGCCGGAAGAGTCAGCAATGGCGACCATTACTCAGAAAATATCCCGCTGAAGGCGAACAATCAGTTTGAAAATAACAACCCGGAGTGGATGCACGACCAGACTCGATACCCACCTTACCCTCCTGTTGCGGGCGCTCAGCAGAGGGGCCGATCAGGCCCAGGGAATCGAAAATTAGGAGGCTTCTTTCGAAAGAAGCCCGCCTGGATGACTTGGCTCTTGACTATAGTGCAGATTGTGGTGTTCATTGTGGAACTAGTGAAATCAGGTTAGTATCGGACGAGTCTTGATTGACCGAATTTACCAAGAGAGGAAAAAGGAAAAGAAAAGAAAAGAAAGAAACAACTGACATCTTCTCATCTTCTTCTAGCACAGTTGACAGGATCCCCGATTGAGACGAAGCCTTCATTCAACCCCATGATTGGGCCCTCGCCCTATGTCCAGATCTGGATGGGCGCTCGATATGACCCATGCATGAAAAACATCCCTGGAGTTCAGAACGCAACCGAAACCATTTACTGGCCGTGTCCTAACACTACAAGTAGCACTCCCAGTCATTATTGCACACTTTCGGAAGTATGTGGCTTCCACGGGGTCCCAAACCCCCATGTGGGAGGCACTCTTGATGAGACACCAGCGCCAAATCAGTGGTGGAGATTTATTGTTCCTATATTCTTGCATAGTGGATTCATCCATATTGGATTTAACCTGATCGTGCAAATGACCCTAGGTGCAGAGATGGAGCGAATGATCGGCATCTGGCGGTATACTTTGACTTATTTTGCTAGTGGCATCTTTGGGTTTGTCCTCGGTGGAAATTATGCCGCACAGCTTCAACCCAGTGATGGCTGCTCAGGTGCTTTGTTTGGTCTTCTCGCACTCGAATTGCTAGATCTGCTTTACGACTGGCCTAATCGCCAGAATCCGTGGGTCGAACTGCTTATCATGGTACTGGGTGTGGGTATTTCCTTTGTACTTGGTCTCCTGCCTGGTCTGGACAACTTCTCGCATCTTGGTGGGTTCGCCATGGGTCTGGCAATCGGTCTTACAATTCTGCGTTCCCCTAATATCCTTCGCGAACGAATTGGTATGTCTCGCCAGCCATATCTAGCGATGTCAGGCGGTGCTGGTGGCGCGGGCGAAGATGAAGAAAACAGGAAAACTAGTTCCGTTGGAGATTTCTTCAGGAGCAAGAGAGGTTTGATCTCTTCCCCAGGAGAGGGAGATAGCAACTCCAAGAATCCGATCACCTTTTTCAAGGGCCGGAAACCTTTATGGTGGGCCTGGTGGTTGGTTCGGGCTGGTGCGCTGGTCGCTGTGTTAATAGGCTTTATTATGCTCATCATTGACTTCTACAAATACCCTTCATCCAATTGCTCCTGGTGCTACCGGCTAAGCTGTCTGGTAAGTTATATCTGCTCCTACAAGTTTGGTGTTCATACTAACGAGTTTTAGCCTGTCAATGGATGGTGTGACCAGGACACACTGCAGACCACAAATGCCACTTCATCTTCAACTTGAGTACCCCTTTTCTTTTCATATTCAATGAGCTTGGCGTTGATATGGGGTTCGCGGCCGATTGCATAGGATAAATTGTAGATAGATTCATATTGCTTGCCATGTATCAATTGCATTCAACGAGACTTTGACATATCACTACACATTACTTCCATATTTCTAAGTTTGTAAATCTAATCTCTGCACTCTTCTAGGGCGTATAGTTAGTGACGTTGAAAAGCTAGTATACTAGAATGTCTCTTCAGGATAGTCTCTTTGGTTCGTCTATCTTTGACAGATTTTGTAGTTGAGAAATCTTGGTGACGAATCACGCTCAAAAAATCAACGCTCAATATTTAATATTTCATAATTGTTCGTGAAAAGTGGCTGAGTAGTGGCTGATATCATTTTAGGCGCTTACACATTCGCGTCATGTGGATCCGTGATACGGAGCCAAGGTAATTGAAACTCCACCGCATCGTATACCAATATTCTCGACAATCTCGGTCATGCGGATCTACTCTTTAAGATAGATTTAAATGCGCATTGTTAATCCATCCGTGCGACCGAACCGTCATGGCCACCCTGGCCTCGTCCCCTCCGACCTCGCCCTCGTTCTCGAAACACCCTCGCTCTTGGGCTCTTCGCTGTGAACGATACTGCTGTGCTGCTGCGAGCTGCTTCCCGCTTGTATTTGTTTACGGGCTTACTACATGGGCTGTCTATGTAGAGACCAGTGTTGGATTCAAAAATTCAAGAAGTCATTGGATTGGTACGTAGCCGAGTGAGATTGATGAGATCGAAGGGATGTGATGGAAATAGCCAGCGGCTAACCGCTTTGATGCATTCTAGGTCTCCCCAGCACAATCCTTGGAGTTTTACTATACGTTGCTTTGAATGCTTCTTATACCATAGCCGTCTTCACTGATCCAGGGTCACCCTTATCCACACGTCATGGAAGTGACCGTCACAACTATAGTGCGCTCCCCGTCAGCGAATACCCAGAATTTACATCATACACGGTTAGTTCGACCGGTGAATCGCGATTTTGCAAAAAGTGCCAGTGCCCGAAGCCAGACCGCGCACATCACTGTTCGACCTGCAAGCGCTGCGTCTTGAAGATGGACCACCACTGCCCGTGGCTGGCGACTTGTGTCGGGCTATACAACTACAAAGCATTCTTGCTATTTTTGATATATACATCGCTTTTTTGCTGGGTGTGCTTCACAGTTTCTGCAATCTGGACATGGGCTGAGATCTTGAATGACACGCGGTACACGGATACATTCCTCCCCGTTAACGTGGTTCTCCTAGCAATTTTGAGTGGTGTAATTGGGCTCGTTTTGACTGGGTTCACAGCGTGGCATATCAGTCTAGCGGTGCGTGGTACAACGACTATCGAAGGTCTGGAGAAAACGCGGTACGTGTCACCACTACGCAAGGCACTAGATCGCCAACGAGTCGAGAACCGAACACCCGATGGTGATGGGACCGAAGTAGGCCAGGGAAGCTTTAGCCACCGACTTCAGGACTACGGAAACCAGATTATTGACGCGCATGCAAATGCTATTCCGGGCGTGACGCGCGCCGAAGAAGGCGAGGAGCATCTTTCTCCTGCACCGTACGCTCCAAGAGAAGGACTAAACGCAGGCCCCCATCAACAGAGCCACCTCTCACCCGCCCAGCAGGCATTGTCCCGCTCCTATGCCGAGTTGGAACGCCAACGCGAACACCGGCAATACCAAGATTACATCAACGAGGAAGACAATGAGAAGATGCCGCATGCATTTGACCTTGGCTGGCGCCGCAACCTGCTCCACCTCTTCGGTGACCGCCCCATCTTCTGGGCAATTCCTCTCTGCACGACAACCGGCGATGGTTGGCGCTGGGAACCGAGTACTAAATTTCTCGAGGCTCGCGAGCGCCTTCGGCTCCGCCGCGAACAGGAATCTGGTGACGAGCAGCAGTACTACCGGGATTTATACCAGCGCAACATTGATAACAGCCGCAGCTGGATCGGCAGTGCTGGCAGTGCCCCTAATACCCATAACCAGGCTAGCTGGACTTCTCATCGTTCCCGTCAAGAAACGCTCGAGCGTCCGGCGACGAGTGTTTCAATGCAGACACTTGCGCCAGCATCGCCGCGACCTAGGCCTGGAGATAGTGATTTCGAGGATGAGCCGGATGATAGTGGTTTGTTAGGTCCAGAGACTGCCAGTCGGCCCACTAATTGGCGTCAGACGGATGAATGGCGCGATTGGGAATGATCCTGTCTTGAAGGTTTCATTCCGATACCCGGTGACTTCGATTTATGCTTGAATGTTTTGCATTTATCCGGCGTTTGGACAGATAAGCGATATGTTGAGATGTGATGTTGGAATTTTTATGTACGTATCTAGATAGTAGTAGCACATATTTCGCGATGAGTAACTGACGTAGATACTAAATTGGAACTAAATTGGTAAAATCTGCTTGGGTCCTCGGCGAATTGAATCATGATTGGATGAAATCTATCACTTGGGTACAAATCGATGCCCATTTATCTTCTCTTTCTGAAATGGTAATTAATCCGATCTCCCTATAACACTTTTTTCCCCGAGAATACGTGTTCGAATCGTGGCTGCAATCGCGATCTAAACCCAATCTTATCTCATATTCTCCACATCTTAAAGCCAACCCCAACCTCCCCTCACAGCCTTCAAGGTCAAACCAACTCCATTCACAACAACAAAATCGAACACATATCACAATGGCATCTCCTTCAACCCGTCGTCTCCTAAAAGAATCAACAGACATCCACAGAAACCCCAGCCCTTACTTCACCGCCGCTCCAATCAGTGACACAAACCTACACGATTGGCACTTCACCCTCGCAGGCCCACCAAGCCCGACCCCGTACTCCCGCGGGTTGTATCACGGCCGCATCACCTTCCCCCCAGCCTACCCACTCCGGCCCCCATCATTCCGCTTTCTCACGCCTTCGGGCCGCTTCGAGGTAAACCGCGAGATATGCCTCAGTATCTCGGGCCACCATGAGGAAACGTGGCAGCCCGCATGGGGCGTGCGCACGGCTCTCCTGGCCATTCGTTCGGAGATCATGACAAGTGATAGCAAAGGACAGGTTGGCGGGATGGAGGGGAGCGATGAACTTAGAAGGGAGTTTGCGGGTGCGTCCGGCTCTTGGTCTTGTCGCGAGTGTGGGGGTTCTAATGCCGAGATTATGCGGGAGTGGTGGGGTGTTTGCCGGGAAATGGGTGTAGAGGTTGATGTTGAGGGGGGCGCGGCGATGCCAATGCCGAGAAGGAGAGTGTGAAGGCTGAGGATGAGACTGAGAATGAAACTACACCGACAGTCGAATCTGAGCCTGTTGAAACTGCGCCTGTTGAGTCAGTATCGGCTATTGTTGAATCAGCTCCAATTCAGAGTCCAGGCCCTGCAGCTCCTGCGCAAGTTCAGTCAACTATACCGGTACCGATCCCGACACCAACACCAACACGGACAGTTGCATATCATGCGCCAAATACATCCACGGCACCTGCAAGCAGCCCTTGGCTGGATCGAGCCATTGTGGTAGTCGCGATCACACTGATCATCATGGTACTGCGACGTGTAGTCGGTATCGAGGAGCTCTGAAGCAAGGATTTCACTTGAAGGGCTTTTCTGATACATCACAGTGCATAGCATCTCTTTTTTTTCTATTTTACCGGGGTTTTGATTATTTTTCTTTTACTTTTTTTTCTTGTTCATATCGGATACCATATAGGATTATAGCTGGCGTATAACAGGGAATATTTACAATTAGTACATTTGATTCAATGTATTTAGGCTATCTGAACTCATCTTGTACGTTTAGTTTAGTCTTTATGATTGACTAGAGTTAGGTACTAGAAATGATTTTCAATCCTACTACCTTGCTAGAATGTGAAAATAAAAGGAATCGGAAGAATAAATGAACCATGATAATGAAGCTGACCAGAACGGAAATCAAATCAAGTTCGCTTGGTAGGAAAGGCCAAGAGACAACCACCACCACTCTTTCAACAACCAACCGCCACCTTCACGACCACGAACAACGTCAAGACTAGTCAACCAAGCCATTATGAGCTCTATTTCCCAAGCGCCCATCGTAGGCTTCAGAGTATTGCTTATGATTTGGGCCGTCGATCCTGGACGAAGAACCAAGCAGCCAAGCACTGAAGCCACACATTTCTCCCATAAATCGGTCCGAAGATTGTCGTGGAAGTCATACCACAATGGAATCATACCGTTCGGAGGGGGAGTTGGCGGTCTAAATCCATGGGCAAGCTCTGTAACCGGATTCCCGTATACATACGACGGAGAGGGGCGAATCTCTACCATGAACCGCAGAAGATTTCTGTCTATCTGTCGCGTGAGATAGCCGCCCTCTGTCAGTCCAAACTTTGCCATAGGGGGATCGATCGGCGTCAGTTCAATATGGCCAGCTGCCACTAGCTCACACAGGGCCAGACTGTCGCCGTCTTTTGAGTGGTAGTTGGCCTTGAGAAATCCATGTGTCTTCAGCGCAGGATCTATTACGTTTAGCTTGTACTGCGCAGCGCAGCGTAATTGCTGTGCGTCAATAGCCCGTTTCCGCTCCAGTCCACTCATGAAATGTTCGTTCATTAGGTAGTTGCGCCCTGGAACAGGGCGACCACGGTTGGTGTGGGTGATCACACGTTCATTAAACAGCGACTGTGTGGCACGGCGCAAAAGATCCTCGCTAAGTGAGCCGAGTTTTGCAACTGCAAGGCTCGCGTTATAATGCTCATCTGATGTGAAGGCATTTGCACGAATCCAGGTCTTTGCGATGTCGAATTGCACCATTTCTTCCTTCCGCGGTCCGATGTCGCGTGTGTGCATGATAGCAAAGGGAACATGAGCCATCAAATCACGCTTGTGGGCGATTGTCATTCCGGCAACTGTCTGGTGCACTTCATCTGCTGCGGCGACCGGCTCATCGCGCAGGCCGAACATGCTGTCAAATTGTTCAATCGTGGCCGGGAGATTAGGGATCTTTTGAACCGTGAATTCGAGTGCATGGCTTGCCCAGTCGACAATAGTTCCCCATTCGTATAAATGCAGTTTTCTGTAATCGATCACGGGCAACTCGTCTTTCTCGTAGGCTTCCAGGAAGTGCATCTGGAAATCACGCTGCATCTTATGCAGTTCTAGTCGATTCTTGGTCATGATCGATTTACCGTAACTCTTAATGAGCTCTGGGTCACTGTTGGGAAAGGCAAGAGTCGCATATTCCCAGTTGACCACTTTCCCCTCATCTCCGCCTGCCAAAGTTCGCACGGCAACGATAGCGACCATGATTCTCCGCACCATGTTTTCTGCCAGAGTCGGCAGGACCTTACGACGGAGTGGCGCTTTATTGCTGAAGAACGCCTGCTTTCTGCGGTTTGCTGCAGCAGGGTTGTCGCGGTCGCTACTTCGGCTCGAGCGGTCATGTGGTTGTTTGTAGGTACGAGATTGCATTCTCTGGGTGAGCAGAATCGATTTAGTGAATAGCCGGTCGCTGTCAAATCGAATGTCTTCGGGGATTTCAACTCCATGGAAGCCCGCGTCCACAGTAAGGTCGATGCTTCGTGTTCCACGAAGATCTTCATCCAAAATTTCTTCGTGTTCAAGCTCCCATTGAAGAATCCGATGCGCACGTGAATAGAAACTATCCCGTTTCCGATGTTCTCTTATATCAATGAGCTCCTGAGTGAGTTTAGCAGGGTCAAAGCTAAATTTGTTTTTCTCATAGCGTAGACTGAAGGTGCCAAAGGTGCCATTGTCATCTCGAAAGATTTGCCTCGGGTTCATCAACAAATACATCGGGTCTTTGGCGTTGATCAATTTGTTGAGTCGGGCGAACTGACGGTGACCTTGGGCTTGGTACGGACCATTTTCATATTGCTCAGCTGTCTCTGCTGCTGCCTCTTTTGCCCATCGTGCAAGCTCTTCCCGTTGTCTTATCACCAGCATTCTCTGGACTTTGCGTTCCTGTCTACTCTCTGCACGAAGAACGTAACTGGGCTTCTTCGAAACGACATTGACGGTCAAGCCAGTTTCAACAGGCACCGCTTGCTTGTGTCTACCGGTAGTGACATGAGAAGATCTCCGTGAGAGTGACTGGTCAACCAGCACATTGTCCGAATAGGCAATATTTGGGCCATAACGATCCGCTTCAAGCATTTTTCGTTTGAGCTCTATGATCCATGGGTCATCTGCTGACATTTCACTTCTCATCACGAGAGTTTTGGTAGTCATGATGCCCCTGCTGTCTTTTCCACTGAAAGTCATTTGCTTCAGTAAACCAGCATCGACCAGATATTTGAGTGACGCTTTCACAGTTTTAAGATCCGGCTTCGAACGAAACCTACGCAGCCATGCAGATGTGAATGGATACCACATCTCATTTCCTGAAGGATATGCGCCACCAGCCTTGTCCACAATCTCCATGAGAATCTTTCTTCGAAAAATGCTAATAGAGCCACCTTTCATTGGACTGGACAGCACCTTCTTGAGAAGAGATGAGGTTACCCTATCTGTAGAAGGCAAGTCAACTGCGGAAGAAGGATTCGCGGCAATGGACCCTAGATTGCTCGGTCCAGGAACGTCAAGTTCCATGGGAGTTTCGTCAATAGGAGTTTCGTCAATGGGAGTTTCATCGATGGGAGTTTCATCAATAGGAGTTTCATCAATGGGAGTTTCGTCAATGAGAGTATCGCCCAAGGGAGTTTCGTCCGTAGGAGTATCGACCTGAATGCTTGGTTCTCCAGTAAGAGTTTGGATTTTGGTAGGAGCATCGTCCATGGGAGTATCGACCTGGATTTCTGATTCCCCGGTAGAAGTTTGGGCGTGGTCAGCAGCGTCGATGTTGCTGAAGCGACGCTTTTTCCTGAGTTTTTCTGTTATGGGCTCTTCAAGCCGATGTTTGCCTGTTACAGTTTCTGCTTTTTCTGGTTTTTGCGGTCTAAGCACTGGTTTTTCCCGAACAAACCAAGGGAGATCAAGCAATCTTGGCGATTTGAAGACTGCAAGCCGGCTCACTTTTGGGCGACCTTGTACACCATCTCTTGGTTTTCTCTTACCGCGAGCTGTAACGTAAACTCCAGGGGTTGGCTTGTCCATGGTGATAGCGTTGTACTCAGTCCAGGTATCGTCCATCTTAATCGCTTCAAATTTTTCCTTCAGCGGTAAATCATCCCATCCGGGAGTCCACCTCAGACTCTTGGGCCAGATCTCACCGTTCTTGTCAATGATCTCACGATCACGAACTCGTGGCAAAATGACTGCTGGAAGTTTAGAGGTGTCTTCGCAATCATGATCGAGCTTTTTGCCTTTGCCCCTATACCTGCGCCCAGAGTTTTCAGTGTCAACAATTGGTTCAGGGATTGTTCCTGCAGTAGCTTTGATGCGGCCACGAAGAACGCCTGTGATGATTGTCAAAACAATTTGCAATAGGGCCGATCTTATCAGTAGTCCTTACCTTCATTACCATCAACGTCGATGAATGGTTTAGGGTCGCTACTTGTCACTGAGTAATCTACGGGTTTCGCAAACCAAAGAGCTTCCGCGTAGCTGACATTACCGCCGTTCAGTATGCCTGCTGGAACTCTCTTGGGCAGTCCATATTTGTCGAAATTTCCAGTGGCGTTAGGGGGATGAATTATGAGACCCGCCGGCTGAAGTGCTTTCTTGGTTGTCCATTCGACGGCCTCCCATGAAGCTTCACCCATTTCCACAAGCCTTGCGAAATTGTCTCTTGTGTAATGGACATAACATGTTATTGTCCTTCGAACAGACGTATCTCTGACTATGGCGAGGTGCCGAAGGTGTGGTGGTTGGGCAAGCTGCCAACAGTCGACTAATCGCGTGATGAGGTACTCCGCAGGTCTGCGGAAGAAGTCTCCAAATAGAATCCGGTTAATATCCTAAGAAATCCCGTATCAGTTCAGTGTGCCGAGTTTTAGACATCTCAAAACTCACCATGTTTGTAACCCCCTTCAGACCAGACCGTTGAATGACATCAAAGAATTGGTTGGAGATAATTCGATAAGGAGTCCAGCATGGCACAGTTCTGGTAGATGCTGACCAGCCTTCACCAAAGTACATTGGATCTGCAGTTTCATCGTCGTCGCTATCTCCGTCTTTATCGAAGTCCATTGCATCAGCTTCCGCTGGCCAACTTATGGAATCTCGGATAAATTTGTCCAGGTCCGTTGAAGTTGGTTCTCGAATAAGCTTGACACATGGAACATTATGCTCATACTGACTCTTGGCTCGAATTCTCACAATCAAACCAAGCTGCTCATACCTGCGAAGGGCACGTGACAGGATTCTCCAACGCCAACGGTCATCAAAGCCCATTGTAACCTTTAGATCCTCACGAGCAACAACCCAATTAGCAGACCCCATCAGGCAGGAAAACAATTTATCGTTGAACGTTTCGAAGTCGATAATACGGCCACCCGCTTCGGTCAATCTGTTGACATCAACTTGGGTACTGGCACCTCCTGGCTCATCCAGGAATTGAAGAAGCGTACACAGACTAGTTCGTGCCCCATTATATTGAATGTGCCGCTTCTGAATGTAGCCTTTTCTCTCCAAGGCATCCGTTCTTTTGGGGACGGATCTTTTGTCTTGGGCACTCGTCTTGATCAGATCCGACTGGGGAATTCCCTTAGACCCGTATGAAGCGATGAAGCATAGTAAAGCAAATTCATGATATGGAATCATGGCATCATCACGTTCATGGCCAGCAACTGCAAGCCAGGTCCTAGTTTCACAGACGAAGATGCGAACTTTCAAAGATTCAGGGGCAGTAACTGTTGCTTTAGTGACGATTGATGCTTCTGGGGCTGCTTGCTCAGTGGCGGTTGATGCTTCGGGAACTGCTTGGTCGGGAACAATTCCTGCTTCAAGCTTGGCTTCGAGTTCCTCTATCTCGTCCAGGGAGAGATGATTCCATCTTCTGTTTTCTCCGACTAAGCACTCCTCGCTTTTGGTCATGAGCTCCCAAACTTTGACTTGCAAGCAACGATCCACCTTCATACGCCATGAATCTTCTTGGCGAGCAAGATCGTAGAACTTTGAGATGGATAACAAAATTTGTGACACAGTTGAACCTTCAGAATTGTTAGCGGACTGACATTCAATTTCAGCGGTGGAGCAGAATGATATGTTGAGCAAGGGAAGGAAGTTCATATCGACATCATGCAGGTCCATATCGCAATGTGACAGGTCAGATGCCACATGGGGGTATACTTCTGCTGAGTAAAAGTGGGTCTGCAAGAGCTATAAGCGTACCTTTAGGTCCTCGATGAGCAATATCATTGAAGATGTGGTTCATCAGCTCTCTCCAGGAGGGTGCTGACATGATGAAAGGATTTTACCATCTAAAGGCAATATTTTAGCGATAAAATTGAAGGTTTCAAGTCAAGTGAGTGGGAAGAAGAGAGTGGAAACGAGGGATGGAATTAGCGAAAGCTGGGATTCGAACTCACAGACTTTGTCTATTCATGTCTTATCAGGGGACTTCCGTTCTCCTATCATCACATGACTCTGGCCTAGATATTCAGGCACTCTTGAATTCACTTTGGAAGTATTCTTAAATTTTTCCCTAGGAGTCGAGATCAACGAATGACATGGCATGTTTCATTACCACAATCTATTACAACACTATCTTTCATGTTTTCGACTGGCAAATATAGAAGCATTAATTTCCAATGCATGATTTATAATCTCTTATTAAGAACAAATTAGTTAACTTAGGTCAATCAGGATAAATACCTAGACCAAGTAAGAAATTTTCAAATGATCCGTAGATAATAAATATTTTGAGCGGTGACAGCATTGGCGATGTGGGTATAAGAATAAAAAAAGAACCCAAAAAAACGTCAACCATAGGATTCGAACCTATGCCCGCGAACGGAATTGATTTCTAGTCAATCGCCTTAACCACTCGGCCAGATTGACTTGTTATGGTAAGTAACCTAATTCTTCAACTATAAGCGAATCGGAACCAGTTTTCCATTGCAAACTTCAAATTTGAGCCTCGATTACATACTTAACTTTAAGTTCGGGGCCGCTCTTCCGGCCAATCACAAAAAGATGTAGGAAAGTGAATGACTAAGCGGGCCGGTACCAGAGTATGATCGAACGTTCAGAGTAGTCTAAGTGCGAGTTGTCCTGGTACTCTACGAGCACTACACCTAGTGGTGTTGATGGGTTTTACCATCTTGAAGGGTAGGAATTTCTCGTCATCTGGTGAAGACTATTGCTTCATATGGCAATTTTTATACGTAGATTAGAATTTGCCATTGATTCAACTATCAGAATATTTGGAGTGTTCAGAGTAGTATATATTTATAAATATTGAAATAAGTACCGATCATGGAGAAATCCACAGGATTAACTGAATAGACCGAATGCCGGGTTTGGTTTGGGATCGGCATACGAGTTCAACGGTCGATTACCTGTTTTTCTTTCAATATTCAGTGCATTTCTCTTTGTACATTGTACTAGGAAAATTCTATGTATCTTACTTATTGTGGAGAATTCAATTATGGACCCCTATGAAGTCATTCATCGAGTACATACTATGGCTTCTTCTCACATTAATTGAAAACTTTGATGGAGGAAATTGACGATTTAAACAAGTCGTTTCCTTACTTTCTATGGATTAAATTCGATAATCGATGGTATTTCAATCTACATAAAGAGAGAAGGAAGAATGAGACATCATGCCAAGACAGCGATGACATCAGGAACTCCTTACGTCAGGAGGTACATGATCCTTCACCAAGTTTACTAGGAAACATATGTACCCGAATGACCCGCCATTTCCGGTCGAGACTGAAAATCCGCATTATCGTTCCTTTATTTTTAGCTTAACTTGTTTTCCTCCTCAAACTGCCCACCATGTCATAATATCTTCAACTACACATTACTCTAACCCGATATCAACTCTAACCTATTTTACATTCTCATCAACTCCGGCATGGACGAAGCAACCGCTATGGAGGAAGCCGTCGCTTCGTCTTCACCCTGCGAACCCCCTCCTCTTCCCTACTCACTACATACCCGCAAGAAGTCTATCGCCTTCTTCTGGACTCTCTTTGTGATCGACACGCTCGGACAGCCTATTGGGCTGTACTTTGGCCTATGGTATGGCACGGATCTATCACCAAACCTGGGTATGTTACGGATAAGATAGCAGACGGTCGATAATTGCTGATTTTTGGAATAGTATTCTCTATTGTGACAGCCTGTCTGGGTGGTATATCAGTATTTGAATATGGATATCGATTATACAACTTGTTCCGCAAAAACTCTAAGGCCCGGCCGTTAAATTCTCGACGCTCATGGGTATGCGAATCATGTACAGGAAAGGAAATCGACTCGAGCACTTGCTAACGGATTGGACCAGCTGGATTTCTTCCACATCAATTTTACCCTGGTTTGGATGATATTAGCCGTTGAACTGATTGTGTAAGTCGTTTTTGCAACCTCGAACTGCGAATCCATACTAATCACATGTTTGCAGTGGCACGGTACCAAAAAACCCATATGGTTAGATACTTCCCGATATATCAACATATTTTTGGACCCTTACTTACATATCATAATAACAGTGCGTCTCATTGCCATGATTCTTCCGACTGTCATGTTCTATTTCGGCTTTGTTCATCTCACACTGGAATTCCTTCGCATGTTCGGCTTCAAAGCACCATTCCGAATCTCATCTACTCCAAAAGGATCAGTAATGCCAACTGCATTGTACGCGCTTATCGAAGACGTTGTCGCTGTCGACGGAGGAGGTAACCAGATCTACCGCTACGCCCTGCGCACCCGATACCTCTCAAGTCCATACTTCCGACGAATGCTCTTCGAGATGAACATATTCTGGAGCGGAGGAGCCATTGTCGTTGCAGCCGGCATCACCGCCATCGTATTTACTGTCTCTGAGCCAGTCGCGTTCACTGTGAGATCCCCGACCCTCTTAAGATAATTATCTTGAAATTCATACTAACGTCCTTCATAGCTGGGCTGGTCCCTTCCGTTCGCCTGGGCCGGTATCTGGACGTTAATTACCATTCCTTGGGTGCAAAGTCACCTGCGGTATGAAAAGAAAGCATGGGCTGAGAACCGTGGTCAGACTGGTATTCCATACACTGACGATATCACCGCGCCTACGGCCCGCAACCACTTCGAAGCGATACACCTACCGTGGACTCATGGCAAACAGAGCAAGCACAGTACACCGTCAACACCATCAACACATGGTACCCACGTGCCTGATCTAGAAAAGGCCGAGGTCCTTTCAGAAGGGACTCTAGAAGGGATGGAGGAGAGCGAATCTCACAAGACTCCGAATAATCTCCCAACTGAACCTCCCCAAGTTGCCATTGCCGACAAAAAAACTAGAACATGAAGTAACCTTTTTTGCACCAATTCACGACTTTACGACTTTGATCCTCAGCCCCGGAATCTAAATTGGGAGGGCTTTTTTACTGTATAATAACTGCCTTTCGACTGAACATTCTAGATTGGATGGAACACTGGATGGTTCCAAGGTTGGCGATGTGTTATTTTTCTCATTTGGCTGGCTATGTCCACTTTACCCTATATACCCTGAATGTTTAGCTCAAATATTAAGATAGATATGTGTGATCAAATACAAACATTTCACTTGAACCTTGGAATAAGACCTACACAGATAATTATAGCACATAGGAATCATATTCATTGTTTGCATAAGATTAGAACTCCTGCTTTCAAATTCCAACCTTGAAATAGAAAGAATTATTTGACAGTTTTAATTCCACCCGAAGTCACAAAACGTTGAATCCAAATTATATAAGGAGAAGCCTTACTCCATTCCATCTATATGCAAAACCACCAGGCTAGTAGACGAGCTGAAATACAAGAAGGTAAAGGTAAGAAAGGAAGAAAGACAGCGAAAACAAAAGTTTCACATATCCAAAGATGAATACAAGGTGATAGAAAAATACAAAACAACGCCTATGTATGGCCCCATTGCACGATAGAGGGTATCTAAGAGAAGACAAGGGACCGGGGAACAGGAGAATGCGAGGGGTGCTTTACAAATAGCTGGGGATAAAAGGCCACTAACATGGAATGGGGGGATTGGGGGGATCATTAGAGAATTTGATGGATGGGGTAGGTAAAAAGGAAGAGTTAGAGAGAAAATTATGAATTAGGACGCATCATTTGCGAAAGGAGGTTAACTTCCGACCGATATTTCGGATGGTCAGTTTGTTGCTAGGATGAAAGTTAGGATTTGTGGCATTGATTAATGAAGAGCTTCTTTCTTACCTGTCATCTTGGTAATAATTGCCGTTGCCATTGATTTGGGATAAAGTAGTGCTCGTGAGACCAGCTGAAGTCACAGGTCTACTAGGATTGTTCACAAAGCGACGGGACTCTTCCCAACGGGAATCCGAATCCGCCTCAATGACAGAGCGAGTATCGAACGTGTGACGGTCGTCACCCGGATCCGAGGTTAGAGAGAGAGACCGAGCAAGTGGCGATGAGGTAGATTGCATAGACCTCTGAGATTTCGATTCCGAAAACTCGCTTGTCGAGTCAAAGCTCACTATACTAGGTGTTTCGCTCCGTGCAGTCCATGCACTCCGCTCAGAGGGGTTGGCGGAGCTGGGAAGTAGCTGAGACGAAGAGGCTAGCTCGCGGAAACGTTTCTGTTGTTGTTTTGATGGGCGGTGGTGCGCGAACTTGTTTCCAAGAATAGCAGGTGCATGGGAGATAAGTGCCTTGATTACATCCTTCTTGAGACGAAGGGCGAGATCGAGGTTCGACCATGTCTTGTTCCTGTATTCCAGGACTGGTAGGCGGAAGACAAAGTCGTGAAGATCTTGAATGTTGTGTTCGCCCTTGCCCTTGTAGCTCATGCACAACACCACGTCGTGCACTTTGACATGGGCTAGGGTCATGTAGTTAGAGGCTCGAGACATCATTTGTGAGACGTCGTCGGTGCGTTCCTTCGGCTTGTGGCGCTTACTCAGGAATTTCTTCTTCTCCTCAGTGATGCCGGGGCTGGCGAGAGATTTCTCAGTTGGTTGTCTTGGCAAGAGGCGGAGACTATCGACAGACTTCTTCTTGATGAGACCACCGGTTGTTGCGGGTCGAGGTAGTGGTCGCGAGGGATCAACTGGCACTCCCAGTCGGGAGTTACTTCTGCTTGGAGGCGTCATGGTGAATAGGTGCTTGGAATGAGTAGGGTGTCGACTAGACTTGCCCTCCTCGGAGAGAGACAAGGTTGGCTGTAGTCTCAATTCAATGGAGCCAGGTCCCTTGGACAAGGTGTGCAAATCATCCATGGACATATCAGCATTGTCAATAGTCACTGAATGAGACATGGTTGGTGAAATGGATCCATCATCCTCGTCCTCCATGTCAGACCCATCGAGGGATTTCATATTCTTTATCATGAAAGGCGAAAAGCCGCCACCACCGCCGTCACTGGAGCCCATATTAGGGAAGACATACTCGAAGAGCTTCTCGCCAAGTTCATGTTCAATCTGTATCTTGAGGGGAAACAGTGAAACTTCGAAGTTATCAACCACAGGAATTCCAGCAACAGCTTCCAACATGTGCCATTTAACACTGACCATGCTCTCATCCAGCGGTCGAGGTTGATCGAAGTAAGGTGCGATGATCTGTGGATAGATAGCATCTGGCAAAAGATTGAGACCATTCAAGCGCCCGACAGAGACCAAGTTGTGGTTCGAGCCATCTGAATTGTCGGTCCGCTCAAATTGTGCGTTTTGAAGCTGGAACTCAACCAAGGGTGCAGAAGCCTCCTTCATCAAGTGCCAGACCACTTCGCTTGCACGTATACTCCAGCGCAACACGCCATTGACTGATGAACTTGGCTCAACTCGTCGCTGAGAGGTGATGATGGCTTTCATTATGAAGAACAGTTCATCCTCGCACTGAGACAGATCCCGCTCGACAGTCATTCGATCTTCCCAGCCCTGCTTGTCCAAATACTTGGCATTGATCTGGAAACAATCTTTGATCTCCTCGAGCTGGCGAATACGTGCTTGAAGCTTGAAGACCATCTCTGGTGCACCTCGAAGGTCGCTGAAGTCGGACATGAGCATGATCTTTTCTAGGCGCTCATTCCGAACCTTCTCGAGAGGCTCGCTATACATCATAAGATCCAGAACAATGATGTACATGGAATAGTACTCTGCCGAGTCGCAAATCGCACGGAAATGAGGAAAGTCAACACTGATCTGATCCATCGGCGTCTCATCCTCATCAACATCCGCGTCATTGTCCTGTTTGTGCACTTCTTCATTGTACTTCAGACGGAGATTATTGTACTTGTCATAACGAAGGCTGGCAGATGTCCTTTGCACGATCCGAGAGAAACCGAATGGATTGAGCTCAAAGTCGAACATCGCCTCCAGAGTCAGCCAAGGTGGCCAAGCAGATCCTGGCGCATTGCCGTATTTGTTGCCGGCGTAGAACTGCAGGTTCGTCATGAGACCCTTCTGCGTTGCGACGAAGAACTGGGCGCCATCCATCTCAAGAGAGAAACGACGCAAGACCAGGCCGCTGACATCGTCCCCTATACGGTCTTGGTCCATAATGGATAAAACCTTCAGTTCCATGCCCTTTGCAGCCACCAGCAAGACAGACTTGCGGTTTTTCTCACTCATAAGCTGGATCTGAGGAGCAATGAGTCGAAGGTAGTAGCTGTTCTGCGGTGTGAACTCAGCCGCAATGTTCTCACTAGAAGTGTCTGGCGAATCTGACTGGGTTTTTACGTCAGTCGGCTCTCGGGTGTCCTCCACGTTGACAAATCTTTTAGCATCGTTCAACAGCTGTTCAATGCGATCCTCAACATCCTCGTCGTCATTGTCGCTGCGAGTACTTTCGTGAGTCTGCGTCTTTGACATTTTGGGCTGCTTGCGCTTTTCCTTTTCTTGCTCATCCACAATATCAATAATAAACTTGACCGCTCGTCTGGACATATAATAGATGAAGCCTCGTCGCTGGCTCACCTGGTGTCCATACCGCAGAATGATGTTTCGGAGCGAGTTGTTCCACTTTAATTGCACATTATGTATCATGAAACGATTGTTGAAGTCGCTGGAGAACTCATCCTTGGCGGATGTGTAAATCCCATCAATGCCAGATCGAGCGTCCGCTGTAGAGTCTGTATCCCGCTCAACCCTTGAAGAGGCCATACTGGGAGCCACATTGGCTGACAGTCTGCTGGGATGAGGTGTTCGCTCATCGCGTGCGAGCAGCTTTTCGAGTCGGCTCAGAGTCGTTGTCAAGAACTTTCGCCGCTTCGTAAGATTTGCTGCCTGAAGAAGGTAGTTCTCATACTGATCTTTAAGGTCAGCATTGCTGTCCACATCCTTCATAAGCTGCAGTTCCAGCTCGCCAATGGTACGATCATAGGTGTGTATCTGTTCTTCTACTGTCTTCAAACGATCCTTGATCAGCTCGATCTGGACACGGCGAGGGTCGTTGGATTCGGACATGGCGCACTCGTGAGTCGGCTCGTAACCAAAAGTACTGAAGCCAGTCTCATCGGGACCTAGGTCACCATGATCCGTCTGTCTGAAGTAAGTGAACCTAGGAGTGAACGCGAGGGGGAGAATTCGTGTCTTGGGATTAGACTCCTGCGGAAGAATCCAGTCAGGTTCGACGAAATCGTCCATATCAATCCAATCCAGGTTATGGTCAGGGATTGTGAACCTAGATAGATCCACAGAAGCCACAGGCTGCTGGAAAGAGGATATGATATCATCTTTATTCTGTTCAACATCTTTGGGCGTGGTGCCTTCGATACTGGCAGAGACGGCACGGAAGTCGGCGGATTGAAGATCGATGAGAGCTTGATTGATGCGCATTGCACTTGTCTGCTTTTGCTTCGAGTGGGCACGGACCTGAGTCATGGTCTTTTCACGTCGTTGATGAAGATCGAGCTTCATACAGTCAAGACGAACCTTGAGGCCAGTGGCAGTGACAACATCTTCAGAGTATTCCTCGCGGTCCTTGTGCTTATAAACGTGTGCCACGAACAAGGGCGCAAGTAAGAGTTTGTATTTAACAGTAGCAAGGTGCCGATTAAACTTTTTACTTGTTTTGGTTATTCCTGGCCACAGGGGACCTTGGCGCACAGGAAGAGACATGACACCAGAGAATAGTGACCACCAGTTGAAGAAATGGGTGAAGAAGCGTGGACTCAGGTGAACGGTATTGTAGCTTGAAGATGATTGAACATCGTCAAGAGACCAGTTTCTGCTATGAGGAGCAATAATTGAAACAGACAGGTGAATATGATGACTTCGGAAGCCACGATACGCGTCGTAGTCTGCGCGCTTCGCGGGATCGACGAATTTCGGGTTCTTAAGCACGACCTCGTAATGAGGTTTGAATTTGAAAGATCGTGAACCTGAATCAACATCACGTTCGAAAACGAGTCCAGCAGCCCACTTCACGTCGCCAGAAAGCTTCATAATGACCTTTTTGAATTGGGCTGCGTTCTTCTGCTCACTCGATAATGAGCTGCTTTCAGTATCTTCTGCACCCAACTCACTAGCATAGCGAGCTTCCGCGCTGTAATCAGGAATCGCCAGCACGTATTCACTGCTAGTGACACTCATAAATTCCATTGGATCATCACTGATGTTCATTCCCCATTTGACGTCTCTCCGCCAACACATGACAAAGCCACTTCCGAACCCGCTCACCACATATGGATCGCGGGAGCCCTTGAGCCGGAGGTGGACATCACCATCTTCTTTCCAGAGGACCTGAATACGAGAGTGAAAGCTGAGTCGGATCTTATCCCAGAAACCAACCCGTTCAGAGGGGTCAATTTCTTGTTTCGTAAACCCTTCGAATATCTTCATCATATCTTGGATGACAGGTTGGTATGAGACTCCCCATGAAATGCTCGTAGGCAAGCTGGTATTGATCTCAATGGTAGGGTCGGAATAAGTCTTGACAGGCGTTACGGACCGCCAAACCTTGACACGGAATGGATCACTGCGAGACCCGTCGGGCAGTTCACTCGAAGGAACGAGCTCCACTTCGACTTGTCTTGCAGACTCGTGGTCTCGCCATTCTTCGGCAATGACAAAATTGGTCCGTAATGACCAGCTGGGAAGTCTTGGTGACTGCCCGGGACGAAGAGCAGGAATGTGTAGCAGGTCCAGAGGGTAATCTCGTAAGTTGACTCGCGCTTCTCCCATTTCTAGATTGAAGCTCATCGGAACAAGCAGACCATACTGCATAGACATGGGCATTCCCTTGCCGATTGTATTCAAGAATGTAGGGAACTCCTCTATCGGGAACGAAGGCTTGTCGATAACAAGGTTCACATCGCTGATAATTGCTGACATCAGACCCGGTCTGTTCGGAAGAGCAAGGATGTTTTCAGTCTCCTTGACATCGCGTGGTATCTCGTCAGCACCAGAGAACAAGTCCCGGACTTCTTTGATAGAATTGCCTTGGAATCTGAGGGCTGCGTCAATCTTCTCTTTCCAAACTTGAGCATTGTGTTGCTGTAATCGACTCCATGCGACCTCACTAGAGATACTTTGCTGCGAGGACAAGCAGGCTGCACCTTCAGCATCATAGCGGTATTTTCGAGACCGGCCACGAGATTCATCCTCTTTAGGTCGACGACCTTCTGCACTCTTGCTCCGCTTGGCTTCTAGGCTGTTACGCTCACTGCGCAGCGTGTGGTGGCTTGATTTGGCACGGAGTCTTGATGTAGCGCGCCGTTGATGATCTGCAGTTTCTCGGACCTTTGCAGCTTTCAACATGAACGCCTCTTCTCGGGCCAGACGTTGAGTCTGCTCTACTAGACCAGTCCGGTAGATGCAGCCTAGCTTCCACTCGAATGCATCATCCTCGAGTTCAAACAGAAAAGCCTTGCTGCGGAATGAAATTCTTGGCACATTCTTTGGTTCCTCTGGCTCCCTAACAGATACAAAATCCCTGCATCTGTGCTTGAAACGATGATGCAGCTGTTTGAAGGCCTTTGAGGTATTGATGAGGTTGTCGAAGATACTGTGCATCACCATGTGATGGGGAACACCTATTCTGATAAAGTCCGTCCATAGGTCAATGGACCTTTCCTCGCTCAGTTTTCCGGCCTGCTTCATTTTCATCTTGCGGAAATCAAGTCTGACGTTTGTCATGCTCGCGATTCTGGACCAAACACCCTTCATCTTAGGTGCTTCTGCATGTAGGCGAATAAGATTGGCCTTGACGTAAGGAGTAGAGAGTCTTTGGGAGCCAGCAGCTAGGCCATAAATCTGCAGCAAGAGTGAAGGGTCGGCTGGCAAGGTTGCCTTGACCTGAATGATAGTAGCCTTCACATCCACGGTGATGAGCTCGCTCTTTACGGGTGAAGGATTCACTGGAGGCGGAGGTAATGATATACTTGCGGGCGCTCTTGGTTTTGAATTAGTATGGGCAGAATCTGAATATTTCTGTGGAAGAGGCTTGAGAATGTCCTCGATCACGGATGTCGCAACACCGAGACAATAGAACCGGTACAGAGAATACTGGAGGTAAATCCCTTTGAACACGGAGTTGACATGCAGTACTTGTCCAAGTCGATCACTATGTGTGCTCAGGGCAACCTCAAATCGAGGGAGGGAGAAGAAAGGTTCAGGTTCAAGATAATCATCTGATTCAATGACGAACGCATCAAGCCCACGCACATGAAGCGTCATTCGTCTACCATCCGTAGCACCACGTAGGCCACCGCGGTGGCCATGCTTTGGAGGAGAGGTTGGCGTAAATTTGAAGGGTGATTCATCTCCAATGGTAGAGTGGCTGGAGGTACGCCGCCTGGAAATACTGCCCACGGCGTTTTCAGTTTTCTGCGCTTTGTACTCTGCGTTCCAAGACTGCAACTGCAGAGACACGCCTCGAGATATTTCGGACACTGTCGAGTCAACGCCAGCGACTTCCAGGCTGAACCCTGTGGCTTCAAATTGGAATTGCAGAAGCCATGGCGGTATTTTCCGCAACGCACTTGGCTTGCGTTGGTTGAAGGGCATTGGAGCCTTCTTCTGTGCCTGGAAGTGGGTTCTGAATTGTCCAAGAACTTCACGGATTCCGCGATTGACTTCGTCATTGATCATGTGCACAGAACACTCGTTCAAATTTCCAGACGCAACAACACACACCTCCGGGGAGGCATTTAAGTGAGCCTTTAGTTCCAAACTTTCTGTTGTGATCAAGTTATGCTTGTTGCCAGCAGGAGTCTGGTAATAGAACCTGTGAGATGCAACACGGTAGACGGATGAAAGAGAATAGTGTGCACCACCCTCTGCGGAATGAGAGGACTCAATATCAATTGAGATGGATGATATAGAGGAAATCAAGAGGTTATAGTCATCCGAAACGCCAGACTCAGTTTCAATGGGCAATACAAATCGTACTACGGGTTCATGGACTGAAAGTTTGATGCTCGCCTTTGGAAGTAAGCGAGAAAACAACTGATGGTTGCTCCGCTTCTTTACTCTGGGTGAAGATGCTCGTGCTTGTGCTAGTTTCAAAAGCCGAGAGACGTGTTGAGGTCGCATGTCAAGAGAAGGTGACGTGATAACGAGGTTGGCAAATAGAATATTGCGATTGCGCTCTTCTAGATTTCCATCATCATATGCGCACATCGTTTTTGCCGGGAGTGTGGTTTTGATGGTCGTTGTGGCCATGGGAATGTACAGAATGTTGTCGGTTTCACCTGAATTGTCATCCAAGCTGACTGAGAGAGAAATTGCAGCAAGTAATGCTTGGTGGGCGACATCGTTGCGCTGGAAATACATGCGATGTTCCGGACCTTTTGAATCCATCCTGTGAAGATCAATGCCGAGTTCATGAGATACCACGTTCAAGAAGAGTGGTTTCTGGTCAGCAGACTCCGATCCAAGATTGCGAGAGAGACGGAAGAAGCTCAAGGCGACCTGGATTTCTTGGATACCACGGAGAATAGAGCTGGCAAACTCCCTGGAATCAGCCACTGTCTGAACTATTGAATCGTCCCGACTGCCCGGCTTGTCTAATTCTTCCACAAAGTCCGCAAATGACATATCGTCCTCTGCGTCAGCGCGTATCTCTTGTTTCAATGGTTTCTGAGCCAACTTTATACGTTGAAGTAGTAGACGAAGGTCGTCGTAAGGAATGTGCATTCGGCCAAACTTAAGCGCCACAGAGGCATCGCGAAGTCCTTCGAGGTCTTTGTAGAGCAATCCATGCAGATTCACCCCAACGTTATCCAATACTTCTGTTGGATCCCTACCTTCGACAGCCAGCAGAACATTCTGTACATTCATAATCCACTCCGCTGGGCGCTTCTCCTGCGAGATGTCCTTCTTGCGACGGAAGAGCTTGCCCCGTTCCACCATCTTGCTGCGAGTGTCCACAGATAGGGTAAGCGACCCAACCTGTATCTGGCCGGCATCCAGGAAATGAATAGTAGTGTTAACGGCAGTGACATCTACTAGGGCAAGCCAGTGAATCTGACGGTGTAGGCGCTTCAGCCGCTCCTTCAGCCGCGTTAATGTCTTCCATGTCTTACTCCGCGGAGAGGATAAATCGGGGGTCTGGGTTTCGTCAGGCGCGGTTCCTATATTTGGTGATCCGAGTATATCGCGCGGTTGACCAGCCTTTCCTTTTGCCAAAGTTCCTGGGTCCAGTGTCACTTTCAGTTCTGTCAACCGAATACTGATCCATGTTGGCTGCGCGAAGGACGGTGGGTGTATAGAGAAGCCTAGGCCCCGAATTTCAATCTGCAATCCTTCTCTTGGAGCATATGCGATTCGGCGGAGAGAAAAGTAACCAATGCGCTGGATTGAGATTCCGGTCGCGATACGGACTATTGCGAATACGAAGAAGGATGAGAGATAGAGCAGTAGGAAACCGACAAGGATCGATGTCGGATTGAAGAGAAACATTGCGACGATCAGCAGGGGCTGATCTGTCGAGGGGAGACGCACAGCACCACGCAGGACATCGAATGTAATACAGGGGAATCAATTGCGGACGTTACTGTTCAGCTGCTCGTAAAGTTTCGGTAGATTTCGTCCGTGTGTTGGAAGAGGGAACGAAAAGAAGAAATGAAATCAACATGAAAATAGACACCGACCCAGGCATAAATCAAGCTGAATAAATCATGTCTAAGAGAGATGATGTAGCTCTCGGAGAAGACAGATTCATGGTTCGGACGCGCCGGAGGAACACCCGCCCTCCATTCCCCATTAAGTAGCGGGAACACTAAATCCCCAACCGGCTTTTTTCGCTTGTCTCGGCATCGGACCCTTTGGACTTTGGTTATCATTGAAGTATATTATTTTACAAGACTTCTTATCTAAAGTTCCCACCAAATTGTCACCGGCAAGGAGTCAAAGACATCTATTCACTATGTAAAAATGCATGTATCCCCGTGGGGCTCTTTTATCGGCATCTGATTTGATACCCCTTTTCAACTACAAAGCGGTCAAGTACGGAGTAGAAATCGTACATTTGGTATTATACATATAGTATACATGTCACGTGCTGGATAGCTAAAAGGAGAATATTGAATATCCCATGCTGTCCAATGAGTAGAGTCAATTGTAACAAAGTGGTCCATGTCCGTGCATTGACGGTACTTATTGAGAATCCACCGAATCCTCTGACAGCCCCGTTGAATGAGCCTTTTCTAGCCCTTCAATCTTCTCATCTAGAAGAGAGATCTCGACCTCAACACTAAGCAATTTCTCACTTAGGATCTCACGATAGTCCTCATCAGACAGATGTCGTAGAGGAATCCATTTGGAGTTGGCCATTCGCTGGAATAGTGGTTGGGTTGGTTTTTGAGAACGTGCCATTTGCCACGCATCAACTCTGTTGAAGGCACTTTGGCCACAGTAGCCAACAATTGAAAAGATTACGAGACCGGGTACCAACCGACCTCCTGAAAAACTGTTAGTTTTGGTATAATGTTTGACGGAAAAGATGTAGTACCCATAAGCCTAGTCACCAGCCCACCGGAGATACCTCCTGATACAGCACTGGCATACTTGCGTTCTTGCAGGGATGCATCATCCTGGTAGTGAAGCTTAATGATGTTGCTTCGTAGCCCTATATTACATTAGTTCGTGGCCATGGCCGGATAATCGGCAGAGGGCGGTATATGGAACGTACACCAGAACGTTGATCCACACACAGCCCAGTGAATACCATTTGATATGGAATGAACAAGAGGATTTCGGGATCTGATGACACCAGCAGCCCCTCCATATATCAAGCCAACGGTACCTGGAGTCAAGATGAGCTTTATAAGGATGTTTGAAATGGTAGACCAGATACTAACCACTCAGCACTCCCACTTTTGCTGCATTCAGCAGTGGATCAATCTGTGCACTGGCATTTTGGCTATTTCCACTGCTCATATTGCCAGTGATTCAAACCAAAGATTGCGAACATTTCTTGTGTTTGACGAAGAACGGAATCTCCATGATATCTAGTCACGTGTGTGTTATGTAATATACCGCCTGGAGTATCAGGTTCTACTTCAATGTAAATACTGCCAAGTTTCAACCTTGGAAGATATGTTTTACCTAGGTAGGCTTAATCAGTCAACAAATTCATTCTTTTGAAGCAATACCAACCTTGGTCATTTCTATGTTAATTCAAGGGTTGTTACTTGGGTCTCGACTTACCTAACTATGTAAGTCGTTCAAGGTTCAATTGCATACTTCCCGAAGATTAAATATATCGATGCACCTAAATCTTTCAAGGGTTGATTGGCCTGTTCAGATATTGAAAAAGGCATCAAATCAAGTGAGAACCACATAGGTCAAACTTACCTACCTAGTACCTAATTAGAAAAGACTCATAACCTCGAAAGACGACTGATAGGTTTTCGTCCTGTATCATCAATTCCATCAAGCAAACAGCCTCGAAGCAAACAAAGAACCCACAAGACTCCCAATCGATCTCTAAAAAATAAATTACGGTAAAAGTGAAACAGATTTGAATATTGAACACTGAAGTATATTTGAGAAAATCAAATTGATGTAGAACCTTGGAAGAGTTGGCCAAATTGACCTAGTATAAGTCCGTACTTTACCTCAGTTCGAGTTGGTGCCTCTGATTGGACTAGCGCACCACTTAAAAATTATCACGGATTAACTAAGCCGACCACTTCCATTGCAATCCCGACTCTCCCCCTCTACCAACTTTTTCAACCTTCAAAATTATTGATTCAAAATCTTTACCTTCTATTTCTCTAAATTCTACTCGATACCTGGTCTTCTCTCCAGTTCCACCATCTTTCCCCCTCTCTTCCTCCTCAAAACCCTTTGTGTGAGAAGCGCGCACAACTTTACTTGCGCGTTTCTTGATTCTCTATAACCGCAATCATGGGTGAGTACAAGCCTCATTCTCTGACTTGTCGAGTCTCCTCAAGAGCCTCTTGCTCGGCTTATTGTCAAACTAATTTTTACCCGATCTTCAACTGACCATTTACCCCCATTAGCGCCTGGAAAAGCTAAGGCCCAAAAGATGTCCGTTGGGGACTTCTTGGCCGACGAAAGTGAGTGAATTTGAACAGGAGATCTATTGCGCAAATATGTTGATTCTATATAGGCCTTGGTTCTTGGGCTGACGAGATGGACGATATGCCCCTCCCATGTAAGTTTGCATAAGCCCCACCAGCAGTTGATCGAAATTGTTACTGACTAGTTATATAGCCGGCGGTATGTCGCAAATTTCCAACTGGCTCCTTATCAACCGGTAGGACCCTGGCCAAAAAAGATAACCTGACTGACACTTAAAATAGGCTCTACGTTCACCTCCACCTTTGATCGCCGCCCTGCTGGTGGTATGAGCAGCTACGGCGGCGGTGGCAGCACCTTCGGTATGTTACCATCTATACTACTTTTAATATTTCTGAACCGATTGTCTAACTTTAGTGACTGTAGAGCGTGAAACCCGCGGCGGATATGCCGTGCGCGAGCCCCTTGACCTTCCCACCGAGCCTCCTTATACCGCTCACATTGGAAACCTGTCCTTCGATGCGACTGCCGATGATATCTCTGAACTCTTCTCCGACTGTGGTGTGACCAACGTCCGTATTGTGGAGGACAAGATGACCAAGGCTCCTAAAGGTTTCGGTTACGTCGAGTTCGAGTCCATCTCAGGCCTTCAGAAGGCTCTCGACCTCTCCGGCACTAGTCTCCAGGGCCGTACCATTCGCACCAGTGTTGCCGAGCCTCGTAAGTCATAACAAATAACATCGACCTGTATCTCGACTGACCGTTATGTAGCCAAGGATGCCCGCCCCGAGGGTCGTGATTTAGATTGGAGCCGCCGTGGTCCCCTTGCTCCCCTCCCCGAACGTCGCATTCCCGAACGCTCCAACTTCGGACGCAACATGGATGCCGGTTCGGATGCTGGAAGCGAGCGCGGTGGTCGCCGCAACAACTTCGAGTCGGATGGCAAGCCCCGCGACTTCGGCAACTGGGAGCGCAAGGGTCCTCTTTCACCCTCCAGCGGCCCAGTGCGTGAGGGTGGTCGTCCCGCACACAACGACGGTCCTGGCTCCGGCTTCCGTAGAAGTTCCCCTGGCTGGGGTGAGGGACGCTCGCAAGATGGTTCTCGTCCCCCAAACAACCGTGCTGAGCGGCCCGAGCGCGCTGAGCGCACTCCCACTGCTGCCGATATGGACAACCAGTGGCGCGCCAGAATGCGCCCTGACCAGGCCCCCAAGGAGGCCAGCAACCCTCCTTCTCCCGGCGCCCCTGGCGCTGCCCCCAGTGCCCCTGTTAGCCGACCTAAGTTGAATCTGGCGAAGCGCACTGTTTCCGATGCTGCAACCAACGCTGCCGCAGCTGGCGACTCCAAGGCCAGTCCCTTCGGTGCTGCCCGACCTATCGATACCGCCGCCCGTGACCGTGCAGTGGAGGAGAAGCGCGAGCTCGCTCTGCGCCAAAAGAAGGAGACTGACGAGAAGGCCAAGACTGAGAAGCAAAAGCAGAGCAAGGACATCCGTGTGGCTGGCACTGATTCCAACAAGGATTCAATTGAGCCTCCCCGTGGTGGTGGCAACTTTGAGATCCTCCAGCGGGTCGGTGGAGACGAGAGTGGCGTGACCTCTGAAAAGGAGCCCGAGGTTGCTGCTGCACCGGCTGTCGAGGCTTCCAAGGAGACCACCAATGGTAACTGGAGAGCCGCTGAGACTGCCCCAGAGACCGTTGATGAGGACGGTTGGAGCACTGTTGGCGTCAAGCCTCGCAACAACCGCCGGGGTGGACGTGCTTAAGCTATCTACTCCTCAAATGACCTCGACTTTCGCCCAACCCGTCGTGACTGGTGTGGTGTGTCAATGGAGTGGCCAATATCATCAAATGACAGTCAATTTTGACCAGAAATGTTTTTTTCTGGGAACCAGAGACAGTCGGCGTCTTCGGATGTGATAATAATGTTGGTCCTTTCATTATCTTTACTCGCTGGTTGCAGATGGCGCTACACGACCGACCTCCTCTCATCTCTTCCTTTACCATTTCTTCCTTGTCCGCCACCAGTTTCACGATCTTCCCTTTTCCTTTCGGCTAGATTCCCCTTTTTGATCTAGTCATCGCTATGATGATCTGGCAGTCTGAAAAGTTTTTCTTTCTACTGTTTTCCTTTTTGTTCCTATCGATGTCGCTTCTAGGTACTATTCCCGTGCGTGTGATTCGAAAAATTTGCCCATGACCATTATTACAGCCGATGCGAAATGAAGATTTTCTTATTCTATGTTTTTCTATGCCCCGTGCTTGACCATCCCAGACAGTCCTCTTATGTCTATTATCTGTTCGTGTTTAGAATCCGCCAACGCTCAACCTACTGTCACGACCAGTTATCTGAATACGAACGACATGATAGATGAAGTAGTCATGATCCCAACTCTGATAAACTTCATCCGGTCTTCTCAATCTGCACTCCAAGCCTGTCATATGCTTTTATCCGATGGGATTGTTTCCGCTTGATCCCTGAGGTTTCGTCTGAGCAAGTAATGAATTACCAGCATTCGTATCTGTTTCATTAGCCAGTAGCATAGATTAATTTCAGTCTTCATTTACTATTTCGTTAAGATTTGCCGTGGACCGTTGCAGCTTATACCTAGGTACACCAGTCCTAACTATTATCTTTTTAGTCCTTTCCCTCCAGGCTGGGATCTATAACACTTTGAGGACCTTGCTATTATTGACAACTTTCGTCTCATACCTAGCCCTGGAGGTAATCATCCCCCCGGCCTACTTACTATTCTGATCCAACTAGCATCAGAACTCAACATAATTCTAAGTAATTTCCAACGTTGGAAGGTTTAGTTCAATATGTAATAGCCCGAAGCCATTTGTTTTGGAGAAATTTAGTACTTTCGATTATGTCCAGCCTACATTTCCTCTACCTGAGATCCAAGAGAAATCCCAACCTGGGCTGACCTGCCCACTCCCGAGGTCCGAATCTGTCAATACAAGGGCCGTCTTTAGAACACATCCTGCTCTCGTGAATTCTCCCTTGTCCATAACAACTAGACAAGGGCCGAGAAATGGATCTCGCCGAAGATTTCGGCGAGTACCCAAAGCTCTATTGGCGAAGAAAATGACACTACATACAGTTTGATACACATTTCATGAGGGCCCAATGCGAGGGTTTCGAGTCGGACTTGGCAACTGCTCGTAAAACGTAGCACGGCAGCACCGAGATGACAGGCTTGTTGATTATAAGATAAAGGACTCATATACCCCATACTCCTCACTGCCAGTGGTTTATACTGAGCCCAGTTTCTACACCGTTTTCACCACTTGCAAGTATGGCTTCTCCAACATGCAGTATCCAAAGTCTTGATGGAAAATGGACAATGGTATGAAAAATCCCCAAGTCGCAGCGCGACTCGCTCTTAACATAACACGTCAAACCGATCCATAAAATGGCATTCAATTTGTGCCTCGCTAATGTCCGTTCTTCACCAGGATAAAAAATTGACAGGTCCTGATACGGATCCTATCCTGAAGATGGTGATTCCCACCCAACCCTCTCCCTTCCTCCCATTAGCAGATACCAACACCTACCTATATATCTTTCCGATCCATAACTAACTCAACTCAGCAAGGAGTCCCCTGGGTAGTCCGCAAAGCTATCGGCATAGCAACAGTATACCTCGACTACTCAGTCTATACTAGCGAATGCTCCGAGTCTCCGGGCTCAGTACTGAACATAGACATACACCAAACCGCAACAGCTGGACTTGCAGGGACGAGTGAAAGCCGTCGACTAGACTGGAATATACAGACACATTCCGATTACATCTTCGGTGTGCTCAGTTCTCAGAGCCGGCTTATTGACGGTGCTGCGGATTCTGAAGGGACTGTGCGGCCCGATGTCGAGGTGCAGACCAAGGTTGATGATGATAAGGTTGTTGCCTTTCTTAAGGGGAAGATTCTGCCCGATGGGACTCCGAGTATTGGGTTTGTTGCAGAGGGCAGTGGGGTTGGGGGATGGGTGCATACTTTTGCGTCGAATCAGAAAGCTGGATGGACGGCTGAACAGGTGAGTTTCAACTATATTTGGGTACTGGTTTTTGGCTCTTTCGGGCTGACTTGGATTTTAGGTCTGGGGCTTTGAGATGATTGATGGTCTATGCTGTCATACTCGTCGGTGTGTGGTTGCTGATTCTAAGGGAGCGTATCGGATGGCTCGACTTGTTTATACTAGATAGTGATTTGAGGTTGATCTTCAATCTACTCTTGAACTGTGTGGTCAACATTTGTACCAAAGTATAATGCTAGAGTAGCTAGCATCTATTTGAACCTTGATCACATGCTCCGTACATAGGGCTTCGTTAGATATGAAAGAAGATTGGACTCCAACCTTTCATACTTCAGCCACGTGAGATAAAACATCGAATTGAACCATAATTTGAGAGCGGCCTTACATAATTGTTTCAGGGTGACCATATTTCGAGAATGACTAGAAAGGGAACCAGTAACCTAGCTACTCTTGGCGCCAGCATACTCTCCATTAAGTAGACCGTAATGCCGTTGTCCGTGCAATGTTTACTTCCTCGCAAGTACAGAGGTCACGTGAATAATGTTGGATCTTCAAGGAAATGTGGTACCGTTTGCATTAACTCCACCTGGTTTATTTAGCGGAGTTTCCTCGCTAGATGGAAAGTGAAGTTTCGTCAACATATCACGATTGGACGGGCGTTTTTCTATTGATATTAGATCTATTTTTAGAATATGGAGCCAGTACAAGACAGTATTAGCATGTGAGATTAGAATATTCGCCTGAGAGCCTGAAGGATGCATATGATTCCTCGTGGGGCGGGATCGAGGGGCTATAAGCATAAGCATACCCTAGAAGGTACTAAGTACTCAGGGTAATTTCGACATAAGTTAATTCAGTGCAAAAATACGGAAGGTGGTTGAGACAAAAATCGAGAAGCCTGATTGGGTAAGGGGAGGCCTGTTAACGCCCGATGAACCCCTACCAAGGGTCCTTTTCTCCCCTAACCTACTTACTGAGTCGTGTTTCACGAGGCAGTCTGTCGTTATATCAATAAACTGAGTTCTCTTTCTTTCCTTTCAGTCCTTTCTGTCCTTTGAACTCCTTTGTGTCACTGCAAATTTACTCGGGGTGATACCTTCATGTTGTCATGTCGGCGACTCTCACCTCTACGCTTGCGACCACTACCCTTGTCGGCACTCCGTCTGCCATGGCAATGACAACCTTTGCCACACTCAGCGAGAAGCACTGCCCGACTTGTGGAAGCGTTAGCGATTTCTCCGATCTCGCAGAGGCGCAGCGTCGAATCCACGAATTGGAAGAACAAGTCTACTACCTGACAGACCGCGCAGCAGAAACTGGTAAGTTAGAATAACAATTTTGATTTCGCTTTACCCTATCTGTGGCCTTAAGATTTTCGCCTTTCCAAGGTCCATGAGAGTTTGAATGATGAACAAAAACTTGATTGTTCGCGGGGAGAGAACTTACTTGCTCACCGACTTTCTATGCAGCTGGTAAACTCGCCGACTACGAAGACGAAGTGCACCGCCTACGCAGACCGCAAAGCGGCTCATCACGCCCGACATCTTCATCCTCCTCACCAGACAACAAGTCGCAGACATCCAGTCGCTTCACCACCTTGGCTTCTCTACTTCCGTACCGCCGGGGCAGCGCCACACCATCAAATAGCACACCCGCCCCAGACACACCAGCAACACTCCCTCCAAACCTACTACAACTTCAGTCTCAAACATCTGAAGAAGACGGCGAAACATCCGAGCTACAAAATGCACTGACCCGCGAAAAGGACCTCCGCAAGGCTGCCGAAACGCAGCTCTCACAGGCAAGCACAGAACTTGAAGATCTGACTGTGCAGCTATTTAGCCAAGCGAACGAGATGGTCGCAGAAGAGCGCAAGGCACGCGCAAAGTTGGAAGAACGAATTGCAGTGCTGGAACGCCGGGACACTGAAAAAAGGAATCGGCTGGAGCGGTTGGAGAAGTCGATGGCTCGTGTCGAGAAGCTGCGGGCTTTGATCGATTCATGATCGGGACTAATTTTCCCTGCTTCCCTGCGCAACAACAGTGTAATGACCTGCATGATGTTTCGATTTTATTTTGCATGATAGCATGGGCTTGGGCGTGTCACTGCATTATGGGTGTATTCCTTTTATTAATTTCTGTCCTTTATGTCTTTTCTATCTTTGGCGCTTGGGATTATGGGTCTTGTCGGATTGACAGGCGGTATTGGCATACATTAATTTTTAGACATTGAAGTCGCGTAACTGTTTTTCCTGTCAATCTTTTTTGAAATAGGCTATCCAGTTGTACTCTTGTGCTCCGTAGATAGATTGTATGAGACGGATTGGCTGTATGAGTATGGCTTTAGGACACTCTTGCGTCATTTCTATTGAATCGCGGAACAATAGACCGAAGTGGCGAGCAATTAACCAGTAAGGATATAATATAGTTAACTAGGTATACCGAATTCTCGGGACCCAATTTTCGATGAGGTTGGACCTTCCCAGCGTTGTAGAAGACACCGAAACATGGTCTAGTCCTCGTGGGGCTTAAGAACCCCACTATGGGTTCATCTGATAAATCGACTCCTCACATTTACACTTGTACCCCTAGTCTACTCAGGTAAAATTTTCAAATTCCAATATCTCTTGAGTAGTGACTTAGAACATGGCTGTCGGCGTTGCCATTATTGGAAGTGGTGAGCAATTGACAATTCTTGATAGTATACTCCTGAACTAACATTGCATAGGCAACTTTGCCAAAGAACAACATCTGGTAATTGATACACAGCCTGTAAAGCTAGAATTGAGCTAATTACCACTCCAGCCAGCTGTTCAAGGTACAAAGGATCTGCAACTCAAAGCGATCTATTCACGGTCTCTAAAGTCAGCCCAAACCCTTGCTGGAAGTGTACCGAACGTTGATCTCTATGCCGAGGATGCTGGCAACAAGTCCTTTGAGAGTCTACTAGCTCGCCCAGATATCAGCGCCGTGATAATAGGGTATGGCTCAGACGTCGACATTCATTACTTCGAGCTGACAGCTACCTAGCCTCCCTATACTAGTGCAGCCGGATTTCATCCGCAAAGCACTGTTGGCTGGCAAGCATGTTTTATCCGAGAAGCCTATTGCGAAGGATGTTGCTACTGCTCAGGAACTTCTGCAGTGGTATCATAGTAACATCGACACCAAAAAAACCCTTTGGGCTGTCGGTGAGAACTTCAGGTATATCACCAAGTTTCTTTTCGCAGCGGAACAGGTGCGGAAGATGGGCAAAGTTCGCCATTTTAGGGTGAATGTTCACAGTTTAGTGAAGCCCGATAACAAATACTACTGTAGGTGGTGCCGACACAGGAATACTACCAGGCCATGACTCCAAGCTAACCCGAATTCTAGTGACTACGTGGCGTCAGACTCCGGAGTATCAGGGTGGTTTCCTCCTAGATGGTGGAGTACACATGGTTGCTGGTCTTCGTCTCATCATGGGTTCTGACCAGCTACTTACCACCGTCTCTGCACAGTCGCAACAGCAACAATCCTACTTGCCGCCTGTTGACACTGTAGATGCTGTTGTCAGAACAGGATGTGGTGCTACTGGTCTTGTCTCCCTTTCATGGGGATCGTCTTTTAGTGATAATTCCTTCGAGTTTGTTTGTGAAAAGGGCGTTGTAAGCTTGAAATTCGATACCGTAACTGTCAATGGTATAGATCATGCTATTGAGTTTGATGGGAAGGGTGTTCTTCCCGAAGTTACTGAATTCGCCACTGCTATTGTTAATGGTCGGCTTGAGAAGAGACAGTCCCCAGAGGAGGCGTTAGCTGATTTGGAAGTGTTGGAGCAAATGCTTCAAAGTGGGGAAAAGTGTGGGGAGAAGATGGACTTGAAGTATCAGTGTTGATAACTATTTAAGATTGGATTGAAGATGAATCTAGAATCTCCATTGCCATCGCCAATGGGTGGCTTGAGAAGAGACAAGCTCCATTGACTAATTGAAAATGTTAGAGAAAATAGTTATTTCAGAGTGGAGAGAATCATGGCAAGAAGACAGAATTAAACCATCAGTGCTGATGACTATGAATGAAACAAATCATATCTAGATATATACTGGTCCTTCCTAAAACGGATGTCTTGGCAGGGCTCAAGTAGAGGCGAGCCCTACGCTGACCTAAGCACAGCCATTTCGCTTAGGTCTCTAGTGTGGGTCGCCCACTCCGCCAGCCTGAAGTTTTCGAGATTGAATTCAGCTCCGACTCGACAACTCTCGAACGCCCGGCGAGACCCTGCACAACCGACAAAGTGAGTTTTAAACCCGTCACTATCGCCTCTCGCATACTGATCATTTTTCCTCGTCAAGATGGTCGCCGCCAAGAAGCACATTCCCATCGTCAAGAAGCGTATGTCCCCCGATTTCCGACCGTGATCAGTTTTCTCTTGCCCTGGATACCATCGCCCTTCGACTATGAGAGAGGATACGAATTTGCGAGACGAGAAAGAGAAAGAGAAAGAGATGGAGTTCATTTGATGGGAGGAATGGCTATTTTTGCGACATGAAATAAATATTGAAGATTTCGTCAATACGGTCCAAGGGCGATGATATCCACGATTCGACAACCAATCTACTCGACCTGATCTACGATCGCTGAATCGAAAAGGAATTGAGAACTAACCTCGTCTGTAATAGGCACCAACCGCTTCAACCGTCACCAGTCTGACCGGTTCAAGTGTGTTGCCCCCTCGTGGCGCAAGCCCAAGGGTATTGACAATGCCGTCCGTCGTCGTTTCAAGGGACAGATTGCCATGCCTTCCGTACGATAATTCCCTTTTCACGCTTGACGTGCTACGAAATGGACAACCGGAAACTAATTCTCGGAATCAGATCGGTTACGGCAGCAACAAGAAGACCCGTCACATGATGCCCTCCGGCCACAAGGCTTTCCTCGTCTACAACCCCAAGGACGTTGAGCTCCTCTTGATGCACAACCGCACCTACGCTGCTGAGTATGTTTACGACACTAATCAACCGAATTCGACAAACTCAAACTAACCCGAGTTTTTAGGATTGGCCACGCCGTCTCTTCCCGTAAGCGCGTTGATATCATCGCCAAGGCCAAGGCTCTCGGTGTCAAGGTCACCAACGCTAAGGGCCGTGTCACCACCGAGGCATAAATGGATTGAACCTTTGAAAAGTTCTTTTCTATTTTTCGGAGGGGTATTCGCAGGAGCAGAGGGTTCATGGGTTTTTGTTGATACTATCTCTCTGGCGATAACGAATTTCAAGGATTCTGCATATGGCACGCCATGTGGTGCTCGCACTTGTCATTAGTGCTGAGTAGACTGAAGGAAACTTCTAAATGACAAAACAAAAATTGAATAATCCTTTTTTCCGAGTTCAATCTAGAAGGTCTAGATTAATGAGCTGAGGACTAAGTACAAGTAGTACAATTATGTGGGGATGCATAAAATTTCCAGGCATCGTAGCCCTTGTAACTTGCAAATTTCGACTCTTCAGGCCCCAGATCGGTCTTACGCCCCCAAACATGAGCTCATGTTCCATGTTCAGCCCCCAATGACCCCCTCCCTCTCAATAGCCCCAAGCTGTTTTTCCTTAACAACGTATAAATGCCCCTCATCAGTTGGGATTTTAGCATAGCTGGGTGAAAAAAAAAAGAGCGCATTGACTGTAGGACCCACTGGTCCCGCCATCCGGAAAAAAAGGAGAATAAAGCTGTCCTCTGTGACTCCAAAGAAAACACAATTGCTCTTCCTGTTTCAAGGCTTCTACAAAATAGATTAGTCGTGCACTGGATAAGACCAATCAGCAAGCCTGTGGGGTAACGCGACTATCACTTTCCACTCGTCATTCCGGCACAAGCCCCCGGTCAAGGACAGACAAAAGTCCCGGGGTCCTCCTTGAGTGGATTTGGCATAGACTTCTCCATCTGGCCGTGGAGATGCTGTGAGAATCAATACCTCGACACTTGCTGAGTTATTTTTTGTTCATTTTCTCTCGCTCGCTCTTCTAGTGACCATGCGACATATGCCAGCCCGGTATGGGCGGTGGGCACCTTCCTTTGCAGTGACGCTATTTATATTGTTCATTTTGCATCTAAATTCCAACTTTGGGGTCAGTAATACTACTATTGTAGTTGAGACGGTGACCGTTCAGCATCCACTCAACACATCCGACAATCAGTATAAGCTCCAATCTCCAACTCCATCTCAAAGCCATGGCCAAAGTCTAAACTACGGTCAAAGACAAGGCCAGAGCCAAGTCGAAAGTCAAATCCAAAGTCAACCCCATGAGACTCAAGTTGAGGCTGCTGTCAAGGCTGCCGCTACACCTAGACCATGCCTCCCACTTCCAGGCATGGAAGATATCTTAGTGGTACTAAAGACAGGCATCACAGAATCACAGCAAAAAGTGCCAGTGCACGTACGCACCACACTGCGGTGTGTTCCACACAAGCTGATAGTATCGGATTTTGAAGAGGACATCGATGGCATCCGCACCCACGATGTCTTCCGCAACACAAGCTCCTCACTACTCGAAATGCCTGATTTCGCGCTTTATAACCGCGCGCGGGCAGGCGGCCGAGCCGGACTAACACAGCAAGACCTAAACAAAGTCCCTAATGGCCCATTCGGCATGGTCGATAGTCCAGGCTGGAAGTTAGACAAGTGGAAGTTCCTACCAATGATCCACGAAGCAAGACGTTTCCGGCCCCAAGCAAAGTGGTACGTCTTCTACGAAGCAGATACGTATCCCATCTGGACGAACCTGCTAGGCTGGCTGGCGCACTTTGACCCTGATCAAAAGCTTTATTTGGGCAATCAGATGATGATTGGTGATGACCTATTCGCGCATGGAGGTTCGGGCATTGTGATTTCGCATGCGGCGTTGCATGCCGTTGCGGACTGGCATATGCGGAACGAGGAACACTGGAATGGTGTTACGCAAGACCATTGGGCCGGCGATTGCTTGCTGGGCATGGCACTTTCTAAGACTGGGATTGGGCTGACTTGGTCTGCACCCCATACTAATGAGAGGTCTGTCTGGGAGCAGGATACCCTTGGTGAGACGTACGGGAAGAATCACTGGTGTGTTCCGCCGTGGACGTTCCATCATATGACACCGGCGGATGTGGAGTTTATGTGGGAGTTTGAACAGAACTGGTTCTATACCGTGAGTCTTATTCTATTCTACTGACTTATGATTCAGTTTTAAGTGCCAAGCTAATGTGATTCTAGGGAAACCACACTCTCCTCTTGCACAGAGATATCTTCTACGATCTAATCGAACCATCTATTACAGACCGTTCCGCAAACTGGGATAATCTTGCCGGAGAAGAAGTTCCCAACTCTGGCGAAAGCTCCACAAAATACGAGTGTGCAGAGCAATGCGCTCGCACGCCCGAGTGCATGCAGTATAAAATCGACGCGCATAGCAAATGTCTATTATCTCCCAAAGCCCTTCGTGGCAACTATGCCGCCGGTGTTGATTCCGGCTCTATGATGTGGAGAGTTGAAGCACGCATTGCTGAGAGGGGCGAATGTCTCGAACCACTTTGGTTAACTTGAGCTGGGAAAGTCAGTTGGTGTTCTGTTCTTGTTTATTTTGTATATAGATCTTATTTCTACTGAAGCGCTGCGTTCATTATTGCATTGGGTATGGAATCTGGATTTTTGTTTGCAAATTTCAAAGTGCGTATCATGGCTCGAAGGTTAATTAACCTGATGCAAAGTGTGTTTCTACTCCAATTTATATGAAACTAGGGCTTATGCTCTGACCACCGTATATACCGCCTTTTATATGATATTTCTGCCGGTGCAATAAAGTGGGGCAAGGGAAGCTTGGCATTCCTTAGCTCTACATCTTTAATTTTACTACTCAGGGTTTCTACGATTTTGAAGTAGGAAAATAGTATTTATTTACAGAGGAAGTGTGCCAATTGGCTCAACCAAAAGGATATAATTCAAAGAAATGTAGTATCATACCTATATTTTCAAACCTCCAGGGCAACTATGTTGATAATTTCATCAGTACAGTTTGAAAAAAACAAAAATCTTCTAAAAAAAGTCAGCGGCACATGGACGGTGCGGAAACTGGGGACGACGATACGAGAGCTTTTCTTCAGTGAGACAAATCACACCAGCTTCAAAAAGCTGCTTGATCAAATCGATATGAGCGATAATAGCTCTCCTCGCCCAAGTAATATCGGGCAAGCAACCACGAATCTCTATCCAAAACATGCGTCCCTCATAAGTCTCAAAACCATCATCATCTTTGAAATGAAGTTCACCGTATGCAAGAGCCTCGTATAGTGCTAAAATCACTTCTCCAGCTGAGATATTCTGGTGTCCGCCGTAGTTCAAATCGACACCTACCCAGATGATTTCCCAGGGGTAAGCTGGGCAGAGCTTGTATTGTGTTCTTGATGGGACGTAAATACGACCTAGATGGGGATGAACACTCATTGAGAGATGGTAGTTGATGCATTTCCTGTATGGGCCTTGGGGTGTTAAGAGTGGTAGAGTTATTCCTTCAGATGGTTGGTGCGGCCCAATATTTGTGCCGCGGTATGACTCGTTGAGGAAAACTACAACACCATTAGATTGACGTTCATTCAGATCCGCTACTGGTATACCTGGGGGCAACATTTTGTTGAAAGGGAGGTGAATTATTTGAGTGAGCTTTTTTTTGTGGAAAATAGTTAGTCTGATGTCTGTGGATGTTGCTTCAATGTAGTTGTTTGAGGGAATCAACGCTTTAATAATACAGTTCGAAAGTCAAGTCATTGTAGTCACTCGAGACTGGAGGATTACTATGCCGAATACAAAGGGCTTTGAGTACCTTTATGTGGACTGAAAGAAGATAAAAAGGCATTGTTTTGGGCCCAAGTAGAACAATATATTTAAAGATCAAAGGAAAAAAAGTAGGGTCTAAAAAGCCCCGCAAACAATAGGACATATATGATTATTAAGACGCTAAATGCTTAGGATGATAGAATATTTGATTCAACCTTGGAAGATCCAAGATATCAAAAATACAAGAATGACTATGAGCTCACAAATCTCCCTACAGTACAACAACTCGAAAATTTATTATTAAAGATATGTCACACCGCTCTCAATATAGACTATCTCTTGGGTAAGATCTACAGCTTACTCAACAAGGTCAGATTTACGGCCTTAGTACTGTTATATACTATCATTTTATCACTATAACCTGGAAGAATATCGTGTCTAGATAGATGAAATTGAAAGATAAATGAATAATCATGATGAATTACGTCTAATTGATAATTATTTTACGTCGTAGTAAGCACTACATAATATATTCTGAGATTTTCTTGGAACAACCTGGAGCGGCTTGGCTTATATCTACAACTGATACCTAGGTATCTATATGTACTTGGTACTTCCCAGGTATGTATACCGCACCTAAATACCAAAATACCGAATGCTATATAAAGCGAACGGGGATCTAGGGGAACATTGAAAGTTTGGCAACAAATTCGGTACCTTTTTTAACACACAATAAAACCAAGCCTCATAAAACGCAATCAACATTAGGACCTTTGTCGAAGCCGAGTCAAGGTTCCAGCCCTAACGTCGCTGGCCCACCATTATTCAACTCAACAGAGTACGACGAGGCAACTCCAATCAGCGCAACCCTTTTGCAAGACCAGATCACGGACCATGAACAAGCCATTCGGTAAGATTCGAGCTCTTTGTCTCATGATTATATCCTTATCTCTGATTGTCGGTTGACTAGGTTATTACCGAAGCAGACAGCTATTGATATCGTTTCTGTACGTATATAATAGGTGTATGCATATTGGGTAAAAGTGAAATGTCATTCAAAAATGCTCAGGTGAAAGAAGATATAGTAGCTGCCATGTGTCAAAGGCCCGATTCCATTTATAGTTAGTCTATTTTAGTCAGCATTGGAATCCCACAATGGGATTCCTCCATTCTACAATCGATACACATACACACTTTGGTACGCATACTGCGTTCTCATTTGCCCACTAGAATCCACTATTCCTTGGTAGTCGACCTCCATTTGACAGTTATGAGCCCGGTTCGCCGACAATTTACCTTGAAAAGCATATTTTAAGGGTAAACGAGACTAAAGACTGTGTCCGCGATGTCCGGCGATATAAGACTGAAAGATGCCTCTCAATGGCAGCAGTGGTATAGGCGAGTCAAAGCCGTAGCCACTGGCGGAGATGTATGGGAATACTGCGATCCAGAGCTTAGGACTGAACGACCAGTCCTAGGATCAGAACCACGCGACTACCCGATCAAACCAATGCTTGAACTCGATATAGATCGTAAAGAGTATGATCGGTTACGACAGGACTGGAAGGACGATGTAGAGGATTACAAGTTCCGTCTTTTATTCTACTAAACCAAGAAGCGAGCAATTGAATCTGTGAATGAATATATCCTAAAGCACTTGGATACATATGTTCAGAGTCTCGTTTTACAATATGACGAACTATTTATGCGACTTAAATTCTTGTATGACCGCTATGGTATCTCGTCAACAAACAGAGCCAGGGTATTCTACCATTAGCATAACTTTGTGGTTACTCCACCTATAGCTGGCGCCGATATTGGCGCCTGGCTTGAAGAATGGGAGCATTCGCGCCTTGAAGCAGAGGTTGAGGGCGTCTCAGCTGCCAAGAATGATGATGCTGTGTGGCTCTTTTTAGAGCTGGTAAAGGATATACTGCTAAACTGGTGGCAGTCCTGGCATGGAAAGATTATAGTTGATCGCGAGCAGATCTCTATGCGTCGCCTTCTAGATCATTTCAAAACCACCTACCAGAATCAAAGACCAAAGCAGCCAGCCATCTTAAAGGGAGCGTTCACGACGTTCCAAGGACACCAGGAAACAGCTGGCCAAGCCAGTGCTCCTGCCCCTCATGCTCCTGGCCAACCTAGTGCCCCTGGTCAAGGGAAGAAAGCTCTGGCTAGAGCTCAATTCCTACAGGAGCAGAAAGCAAAACCATTTAAAGATAGGGCATGCCCATGTGGTTGTAGCTACCCTGTCGATAAGTGCTTCAACTTAAATGGTAAAGGCAGCAGAAAGCCAAATGCTGGCATAAAACAGAAGATAAAACAGGCCCTGGACGGGGATTTAGGCTGGAAACAGTGGATCGACACTAAACTGAAAGAATCCACTAACACCAGCAATACCCCAGCCGAGCCAGCCAGGCAATCTGCAGCCGTAAACCACACTGCCAACTACACTACAAAACCAGTGTTTTTCGCATCTCAAACTGCCTATACTACCGATTCAAGCGACAGCATAGAGCTCGTAGACACTCTGGACATAGTTTCAGATACTCTGGACACCATTCCAGATCTCTCTAGTGCATTTATAGACTCCATATTTCTGCAGAAATCAGCTTTCCTGACCCAGTCTGGTCAGGAGCTCCAGAAAGATAGCTGGGTGCTAGACACAGGCGCCAGTGCGCATGTCTGCAACAACTTAGGTGCATTCGTCAATTTCGAGCATGGAAGAGACACCCTTCAACTAGGATTAGGAGAGGTTGAAACCCTTGGTAAAGGACAATGCGAAGTCAAAGGGATCCATCCAGTAACCAAGGAATCGACATCAATCATCCTGTCAAATGTCCTCTATAGCCCTAAGTTTAGATTGAATCTACTCTCTTACTGCGCCCTGAACGACAAAGGAGGCGATTGGGTGCCTTCGAAAGACTATCTTATTGATAGGGACGGGACACCTGTCCTAGCCATTCAAAGGATTCATAACCTAAATTTATTGATCGTGGAGCCATCATTAGCTGAACAAGATTCAGATAAAGAGACAGACAAAGAGACACCCGACGAGATTTTTTCGGCGGAAAAGCATGCATACATGGGCAAGGATTCCAGAAAACCACTAGAATCTAAGGCATCGACAGAGCTCTGGCATCGTCGTCTAGGTCATTTACACCATGATGCTATACAGCAGCTTCCTAAGCTCGTTGACGGAGTCGTTTTGAGCGATCAACCAGACTCAACTGAACCAGTCACTGACCGTATAAATGGCCAAATACAGAGCCCATGCTCTATTTGTAGTCTTACTAGAGCTCCTAGACAGATATCTAGACGTCATCTAGGACATAGGTATAGTCGATTCGGACAGATCTCTCTAGACCTGATCCAAATGTTAATCGCGTATAATGAAGAGCGTTGGATTTGCCATTTTTACGTTGACGGAATCCACTTCCATTGGGTCTTCACCTGTCATATAAAGAACCAGATAAATGATGCGATTCGATACTTCATTGAACTCCTGAAAAACTGGTGGAATTTACCCATTCGAGCATTCCACTACGACAATGAGAAAGCTGCAGGCCTCACTGCAGAGCGGTTTCTGGCAGATCAAGGTATTATAGTGACGCATTCAATTCCAGGACATCCTGAGATGAATGGCCTAATTGAACGGGCAGGCGGCATCATAATTACACGCGCCAGGGCCCTCCTAGAGGAAGGAAAGCTCCCCATCAGCCTATGGCCAGAGGCGGTAAAGGCTGCGGTTTATATACTAAATCGTACGCCAACGAACGCAAATGGTTCCTGGATAGTGCCCTAGGAAGAGGCGCGTAAATACGCTAATTCAGACCTATAGGACAAACGAACGACACTGCCTAAGTCGAATCTCGCGAACATACGTCTATACGGCAGTCTAGCTTACTACAGAATCCAAAAGATTCCGAAATCAGACAAGATGCTGAGAAGGGCAGAGATTGGATTCCTTGTTGGATATATGGCATCTAATATCTAGAGAATCTGGTTTCCAGATTCAAGGGGTGGTTAAGTTAGGCCAGTCAGAGACGTCGTTTTCGACGAGAATAGGCGATATACAGCTGATTTTATACCACATAAGCTAGTGGAGATGCCTGTTTTTTCTGGTCCTGAGCCAGTTATCCTGACTAAAGAAGAGGCTAACGACGTCCTCCAGAGGGAGATTGGAGTCCTACAAACCCACCTACAGACCAATTTACAGGAGATGTTACCTGAAACATAAATAGTTGACCATTCATATCTATCTAATCAGGATACTAATAGTCCTGTCCTCTCTCTTGATGCTCGATCAGTTCAACAACCTAACGCATTTACTAGAAAAAGCAACCAGTCTGGTGTATCCAACAATGCCGAAAACCCATTTTTCGGCCGAAATCCTGGACCAAATACACCACGATACCCTACACCAATAGAACATGACTGGATTCCTGGGACATTCCCAGAAGACCTAATCGAGCCTGATATAACTGACGACACACCGAATTCACTAGATTCGCCAGACTCAGTGCCAAATCAAGGGGTGGGGGTGGCTCCTATAGAGCCAACTAAAGGGGATTCGCCCCTGTTTACTGCTTAAGATAGTGAACCACAATTCCGACAGATTGGTCTAGACTTAGACGAGTCGAACATTATCCCTGGTAAATGTATTCGCCATCCAACCAAGAGAGATAATGCCTACTTTACACAGCTTATGCTGCGGCCAGATAAGGATCCAGATGAGCTTAAGACACAATCTAAAGCTTATTACTATGCATTCTACACCAGAATGGTGCAGAAACCAGCGAGCCAGATGCACAGAGACGACCTTCCACCACCTCCGAACACATTCAAGG